TTTGAATCAGAATCAGAAAATCTTGACGCAAGACTAATGTTGACTCCAGTTGAATAAACACTTCTCCAATGGTAAGTAAATGAAGTGGTATTTGCTGTTGGAGCACCATTATTAATGGTAATGGAGATGGTTCCAGATACATATTCTTTGGAATCTGAAATTACAAAGGTAATGCTATTTACAGAGCCAACAAAACCACTCGTAGGCTTAAATAAAATTGATTTTCCACTGCCTGTTAAGGTCAATGTTCCTTGACTCGATGTTATGGAAGTGTAAGACGACAGAGTAAGGGAATCCGAGTCAGAATCCGAAGAGTTACCAATCACAGCAAAGGTGATGCCATTAACTGCAGATGACCACAGTCCATTGAATGATAGATTTTTAGTTGTAGGTATAGAATTTGTCACGTTAACACTCACTTTGGCCGTGGTTGTCGTCACGCCATCGGAAATGACATAGGTGAAAGTATCGACACCCAATGATGCTGTTTTAGGATAGTAAATAATTTTGTTGTTTTGAATAATTGGAGACGTGGAAGCCGATGATCCATACAAGGATGTTATATTAAGGGAATCACCATTTGGATCAACGTCATTAAATAATACGTCCAGGGTCAATGAAGTAACATTCCAATGCGTAGTAAACGAGTCATCTGTTGCAGTTGGAGCATTATTATAAACTACTAGAGTCACAGTATTGGTTACATCACCATTCGATGCATCATCAGTAACCACATAACTGAACGAAAGAGATCCGGTATATGCTGTCGAAGGCGCTGAAATTGTAACATTGGTTGAAGAGCCAGAAGTGACAGAAACACTTCCCACTGATGGTTGTGATGACATACTCTTCAATCTCAACGAGTCACCATCAGAATCGGTATCTGTTGGAGACAAATTCAAAACGTTTAAATAAATCCATCTCTAAACGTTCTCCACAACACACTGTAAGTCTTTACCGAGACACTTGGAGCTGTATTGGTCACAGAAACAGTGAATGCTGCAGATGTATTTTTCAAACCATCACTCACTACATAGGTCATGGACATGGTTCCGACAGTAGATGAAGGTACAAACGTTGCAACTCTATTTGAAATTGAATAAGCACCGCTTGATGGTTGAGTACCAGAATAGATTTGCAAATAAGGAGTATCTGTGCTATCAGAGTCAGCAATTAAGGAAGTCAAATTTTGAGTCAGTGTTGTCGTCCAGTGTGTGGTAGCTGTCAATGATGATGCGGTTGGAGTGTTATCATACACAGTGCATGTCACATTGATCATGGAAGATCCAGAGCTAGAGCTATATCTCAAAGTAAATGTTTCAGTTCCGTGTAAGTAATATATTTACCATCAGAAGACACCACAACTGTTCCTTTTGGTCTGGAGAGGAGATTAATGTTTGAGAGAGAGTGAGTGTATCTGTTGAATTAATCTTGGAGAGTGGATACAATACAGTGCCACCAGTTAAACTTGTTCTCCAATGAATATCATAGAATTGCTCTGTATCTGTTGGAACAGTGCTCTTGATTTGAACTGTAATAGTGGCTGTCGATGTTTTTAGCCCGTCACTAATTGTGTAATTGAATGAATCGGTTCCAACGCTAGTGACAAGACTAGAGCTTGGGAAATATTTTATCTTTCCATTTTCAATTGTTGCAACTCCAGAACCGTAAAGAGTAGAAGCAGTTGTTGAACTAATATACAAATACGCAACATCTTCAACATCACTATCAGTAGCTTGTGAAAGTACATCAATAGAAATACCAGTTTGAATATTGGCGCCATAATATTGAACAGTCATTGCTGCAGCAACTGGAGCATTGTCATACGAAATTGAAGTCAGTGTCTTGGTGTCAGAGTCTAAGCCATCAGAAAGCTTTACCGTACACGTATCAGTGCCCTCAAATGTTGTGTGTTGATACAGAACAAGTTTGATAGAACCAGAACTGACTAACGAGCATGAAGAACCAGAAACAATGGAAAGTGTCAATGTGTCACCGTCACTATCTTTTGCAGTGTTATAAATGGTGTAATTGAGACCAGAGTTTGCTGTTCTCCAATGTACAGTCTTGGTTTGATTTGAAATAGAAGGTATATTTGTGTTGGTAATTGTTAAAGTAACTGTGGCTGCGTTATTCGAAACTTGTGCTCCATCATATGCCTTGTAAGAAAATGTTTGAGTACCCTTTGTTGGGGAAGAAGCAAGAGTATAACGAATCGTAGTTCCAACAATTGAGGTTGTTCCTTGTGATGGCTGCGTCAATGAAGAGGAATAGATTGAGAGTGAATCACTATCAGCATCGACATCGTTGCTCAACACACTAATATCTGTATAGGTGTTAGACCAATGAACAGTTGCAGAATCAGTAACAGCAACAGGTCGATTATTTGTGACATTCACAGTCACAGTTTGAGAGGTGACAGCCAATCCATCGGTTACATAAAATGTGAATGTGTCAATACCAACATATCCTTGTGTTGGTTTGTAGAGTGCATACCCAGAACTTTGAGAAACAGTTCCATGAGATGGAGTTGAGAAAGGAGTTGAATATAGAGACAATATATCAGAGTCAGTATCTGAACAACCAGATAATACATCAATAGTGACTCCAGAGGAATAACTTGTCCATGGAGTGGAAATTGATTTAGCTGTGGCTGTTGGAGCGTTATTTTGAACCACCACTGTAAAAGTTGCATTCTGTGAGATCCATCCATCTGAATACTCGATAGTGAATGAAGATGAGCCAATCAATGGAGTTGTTGGAAGGGTCCATGTCACTTGTTTAGTTCCAGAACGGTTGTAATATTTGGAGTTCCATATGAAGTAGCTGAGGACACCAATTTAAAATCAATCGAGTCGCTATCAGCATCCGTAATGGTTGTTAATACGTTAATATTGGTTGAACTAGTTGTCCAATGAATGGTTGTAGAGAATGGACTTGAAACAGGTGCAGTATTTTGTACATTCACCGTCCAAGTGGAAGTCGAAGTGAGCAATCCATCTGTGAATGTAATGGTTATGGTTGCATTTCCAGTGAAATATTTGGTGGGTGTGAATGTGACATAACTTCCAGATCGAGAGACTGAACCTCCAGAAGAAATAGTGACTTGAGAAATAGACACTGTGTCTTGTGAGTCAGAATCTAGAGCGTTACACAATGCAATGACATCACGAGTATATCCTGAAGAAATAACATCAAAATGTTTCATGATATGAAGATGATGTTGGTGCATGATCATAAACAGTGATTACAACTTGCCATTGTGCACTTTGAGCACCATCAGTAACCGTGAGGTTGAACGAGTCTGATCCAATATAGTTGGACGTTTGTTTGTAAATAACATTTGGGACTATGGTAGAATTTCCATTAGAAATCACGACACTACCATGAGAAGGTTCAACAGATGCGCTCGTTTCGAATTGTAATGAGTCACCATCCGTGTCTGTTGGTTGAGCAACGTCATAAAGATTAATTTGAGTTCCAGCACTTTGAGTTGACCAATGAATGCTCTTTGTAATGACCTTATTCTTTGGTGCGTCACTATTGGTGGTAATCAATGTAACAGTGGCAGAAGAGCTTGTGAGAGGTCGATCCGTGGCTACATATGAAACTGTTTGAGTTCCAATTGATTGAGCACTTGGAGTAAATACCAAATTCTTATTATGACTACCCTTCACAATTGTTCCTTTAAAGTCTGAAGGAGTTGAAAGAGAGTAAACAGTAATTGGGTCGTTATTGTTGTCATAATCGTTAGCCAATACATCTAAGGAATTGCTTGATGATCTCCAATGCACAGTAAATGAATCAGCAACTGAAACCGGAGCCTTATCGGTCACTTGAACAGTCACAACACCAACTGCAGACTTTCCATAATCGCTAACAACATACGTGAAAGAATCCTGTCCAGTAAAGTTATAATTTGAATTACTGGTATATGAAAGAGCATCAGTGCCATCAGAAAGCTGAACCTTTACAACCACTCCTTTTGAAGGTTGAGTGAACGATTCAATGTGGAGAGCATCACCATCAGCATCAACATCATTGGCAAGAACTGAAATAGTGACGGATCCATCAAGCCAATGAACACTTGCAGAGTCAGCGTTAGCAGTAGGAGCCGAGTTGGTAACTGTCACAGTCACAGTAGCCACATTGGAAATATCAATTCCATCAGTTGCAGTGTAAGTAAAGGTAGAAGTGCCAGTAAATCCATTTGGAGGAGTATAAAGTACCTTCTTTCCACCTTGGAAACTTTGAACGGTTACGTAAGTTGGTGTTGACAACGATTTGATAACAAGGTTGTCATAATCACCCAGGTTGATGTCTTGGTCATTTGAAAATACATCAATGACGACTGATTGATTCCATGAAGCAGTAGCCGTGTCGTCATTACATTGAGGAGCATCATTCACAACATTCACAGTCACAGTTGCATAGTTTGAATTAGCTTCATCTACATCATAAATAGAATATGTGAAATAATCAATGTAGGTCTGATTCAAAGCTTGATAAGTGATAACCGAACTGGAGGAGGAAATACCAACTTGAATACCTTGTGTGCTTGTGGTGGCACCATTGTATTTAATCACATCTCCATTGGTGTCATAATCATTGGCAAGTAAGTTTAAGGAAGCAATTAACCCTTTGGAAACAGTGAAAGAATCAGCCACAGCAATTGGTGGAGTATTAGCCACAGTGACAATCAAATAACCAGTAGATTGGAAAATTCCATCTGTAGATCCATCTGAATTGGTATTGTTAACATAATAAGGAGCATAGTCCGTTCCAACAAAATTTGTAGCAGGAATATAAATGACATTATTGTCATCTAACATTCTAATTTCTCCTCCGTAAAGAGTTTCCAGTGAGGTAAAACTGAGCTTTAAAACATCTCCAGATGTGCTGTAATCGTTGGAGACGACATTCGCTGTTACATTGGAGTTCTTTGAACAGTAAGCAGTATCATTGACAGCAACTGGTGCAACAGGAACCACATTGATGGTAATCTTGGCAGTAACAACATCAATGGTGTCAGAAATCTTAATTTGGAAGCTTTCTGAATAAACAGTTCCACTCTCTGGTGTATAGATCAACTTGTAAGTATTGGTTGTCACTGAGTAAAAGTCTTGGGTTGGGTAATTGACTTGGTCAATCGCAGAATATTCAACAAGTTGGAAAGAGCCTCGACTTGGTTTTGTAAGCATTGAAACATAGACTGTATCTAGCATGTCTTCATCTGTGTAGGACAAATCAAGAATGTTGTTTGTAGAATTCTTTGGTACATTGAAAACTCGATCACCACCTGTTGGAGGAGTATTCACAATTTTAACAAACACAAAACTACTTCCATAGAGAGAACCATCAGTAATTTGATATTCCCATGAGTCAATTTGAGGCTCAATTTGTGGAGGTGGTATGTATGAAATGTTTTGCTTATCATCAGATATGACAAGAGTACCAACAGAACCAGAACCAGCAGAATAGATGGTAATAGTATCGCTATTGATATCGTAGTCATTGGCTAACACATTGAGAACAGTCTTTGTGTTCTTTGCAACAACAAAATAGTCAGGAGTACACACTGGAGCATCATTGACAACTGTAACTTTGATATTGGCACTCACAGTTGAATTACCATCACTGACTGCGTATGTGAATGAATCTTCACTATTGAAACCAGTGGGTGGAGTATAATAAACATAGAGAGAATCATAGCTAATGGAAGAGTCATTCACAGCTGATGATCCAACACCAACCACAGTTAAAGTATCACTAGTGTCAGGATCAGAAATCATTCCACCATTATCACTGACATAGCTGAAAACATCAAATGCATTCTTAATAGAATTCTTGCTCACAGTATACGCCAAATCGATCAATTCAGGAGCTCTGTTTAAAATCTCAATATAAACTACAGCAGATGAAACCACATAGTTATTGGTAACATAGTAAGTAAATGTATCGTTACCAGCATAAGAGCCACTTGAGGTATAGACAACTTTTCCACTTCCTGTCATGACCGCAGTACCATGAAGAGGTTGAGTGACATTCACCAATGTTAAATTCAAAGAACGAGGATCAACATCATTCGACAATGGATAGATGGTAAAAGGAATTTGCTTGTACACTTGAGCATAGTCATCTTTGGCATTGGGGGAGCTGATTCCAGCTGAAACAATGACCATGATGATGGTTACAACTACAGAAGCGACCACCATGGCACTGATAATACCACCAACCACTGACGAGAAAATAATCAACAACATGAACACAAGTATAATATGTTGTGAGCGCAATAACAATGTTCAACAAAAGATGACAACATTTGAGAAATTTCGAAACTTACCTGTTTGAGCAATGGTTCCTCCTTTCTGTGAGAGAGGAGTTATGGTAACGACCAAAACATGGCATGTAAAATCACCATTGTTAAATAACAATCAAGAAATATGTGCCATCATGCATGTTGTTCACAATACATGAACAAAACCACCACATAAAACGTACCAACAAGGAAGGATTAATGCCAAAAACACTTCTACCAACAGTGGTAGAACCAAGTGTAATTTGTTCTGGCATTAGAAAAATAAGTTCAAGCAAGTACTGTTGTTTTTTCTAAAATGTTTTTGTTCCCAAATGTAAAACTGTCACCTGTTGTCATTGTGCACAGTAAATAAGGTGGACAAGAACTTGCATCAGAACTAGTTTTCCTTCAATTCTGTTCAGCTTCAGAATGACAGATTACCTAGAGAACACAGCAGTGCGCAGATTCAAACTAAGTCTAAATGGCAAATGTTGTTCAATTTGAATTCGAAATTGATAAAGAACTTGCTGAAAATCGCATGTTTGGAGTTTGGATGCGAGAACTAAATTTACAGCGACAATTTTCATTTTCTAATTCAAACCGACACAAAAATTCAACACTCACCATCATCACAAGGCTGCGGTCATTCAATAATAATTTTAACATCATCCTCATGTATAGCAATACCAATTAATATTGTGCCAACACAACCGTTTCCGGATCTTTGGGAAAAGTAGTTGTACAAAAACCACTCGGAGCAGGGCAAGCATCATGGTAAACTGTCCCAAAATTTTTCTTGTGGGTTGTCTTTATTCAGAGAGATTTCGCGCCATATAAAATTTGTAACGGTCATCTTGACAAAAAATTCACTTGACACCAGGCCAATGAACTTTTCATCATAACAACAGCACAGCTCTGGCACGAGATACGTCAGTCTGAACTTGAGATGTCAATGATACGTGATTACATCTCTCAATTTTAGACGCATCTACAACAATCCGAGATGACGCGTTCCTGGTGCTTCAGAGCTATCTCTTCAAACCAATTTACTACCTCCGAGCTTTTAGTTCTTCATACAAAAAACCACCTCCATTGCTAACCGACTAATTATTAGTATTCAAATGCCGAAACGGAATCAAATTATTCAAACCCCAATTTCAACGGCTACGAGTCACTCGGATGAAGAGTCAATGACGGAAGATGTTGAGAAACCATTCCAGCCCAACTCGGAATTGTCATCGTCTTCCATTTTTCGTTGGTGCTTTTCCATCAAGTTTTGTTTATCCTTTCTGATTGCCGTGTTCATCTTGTTTGGAGTGGTCATTATTTCTGCGGTATGGCTTGGAACTTTGATCCCACCCAATGTGGTTCTGAGTCAGGATGTCAGACGTGCTGATTTCAATGGAATCATTTCCAAGATTTCACGTACTTTGCAAGAAGTTGAATTATCGACAGAAGCCATGAAAAGTCAAATGAATCCCTTGTTGGATTTTAATGATTTTGAAAAATTTGAACTGGCTCTCTATTCTGCATACAAGTATGATTTTCAGAAAACACAAGGGTTGGTAAAAACATCACATTTTGGAGACAATAAGGGTAATGGAATTGGAATGACCATGATTCCTAGTATGGGTCCAATTCTCTTCAATTTCACTCCAGCTCAGGCAGTTGTTTACTTTTGCAATCCAGATTTTGACAAGTATGACCATTGTAAGAGAAATGCAGCACCTGACATGGTGTCCAGCTCTGGAAGCACTGCAGATTTTATGAATCGTTGCAATGCCTACCCAAATCTGTCATCATGGTTTCAAAGTTTTGTAATGGAAACAAGTGTGAATTTTGACACTTTTGTAAACTTTGTGACTTGTTTCAAGTTGGATGTGCCTGATGCTAAAGGAAACAAATTTAGACAATTCTTTTACAAATCTTTGACTGTGGTGAGCTTTTCAGAGTATTTGCACAATATGACCATGACTATTAGCGGTTCCAAGAGCTTCATTGTCGAACTTGGTACTGATTATCTATTAGCAAGTAAGTTGTGCGAAGCATTTACTTTTTCGAATTTCGAAACTAACATTGAACAGTCGACAAACCTGACGTAAAAATGACCATCAAAAACACAAATGGAAAAGTAGAAAGGAAGACAGCAATTACTGTCGAGGATGAAAAAACAAATTCCGTTGCCAAGTACATTTATACATATTTGAACAACAACTTGTCATCCTTGACATGTAACACACACGTGACCATTGAATCATCGACTGATTACATTTCCATGTATCGATTATGCACTGCTTCAGAGCTCAACTGGCTCTTTGTCTTGTCCATTCCTAAATGGAATTACGACAAGTCTATCATTATCGGTGTTCTTGTTGCCATTGGATGTGCATGCATCATTACAGTGTTTGGTTTGACCTTTTCAACTGTAATCTCCTTGAAAATCGTAAAACCTTTCTACAACTTGATGGAACAATTCGAAGCCGTTTCCAACATGGACCTTAACAGCGTCAAAGTCCATTCAAGCAAATTCTATGAAGTCAATCAATTGCAAAAACACTTTTTAGATATGATTGGAATGATCAAACAATATAGAGCTTTCATTCCAGCTCATTTATTATCTCAAATAGAGCAGCATAATAGTGGGGCCAAATACGAGACCACTTCAACAAAGCAAGCAGCAGAATCGAAAGATGAACTTGCTTCCAGAGGTCAAGCCTCACACGCTGCAGAATCCTCATCGACTTCTGACATGAACAAATCAAGTTTGAAACGACTCTCTTCCAAACTTTCGAACGTTGCCAAACGAAATGGTTCCAACATGTTTTCTCTGTTTTTTGAAAAGAAGAAAATTACTCACATGTTAATTCATATGCAAGGATTTTCACAGATTTTGACACAAGTGGAAAATCCAACGAGCTGTATTGAGTTTTTGTCCCAAGTTTTTGAGCAAGTGAATACTGTGTGTAGAGTGAGTGGAGGGCTGATTGGTGGCTTTTCAAATGATTCCTTAACCATTTCATTCAATTCATCATCTGACAATGCGAAACATATTGAAAAAGCAGTACAAGCAGGTAAATCTATTTCTGAGAAACTCGCATCGAAATTAAAAGGAACAGACACCAAGAAGGGCCAGAATTCCAAGTTGTCAAATTCTCAAACGTCATTCAGAATTGCCATATGCTCCCAAGACAGTATTTGCGGAAACGTTGGTACCAACGAATCGAAGAGTTTCACAATTATTTCAAATGCATCACGAAATTTGGAAGCAATGATTGCAGTGGCGTGTCATTTCGATACGGGCATACTTGTGAGCGAAACAGTCCACCAAACCATTCAATCATTGTATCACACAAGATTTGTTGAAAGCATTCCAAACATTCCAGACGATGAATATTCCTCACTGGAGTGGACAAGTAGCTTGGCTGGAAACTCGTCTTCACTTCCATGGCATTTTGGAGACATTTCCTCACACAAATCCTCGAATATTTACGAGGTTGGAGAACTTTCTGCACACAACGCTGATGAATGGATGTATGAAATGCAAGAACAAGAGAAGAAGGCGATTTGGAAAAAGTACAACATGGCTTGTAAATACATGCTGACAGATCATGATCTATCTCAAGCGTTGAGCTTGCTCCAGGAATTCAGTGATGAGCAGCATGGTACTGATAAATTGGCTTTGCATCACATTGAAAAATGCAAACAAAGAATACAATAACACCTCACACCTCAAATAAAAATTGTTCGTTCGAATAAAATTCTCTCTAACTCTTTGGTGTCTAATGACAATTCCGTTTTACTGATTCCAAAAAACATGTCTACGAAGTTGAAAGCCCAACCACGTGAAGATGCCTAACAGAAATGCACACAGAGCTACATAAACAGTGCGTGCAACATGAAAAGCTCAAAAAGAGCCACATGGGGACAAACAATGGAGTCCTGGTATGGTTATTGATGATTTAAAACGAATGCAAATTTCTATACTTACCATATTGATGTTATGATCAAATCCAATCTCAGTGCAATGATAATGAACCATACTTGGTAAAAAAGAGCAAATAAAACATGAGCAGTAATGCCATACAATCCCACACAGCCACCTTCCTTTCCATCGCTTATTCCTGCACATGCCGCATACCAACAGCACATACAATTTACAAAAAGCAAAAAAATCCAAGCTGGTAGTAAAACGAGGTTCCAATACGTAGTTATAACTATTCAAAATGCAATGTCACAATAATTATCTCAAAATTATGTCCCACTTACCACCATCCAATTTCAAACCAATCAACAATATTTGTACTGATGAGATTATCACCAACAAGCTGTTAGTGACATAGGAGCAATAACTGGTTAATCGTGAGTCGCTGCTTATCGTTTTGTTGGATCGGCTGTGTTTGTAAAATATTAATGGACCAATGCAATAGAAAATTGTGTAAACATGACAAGGAATGAACAACAAAGAAAACGGAGAATACACAGCAGCAAACCAAATATACTTTGATAAATAGCCCAAAATGAACAAGAGCCAAATCCATAAATGCCAAACTGACAAATTAATACTCTCTTTCCAACCTAAAAAAAAGGTTAATTTTTCATCATAACTCAATAAAACTACTGACCATCATCAAAATCAGATTCTTCCTGTGGCTCAGAATCCGAAAATGTCCATTTCTTGTTCGAGTAACCAGCATCTAATGCTCCAACTTGAAGATATTCCAAATATTTGTTTCGTTTCTTTTCAAGTGAATATGGATCAATAAGAAGCGAGATACTAATGAATAAATAAGTGCCAAGAGCGAAAAAAAAAGGAAGACTGCAAAATCCAACTTGTGAAATATCGATAAATCCATCCATTAACAAAGGAACAAGAATGCTGAATATTGCAAAACAAGTGAAGAAAATTTGAGGTGCCAGGAATCCATATCCACATTGAAAGCATGTTTGCACTTGTTCAATAACTGGCACATTTTCTTTGGACTCCTCCCTTAGAAATTGGATGGTCGAATTTTCTTTAAGCTTCCTTAAAAATTCGTGTCTAAACTGTTGTGTAATGGTGGTATCTTTTTCGACGCTGCTAAATGTATAGGCCTGATATATTGGTGACCATATTTCATCGCTACTAGACAAATCTCGGAACCTTCTACTCACTCCACCAATAATAATCAATTCTTTCGGAGTCATGAACATGAAAAAATATCGAATGATATCATCATACATTTCGCCCAAACATTTCGGAGCATCAACAGTACCCCAATCACATTTTGGTAATGGTGCAATATAACCTATGGTTACTCCACAATTTTTGCTGATCAATGTTGTTGATTCTTCTGCTGATGAGTTCATGTTGTTATTTTCAAAATGTTGCACACTATTCTTTTTCCTGAATGACGGAATTTTGTTGGAAAACATCTCACTCAAGAAATCCTTTTTGCTTCGGATATGTTCTTTAATCGTCGTTGATGCAAGTTTTCCCGAATGGTTGTTGTTGGCATCTTCATTGATCTGTACAGAAACAGCCTCTCCAGAGGAGGCCGAAGCTTGATATCCAATTGTTGTAGTTGTTATTATTGTATGATTATTCTCTTCCGCATGAGCCTCCGATTTCTCGTGTAGCTCACTCAAAGAAGAAGAAGACTGCTCTGTTTGAGGTGGCTCATCACTCATTTTTTTATTGTTTTAATTTTGCTGCAATCGATTGAATCTTGCACACAAAATGCACTTGACCTTTGTGGAGCGATCTTGGAAATCTTGGTCGACTCTGTTCATGATGATTGGAACATGGTTCGAATAACAAAAAGTTCATGGGCTCTTTACCAATAAGCATACCAACGATCACTCACTTCATGCCAATGCGGAAGGCTTTCCTCAAGTCCTTCATAGCGTTTACATGCTTGGGTTGTTACGGATCGGGTCTTACATCTCATGGCTTTATGATTGTAACTCTTCCATTCTTTATTGGACGGAGTGGTCCCAAAGGGGTGCTTGAGTCCTCGTCGACTGTTCTTTGAATTGGTCATCGTGAATTGATAACTATTTTTATTTTTTTTTAAATTCAAGATCGGACCGAGCATTTTTGGGATGGAAATTGAAATTCATTGAGGCTCAATTCATTCATCCTTGGTCAATAATCTTTCGAAAATATGCATGTAGTTCACCACAGATTCCACATAAACACTCTCATCGATATATTCATCATTGTCATGTAATAATACCTTTGTTCGAGGCATGTAGGAATATCCTAACACATTCACTCCTTTCGATCTTGGATAACGAGCGTCAGTTCCTGCAGGAACAATCACAAAATCAGTGTTCATTCTCTCATTGACAATACTTTCGAACTTTTTAACAAATGGATCATTCAAATCGGTGAGTGGATTATCCATGATTTGATGAATGAATTTCACACTTCCGTTCACATAAGCAGCCCAATCATTTCTAATCAAATGATCGACTTCGGTCGTATCAGCTCCTGGATAGAGTCTCATATCGAAAAGGGCAACTGTAGTTCGAGGAATGACATTGGGATTTGAGAATTCACCTGTTCTTGGATCTGTATGACCAGCTCGAATGCCTGTCAAGTTAATGGTAATTACAGAGCTACTTGATTTCTTCTTTCTTGGATTGGTGGTGGACAATTTCATTTGTAATTCTTGATGTTCTCTGAATGGAAATATCTTGTCTTTCAATAATCGATGGAGTTTCTCTGTGGAGGTGTCCTTAATAAATTGTGAACCTTAACACGTGTTGTGTGTGAAAAATATTTTTCAAAATTATGTTGCACATCATGATGGTCCAGATCTGAAACAATATCCACAAGGAAATAACGTACCGTGACCGACATTTCCAGGAATAGTAATTTCAAACCACCAATTTGCTTTTTCTCCATAAAATACTTGAACAGTATCATCATTCAATCCACTGGCAATTCCTTCATCGAGACCAAATCTTACGTTCAATTCTGTCCATAATGCAACTAATTCTGGAGACAATAAACATCCCCAACCTTTCCTACCACCAATTTCTTCATCAGCAGTAAACGCAATATGTAAATTTCTCTCTGGCTGCCAGTTGTCATTGGCTTTCAACAATTGATTCACAGCTTCCAAATAAGCACTTCCCACACATTTCATATCCTGGCTTCCTCTCGAATATATTCTTCGATCAATCACATTTTGATGATCATCCAAAACATCCACAACAGTTGCATTAAATGGAGGATACGACCATTTCTCTTCATCAGCAGGAACAACATCCATATGTGAACTCACCAATACTGAACCTTCCTTGGGATACTTTCCTTTCACTGTTAAAATAAAATTCGGAGTTGTTCCATCACATGAGAAGACTTGATACTTGAATCTTTCATTTTCTCCAACTTGTGAAATGTACTTGTTCACATGATGTGAAATTTTGAAATCACCTCCAATGATGGTAGGTTTCGTTTTTTGAGAAGTTGATGATTTTACATAATTTGTTTCAATATAATGAATGAGAAAATCAATGGCCAAATCGTACTTGGGATTTGGATGTTGAGTTGGCACTTGAAGATATTGTTGAAATCTTTGAGTGATGGAACGAATTTCTTGTGGAGCAAAGGATGCATTCGAAACCATGCAAATGTTGTGAAGAAGTATGAAAAGACAACAACATGATGCAATGAGTGTGATGGCTGCAACTCGACGTCGAATCGTGGAGGATGTTGTCATGATTTTTTTGAAAGATTCTTTTGATTGGATTCGCATTGAGTTCCAAGGAGGAAAGATAGATCAAAAAAATATTTTCATGAATGACCGCATCACATCTCTCTCCCAGCTTGATTCCGTTTTTTTATGATTGGATCATCAAAAATGAAACTTTAATTTTTTAAATTTTCGGAACTGATTTCCGAATGTGTTTTGTGGATTTTCATTGAACATAAAATCTTATGTCATCATTGGTTTCATTGATAATTTCAGCGATTTCAATGATGAACGAATACACTCTCGAAAATGATCTGCCTACACGTAATCATGAGGTTCATTTCATAATATTTACAACACTCGGATTGCGAAACCAAACATTCTTTTCATTCCATGGAGAAGAGACTCTTAAACCATCCAATGAAATCGCTGAAATTATCAAAATTATGAATCGGACTGAATACACACAACTAACATTCAGAAAGTGTTGAAATATTCACACGCATTCACACATGACCTTACGTTTGATTGAAAAAAAAAACTCAACAAAATTTCCACCTCAATTATACTCCTCTCTGGCTCAACATTAATCCAATGTCTGCTACTACTTGTCCACTCCTTTTCACACATAATCTTGGATATCCAAGAATTGGTGTTCACAGAGAGCTTAAACTCGCTCTCGAGAGTTATTGGTCTGGAAAAAGCACTTTGCAGGAATTACAACATGCAGCATGTGAAGTTAGAAAATATCATTGGAAACAACAGGCTCAAGTTGGAAAATTGAATTTAATTCCAGTGGGAGACTTTGCATGGTATGATCATGTGTTGGAATGGACAACCACGATTGGATGTATTCCTCGTCGTTTCTTGTTGAATGCAAAGGAGAGTGAACATGCATCCGTGGATCCTCTTCTGATTTTCATCTTGATACCTTGTTTAGAATGGCAAGAGGTCGAGCTCCTACTGGAAAACCAACAGCTGCATGTGAAATGACCAAATGGTTCGATACCAATTATCATTTCATTACTCCTGAAATTGAACCCTCTCAAGAATTTCAATTAATTAGGACTAGTTTGTTCGAACAAGTTAAAGAAGCTCAAGAAGTGATTGGTTTGGATCGTGTCAAGGTGGTTCTTGTCGGTCCTCTTACATGGCTTTATTTAGCAAAAGGTGTGGAGTTTACAAACGGAGCCGATGATTCTAAAAAGCTCCATACCGTGTTGCCCAAGTTGTTGCCCATTTATCAACAAGTATTGAAACAACTTTCAGAAATGGGTGTGAAATGGGTTCAAATCGACGAGCCCATTCTCGTCATGGATTTGAATGAGGAATGGCAACAAGCATTTGTGAAAACCTACTCTCAAGATTTGGTTGCTTCTCAACAAGGTTTTGCATGCAAGATTTTATTGGCCACCTATTTTGGACCCTTGTTGAACAATGTGAAAACTTGTGTCCAATTGCATGTCGATGCCGTTCATTTGGATGGCGTTCGTTCTGGCCATCAACAACAAGAACATTTAGAAAATTTCTTGTCAGAACTCACTCGATTTGAAAAGACACATCCAGAAATCAAAAAGAAGATTATTTCATTGGGTCTAGTCGATGGACGAAATGTTTGGAAAACAGATTTAGAGAAATGCGTGCAAACGATCAAGTCTGTGGTGAACCATTCAGAGTTTGGTCTTTCACACGAGAGAGTGTGGATTGCACCTTCGTGTTCATTGCTTCATGTGCCATTGGATCTTTCCTTGAGACTAAACTTGATGATGAGTTAAAGAGTTGGTTAGCATTTGCAGTTCAAAAATTGGAAGAACTTTACCTATTGAGTCATTCCTTAATGATTAATGATGACCACTCGACCACCTGTTCAACAACGGGAGAATTGGAAAGTGTCAAAGAGCTCTTCCTTGAAAATTCAAAATGTATCGAATCAAGAAGAAAATCAGAACGAACTTGCAATCCAAAGTAAGAGAAAAGTTGAACATTGAATTCAATTTGAATCGTTCTCATTCCTTCCCAGAGAGAAAGAAAGCTCAACAAGAGCTATTTAAGCTAAACTTCTTGTTTCCAACCACTACAATAGGATCATTCCCTCAAACCGATGAAATTCGTTCCATTCGTCGCAAATTTAAGAATGGTACTGTTTCAGAAGAAGATTATCATTTATTCCTTAAAAAGGAAATTGAAAAGGTCATTCGATTGCAAGAAGAAATTGGACTCGATGTACTCGTTCATGGAGAACCTGAAAGAAACGACATGGTCGAATATTTTGGAGAACAATTGAGAGGCTATGATTCAACACAAAATGGCTGGGTCCAAAGTTTTGGAACTCGTTGTGTGAAACCTCCATTACTTTATGGAGATATTTCGAGAGAGACACCAATGACAGTTTTTTGGTCATCCTATGCTCAATCCTTAACTCAGAAACCAGTGAAGGGAATGTTGACTGGACCAGTTACCATGTTGAATTGGAGTTTTGTAAGAGATGACCAACCAAGAAGCGTCACTTGTCAACAACTTGCCATTGCTCTCAGAGAAGAAGTTCAGGATCTTGAAAATGCAGGAATCAAAATCATTCAAATCGATGAACCAGCTCTACGTGAAGGATTACCTATTCGTAAACATGATTGGAATGAATATTTGAAATGGGCTGTCAATTGTTTCAAGCTCAGCACTTCATGTGTCAACATTGACACTCAAATTCACACTCACATGTGTTACTCTGAATTTAATGACATTATCCAATCCATCTCTGATTTAGATGCAGACGTTATTAGTATTGAAACGTCCAGAAGCAATATGGAACTTTTACAAGCATTTGAAAAATTCAATTATCCCAATGACATTGCTCCAGGAGTTTATGACATTCACTCTCCAAATATTCCAGACAAGGAATGGATGATTGAACTCATCAAGAAGGCCATTGTGTACATTCCAAAAGAAAATTTATGGATAAATCCTGATTGTGGACTCAAAACTCGTGGTTACACTGAAGTGAAACAAGCATTGCAATTGATGGTTCAAGCAGCTCAGTATTTGAGACAAGAATATTCTCAAGAATAAAAAGATTTATTAGGAACTATTTTGTTCAAAATTGTACAACGAACTCGAACTTAACATTTCAATTTGATTTCAATTCAAAAAAAAATTCAAACATTTCTTACACCACCAAGGTTTGTTTTCATTGTTGTTGTTGTATTTATTGTAAATTTATTGCAACATGCCATCCTTTTCAAAAGTGTTTTTTTTTAATCAAACGAAATTAGGATGATTAATTTGGACGTTCATTTTGAAAGTAAACTCTTGAGTGGCCATCTCGCATCGGAATCAAAATTTAGAGTATTTTGTGAATATTATTTTGAGCTGCTTGAACATTTCAATTTTAACGAGTTTCCGAAATTGCCTTCTCTCCTATCACACGATTTATTGAAATTCTTTGAAGAGAATAATTTGCCAATTTTGGTTCGTTTGGCATCACTCTCTGATTTTCCAGTGCATAAAGATTTTCCATTTTATAAATTGTCTGTCAAGTTGAGAAACGATGTAACGTTTGTGAAACAAGTACTGCTCGTTTGTAACAAACTAGACATTTTGCAAAGTTGTACGTTAGGTGTCAAAAATCTAGAATTCATGAAAGAAATTGTTCAAGTGAATGGCGCTGCTTTGCAATATGCTTCCTATGAGATTAAAAAAGACAAAGAAATTGCATTGTTGGCTGTGAAACAAAATTACAATGCATTTGAGTATGTGAGTGAAAACCTCAAAAAAGATCGTGATGTTATTGAACAAGCTGTGAAAAAAGGAGGATTACAGTATGGAACAAGTGACATGAAAGATTCAAAAGAACTGGTCTTGCAAGCTATTGGTGAAAACATGCATGCATTTGAGTATGCGAGTCAGAGATTGAAACAAGATGAAGATGTTGTACTTGCGGCTGTGAGTTATACCAATTACCAAATCATACCTACGAATTTGAGATATAGCCGATCTTTTTGTTTGAAATTTGTTAAGAAAATTGGATTTAAAGCCACTTCACAATGTTCTGAATCATTGATGTCAGATCCTTCGTTTGTTTTGGAGTTACTTGATTTAAAGTGTGGAAAATGTACGGATATTTCATTGCCAAAAAGTCTGATGAATGATCGATCTGTTGCTTTGAAGATTATCCAAAAACATCCATTTAGTGTATTGTTGTGTCCTAACGACAGAGAACTTGTCATAGAAGCAGTGAAAAGAGATATTTCAGTATTGCCTAATGTTGCATATTCATTGCGACGAGATTTCTCGTTTGGCAAAGAAATGATTGACATCCATCCTGATACGTTGTTGTATCTTGATGCAGTGCTTCGCGAAAACGTGGATCTGTTATTATATGCTGTGAAGAAGGATGGAATGTGCATCAGATTTGTGATGCCAAGTAATAAGGAAGTTGTCAGAGAAGCAGTGAAACAAAATCCTGAAGCCATTCAATTTGCTTCAAGCACTTTGAAAAAGGATGAAGAATTCATGTTGGAAATGATGGAATACACACCACTTGCTTTGAGATATGCAAGTTTTGATTTACGAGTGAATAAGGAGTTTGTTGCAAAATCAGTGATGAAGAATGAGAAGGCATCCATTTATGCAGATTATTCTCAGGACGATTTGTTATATAACGCTCTCGGATATTCAAGCTGGTCATTGAAGCATAACAGAGAATTTGTGTTGAATTGTGTCAAGAAAAATGGTCTCTCACTTCAACATGCATCCAATGACCTCAAATCGGATAAGGAAATTGTCACCCAAGCAATCATGCAAAATCCAGAATCATTAGAATATTCGGATTTGAGTTATGACAAAGAGTTTGTGTTACAACTGATACAACAGAACAAAATCCATTTGACATTTAGAACTATTTCAGATACATTGAAAAGTGATGAAACTATTGTGCTTGCAGTTGCAACTTATGACCCAACTTTTATGATTGCATTTAATTTGGACACTGAAGAAAATATCATACGTGTATTTGAAGATAATCCCTCTGTTTTGAGATATGTGCGTGAACCATTGAGCAGAGACAAATCTTTTGTGAGAAAACTATTGTTAAAAAATCCTATGGCACTGCAGTATGTTAGATCTGAGTTACTACTTGATGCCAAATTCATATTCTCTATTTCGGAAAATAATTTCAAGAAGATATTCGAAAATATTAAGAACTGCCGATTCCGTACGTACTAAAAAATCAACACGTGTAAATATTTGTTGCACAGAATGTTAATGCACTAATGGGCATATTCAGAAATTGGAATATTAAAGATTCATCTTGTTTTTTACATTTTTCAGATCCGACTCCACTTGACGCAGTGCTAACTTCACACGTGAATGGAGAACTTCTTCAAATGAATATCTGTGGTAATTATTACACTTTTCAAAATATTGCTTCACACATTGCAATAGCTCGAGCTTTGTGTGATCATTGGCAGCTTGCGGTACTTGATAAAGATAGATTAATTCTCCAACTTCATAATAAGGAAATGCTATCCATTGTTTCTCGTATCTGATCTTGTGCTCAAATAATAGTGCCCTTTTGAATTGTTCAATACTTTCCTCGTACTTGTTCATTTGTTTTAAAAATTGTCCTTTCACCACTAACAACCCAGCTTCAATATCACCTGCTAATTTGCTCTTGTCATCTATTTTAACTTGGTCACAGATATCGACGAACAAGCGGTAGAGTGGTTCGGCATACTGTTCTGAAAGGTTGGCTAAATCACGCTTTAAATATAGAAATTGGAATACTGAAATAAACATCATCAAATGGCGCTCGTTTTCAGTTGGTAAATGTTTCAATATTTCACTCTTCTCTAGGGCATACTTGTCAAGTCTTCCTGTCTTGGAAATATATTTTGAAAAATTGTTGATAATGCTATTCGTTCCTTCTTTGTCTCCTGTTTTAATCCTGCAAACAGCCAACATCATTGCACTGATTCCTTTTGTATCAAACTCTTTGTCTGTGTTTAAAATTTCCTCTAACACAACACTCGCATCTTGGAAATTTAACGTCAATAGGTAGCACCAACTCAGTTCATGGCGTAAAATATTTGGAGCTATTCCCATCGATTTCTGACAAATATCAATAGCATCTTTTAAATTTTCAACTGCAGAAGATATATTTCCTCTCTTGCGCTCATAATGTGAGGTCATAAACTTGAATAGCCCACTCTTTGTAAACACTTTGTTTGATCGGTCTAATATAAGTCCTCCTTCTAATAATTTCTTTTCACGATCCTCTAATGCTCTTGGAATAAATAAATAATTCATAGCAAGCATAAATGACGCAAATGCGCATTGTCTTCCTCCATACTCGTGCACCTTTCTCAATAAGTTCAGCCCATGATCTCGGTCAGCATCAAATCCAATAAGGCTCAGTATTTGTGTAAGAGTCGGAGGTAATATAGAGAGCATGAAATTGAAAATGCTTCATAATTCACATAATTTGTTTGTCGTGATCAGATATCAATGTTACACCTACCCAATACCAAAATATGCGTTATGAATAACATCGCTATGAATAAATTTTGGAGAATGAGTTGTCTCGTCCTTGAATTGCTCGACAATATTATAAACTTCTTTAAACCTCAAATACGACCTTCTTAAATTATAAAACCCTTTCAAATAGGAGCCGCTATAAAATTGAATAATTCCTCTCATCATGTGTGTCTCTGCATCCAAAACCATATGATCCAATTCAAAATTGAATAAAATTTGTTCTTTTCCCATTTGATCTAGTTCCATAAAATTGGAATGAGACATTTCTGAAATCGAGTAATACTTTTCATTCTCAATTTCTGAATTTAATTGTTTGTATTCAGCCACAATTTTCAATATTTCTTCGGTACTGTGACCCACCTGCTTGAGAGCATTCTCGGCAACTTCAATTCCCTTCAGACTATTTTCACGCACCGATGTTTCTCCCGACAGATTGGAAGCAATAATATCTGATATTGATGAAAAATTCCAAAATCATTCATTGGATCATTTCAACAAAGACATAAATTGTGAATACAAACCCATGGTTGCTAATTCATAGGCCATTCTCGGAATATGAATCAGCGGAGTAATATACTCTTTTGCTTCTCCGAATTGAGTATTCCTATTGCACGAGATCAAGATGGAGAGAACAATAATAAAATAAATTGAATAACGAATATTCGAGTTGGATGATCATCAGTGAAAACCTACCATATGAGATGACTCGCTTTCATCAGGCAGTTGTACATTTTTTTTCTGATCTTCTTTGTAATTCAACTGTAACACCTCTTTTCAAGATTTAGATATCAATTTTTTGTTGCCATTAAACAACGAGTGTCACCTTTAAATTTGTAAGAACTGAGCACTCACCTTACAAGAACAAGGAACAAAGACCTAATCAGAAAAAAATGTTTCATTTCATGACTTGTTCTAACCTTCTTTCCATCGTTCCACTCACCACAAGCAACATTATCCAACTCTCAATCATCATCAATCACGAACAATCATTCATCCAGTATAAACACTTCCGAAACAATAACAACGACTAAACCTGAGAAGCCATTAGAATTTCTTGTTCTTCCTACTTATGAAATTCCTAAAATTATAATTGAGAAGGATTCCTACGTACAATCGTTTGATATTGATACAGATTCTTCCGAAGAAATTCTTCAATTTTTCAACACGTTTGGGTTTGTGGTATTCCGAGACGTTATTTCTCCAAAACAAATTCAAAACAGTCTGGAAGAAATTTGGCACATTCTGGAACGTGATTTTGAATTATCGCCGCATGATCCAACGTCGTGGAAGAGAACATCTCAAATGGGAATTCTTGGAAATGGCGTCTGTTGGAAGAAACAAGCCATGGAAAATCGACAGAACGAAAAGATTGTCCAATGTTTTGAATTATTGTATGGAATGGGACGAGATCAATTATGGAGTGGTTTTTCGAGATATGGATGCATGCAGCCAACACGTGGAATTCCAGTTCCATATTACAATGAACATTCCTTTCCAAAATCAATTCTTGAAACAGTACCATCCTCTATTCTATCAATGGTTGGTTCATTGAAGACGATTGATCGAGAGGATTTACAAACTCGTTCTGAATGGCTGCATTGGGATTTAAATCCATTTGCAAGCGCTGGTCTTGATGATTATCCAATGGAATTCGAAAATGAAATTGACATGAAAGAAACACTATTGAGAAATCCTGACTATTATTTCATTTTGGAAAATAATGCCAACACAACTGTTCCAAGAATGCAAGGCATTCTATCTTTTACCGATTGCAGAGAACAAGATGGTGGTTTTGTATGCGTTCCAGGATTTCACAACCACATTAAGGAATATGCAGAGAAAATGAGACATCAATTAGAAGTTCCTACCCACTGTACCTTTTTCCAAGTTCCAAAAGGAGATTCTTTGTTTGAGCAATGTCAGCAAGTACCTGTGAAAGCAGGTTCATTGATTATTTTCAATAGTTTACTTCCTCATGCCAACATGCCAAATCGCTCAGAACGTTTTCGATTGAATCAATATATCAAAATGGTACCAAAGAAAGGAAGCCTTGATTTCAAGTTAGCAAGAGCATTGATCATTGACACCATGAAGGACAAATCATTTGTGCCTTCAGAAACTGGTAACACAATCTTTGGATTGGATTTATTGTATGGCATGAATGATTAGAACTTTTCGTCTCTAATAATTTCCTCAGTATTTATCATTCCAACAATTTGGACTCCCATTCTGCGTTGCGTAAGGAGACACAAACATTTCTTGGCCGCGATAGAAAGTCCCATGTCAAGCAATGATAATGAAACACATGTCCACATTCTTTCCAACTACTACCTTGCATGACAGAGAGTTGGATTGGTAAGCATGAGGCAGCTGTTCCAAACCATTCCAACTCATGCATTGAATACAACATTCAATAAGACTCACAACAAAAGTTGAGGAGCTGTAAAAGTTAGTTCACCTATTCAAAAAAATTGTTTAACAAGACAAATTGGGCAGCGCATCACTTGTCATGTAAAACTTGGTCGCTGTTGGCCGCACTTCATCGATTCTTCATTGTTCAATTCATAGAGTGGCACCAAACCTTGAGTCTCTGTATGGACACTGTTACAAAACTCCATACTTCTCGAATGGGCATTTAAAAGTGCCGAAATCATCAATTTCAACTTCACTTACCCAATTATTAATTCCCATTTGCTGATATTTCATTGACTCTTCATAACGACCAGTCACTTGTCAATCATTACAATCAACCGTTAAAAAAATCAACAAAAAAAAATTCACACGCTCGTGCCATCCGACATCTCTCGTTTCTCAAAAGATGTCCACCGATAGTACCAACACCCCACCTCAAGTGCTCTCTCACTCCTCCTCGAGTAGTTCCATCTCTTCCATGACCAAAGAAAACACTCCAGCACCTTGTTGCCATATTTGTAAAGAAGAAGTCGATGTTCTACAAGAAGCTCGCTCACACTGTGTCGATTGTAACATGTACTTGTGTGCTCGTGATGCTAAAATTCACATCAAGAGAGAACCTACTCATCACGTCATTGATTTGATTGGCGCCAGTGCTGGAAATAATTTGGGAGGATCTGGAATTGGTTTGGGTTCTCATTTATTGGAACAAATGTCTCCTCGTAATGCAACAAACACTTCTTCGCCATCAACAAGTTTGAATTTTGGAGGTCCTGCTCCTCTCTGTCAAAGACATCATATTCCTGTCAATACCTATTGTGGAAGTTGTAAAAAGTTGGTGTGTAGTGCTTGTGCGGTTGAAGAACATCGAGAAGGTCACACTGATGTGAATATGATTGCCAAAATTGAACCTGAAGAACGATCCAATTTAGACAAGTTGTTGAATCATTTGAGAGAAAGCATGAAAGAATGGGAAAGTTCACATCAAACTCATGATAATGAATTGGAATTGGAAAGTTCATTGATTGAAGAAGCTAGAAATCGATTGAAGGAAGAAGTTAAAGCTGTGTGTGACACTTTGAGACAAAATTTACAGGATCGACAAGATCAATTGTTTGCTGACATTGATGAAATTTCTAAAACTCAAACCAATTATGTGAAAAAGATCATTGAATTGAAGAAGGTTTCCGTGGATTACATTTCCGAATTTGACAAGTTGCATGAAATGAGTGGCTACGAAATGATGGAAAGAAAATTGACTCGACTTCCACAAACCTTGCAAGCATTTGAAGATTTAAAGACCTTCTTCAAATATTTGACTTTGGATGAAGTTCATGACATTCAACTCACCAATACTGAAATCATGTACATTCAACGTGAATTGAAGAATTTGGGCGAAATTGTGAAAACTCCTCCAAAACAAAAGAGTGCTAAAACAGCTACAACGAGTGCTGCTTCTTCGAATGGTCATCCATTGAGTGGTGCTCCAGGAACAACCTCAACTGAACCATCCAAATTGAATACCTCAACTGCTTCTTCTGAGAATGGATCTTCCAGTTCTCATCCTTACACTCCATTCTCAATGGAGTTCACATTTGTGGGCACGATTGGTAAAACTGGTTCCGATGGATCTGGAAATGATCAATTCAAGGGTCCATGGGATGTGAAAATTTCACATGGATGCAATTGCATTGTGTCAGTGACAGTCGTAACAATAGAATTCAATTCTTTGACCTCAAAACTAGAGAGTATAAGGGTTCACTCAAGACATCCAAGTCTCCTCGATATTTGTGTATTGAACCAAGTAAGGATGGAAATGATTCACTCATTTTCTCATGTGATAATCATGCCGTTTACAAGTATAATTTGAACAAGGTACTTGCTAATGAGAAGAATTTGGAACCTATTTGGATTTCTGGTACACCAAAGAAGAAGGGAAGTGATGTGAACTTGTTTACTGAACCAGCAGGTGTTACACTTTGCAAATCTAAGAAGATTAATGCATTATTCCCTGAGGCTATGAATGAAAACACAATTCTTGTGTGTGACGGAGATAATCATCGTATTAAGGTCTTGAGAGCTAGTGACGGAAAAGTGTTAAAGACGTTTGGAGCTAAGAAGGGAGATGATAATGTCCAATTGACACAACCTGAATGCATTTATGTGAGCGAAGATGATCAAATTATCGTGACAGACCAAAGTGCTCATCGAGTTCAAATGATTGCAAGAAAGGGAGACGAATTGTCTTGCATCAAGATTATTGGAAAGGAAGGACAAAGTAATTTGGAGTTTGCTACCCCTCGTGGTATTGCAGTGGATGAAACTTCGAATCACCTCATTCTCTGTGATTGTGGAAACAATAGAGTTCAAGTGTTCAGTCATGTCACTGAGGAATTTAAGCGTAATTATGGAACTGAAGGAAAGGACAATTCACAATTCAACAAACCAACAGGTGTTTGTTTCAATGACGTGAATGGAGAGTTGTTGATTGCAGATTATCAAAATCATAGAATTCAAATTTTCAAATAAGAGAAGCAACCACTTGTCAGAGCTAAGCAAATCTTTCACAATAAAAAAGTTTATTCCTTTTATGCGTTTTGTTTTGACTGTCTGTATCCCAAACTGTTTCACACAACTTCTTGAAGCAAATAGGCCTTGGATTCAGTTTTAAGAGAGTTGTTAATGGTAGACGTGGCTCCATGTTTTGGATCTTTCAATCCTAGTCTCTCATTGAGCTGCTTGTATTTTCTTCTTCTCGATCTCTTCGTTGTTATTAACTTTTCTATTCGATCTCGTACAAATGAAATATTTGAAAACATGGCTCTCAATATTGCAAGTACGGCAATAATATTCACACGCTTAACGAACTTTTTAAATCGTTCTGAAATTAATAGTAATTCAAAAGAATAACTCAAAATCAAGTGCAATAATCCATACATGATAATTCTGACTTTGTAATACATGGGCAATTTCATCAATTGCAACACAGACTGAAGCCACGAACATGGAACCAGTGTGAAATAGCATGTAAATAAATAAAGAATGGTCAGGCACATGACAAAGTAAAAATTATCGGTCAGAAGGGTTTTCTTGAATGGCTTGCTAATGCTCAAACTGATGGCACAGTTCAATGTGCAAAATGTAGACGTTAAAAATATGATGGTTGTCTCATAGCTCCAATAATTTTTGGTCACATCTTCAGAGGGGTGATCTAATAGTTTAAGCCACGAGTTACTGTTACCGATTTGATGAATTTCATTCCAAACAAATCCAATCATTGAAAAGCTTAGTATGATTTGTCCAATCCAACTCATGATTACAAATCTTGAAATAAGAGAAGTTGGAGGTCGAACTTTTTTCAAAGTACTTGTCGATTTTGTTCGAGTCATTAACAAAATAGTTGGCAATATCACAAACATGTCCACATACAAATATTGAAAATCTGCCATTTTGGTGTTCTTTTGAAATAGAATGACCACGGAAAAGAATTGAATTAAGCAATACAAGGACATGTACTTGAAGACTTGGAATGAAGACCACAATGCTGATCGTCCTTCTCTCATAATTGCCATCACACAACTGATACTAGGATTTAAACTCGTGAAAGGTGCTGCCAAAGAAGCTTCAGACTCACTGCTGAGTGATACTCCAACATTGGCAGTTTGGAGAGCTTTGGCATCGTTTTGACCATCTCCACACATCATGACATAATAATCCAATTTTTGAAATTCTTCAACAATTTTCATTTTGTCACTCGGCGAAAATCGAGAATAAATTCGACAATAACTCATCAAGCGATGAAGAAGGGTTGGAGTGTGAATATTCACGTATGGTATGTCATACTGCTGCTGCTTGGCAAGCTCTAAATCTTGTAAATGTCTATTGTAGATCATGTTAAAAATAGTGCCTGTTACAGCCAATTCCACGTTGGATCCAAATGTTTCGTCTCCATTCATGATTTGCTCAGAAGTGATGACATCTTGCTCGCAGTCTACATTTCTCCAAATAATATTGTCATTACAATTCAAGGAAGCTTCATCCGATTCATCAGAAGATCGCTCACTGAGGTAAACTTTTTTGTTGCTTGGTAAAATGTGACACTTTCGGGCTACTGAAATAACAGTATAGGCATTATCTCCTGAAGCAATGACAGATCTAAGATTCGCTGCAATTAACTTTTTGATCACACCTGAAGTGTCAGCTTTCAACTTATTCTCCAAACAAATGAGACCAATGAAATTGAGATCTTGCTCTACTTGTTCCCGTTCCAGCTTGTCAATAAATTCATGTACAATGTGAACTTGTTGAGAGTCTGCAATTTTTCTGTAACCTATAGAAATAACACGATATCCTTTGTGAGAATACTTGTACAGAGTTTGTGAAAAATTGTGTGGTATGGTTGATGGTTTTGACAGTTGCTTAATCATTTCTGAGGAGCCTTTCGAAAAGCAGAATATTTCCCTTGATTGTAAATTCATTGCTATTACTGACATTCGTTGCAGAGATGACTTGAATTGAAATATTTTCAATATGGAGAAGGAATGTTTGTTATCAGGAGAAATCACGGTCATAAATTCATTATTTCTGTCTTCGATTCTCCATTTGCATGATTCGAAGATTTTCATGTCCAATGGATCTCCAACAATTTTTGTGACACCTTCAGTAGTGGTAATATTGCACAAGTCATGACAGGTGGCCATTCCAACACTCAAGAACGATCCATAATCAAAGGTGTGAAGAAGATGACTAAATTTTCCGCTCTCTACTTGCACACAACCATGAAGATCCAAATTATCACTCGTCAACGTATTCGTCTTGTCAAAAACAATTAACTTGATCAATCCAGAAAAGCTAATTCTTTGAGGAGCAATACAAAATATTCTCCATGATTCTTTAAGTCGTGCTATAGCAAAAGATATAGTCGTAGTAATGGCAATGGGCAGTGCAGGTGGAACGACAATGGTAATCAGCACAATATTTTCCAAAATAATTCTCAACAATGGAACATGAATTTTTGCAAGATTGATAACTGTGAAAATCACTCCAACAAACCCCGCAATGGACATGATTCCCATAAATTTAAAACTATCTCTGTACAATCTAAAATTATTAGGTTTGGGATATATGATGGGTAATAACATTCTGCCCTTAGTGGTTTGAAATCCTGTATGGATGACCATTGCTAACACTTTGTTTGGAAAGTGGTGTTGATAGTACGACACGATGTCATCATGATGATGAGAACCTGAGGTTGGTTTTGTCATGATCACATGAGTGCCAGCAAATAACGTCCAATTCGAAAGATCATTCTTTGGGAGTACTTTGTTCGAATAAGGTACATGCATCTTTTTCACAGGTGTACTTTCACCAGTCATCATGGACTCATTCACAATGACCTGTCCTGATAACAACACAAGATCACAGGGAATGGTCATTCCATTTTCAATCTCAATCACATCACCCGGAAGTAAAAGTGAGGAATCAATTCTAGAGCACCTCGCCTGACCGTGAGGTTGATCCATCAAATGGACAGAAAAACTCAAGCACGTCATTTCTCGTAATTTGACCATGGTCTTTCGAGTGGTGTACAAACTTATAAGCCCTGATAACGTACTAATCACTGCAATGGCAATAGCATAAATGTAATATTCAATCCAACACCAAATACCGACACTGAAAATTTGGAAAATATAAAAGGGGTGAAAGAGTTCATCCATTGCTAGTGAAAGAATTGGCTTGACAGGTGTCTCAATGACATTTCTGTCAAATATTTTGCTTCTAATATTTCTATCTTGATGATTCAAGTAGTGAATGGCAAGACTATGAATGGTTTCTCCATTGAGAAGATCTTCACTCTGTTCATTGCTAAGGGTCTCTTGCAATGAAAAAGTACAAGGAACAAAGCAATCACCTTCTTCATCATAAATAAATGTTCCAAATCGAAATTTAAAATACATAATCTCTATTTGTTTTCTACCATCATTTGTGTGAATGCGAGATTTTTCAATTTTACAACTGTTCCATCTTCCATGAGAGCCATCCATTGCATTGACATTTGTTCTGCTACACAGCAGAATGGCATCTGCTTCTTTAAAACGTTTGCAATATGAATGTGTCAACCATGTTTTCAACCATGGAAACCATTTACATGGAATAAACACCAATCCAAGTGTCAAAATTACAAAAATCCAAAATAATAATTCATAATAGAGATTGTGTTTGAGTGCAAAAGTAGAGGAAAAGCCAAACATAATTTCTTCATCGGACAGAATTTGAGGAATGGAGCTGTTGGTGACAATATGTTGTGATGTTGAAAACTTTCCACGAATTTCAGAAAGTTGCTTCTTCCCGAATTCTAAAAATCCAACAAAACTACCAAAATTGTTACTTATATTCATTTCCTCAGTTGCTTGAGAAACATCATTCCGAACCATGACCTTTCGGGAAGTAAATCTTTTTAATATTTGTTGGTTACTCCATTCCGATCTCGAGCTTGTACAGAAAGATTCTTTCCATTTCAATGATGCATCATCAACCTCATCATGATGATTCAATAACTCTTTTTGTTTGTGATGGTGGTCATGGCTTTGAAAATTAGGATTGAATTTTTTTTCGTATGTTTGATGTTGTCGAGTTGTAAATAATTCTTTATCGGATAATTCAATCGTCACATATTCCTCTTGATGATGATGAGGTTGTATTTCAAAAGGTTGTTGTGGTGATGATGTCATGGTTCAACATTTACCCAATTTTTTAAAACTGTAACGATTCATATTTTGACATTTAACATGTTCATTCTTTTGGTCTATCTTCAACACCATTAATGTCTGACCTATCTGTATTTCAATAATTCCTATCAACCCTTTGTTGAGTTCAATAAACTTGTTCTCATTGAACACAAACCTTATCCAGACCTTCTGAACACTTTATTCCAGCAAAACAACGATTAAAAACAGGTTCACTCGAAAAAATATCACAGGTCCCACTCATCGCCATTCCGTAAAGACGCCCGTCGTGTGATCATCACTGTCCAACAAATATTATTGAACATTTTATTTGATTTCTTCTGTACTAGTATTCTGGTTTCAATTTAAAACACGACAACATCAAAAGAGATTTGGTCCTGACCTCTCCTTCGTGATCATCATCATAATATTTAATTTATTAATTTTCATCATCAGTATTTCATCATCGGACGAATCAAGATGACACCACCGCCAGTAGAACGTAAAAACGAACAGCAAGCAAATTTGCTCAGACAACGTATGCAGAAGGTTCAAATCAGAGAGCGAATTTTGTCTACTGTTAGACAAGAACATTGTGCAAGAAAGGTGAATCCTATTTGGGCAGAATCCAAGCCTTCTTCTTCTTCTCCTACGATCCAAACTGTTAGCGAAACAAACAAGGAGGATTCTACAGAAACTGTAATGCACTCTGCTATCAAGAATACACGAAATTTTGTGAAACAATATTCTGCTCACAATAGAGTAACACCCGATAAGAGAAGAAAGAGAGCTCCAGTGTCGAATCAAGTTCGTGATTTATCTGTTTTAGTGGCTAGCTTGGATTTGGAGTGGAATAACTTCCAAACAGTCATGGAATCTACTCAACGTTTCAGACGATTGCTGTCCATTGAGAGAAATCCTCCAATCGATGAAGTAATTATTTCAGGTAAGTCATTTATCATTTCGTTACAAAACATCATTCAAAATTGTTATGATCGCTTATATTTGTGTCAACACCATTTCAACACAACTCGCGTGTAAAACTGTTGCAATTACGAATCATGTTTTATGAAACAGGTGCTGTACCATACTTTGTACAATTTTTGGACATTGGTGAAATTCAAAAGTATTACAATTGTGATTTTGGAGATTCACCCAAACCACCTGGTTTTAAAGAAAGTGCTGTGGACGAAGGCAAGAAAACCATCTCTGCCTTTCAAATACATCAGTTGCAATTTGAAGCCACTTGGGCCATCACAAATATTGCATCTGGTACTTCTGAACACACACGTTATGTTGTTGAGCTAGATTGTGTACCAAAGATTATTAATTTATTGTCAAGCGAAAATGATGACGTGAGACAGCAAAGCGTATGGGCTCTCGGTAATATTGCAGGAGATTCAGCAGCACTGAGAGATTTGGTTTTGACAAAGGGAGCAATGTCAAAAGTACTCAAATTGATCAACACTGAAAGCAGTTCCCGAGTGAAGCGAGACGGTAGGTTTTTCAACATGTTCCAATCTATTGAAACCATTAATCTTTAAATTATACTGATTGTCACTCTTCGTCATCAATAGCGACTTGGACTCTTTCCAACTTGTTCAGAGGTAAACCTGTACCAGATTGGAACTTGGTCTCGGAGGCAATTCCAACATTGACTTCCTTGCTTTTTTCTTCTGACGAAGAAATTCTTGTTGACACTGGTAAGTTTTAACTTGAAATTTTTGAAGAACACTTCTAACATACTCTTCAACGAACACTTTTTTCCACAAATTATTACTGTTTTTTTCGTGATTGTCATCAGTTGGGCAGTTTCTTATGCCTCTGATGGACCATGTGACAGAATTCAAGCAATTATTGACAACAATGCCGTTCCAAGACTTGTGGAATTATTATCTCATCCAAGTAGTAATGTCCAAACACCAGCACTCCGAGCTATTGGAAATATTGCAACAGGTGATGATATCCAAACACAAACTGTTTTATCATGTGGACTTTTACAAAGATTACCACCTCTTCTTAACCATACAAAGAAATCAATTAGAAAAGAAGTAATGTGGACAATTTCCAACATTACCGCTGGTACCAAACAGCAAATTCAATCTGTGATAGATGCAAAACTAATTCCAATCATTATTGAAAAGGTCAAAACAGAAGTTTTTGATGTAAAGAAGGAAGGATTTTGGGCCTTGGCCAATACATGTGAGGGAGGATCAGGTGAGCAAATTGAGTACGTGGTTGAGGTTGGAGTTCTTGAGCCATTTTGTGAAGCTCTTCGCTTGTCGGATGCTAAGATTTTAATGGTGGTATTGGAAGGTTTGTCTGCTATTCTCAAATATTATCAAACGACCGAAAAACTTGCCGTGATCACTGCTACTATTGAAGAAACAGGTGGCTTAGATTTGATTGAGAAACTTCAAACACATCCCAACAATGAGATCTATGAAAAAGCATTGGAAATTCTTGAAACCTATTTTGGTGTAGAGGAAGACGGTGATGAATATGGTTCAGCCAAAACTGACAAAAAAGCAGCTCCAGCACCAGCCTTCTCATTTGGAAGCTCCAACTCAGAAAATTTTAGCTTTGGTGGGTCTGATGGAGGTTTCAATTTTAATTAAAATTCATTATTGATTGTCATTTCCTTGGTCTCCAATAAACTTGTGGAATGACAAGCAAACAAAAAAATGTAGGTAAGTTGTTATTTATTGCGAGCACATGATGTTCACACAATTATTGGAACAATGACGAGTGCAATTTGTCGTTGTTGAGATACCACATCTGTTCGGGAATTGCATTGGCCAATTCAGCCTTCTTGAGGGCCAAATACTTTTGTCCTTGTTCTGTGCCGAGAAGCTCAATCATGTTTTTCATATGCTCAAGTTCAATGGTGGTATCTCCACCACACTTGTACTCTTGAACTTCGATATTGGTCTTGGTTTGTTCTGCAACAACGAGAGAGTCAATTCTTGCATTTTCGAGCTTTTCAATCTGCATATTTTCATTTTCAATGTCAATGAGCTCTTCTCTCAATTTCTGAATTTCAGCTTGAGCTTTGAGCTGTTCTTTTTGGGCTTCTCTTGAGGCTTCAGTTTCCATCTTGTTACAGACAATTTTCATGTTGGATTTGATGGATTGGTTGAGCAAGTCGTTGATTTGATTATTGACAGGGCTCACCTCCTTCACATCAATTTCAGAGATCAACAATTTGATTTCATCAAAGTAAATTCCCAACACCTTGCGTTCTTCCTCTCCAACTTTGACCACAGATTCACGGAAGAGATGTTTTCTAATGAGAGACACAGTTCCAGAATGAAACTCTTCAAATGTAAATAGAGCAGCCAACTCTCTAACACGACTGTTCAACGTTGCACAAACATATCCAATGAAATCTGTCATACGGAACATGACATGAGATTCAGAATCATCGACCAAGAATTCCCACTTGTAAGTCAACAAGACTTGCAACTCGGCATTATCTCTCGTGCTCACTCTAAACGAGTCACTGGTAAAATCTGGACCTTTCATAATCTTGGCAGCCTTAATTTGTTTCACTCTTTTTGGCTTGCCAGCACTCAAATGTAAACACTTGACATGCTGCTCGGCAGAAAGAATATAGGAACAAGGTCCATTAATGACTGTTTCATTTCTCTCAGCATCCAACACACAAACCACTATAGTGCAGTGTAGTGTGAATCATGTCATGGTGATTTGCAGCAATACAATTCAGAGAGAATCAAATTATTTTTTCAAAAGAATATTCGCTCATGACTTACCTTGCTTCTTTTCCAAACGAATGACAGTAGCTTCGTACGTGGAGGCATCTCCCAAACCAAGAGCTGCTCTCTCCATCTCGGTATATTGCTTGTAGAATAGCTCTTCAGTGGCCTTCATCAAATAGCTTTTTGGTCCCTTGACTAGACTCTTCTCTGAAGTCTCGGTATCAATGACATAAATTCCCTCATTCTCGTTGATCATGATGGAATCCACTGTCTTCAATACTTCAGTATCTTTATCGGGTACAAAACGGCAAGGTCCTGTAATTTGATAGACATCTCCAGCCTTGAGATCCTTCTCCTTTCCATCCACCAAGACCTTCTTCTCGACCAATGATCTCAATCGTAAGGCTTGATTGTATTTCAAAATATGAACATCGGAAACACGTTCAATGTATTCGTTACGATGCAAAGCCAAGGCAATAGGTCCACAGACAATCTTTCGTTCTCCCATCAAATTTCTCTCCTGTTCATAATCGTATGGATTCTTGATGATACAATATTGTCCTTCCTTAATGATGGACAAGTCGTTGGTTTTGATAATCTCTTCATTGGCTCTCAGGGCAATTCTCTTGGGACCAATTTCAATGCGGACCACTCCCGAGTCATTGTCGAGGATGTGTACATATTGATTTGCACTTAGGACGTTCATGATGATGATGAAACAACGATCGAAATATCAAATTGGTGATGATCTCTGATCACAAAGAAATGATTGAACTTTTTGAGATGAAAATACAACACAGTGAATTTCAAAGTGTTGTTTTTTGTTTGGTGTGTACTGGTGGCCAAGTTCATCATCCTGTGGTTAGGTTGTATCAAATTTGGTCAATGACTTCACAGTACTCTTTCATTGAAAAAGATCACATTGCTCTGGGTTAAATTGAGATACGTATGCTTAAGACACAAGTTCCAAGAAATTAGATCTGTACACACAACAACAACGATGATACCAATTCGTGATCACAAACTCATTCAATTCAACTTTGGTAAAGATCTTGAGCAAACCTCAAATATTTATTTAAGCATTGAAACCAGCAGCTCTGACCACTTGTCCTTCAGTGTAAGAACTCACGCTGTAGCCAGAATCATTGACTTCATAGACACCATTGTTGTAGGACTTGGCCAAAACCCAGTGTCCACCATTTCTAACGTTCAAAATAACGACCTTACCAGAACAGAGCCAGTTTCTAATGGTGGCCTTATCTTGAGTTTGTCCGAGATAGGAGAAACCAAATCTAGAGACAGATCCCCAGACAAAGAGGTTACCATAATATCCACCGTTGGATCTAAGCCATGAATTCATTTGAGCTGGGTTCATGCTGCTCTTACCACGTCCGTTCAAAGCACTGGTGACAGAGGTCATGAGACAACCAACCTTACAAATGGTGGAGTCTGAAAAGTAACAAAACAGTTGTGAAAATTTTCACACCAACGATTCACCAAATAATTGTGAGAAGCAAAGAAAAGATGTCGTTGTCAATTTTGTTTTCAAGATGTGGTTGATCATTCCAATCAAAATACACCATTTCAGTAGCAGTTCAATATCATTACAAAAATCATAATGTCAACTTGATATTCTTCATGCACACACAAAACTTACCAGATCCCAATCGATCATTTCCCCATCTACCATCACATTGCTTATACAATGGATAATTGTAAGATTGTCTACATCCACTAGTACTACCACCACCTCCACCAACTTGAGTCAAATAAGAAGAAGCAGCAAATCCACTTCCCCAACTTCCAGAAACTCCGTACCAAGTATATCCACATCCACTTCGAACATCACCATTGAATCGAACTTGTTCGTTTGGACTCAAAACTTTAACAATACCTCTATCGGTACAGGCACCTGATCTCACATTCAAAGTAGTGGTTGCAGCCAAAGTAGCTCCACTAGTTAAAGTAGATTCAGAGTCGGCCATTTCTTCCATGGAAATTTCTTCGTGGCCTCTTCTTCTTCATCATCTTCAGATTCAGTGTTAGCGAGATAGATGGCACTTATTGGAATGTCAACTCCAAAGTTATGAGTGTTGACAGCTGGTTTACCGATGAGAGTTACGGTTTGTTCCTCAGGGTATGCCTTTTGAGCAGAGACGAGGGCGCTGATGGCGAGGAGAGCCAACAAGAGAACGACGAGGGAAACCTTCATGGTTGTGTATTTTTTTTGTTGATGATAATTGGTCTTTGATTGTAATGACGATTATTTTTAACAGGTACAAAAGCGCTGTCAAGTGTCAGAGGTAAATTATAATCTGAGGGAATTGTGTTATTGAGGCAGAACAAGTCGTTAATGATTCGCTTTTTGATAGTTTGATTTCTGAGACTGTCGTCAAGTGAGAATGTCAAATTTACTTTAAATTCTCACAATGACCTCAAGATTCATCAGTTTACAGTGAATACCGAAAATTATGTGGTTATTTAACCCTTAGCCTTTCATTTTTCACAATTAAAGTCATTGTTAAAAGCTTCTTTGGAAGATCAGAATCCATTTTCTCATTCATCAAGAACTTCCTAATGTTAAAATAAAGAAACCAATGTCAACCATTTTTTCACATTTAATCATTGTATCTCAAAGGTTGGTTATCAATTGTTTTTACACAGCATTTCCAAATCCAAAATTGGTTCCATGTTTGAACGCTCTTCAAGCTTAAAAAAATGATGACGACAAGAAAGCCTAAAGACGGCAGTTTCTCTCGGATCCGAAAGCAACCAGTGATTGTAAAAGAATTATCAAGCACGATCATCATGCTTATGGGTTGTTATTGTTTAATATTCTTCGTGCTGATCATGATGAATTTGAGTGTAGTTAATAGTACGGTCGTGATGGCTGAACCAATAATCACTGCCACTACAACAGACAACATGGATGGACGACCGGAATATGACACACCTATCGATTTGAAACAAGTACCAATTCCTACCATCAATGGTACTCAAGTCAATGTGAATGTGAATGTTGCCGGATCTGCAGGAGTGTTGACCACTCTGGTAGCCAACATCATGGTTGCCTTGCTCTATTTTATCATGTTTTTCTTATGCTGTCGACAATTAGCAGTATTTAATCCTGAAAAGAAAAAACGATTGTTTATTGAATACTTAAAAGATATGGAAGAAGAAACAGAGTCAAAGAAAAGTCATACAAAATCTGATTCAATCACTACATCCTCTAGAAATGAAGGCACAACAGTAGAAATTGAAGAAGAGGAAAAACCAAATACATTATCTTTTATTGGTCATAGAGCTGGTTATTACACAGAAAAATTTAGCAATGCCTATCAAGAAATAGCAGCCCAATATCCATTCAATCAACTACCACGAGTGCCTTCAGAACCATCTGATTTCAAGGAGAGAGTCATTCCAAAACTTAAAAAGATACTCGTGGACTCTTTTAATTCTACAATTTTATTCTTTCCTGCTTATTCCGACATTTGAGGGATGGAATATTGTCATTCTTTCTGCCTTCCTACGCACGGACAGATCGAGTCAAAATTACCAAACGATATGGAAAGGACATTGCAGTGTACTTGTATTTTCAACAGACCATTATTTGGATCTTATTGATTTGCTCAGTATTGACATGTGCTGTTTTATTGCCAATTCATTTAACTGGACAGCTTCCGGTTTATGAGTACAATCTGACCTATGTTGACCAACAAACTTCCTCTTTTCAGCCATTAGTGGTGTCAACCAACCCTGGGATTGATAACATTTTACAGAAAGGCATAAAACCTGTGAAAAATCTTACACAAGAAGATAACACACTGCTGAGAACGACCATTGAAATGGTGGCCAACTCTCCTATCAAACTTTATGCTCATATTGGTGTATTGATTTTATGTGTTGTGGCTGGACTGATTTTCTTTATCCAATTTCATTACAGTGCAATTATTCGAAGTAATTCATTTGGTACCTCTCCAGAAACAGACACTCTCAACCCATCGTCCTCAAAGACTAATGTTTTTGGTGATGTTGTAGATGGCCTTCTCGGAGTGTTACGGTCTACAGACAGCAACCAAATTTCCATTACTATAGATTCTGATGTTTACAAATCAATTGATCCCAAAGATATACTCTCACCCTATGTTGTTGTGGTTAAGGGTTTACCAAGAGAAATGACCAATTTGAACGATTTTAAAAGTTTTGTAGAAACATACTTTAATTTTAATTTGCCAATTGAGGACGAGAATAGCAAAGTTTTACGTGCTGTTTTAATTTATGATTTTGTGGACCGCTTGAATATGGCAATCATACTTAAACGAGTTGAAGAAGACCTTGACCACTTTTTGCACATGAAAACGGAGAGAGGTTCTGAACTGATTCAACTGAAAGAGCACATTGTTGTGGACGAAGGAATTGTTGACTCAAAGAACATTGTGTCCCAATGCTTTGGAATTCAAACTCAAACCAAGAAAATTAATCTTCTAACGACTGAGGAAGCAATTAAGCATTTGGAGTTCAGAAAAAAGAAAATTAAAAAAGAAATACAGAAATGGGACATTGCGTATAATGCCTTGCTACAGAACAAGAGTATTCCAAAAATTGACAGCATTGCGAGCATTGAAGAACCAAATGAAATGGAAGATGTACAAATAGAAGAGAAAGCAGATGATACAACAAATGATCGCAACCAAGATCCTGTGGCCTCCATGTTTGTTGGAAACAAAGCTATTGAAAGTTCTGGTGTTGGATATATAGTTTTCAAAACAGAAGCAGAAGCACAAGAGGCTCTTGGTAGATATTTAAACAACCAAATACGACTTCAGAGCAACCTTGTAAGAATCTCTTCACTTCAGCACGAACCCATTGATATCAACTGGTACACTGTTTGTAGATACAACGCCATCACAGGATCAAGATTTGAAGGGGTTGGTACGAACATACTAATTCACATTTTGCTAGTTGCTTTCTTTATTGTAGCCTCGAGTCCAGCTTCAATATTTTCTGCAATCCAGTCAATGTAAGTATTTTTATAGATAAGGTTACAATTAATACTTTACAAACTACGTGACACTATTCAAGATTTAACATTGGAGTCATCAAAATGGAAGTTGAAAAAATTCAAGCAGCAACAGGAATCGTAGGAAGTATTTTCTTCCAATTTTTACCCTCATTCACCTTGTACTGGATTTCCAGACTTATCGGTATTGTCTTGAGCAAAATAACCATGCTTGGAAAATATGACAGCAACCAAGAATACAAGAGAATATACATGCTACGAAAATATTGCTATGTGGTGTTGACCATTTTAATCATGCCAAGCTTGTGGCTTTCTTCAGTCGATGGTATTGTCAATTATGTGAAAACAGAAGATGATTTTGAACAAATGTTGAAGAAAATGTTTCTTCCTGCCAGTGGAGCTCTAATGTTGTCCACTGTTTTGCAGTTTGCAGTAATCAGCAACATGGATGATCTTATTAGAACAGAAGACGCATTTTGGTATATTTGGAAAACAAAATTATCATTTTACAGAAAAGCCAAGTCACCACTTGAAAAATTACGAGCAGCTACAGATCAGTATTTTTTCAGTGTTGACACTAATTATGCCAAAATTTTAGCTGTATTCACATTGTGCATGGCATATGCAGTGTTTATTCCATTAATTGTTCCTTGTGGATTGTTTTACATGATGATTAAGCATTGGTTTGATAGATATCTAATTCAAGAAATGTATGATGCCTCAGTTAAGCACAGCATTGATGTTATTGATAACAAACCAAAGCCATTAGACTATATCGCACTTCAGAAAAAGAGCTTTTTACTGCTCAAAATATTTACTGCCTCATTGGCAATTGCAGACGCGTTCTTAATTATCTTTTTCAGTTTGAGAGTGTTCACGGAATCAACGTTCCTACCTCACTTTATTTTGAGTGGAGCTGTGTTTGTATTCTTGCTTGGTGCTCTCTTTTACATTCAACACAACCAAGACAAAGTGATTAGAACAAGAGTGAGAGACGAAATTTCAAAACAAAATTACTCAAGTTGGAACCACTACGCAAAGGACATTGCATTCGTGACACCATTCGAAAAACATCAATAAGTGACACCCGAATGTCATATGATCATCCATGAAAATGGCTCATTATTGCAATGTGGACAACACATTATTCTCTCTCCTTACTGTTACAATTGAATGACTAAACCTTGTTCCTCATACTCTTGCTTAATTTGTGACATTTCCAACTTGACTCTCTTCACCACATTTTCCATCTCGTGCTCCTTCCACAAGATCATGCTTTCATTTCCACTTACTCCCTTGGTAGTGGCCCGCATATCAAATATTTCACCAGGCATTGGTCCTCCTAATTCGACATTCTCTACGTATTGTTCATTTGGTATACCTCTACCCCACACATGACCATGTAAGAACGAAGGTTCCTCTTCATGACCCATTAGGACCAGATGATTTTGCAAATCTACCTGGTGTGAATTGTTGCCAGCAACTGCTAATTGTGAAATTGGGCAAATTCTTGAATAAGCTTCAGCCGTAAATTGAAGTGATAATGCAAGTCCAATTCTTTCACTTGTAGTGTAATCTCGATTGAATGTCGATGCCATATCTTGATTATTAATGAATCGAACAATAGATCGTAACCTCTCCGATCTGTCGGATTTAAATGTACCACATATTCAAAATTATTTTTAAATTTAATGAGACAAATAACTTTGGGATCTCCCGACAAGGTGAATGGTTGCATGACCCAATGTGTGGGAGCATACGATTTGTTGAAAAATAATTTGGACATTTTTTTTTGTAATCCGTCCTTGCTATCTCATTTTTAACATGTTCCAAGTTCTCCCGGTGGGAACAATTTACTACCCACCTTATTTCCACGTAATCATACATGTTTCATAATTTTGAATTAATAATAGTAATACGCATCGTTTGTTTCAAAAAACTAACGTTATTACAAAAACCAACAAACAAAAAAATGAGTTCAACACCACGCCAATGTGAAATCATGTCATCAGTTCACTGCTGGAGGAGAAAGTATCATCTTGCTATATCTTCTCAACGGAGGAGAATGGTTGGGAAAGTGCTGCTCTCTATATGCTCTTTGGATTATTTCAAGTAGTGGGAACGCAAAATGGAGAGTTTCAAATTGTGCATGGATCAAACTTAGAGTTTCGAGTGAGTTGGAATTTTCAGTTGTGGATCAATATGGAGTGGAATTGGAATCGTATCATCATCATTGATGAAAACTAATTGTGAACTTTCACTTGACCAGGAGTTTGAGAAAATTTGTTCGAAACAAATCCAAAGCAGCTGACCCTTACGTGGTCACTTTCTTGCTTTGTTGTCTATCCTATTCTGTTCTTCATGAAGTTAACAAGGCTCATCGTGAACAAGCACTGAAAAGAATGACCATTAAGGATTTCGGTTTTGGCTTCTGGAATGAGACAACCTGTTATGAAAGCACCAAACCCAAAGTTGAACGGCTCACAAATCTCTTGATGAAACCTTTTATCAGAAATCCTTTGACCTCAGTTGTTGTGCAAATTCCCTATTTGGTACAATGACATGGCACGACAGCTGAGACATCGTTGTCTCTTTTCGGATCACCTTAACCAAATGCTGGCTTCATAATATTAAAACAAAACCTAATGACCAAGATCATTCATTCCAATGCTTGCGGAGTGACACAAACGGATGGACATACAACAACATCCTTTCATGAAAGAACAGTTTTAGCGTTTTTAAACTTACGAAATCTTTCGAAAAAACAAAAATCAACAACATCTCTATTCAACCAACACACTCTGCTCAACGTGATTGCAGTATTTATATATCTGAAATTGATTCTTCATCAATATATCCAAAGAAACTAGTTCAATCAAGATGATTCAATTCGATGAAGGATTGCTACTACAACACGTGGTTGAGAGAACCTTTCAAATGTGTGTTGTGGCGAATCAAACAAACCTTCTCATCGGGAAGATGGGTTCCATTCGTCCAGTACTTCCTGGATGGTCTCCAAGGATCAAGAGGACGCTTGTTTGAATGTGTCTTCCTTTTCATTGATCTATTTGGATCATTTAGTTCCATCATTGGGGCAGAAGCAACTCAATTCAAATCAACAACTCGAGAAGGCTATCATCTATTTTGTAGATACTTTAATCCGAGCTCTTTGTTCGAGAGAATGGAACATGCCTTATCATCAATTCATCAACGTTCTCTCAAGTCGAGTTCTTTTTGTTAAGGATCGACAGCAATTTTCACTAGTTCATTTGGCATGTGACACGAATCGGGTCAATTTGCTGGAATGGATCCAATTGTATAGTAGTGACAATCTAAGAAATGATAACTCTGTAAATAGTAATACCGTAAATAGAAATGTAAATAATACCATGGACCAAAACTGCTTACTTTGGTCCGTTAAAGATTCCAATGGTTTGGAACCATTGTTTTACGCTGTAAATTCAGGAGCAAAAGACTGTGTAGCCTTCCTATGCTCACAGAAATCGGTACGAGAAGAACAATTGAACTTACGAAGAGATTGTTTCGGAAATCTTCCAATTGTTTCTGCGTTCAAGAGACGAGATTATGAAATGTGTGACTTGCTTCAGCTCTTTGGAGCTCAAATCGACCTCAGTGGAGGATTGACATTTGGTATGGGAGTCCAAGAAAGCTTAATGCATTACGCAATGAGAAAGAAAGACATTCAAGCGGTGAGATATTTAGCTCTCCACTCTTCCAAAACTATTCTAAAGAAAAACCACCGAGGAGAAATTCCCTTATTTCATTGTTTAAAAGACAAACGAGGAATGTTCAGAGACAGTGAGGAAGAGGTGACCACAACAAATTTTGGTGGAAAAGGAGGATGTGATGGATGTGCTGTCACCGTTCCCAGTCATGTATATTTCTTGTCGACAATTTTAGAAGAAGGTAAAACCTTGTTTGGTCAAGAACAATTCCACAAAGCTCTCCTCTCAAAGAATGGCTTTGGAAGAAATATTTTAATGGAAAGTATTGTCATGAATGATTTAGAAGTGACACGAGTGATTTGTAATTTCCTGCTTTCACGTTATGGTTTCTCTGCAGCAAGTAATATGCATTTGCCAGCAGGAGGAGGTGACTCTGGGAATCTAAACTTCCTGAAGCAATTGATTCATGACAGAGATTTGGAGGATTCTACCATTTTCCACATTGCCTTTCGATACATTGGATGTTATTTGAGCATTACCAATAGTACCATTCGAGAAATTTTCAAGCTCCTTAAAGAATTATTTGCTGTCACTCAACCAAGCAAGCAATCTCTAAAAGATTTTATGAAAAGCAATCCATCTAAATATCACAAATTATCATCTGGATCTAAATCCATTAGCAAGTCCATTAATTTATGGATAAAACTTGAATAATAACATGACAAATATTTCGTTCAATAAAGCTTGATTGAAATCTATTATCTCTCCAGTGTCTTAAAAGTTAACCCCAAAAAAATGAAAAAACTGCAATCCCTTCTCAAACCGTCTTCCTTGTTGACTTCATCAACTGCGGCACCATCGATCTATTGTAAATATCCATCATTGCGAAGATTTCACCGATCAGTGGCTCATTTGAAAAATTTAAATCAACACCAACAGCCAAATATCTTATCGGATGAATGTAGACTTCTCTGTAAAATGGTGGCCTTGACAACGAAGGGAGATTATCACGCCCTGAGTGATGAATTTCAAGGCTTGTTGGAACTGAATGATCAAATTGCTGCCAATTCTCATCATCATCATCATCATTATCAAGAACATTCCAAGGCATATCATTGTAAACTATTAATTCCGATGGCAGTAGAGGTAGTCTCTCAAACTCATGTGTTTGTTGGCTTTCCAAAAGTTTTGAACGCCTTGGCTGCCATGAAAAAGACTTTTATTGGAGGCAGTGGTAAAGATAAACATCATCTGACACGTAATGAAAAAGATTGGTTACAATTATGTACACCATTGGATGGAGATTTGTTATTCAAGAGTGTTTTCGTGCGTGAAGATCTTGGAACAGAAGCCATGAAACAAATTTATGGAGAAAAGAATTATGTGAAATTGGCAGACAAGACATTTTCTCTTCACCCGATTTTGCATCAATTTCTCTTGACTCATGGCTATGGAGCTGTATTGCAAAATAGATTTCATGTATTCCTTGCATTACGAGAGTTGTGTTCAGTAGTGAGTTTGTGTTATTCTGCTGACACCACAGCTCCACAATTGGTGGCTCATATGAAAGGATTTTCTCGTGTCTATAAAGTCGATGAAAAAGATTACTCCATTCATATTAAGAACAGAAACACTCATACTCAATTAGGCATCTCGGACAGAGATTTAATTGTCAAAGGTTGTCTCAGAGAAGCGTTTGATTTGTCTTCAGAAATTTATGGAAAAGAAATTGCTCAACATATGGAAACACTTTGGGACAATTATGAAACCTCAAAATTCACTCTTTAAATGGGAATTTGATACAATTAGGGGTGAAGGAATAAAGCGGATGATTACTTTCAACAATAATCAGAATTGATCAATTCAAACAACAATAATCTAAATTCACAAAAAAAATGTTAAAAATTCATTTTTTGTTTCACAATCCATTCAAAAAGCAAAATATTCCATTCTTATTGTATCATACATTCGGATCATCATTGGACAACCACCTTCTTGTACAGCATTTCTCTCTTTCATTCATCATATTACATTCAAGCCAAAATTCTATAGAGCCAAGCACTTTCAAGAATACACACTCTCGACGTTCGAACGAATTTCTCAAAGAATTACGTCATGATAAAAAACCAAAAAACAAAGATACACTTTTCCGAGATCTACAAGAAGTGGTTCGGAAACCATCAATGCTTGATTTAGACAAATTTCAGGCTGGATTAGACGCAATGGAAATGGGAGATTCAAACACAGCTATAAAAGAATTTCGTAAATATGTCACTTGTACTCGAATTCAAGGGAAAAAGTGGCAAAAGGGTCAACGAGAAACGTTGATTGCTAGCTTGAGGAATATTGCTATCCTTTTAATGAATCAGAAAAATTATGTGGATGCAATTTTGGAGCTTAATGCTGCAATTAATTTAGAGAAACTGAGTCCATCTAAAGTTGACTCGAAATTGTTACGAGCAGAATGTCTTATTGAGTTGCAAGATTTTGGAAAAGCAAAACTAGACCTTGCTGAAGCTGTTGAGATTGTTACTATTGGAAACGTAGCTTGTGACACCAACAAGATGTATTATTTGATGGGATTATGTTTATTTAAGGAAGGTAATTCATTGCATAAGGCAATTTCAAGCTTGAATTTGGCACTCCAGTCCCATAGTCATGCATTTGATCTCCATATTTATAAATTATTAGGAGAAATTCATATCAAGTTGAAGGATTATGAACAAGCACAAACATGCTTCACAAAAGCCATTCAAATTGTTGAGAAGAATTGTACAGAACATGTATTGTTATTAGGTTGCGAATTTTTGACAGATTTATACTTGGGTCGATCTCATGCTCGGAAAGAAATGCAAGAATTCGAGAAGGCCCTTGAAGATTGTGAAGTTCTGACAAAACTGATATCAGAAGGGTCAAATTCAAAACCACTGGACATGGACGCGAATACATTAACTCTTATTCAGAAGCAAAAAGAAGAAATACTAAGCCAGATGGACGAAGATTCCACACCAACACTCAAAAGGTAAGGTGCCATAGCAACACGAACAGTGAACTTGGTTGTCAAAGTGCGTTTCAACTTCCAATCTCCAGTATCACAAAAAAAACAAGCGATAGTGATTGAGAATTGAATTTCACAGACCGATCACAATCTCAGAACTCTCTCTGTTGAAATTTCTTGATCATCAAAGATTGTTTCATCATTAATTTATTATTCAAGATCAAACGGTTTTCATTAGTAACACCTCATTCATCCCGATCATCCTCACCTTTATTCAAACAACAATGACTTCCATTTTCAACTTCTTCAAAAGTGGTGGAGCCTATAGTAAATCCAACACCAATGCTACCAGTAGTAATGGTAATTCTGGTAGTAATGCGAACAGCAATACAACAACTTCGGATCCATCTCCGATGATCCCAGTCGTGGAACAAACCAAATCCATCACAACCACAACTACTGAAACAAGTTCATCATCATCAACCACAACAACCATGTCCTCGACTACTACTTCAACAAGTACCTCCCAAACTACAACGACCATCAAAGAGACTGGACTTGAAAACAAGATTCGAGTTCTCAGTCTCTCACCCCACACCATACCCCAATATCAAGACACCGATTTGAAAGAACTTCAAACCCTGAAAGAGAGTGTTCAATACAAACCAACCGTTTTGCACTTATTGTCCTTGTATCAGAGCGAGATCAAGAAGGAGGTTGAGTTTAAACAAAAGAACAAGAATTCTTCTTCATCATCAACTGCCATCGTTCATGTTCAGGTTGATCCTGTACCTTCCGATAGAAAATACATCTATTTGACCAGTTCAGGTTCTCCAGCTGTACCTTCGACTTGTTCTTGCATTGTTGATTATGGTCATTACTTGGCTTTGAAGTCTGGAAAATCCATCATGAATGAATTTGAATTGCAAACTCCACCTGAAGCAATAGCAAAAGAATTAAAACAAGTCAGCAAGATTTCAGCCTCTTCCTCAATCGAGGCCAAAAAGAACGATTTACTTGAACTTGAAAAGAAGTATACTCAAATCATGCAAGAAAAGCAAAAATTGTTGGCCGATCGAGCTGCTGTATTGACACCTGAAGAATTGGCATCTATTGAAGAGGAAGAAGGAATTAGAAGACCTACTCCAAAATCTCGAGATGTCACGGTCGATGATGATGAATGGGAATTGGAACATAAAAGAAAAATCATTGAGCAAGAGAGAAAACTGGTAGAGAAGAGATTATTGGAAGAAAAGAAGCACAGAAATGTTCGCTTTTACTGCAGGGGAGAGCTCAATTATTTGCAACAATGGAATACTGTCTTTTCAAGTGGTGACAATAAGAAGCCATCTAATTTGGAAGAATTAAGAAAGTACTCGCTTCGTCCAACCAATGTTTTTGATTTGGAGGGAGAACAAATTCACTACCGATTTTGTGAGTCACAATTTCACCGTATGGGTGCTTCTCCAGCCTATGCTTCTTCATATCCTACTGCATATATTTCTGAAGTTGAATATGTGGTTAATCCTAATATTATGAATCGATTTAATAATTGTAAGAAAGAATTAGCCAAGAAGCATGGATTTTTATTGGAAAGTATGAAACCCTTATTGTAAGTATTTTGCATTACTTTCATCATTGTGAAATTCCATTTATTCTTATCTTTTGTTAAATTCATTGTTGATAGATTATTCCATGGTACTTCTGAAACCAATATGGAAAATATTTTAAGGTAAGTGTGAATTGTGTGGAAACATGTAGAAAATAGGTGATGTTTACATCATTTTAAACACTGTTTAGAACTAACTTTTTAATTGAAAAGATTGGATCGACCACTGATATGGGTTGGTATGGCAAAGGTTTTTACTTTTCAGGTATGTTGCTTCTTTTGTGACTTGTTTCACGTAGAATGTTCACGTCTCCAATTATTGTTTATATAGAATATCCTGGTCTTTCCATGGCTTATTCTCGCAACCAGTATTTATTGATTTGTATGGTTCTCATTGGAAAAGCCTTCCACATGAATCAAGTTGAAACTGGACGTCCTTTGGAGTCTGGATATGATTCTCATGTGAGTCCTGATGGTTGCAGTGAAGTCATTATTTTCAATCCAGATCAAGTAATACCTTTATACAAGATCAAGTGGGAGCACGCAGGTACGCTCACATATAAATAAGTCCTAAACGAACGACATGATTAAGGACGTGTGAATATTGACCACTTACTCTTGATATTAAACTTCAAAAAACATTCATTCTTATTGCATTTTTCTACATTGAAAGCCCGAGCACAAACATGTATTATTAAATCCTATTCACCATTTTCACGTTTTTGATTACATCACGATTGTTTCAATACTTTCAGTTGTAGATCCCCAAAGAAGATTAAAAACAAATAAGGAAATATTGAAAAACAACCGACAAAAAAAGAACCACAAATGCCTTTGCAGGCTCACCGCAAGCAGACAAGTAGTAGCACCAAAAAACTTGGTGATGAAGATGATCCCGAATTGAATAACGATGACGAAGAATTTATTCCAAGCCATGATGAAGAAAGCGAGGATGAAGAAGAAATGAATGATGGCTCGGATGACGTTGATCAACAAAACAAAACAACGAGTGGACAAGTCATTGAAGTTTTGCAAATGTATTCTCCTATTGCATGCAGAGAATGCAGAAAGGGGCATCGTAAATGTGATAAAGCCCTTCCGATTTGTTCTAATTGCAAGAGAAAGGGAAAAGAATGTGTCTATCCGCAAGCTAAAAGAAATCGAAAAGCGAAAGCTCCAACCCGGGTATTGATGCCTGTTTCCGATGATAAAAAGACTCAACAACATGACCAGACCATGGTTGAGAATAAGGAAGAAGAAACGGAACATCATCATGAAGAAAAGAAACAACAAAAAGAAAAAAAGAAATCACCACCCACGCATCATCACACTAGAGGAACGTTACATCTTCATGAATCAACAAGCAAAGATGCCAAACTTCACAAAGGAACCAAACATACGCACGAAGATGTTGAAAGTGAGGAAGAAGAGGAAGAATCAGCAGAACCTTTTGTTCCTTCTGAATTGTCACGTCCTAGAGATGAGCGTCAACCTGCCCACAAGAGAATTGAGATGACAACAACTGTACAACCAGAAGAGTCACCTTTGGAAAAACTTAAAACATATACACTCAAAGAAGTGTTGATCATGCATCAAGAGAAACTAGCAAAAAAAGAAGCAATTTCAGACGAGAGAAAATTAAGCTTGGTCAGAGATTTTTGCTTGTATGACTCTTTAGTATCTTTTTACATTTTAAACAATGAAGAAGTGGACAATAAGAAGAGTGACACCATGCTGAAAAAGTTTTTACTTTGCACTCTGTACAAAACGTTCAACATTGGTGGTCAAAAACATACTCATCACCATCACCATCACGAACCAATGCACCTCTTTAGCCACCGCCCTGAGCCAGTGCAAAAGGGTGTCCACAAGACTCATCATATGCAAGAACATCTCCACAAACCGTACCCTCACTTGCAGGTGTCTACTTCCTTGTATGGCTATGGCTATTCAAAAGAAGCAGAGTTAGATACACCAACCTCAATTTCAATTTCAACACCCTCTCCACAACTGGCTCACCTGATTGGCTATGACTCTGACCATTTGCAACAAATTGTTCAACAAATTGAGAATGACTCTCATATTCCACATCATACCATTAATGAAATAGATTTGGCCTTAATGTTTTGCATTCAAGGTGCTGCCTTTGAGCGCATTGGAAGCAGAGACATTTCTGACGAGCTGTTTTTGCAAGCTAAGAGAATTCTGAAGAAGTTTTACAAATATCTTAAAGATAGCTCTCGTGTACCAATGACATATCCTGTATTTCATTTAATGGTGGCATTTGCATATCTGGCACAACATTTGTCCTTCCACAAGCCAGCACTTTCTCGAAGTTACATTGATGTGGTATGCAAGTATTTAGTGGCAAACATTCTTTCAAAGGAAGGCCAAGAACAGAGTTTAAGAATTGAACTACCACAGCATGGATGGAAGACATATAGATCTAGTGCATCCTGGAATTCAGAAGAACACGTTTTACACAAACTAATTGCAAACGTTCATACTTTGCTTTTTAATCACACTCCTAACAATCCTTCATTGTCGGATATGTGTGAACTTCTAGCTCATCTGAACGAAGCTCATTTATCAAACGTATATTCACAATTTTCCTTAATTTTCAAATTCCAAAAGCTCACAGATAGCATTGACATAACAGAGTTTTTGATCAAAACTTTAAAGCAGAAAATGTCACACAAAGCTAAATTTGATGGATTACCTAAATCTCCCAAGAGCGATGAATTTTTGTATGAGTATTCGTATTTGCATATCCACGAAGAAGATGAAAAGAGAATTAGAGGAATTGGAAATGAGACATCTTTTTGGATTGACAATTACTTGTCGATACCATGCACCTTGTTGAAAAACAAGTTAGATTCTAAAATATCGAGCGCCCTAAACGCGGAACCTAAAATTTCATCAGAAGAATGCTATGAACGTTTGCGATTGGCAAAAGAATTCTTTTTATTTGGCAATTCCCTGATCAAGTCTTTTGTCTCTGCCATTGGCTTGAACACTGCTCTATTAACTTCATTAAGCATTGTGGAATGCATGGCAATTTTGATTTCCAAAATATTTGACTCTAATTCAGGAGCATGTGAAGACCCTACCTGTAAAAGTGACCATTCTGAAGATAATCGATTCCCCAAACCAAACTCATCGATCACTGTTCACTCTGCTTACTCTATTATTGACCTGACTAGAAATGCGACTTTTCCATACTGCAGTTTAGTAATCCTACCTTGTATCACCAAGGCTTTAGAAGTGCAGTTAGAGGAGCTTGAGTTACTTCAATCCACTGCTCTTTTGAATGGTGTGTTTGGATTATATGGCTCACAGGATGTACTCTCTTCTGGATTAGATGATTTACCAATAGTTGTTGGCATCACAGAAATACCCAATCATAATATTCCCCGAGTGAAACAATACCTGAAATGGGGACTTGAAGCCATCAACACGTTGGAGAATATACACGGTAATGTTCACAAATACGATGACCTGAAGGAACGAGTAAGGAAAATATTGTCGACCGAACAAGGTGATTCTTCACAACAAATATCTGTAGTTCCAACCTATTCGATTGACCCCACAGCAGGTTTTTCTTCAACAATTCACAAAGGAAACACCACTAAGATGGAACCATTGGAATCTGAAACTCCACTTCTCATGGAGCCATCCACTCCACTCATGTCGTTGGATTTGCAACTTGGATCTAAAGATTTTAACAGCAGCAACAACATGATAGTGACCAACAATATTCTTTCTGCATTGGCTTTATCAAACGGAAATGGCAATCATCCACAGAATTCGTCTTCTTCACTCATGGTGGACGAGGTGAATCCCCAAGAAAATAATGAATGATTTAGCATGATGTTGGGGTTCACGAATTCAACAAAATCTTTGAATGCCTTGGTATCAAATTCACAAAAGTTTCGTGAACTTTTACACAGATCATTTTATGCTTTTCTGGTTTCAGTCCGAAGAGTAATAATACAGGTCCTCCCGAGAGTGGCTCATTGAGAGTCGCATCGATACTCCGTCTTGAACAACTGGCCACTTCATCACTAATGGTACGATAGTGGGTGACTTCAATTTAGATTGGCTTTCTCCAACATAAAAAATAGGCCTTTCACACAGCGCGTGCTTACCCTTCACATTATGAACTTGACAAACATGCCACAACAACAACACCTTTCACATGCCGCTGCAACTACTCAACATAACAGCAGCAACAACAGCCTCAAAACTCATAATCGTCCACTCGAAAAAACATTCATCTTTGTGGAGGACCAACTCTCCAAGGTATGGCGAAAGGAAAGTGAATTGAAAGACGTTGATTATGAGATTGGGTTGGAAGATGGATACATTTGGTGGCCATTACATAACGGTGCCGAGTTTGTGTGAAAAGAGAGTATGTGGTTTTCACATGTGCATTCACAGCGAGAGCAATCGGCACATGTTAAACAACATGGATGTGACAATATGTCTGGCAAGCTTAGCTTGGGGCATGTCGCGCTCCAGCATGCAAGAGGAAAAACATCTGCCAACGACATTTGACATTGTGCAACGATTGAAATTTACAACATTTGACTATTTTATGACGAATAAATGGTCCAAAGCATGTTTGATCAACAATCGAGACAAATATTGTTGTCACATTAATTTCACACACTGTAGATAATATCTTGTGTTTGTAGACGCATGTGAGTTTGTCATGGATGATGAGTTTGCAGAGTGCCAACATCATGCAAAATCATTGTGATACTATCCTGTAGTACAAAGAATGGATTATTCATTGTAAATATCGGAATTCCTTAATCAAAATACCTAGCTCTGTCCACATACTTCAACTAATGCTGCGCTCGCCTTTTCAATTCACATACGAATAATAAAAAATTAAGACCTCTTGTGTTGCTTGTCAAAACTTATTGAAGTTTTTGTTCTTGGCAACTCCAATCATCATGATGGAAGGAAGAGGCCTCATCACGACCAACGTTTTTTCTTCATCATGGCTTCACATCATATTGTCAAATCTTCAATTAGAGATCCTTGTTGCGGTTTGCTTTTACCTCAGACTTCACACCCTTTGAAAAATGTGAGACACTTATGATCATCCAAAAATCTTTCGAGGTCCCGAGAGAGTCCTTAGATCTTTGATTGCCATAATCCTTGCAATGAAATGAACCGTCCATCATCTACAGTTTTCTCCAAGTTTCTTCAAGAATCACTGAAATTCTTCAAAATTGTTAGACCGTTACTGTACTTGTCATTTAATGAATATGATTTCCTTCAATGCCACGATCCTTCTTCAAACAGAAGCTTCTTCTGAAACTATTATTTCTGTGCAACCAACTGTCAACAATCAAAATGCTAGTCCTAGCAAATCCGAGGTTACCTTCAAATATCTGTAAATACAAGATGCCGTTAAAGGAGAGCGTTTAGCTCGTGGTTGTCAATTTTGTAATTTTCAATTATTTCACATCCAACGACCCTCAAATTATTTTCCAACAAAATCTCACAAGATTATCTCGCGCAATAGTTTGTTTCACTAAATTCGACACAAAGTACCCGGTGTTGAACTCGAGATTTATCACCTCTTTCCAAACGTCACCTGCCAAGCTCAAAAAAACAATCGCTCCTCAAAAACAATGTTGACGTTTAGTGCTTCAGTCAAAAAAAGTTAGCAAGATATCACGCTCTTGCCTTTTATGAAAAATGGACCAAAGGTCCTCTTCACATGTGATAGCATCTCTCTCATCATGATTTCAAAAACGGCGTAATTTTCATTGGCATTTGAAAGAACAACCAACACTCTCTAACTGAAATTTTCACACACCAACCATGAATTCAACTCCTCACTTACTGCAAGATCACAACTCCTTCTCTCGTACGAGTCTTCACCAAATGACCTCTTCAGGCTCTTCCTCACCGACTCAACAATTAGTCTCTGCCAATCATTCACTGTTCAATCAATGGAATCAAGACCATGACTCATCTCATACTGGACAATCATCCAATACTCCTTCCGTATTGAATTCAGTGCATGCATCTTCTTCGACATTAGGTTCGAACCACAGTTTTATCTTTGTTGAAGATTCCTTGTCCATGTCCCAGAATTCAAACTTGACGACGAGAAGAACCAAACAGAGAAAGACAAAGAATTCTGCATCTGCGACGACGACTCCCAATAAATCCACAGGACATGTTCAAGTGACAGTATTTCATCATCACCATTACATGTCTTCGAAAAATTCATCACGTTCAACCAACTCATCGAAAAAGAAGAATCCAAACAAGATTGAAACGAGTGATGAAGAAGAACAGAAAAAAGCCCTTTCCAAGCTAAATCCTAGAGCAAAGATTGAAAAGAAGTCTCATTCGAAAAGTGGTCTTCAATATACAGTTGTGAAAGAAGAAGTTGTGAGTTGTAAGGATGGAGGCGAGGTGAATTATGAGATGGCCCTTGAAGATGGATTCATTTGGTGGTCATGGTATTAAATATGACCGTTGTCAAGTGCTGTTGAAGAGAGGTTATTTCGTCACATGAAGAAGTGGTTCATGTCCTTGCACGTCCTTGCTAGTTGCAAATTTTTCATGAAATTTCCAATTTTGTAAAATGTAGTTATGTAAATAAACAAGAGTTTTGAATCACGAGTGAGAAAAATCTTCAATTGAAAGAGAGACAATGAAAGAATACTTACTTTGAATCACTTGTCTTGAAAGTATTTCGAGTCAATTTTTTTAAATGTTGCTCCTCTCAGATCGATCTCGAGATTGGATCTTGAAAGATCTATTCTTGCGTTCGAGCTGATCAAAATTGAATTCTAGAAACCATGATAATTTGTTACTATCATGATGCTTCTAATCATTGTAATGTTTTACTTTTTATGAAATCTGAAATTCCATAATTGAATAAATTTGGGAAGTCATCAAAAATTAGTATCATGATATTGAGAAATGGCATCTCGAAGGAAGGATAACACATGTCAACAAGGATTGAAATTCAAAATACCGAGAGTGTGTTTTTATTTTCTCACAACAGAGTGATGGGATAAGGAACCTTCTTCTTGTTTCTGAAGATTCTTTTCATATTTACAATGAGTAGTGTTCTCCTATTATGACTTTATTTCTTTTTAATAATACGTTTTAAAATTGGTTGGATTGTTTGTCGTACACTGATCGAGTCCAAAGCATTCAAATAAAACACATCTTTCACTCTCTTGAGAACATCTTTTTCTAAATACATTTCAGTAATGAAATCAATCGCTGCCAAAGGATCTTTCTCAGGTCCTTTATATTCATCAAATGTATCTGCTAAACGAGATCCATTCTTAATCTTGATTTCAAACAGGTCCAATTTTGTAAATATTAAATACACATGAGGTTGTTGAGTGGGTGTCAACATGTTGGAAAGTAAATGTTCAAATGCAGACACACTTTCTTTCATTCGATTGAGGGTATCGTCTTCATAACATGGTTGATCGAATTCACTCAATGAACAACAATAAATAACATATTCACACTCGGCAACAAAAGGAGGCCACTTTTTTCTTTCACATCTTGCTCCAGCACATTCCACCAAGGAAAACGATTCATTGTTGAAAGTGAAGAAGCGACGTTCAATCACACCAATCGACTTGATTCTCACTCGAATCAAATCTTCATCGATGGAACATAATCCTTATTTGCAATTCGATGTAAATGATCAAAAAAGTAAGTGGCACAGTCGTGAATGATAAATTCATTTCTTCTCGCAAGAACTTGAAGAATGGCAGGATCTTTCAACAATTCTTCAAGATCTTGAACGAGTGTTTCATTCCAAATGTCATCTTTTGGATTCAACAACACACGAGGGTGCATGGCTAAAATCTTTTCTTTTCGCTGTCGATTCTCTTCCGTGGACATGTCCAGATGGAGCGTTTGAGTGGCTCGTAGCATTTGTCTCATATTTTCAATAATGTTTCGAATGATGAATACTTTGATTTTGATCTTTTCTTTCGTTGAAAATACATGACCAAAGAGGAGTCGTGTCTGTATTCGGATGGTACCTTGAATGATATCATATTGTTGTTATTGTTGTTATTGCATCATTGTTTCATCCATATATTGGAATATTTTGATGAATCAGGCTTCAGCAAGAGAAAAACAATCATCAGTGATGAAATTACTTACTTTTTCCACTCTCAAAGGTTCCGAGAAGTAAAATCTTGGTTGGGGGTGGAGTTGGTTCAACAGGTGGTTCTGGAGGAGGTGGTAGTGGTAGAACCACTGGACAACCGGGACGTGATTTGCGTTTACCTGTGAATAGGAACATGGTTGTTTCTTTTTAACTTGGATTTAAACTGTCAGTCATCTCGCTTAATCAAAGCCTTTTTTGCTCTCAAAGGTGAACGAGAGTGTTTGAGAAGATAGGTGGTTGCAAATATATTCAGAGGAACTGGCGATGATTAATACATGATATTATTTTCCCAAACTTGCTGCAATCGTTGTGTGTTGAATCTAAATGCATCATAAGGTAAAGATCTGATAGGGTTGTTGAAATAAATATTGTGGCGGACCAAATACCAGCGACGGAATCAGTCCCATTCCGTCGCTGGTATTTGGAGAGTAAAAGACAATCTTGCCAAACAATCCTTCATCCTTAATAATATTTCCTATTTGTATTCCCACATTGAAATTGTTGGTTTGAATGAAAAATCCAAAATGGAACATGATGTTTTTAAAATTATACGAAAATGTTTCAAAATTCGAGCGATCCGAAAGAACGAAGAGATTAAGAAAGCAGTGAAGGAATGTTTTGATTGTAAATAATGAGTTTGGTTGGGGGTTTGAAAAAATTTTTATGTAAGGGGTACGGAATTTTTGGCTAAGGTACTACTGTTAACCTTCTCTTCACTCCTTATCAATGCTCAGGATTATGTTTAATAAAGCCAAACTTTGGAATTTTTTACTGTGAAACCATTCGTTCTCAGCCAAGTTTATAATAAACACTATCAAGTCATTTGTAATGGAATTCTTGTAATTTAAGAAGCTTTTCAATCCAGCAGCCTTATTCGTAAAAACAAACATGGTCTTCTCTTTTTGGAATCTAAAACTAATGGAAATGATTTGTTCACCCTTATTCGGCAGAGTGGTATCATGCGAATTTGTCCATGTCATTGTTAATCGCTTCCCATCACAATGCATTTTCAAGAAATTAATTTGTAAAAGAAATTAATCTTATTTGCAAGTTTATTTCTTGAACTCCAATTGTCGAGATCATCATAATAATAGTATTGTTCCAGGATCAGGTGCACTTGGTTTCTTTAATGTCAAATGTCCATAACGATGGACGAACCAGATCAACGAACATAACTCGACACAGCACTGGGAACTTGAAAAAAAAAGTTCGAGATCACATTTTTCAACAATTACCGACTCGAGTGGTTTCTTGCAATCATCATCAAAGAACGCTCCATTCAAGAATTAAATTTTCATTGATTTACTTGTGCAGAGTATTAGAGATCATCACCATTTTCGGAGAAGGATTTTTAATATCATCATCATATTAGGCTTGTTTATAAACAACAACAACAAGGTTTTGTTTTAACCTCAACATATATTTACCCCGTAATCACGACCAGTCAAATTTGAATGCTCATCATCATCAATTAGACTCATCTAATCATTAATACTCAATTTCTATGAAATCAGCACAATCATCAAGCACAAGTGTGGATGAGGAATTGTTTGATAGGAATCAATTGGCGAATATTCCTTCACGATCAGTTGCTCCAATCTCCATTCAACAACAACAACAACCACCCATCAACCTCCATAATACCACCAATAACAACAACATAACTGTAATGAATCACTTGAATCAGTTACAACAACAATCCAAAGCCTCTCCTCTTTCTCCATCCCGAAGGAATTTACAACCACAACTTTTTGTCAGTGACAGTCTTAACAATGATAACGATCTTGCTGAATTTGAAACGAAGCAACATTCGGTTTCAACGTCGACGAAACAAGCAACTTTTTCATTGCCATCGAAAATAGTGTCCCCATCCAACTTTGATCAAGCTACAGTACGTTTTGTTTATTTATGTGTGATTAGTGCGTGATAACACTTCTCTCATTCAAAATCACAGGCTAATATTTGTAATCATCCAATGACTGCCGAGAATATTGCATATGGACCAACAATTACAAAATCACCAACACATGCAATCAATACTCAACATATTTCTTACAATCAACAACCACCTTTCAGAGACGACATTTCCGAGACTTATAATGTACATACAATTTCTGACAGCACTGCATCAATAGCATCGTCACAAGGAGAGACCTTTTCGTTCTTTGAAAGCAGTTTAATAACGTCCCCTGATACAATAGCGCTGGAAGGAAAAAACTTGAACGACGATCTTCTTATGCGACAGGTTACTTTTCCTTTAGATCGTGAAGTCATATGTTCAATACAAAGTCAAATGCACAGCGCCCTTCATGGGTATGTTCTAGAAAAAACCAAGCCAATTGAAGAAAAAGAGTAAGTATTCATTATCATGAGATATCTTCATAATTTTGAAAATGCTTAAAATAACTTGCCATTTATTGCTGAATAGAATGCATACATCTCCTCAATGCCTACGACTGCTTACAAACATTCGAGAACTCAACCTTTCAGACAATCATTTGTATCGCTTTCCATTTAATTTACTCTTTCTATCACTACCTCCACTGCTTGCTCCCTTTGCTCATCATCAAATACCTAACAGAAAGCCTTGTGATAATATTTATGTTTTACCAAACATCACAAAATTGGATATTTCAAGAAATACTTTAAAAGTGTCCAGAATTGAATCAATCATTAAGAAACAAAAAAATTTTGAGAAAACATTGGAAAAGGAACGACGGGATTATCTTCGAAGTGAAAATGCATCTCCACAACGAAAAGTCTCACTTTCTCTTTTCAAAAATAGCCAAGAGCAAAAGGATTCTAACAATCCATCTCAAGACGACGAACACAAAACGTATCGATATGACAGTCTCAGAGAGTTAAAGATGAGCTTCAACCAACTCAAAATTTATCCTCTGTTTGTTCACACATTTTTTCCAAAATTACAAAAACTGGATCTAAGCTTCAATCACCTAAATTCTGAAAGTATTGAAGTGTCAGAAAAGAGAAACTCCAACAGTTTACAAACCATGTTCGAGAAAGACAAAAACGATTCCAGTAATAGAGGCTTGGGGATAAAAAAGAAGCTGAACTTTTTCTCTAGGAAGACTCAACATACACACAATGCGGACACTTCCTCTCTTCCAGCCTCAGCACCTGTGGATATGCCTGAAAATAGTCCAACAACACTCAACGATCCTCATGCTTGGTCGCCGAATCAAAGTACAAGCCCTGACGAAAAGATATTTTCTTTAAAGCATTCTAATCCTTACAATACCAACGTACGGTATTTTGAGGCAGGTGTTGCAGATCCTTCCCTTTCAGATCTGGATCTTTCAAGCAATTTATTCAAAACGTTCCCACTAACTCTTAAATTAAGAAATCTCAGAATTTTGAAGCTCAACAAGAACGTACAAATGAATCCCATGGCAGACAAATCAGCCGTCCACCATCAAGATGTTTCGAAAAAAGAATTTAAAAGTATGTTATCGGAACATGCTGAGAAAGGATTTGATTTTGAGGCAGACTTACAAAGAGTCTGTAGAGATAATTTACCGAACTTGGAACATGTAGAGATGATAGATTGCAAACTAGTGACATTTCCTTCCAATGTAATTAGTATTGAAAGTTTGAGGACATTTATTTTTGATAGAAATCCATTTGGAGCTGGAAGTGTTCAGCATAGGAATCAACAAATTGTACAAAAAGTGATCATGTTATCAAAGAATGAGAAGGAGAAATTTACGGAGGATCAAGAAATTGATGACTCGCTTCTTCGTGGTTTTCCAGACCTCTTCCATTTAAGAAACAAATTCAATATTACAAGGTTATCAGTGAATCACTGTAGGCTAAATCTAGATCAAGACTTACCTCGAATTTTGAAAACCTTACCAAAACTCAAAAGTTTGAAAGCTGGTAACAATTTAATTAAGGGGAAAATTGATACAAGCAATTTTGAAGTTTTCCACAATATTGAAGATTTAGATTTATCCAATAACTTTTTACAGGGGTTTAATTTTAAGGTTTTTCCCAACCTGAAAATATTGAACTTGGAAAATAACAAAATTCAAGAGGATTTGGTTTGGGTACCTTCAACATTGACCTATTTCAATGTACAGAACAACATGTTTAGCGGAGATTTAGAAAAGGTATTGGTGCTTGGAGAACAAAACTCTATCTCTCAACATTCATATTGCCAAAATTTAGAAGAGCTGATTGTTTCTAGTAATAACTTCACATCCATACCTTTCATTGATTGCTTCCCCACTCTGCGAACGTACAAGGTTTCAAATAATGCCCGAAGTATTTCTCAGTTCCCTCTTTCAACCAATAGTACCATAGATTTACATCATCTTGAAACGGTGGAGATTGCCAATCATGGAATCATGGAGATACCCGCTAGCTTCTTTACTCGGTGTCCAAATATCACATATTTAGACTTGTCCAGCAACTTTATACGAAAGATTCCAGATGAAATGGGAAAAGCTTCCAAAATTACTCATCTCTTTCTCAAATACAACGAAATTGTGGACTTGGATGACAATGTCATTATGAAACTGACTTCATTGAAACATTTAGAGGCCAAACAAAATTCGAAACAATTGTCTGAGCATATTGAAACGGAGACACCATTAAGAAAGTGGCTTCTAGAAAAGCAAGTAGATATTTCTGAGAATAGTTTCAAAGTACCTGACATGGTTGAAGAAAACCTTTATTTAGGATGCAAACAAGCGTCGTCACACTATTCTACGATCAAAAATCTTGGAATTACTCACATCCTTACCATAGCTAGTGAGTTTAATCCAAGATTCCATGACAGGTCTTATGACAAAGTTCCTGATATTGGATCCGACGAAAATTCATACATTGAAACCAGCCACACATTTGTCACAAAACATGTCAAAATGAAGGAAACTCAAAACACTGATCTGATAGGCACATTTAACGAGTGTTTGCCATTCATCGAAGAATCACTCGATCAATCAAAAGGAAAACGAAAATTATTAATTCATTGTCATGTTGGAATTAATAGGAGTGCAAGCATTGTCATCATGTATCTGATGAAAAAGAATTCGTGGACATTATCAGAGAGTTTAAAGTATGTGAGAGAGAAACGATCGCTCGTAATGCCGATGCCAGAGTTTGTCAAGCAGCTTAAGCAGTACAATATTGCTCTAAAGAAGGAAAGGAAACAATTACAGATTGGAACATCATCGAATCAGCCCAACCTCTCTTCAAATGTCGGATCACCTTTACTCGACAATGAAGAGACTTTAGAATAAAAGATTTTTCATACCAATGACACAGCTTAATTGGTCATACAGTATTGACTTTATAATTATAGCAAAGTCTCTAGAAAGGTTTATGATAGCACAGTTTGTAAACTCTGGTATGTGTGTGATTAGAGACCAAAAGGATAAGTTTCCTCCAATTCTTTCTTTGCCCATTCATGTTGAGTATCCAAAGGATGCACTGCTCGTGTCACATTAAAGTGAATCAAGGCATCGAACTGTTTTGAGACCTTGGCTCCAAAATAATGCGACACCTTCTCTGTATGAGGACGATATATAACTCCAATTGCTCTCTCTTGTCTAGATTTAGCCAAAGCCTCCACTAATTCATTATCAATCACAATGTCATTCACTCCAGTGGCAGAAGAAGCTGCAGTCGCGCTATTGTCCCTAAAGATCAACAAAAAGTTATCAACGCCCTGATCTCGGGTTGCCTTGTAACATAATTCCTCAATCGATCCTTTCATTCCTGGATTTACCTTTTTATAATGAGGATCTTCATTCCAATTATCTGCTGCTGTCACAGATCCCGTATAGGTACTGAATCCGATAATGTACACCTTATGAAGAGGGAGATTCTCTCGACACAGTCTTCCAATGTTAAGTTCTCTACCAGCTCGATTAATCTTATCAGTTTGTGAGGCATCACCTACATGTGAGTTGTGGGCCCAAATTACTACCTTTGCCTGTCTTTCATAAGTCTTCTCATAATACTTGAGAATTTCTTGAAGTGTTTCGAAAAAGTGAGAATCTCTAATGTTCCAACTACCATCAAGGAACATGGCTCGATAGTACTTTTCAGCATTCTTCACAACGAGAGCATTCTGAACAGCACAAAATAAGCGATCTTCCTCACTGACTGACTTGTCATTTTCAAAAAAGTCTTTCGTACGAGACTGCAAGTCGATCAAAACCTTCATGACTTTTTCTTGACAATCCTTTTTAAGGTTAGAAAAAAAGGAAGAGGAACGCTTATTCTCAATGTAATTTCTCATACATTCATAGTCCTTTCTAGCTTGTGATGCAGCTTCTGGATCAGTGGACTCTAAATACTCCAATACTGCATGCATACTTCGATCAGAACTGTACAAATCTAGTCCATAGAATCCAACTTTTTCCTTTGTATTGCTAAATTTCTTATTATATTCACACAACCATTCTAAAAACTCTTTCGTTGGAGTATTTCTCCACATCCAAGTTGGAAAACGCTTAAATCCAGCAAGAGCGTCCACACTACTGCACTGTGTAACATTCCTTACATATTGATTCAATTGAAAACAGTCTGGAAAATCAGCCTCTGCAGCCACACAATTAAATCCCTTTTCTTCAATGAGTCTTTTCGTAATCTCTGCTCGGTGTTTGTAAAACTCGTGAGTTCCATGAGAGGCTTCTCCAATGAGTACGATTTGAGCATTACCGACGGCTTTGATCAATTTGTCATAAAATGAGAGGGATTGATGATGAACCTTGGAGAGATCTCGAAGCACGGGTTCCCAGTTTTTACGGATCAAGTCAATTTCTCTTGTGGTCATTTCGGGAATTGAATGAATGGTTCTTCTTTTTTAAAAATTGTGAATGTGGTTGTTTTTTGTAGAATTTTATGCAAAGCTCTATGGAAGGCAAGTGCAGATCTTTGGTTCATGATGATGATGATGGATATAAAAGGAATATTTCTGAATAGACTTTAAAATATAAATCCCATTCCAATAACTGACTGAAACTCTCTCGGAGCTGTTTCATCAATAATTATAATAATAATAATAATAATTATAATTATTCAAGCATTGTTATTCACACTTGTTTTATCATTTTTTTTTTAATGAAAACATTCCATGTTCGTTCATTGCTTGATAAATCTGTTTGAGGTACTTTCATGAGTGTCAACTAAGCTGGCGAAAAAAAACAATGACAAGTTGTATTTCATTGTTCTTTTTTTGTACTTTTTCAATTTAATTGATACATCTTTGACATTGATGTTATCTCGAGAAAATCATGATTGAATTGTTATAATACCCAACCAATGCCAATCCAAGAACAATCTTCAAATAGACTGTTTCATTCTGATTGAATAAATGCATACGTCCACGAACGAAAAGTAAAAATAACATTGGTCCTCTAATGAGCGCTCTACAATTTCCACTTTGTTTCTCTTCTTCCTTCTATGCTCATTATTTCATGCATGAACCAAGATATATTCTCTCATTGCTGAAGATGATACAGTACCAGTAACTCTTGGTTCTACCAAACCTTTTTTCGTCCGAGGTTGGATCCGCTCAGCGATTTCATCCTCTATTTTAGTAGCGTATGAATAGTTTCAGCATTAAAGCATCCTTATCAAGTGTGGACCACAAACAAAAGAAAATAACAACGCTAAACCTAGAGAGCTCTCTTCTAACGATCGAAACTCTTCTTTCTAATAATAATATTCCCTTCTGTCCAATTATTATAATACTGCCACACACGACGACCTAAACATTGTTTGTAAATATATTTAACACCATGCACTTGCAACCAAAAAAGCTCTACGACAAATCTCTCTTATTTGACCATTTCAACCACTCATCACTCGACAATGCCAATAACAAACGAAAATCACAATCCTCTGAAAATTTAGATTTAATTCTTCAAGCTTCGTTGAATCAATTGAGTCGAGTGTTGAAGAAAAAGTACTTTTCATCGGCTTCTTCATCATCCTTGAGTAGTGAACAGCAACAACAACCTCATGAATCGTTGTCTTCAGAATCGTCCAAGTGGCTCACTGGCCCTCAAGTTGTTGAATATGTCACTAATCATTTAACCTTTCCTCAATGTCATAACTGCTCACTGGTGCACTTGGCAGCTCGATACAACAAGGTGGATATTCTCAATTTGTTGCAATCATGTTGTTGCGATCAAACGTGTTCTAGTCCAAACACTTCAAATTCTCTATTATCATCTTTTCAAAACAGTTCACAGGAATCGTTTGATGCTGCCAACCATCATCATCATCATTCAAAGGAATGTCTTCACAGACAAGAACATTTATGGTCTCTCCATGACTCGAATAATTCAACGCCCTTGTTTTACGCATGCTTGGCCTCCAAGACGAGTGAGCTTTCAAATGTCAGCCCATCCGTCGAGCCATCATTCATGGATCCAGCTCAATCCAATTATTCGCCAGGAATGTACAATGCTGATGTGGCCAACGCCGATCACGAGTGTGTTGTCTTTTTATTGAGCCAACAAGCAGTGAAAGAAAAGCAATTGAATTATCATTTGGATTCTCATGGAAATCTGCCAATTGTCATTGCGTTGAGACGAAAAGATTATGTACTGAGTGATTTATTGATCTTGTTTGGAGCCAAACTCAGTGTAACAGTAGGATTAGGTATTGGTGTCTCTGAATCACTCCTCCACTTTGCCATGAGAGAACGAGACTTAAAACTCGTTCGATATATTGGTACACAATGTCAGAAAACAATTTTAAAGAGAAATCAACGAGATGAAAATGCATTATTTGCATGTTTAAGAGATTTCAGAAGCAATCAACACAATAGTTCAGGACGAGTGAATTCCAATCTTTCCATGCATGCAGAATTCTTAAAACAAGTTCTAACTTCTGGTCCATCCATTTTTGGAAATGACAATTTTCACAAGGCGCTGCTCACTAAGAATTCGTTTGGTAGAAATTTATTACATGAATCCATAGTGTTGAATGATTTGGAATGTATGAAAGCGATTTGTCATTATTTGGTTGTTTCCAATCAACAAGCGCCTTCCAATTCTTCGACTCCTATTTCACACATGTCTCCTTCTGAATTTTCTGACAGCTCCTTATCTGTAAATACCAACTCGAGCTCTAGTTTACAATCTCTTTCTCCAAAACTCGGGACAACTTTTAAGGGTAGGTCACCTCGACCTAACCAATCCTCCATGACTTTGTTAGAAGCAATGACATTTGACATGGACAAGCAAGGAAACACTATTTTACATTCCATGACTTTGGCAGTTATCAACAATACATCCTCAACCTTGGATGATTTCATGTGGTTATTCGATGGTTTACGTTGGATCCTCTCATGGATGGAAAACACTTTCAAACCTTCCTTATTTGATTCTCCCTTAATTTCACATCCACCCATTTCCAACTTTGCTCTCAATGTTCGAAATCACGATCACCTCACCATTACCGACATGGTCCATCTCGCAAGAAAATCCCACAATGAAAAAACCGATTGGGCTCTCTCAGTGCTCTCCGAAAAATTACGAGAAACTTTTAAAAAGTGGAAAGAAATAGATTCATCGATTTGTTATCAAACTGGAATTGATCAAGAAGAGAATGATGATTCTGTGATGGGTGGTGGTTCATCCATCTATTCGTCGTCGAACTCTCAAATGTCAGGAAGTGGTTCGTTCGGTGATTCAGTGCCATCGGTGAGTACGAGTGGTGGTGTCATGAATTATGGATCTTCGTCACAGCAACATAATTTTTCACCTGAGAATCGAATGGGATCGAAAAAATCATTTTTGGGATTCTTTAAAAAGTTTAAGAGACCAAAGAATGTTTTTCCTGCTTCTGCTCCATCACCCAATGATGAATAAAGAGAAGTACAGAATTGTTGAACAAGTTGTGATGACTTTTAATGGTTATACGAAAAAGATTGACATTTTAAGGAATTGTTAAAACAGCATGCGTATAACTTGGAGTTGGATGCAGTGAATAATTTGCATTGATTTTCTGTCAACAACCAAGGAACGTTGGAAAGCGAGAGTACTTCATCTACTGAACCTTTCTTTTCAACATTCAAAATATTCATAACCTTACTTTCCAAATTAAGAACTGCCACTTGAGATCTCTGATCATTGACAGCTCCAATCCAGACATGATCTACCACCAAACGATGAGTCAACAATTCTGAAAAATCAGGTTGTGGCAATGTCAAAATCGGTCCCATTTCAGAATTGTCCTTATAACTCAACACAGATTTCATTCCAATCAACATTAAGCTGTCATACGTTGGAAGAAAGGAGTTTTTACACACAAACGAAGCATGACCGTATAATTGTAAAATTGAGAATTCCATGACTTGCATAGGAGTTGGAGCAGAACAATCGTAGAGATTGAAATTCTGTGAGGGAGAGGAAACAGGGCTGAATTGATAATAACCATTACTGACATCGACAAAATACATGTAAGAGGAATAACTACTGCCTCCGTTCATTACAATGGCCAAAATATCATCTTTGACGAGTGACATTCCACCAATTCCAGCTTCTCCTGAATGGTCTGGAGGACTATTCAAATGCACAATGGACAACAAACTTCCATCACTCGAAGCAATTTTGTAAATCGAAAGACCAGTGCCCACATATAACAAGGTTTGTCCAAATCCATCCTGAACGGTCAACAAATTTCCAGACACAGGAGAAGGATACGAACTTGCTTCTCTCAAGGTTGCACTCCATTTGATTTTCATGGTTGGAATATCCATCGCTTGAATATAATTCGAAGAAGAAATCACCACTTGGTTATTGACTTCGTCCAATGCTAGACCTGCCATTCGATAAAAGTGTGAAGAGAGATGATAACTTGAAATCGTGGATGCATGAGATTGAATGAGAGAAGATGGTTGGAATTGAAAGAACCTTGAATATTGGTGTCATTGGTTGCAAAAACGAATAAATCTCCCTTGCTGTTGCTGACCATGGAACAAGTTTTGCAATAATTGGGAAATGACAAGTTCGATGGTAGGTTGTTCAATGCATGCAAGGGAACGAAGGATATTTTTCCAGAAATTAGATCTACTTGACACAAAATGAATTGATTAGTGGCAGATGTGAGAAGGAAAGACATGAAGCCTTTGGAAGAGTCGACCACACCTTGCTCAGTGAAGAGAGTCCAGTTGTTGATGAGAAGCATGTTGGAGGAGACAGACCAGTCTGGATGGGCTGTGTTAAATGGAGCTCTATTTGATAGAAATTCGTCATGAAGTGTTTGAGTCCATGCAGAGTCTGATTTGACATTTGGCATGCTCTGACCCTTCTTGCCAACAGAAGGATTGAGAGAAATGGACAAGGTTTGAACTGTAGTTGACCATGCAACGAAAATGACCACTACCAAAGCAACAGTTGTCTTTGTCATGTACATTGTGTTATTTTTTAGTTTGCACTGGTTGGACTACACAACGCTTTTAATAGATTCATTGGACATAGGTCGTTATTTATTGGATACAGGACTTTTAACAACTGTTACAAAATCTGCTCCGTTCAGAAATTGGAAAGGATACCAAATGCGTAAAATTTGTGGTTTCGCGCTCAAAAATTTACCTTTATTTTGGGTTAGAACTTTTTCCAAGGTTGGAAGCGAACGTTGCGGTACTAAATTTCCGTTTTCCTGATTTGCAATGGAAACATCTGCCGTTCTTAAATAATTCGAAAGTGTCTGCGCGGTTGTAAACGGTTTCTAGTTTGCAGCCTTATAGCGTTTACAAGAGAGAACGCTTCCTCGATATTGATGTTTATGAACACAGGTTTGAAGAAAGGAATTTTATCGATGAAAAACATGTTTGCAAAAACCAATTCGTCAAAACAAAGCGTTGCAGAAGTGGAAATACGTTATTCTTCTAATAAAGAGAAATAGTGTGATATTTTATTTTTTAAAAAAATAGTCGATTAATCAACCGCATTTTCAAAACTCATTTCCAAAATAGTTTCATGGATTCAAGCCTCTGCTTGCAGTTGCTTGGATTTTTCATCAAATATTGATCATTATTGGAGGATTTTATTGGACAACATCAATTTGGATATTTACATTCGGAGGAGAAGATACATCGTTTCCGATTGTATTAAAGAGTGTATCTATCGGGAGTAATAGTGTTTGAGAATGTCAAAACGTACACGTGCTTGTAGCGATGACGAAGAAAACATTTCACGTGGATCGGAGAATGATTATTTTCATACAAATACAATTTTGAAAGATAATAACACAACATGCACAGATAAATCTAGTATTGAAAAATTGGCTTGTAGTAGTAATAACCTTGAAGATGATTCTACACGGACTCATTCAACTGCCCAAAATAACATGACATCAACAACATTAGAAAATAACAATTTATCGATTGCAGAATCTCCACTTAAGAAAGTTAAATCGAATCATGAAATTGATGCTTTACCTCAACCGTCAAACGACATGAATGGAACCAATGTCAATCGTGAACACAGTCCTAACTTTATTCCTCCATTCGTGGCAACAGAGGATGATCCATTTGATGCTTTGTCTGGAAGAAATTCCATGACTGAACCTGAAAATATTTCTTCCTCAATACTAAATGCTGAAAACGGTGAGCCCTATAATGACACTAATCAACCTGAAGAACGATATCTTTATAATGCTGCTACTTGCACTTTTACTCTTCCTTCTCTTCCATTTAACAGAGAGACCACTCTTCCAGTCATGGCAAGCAATAATACTTCAAATGACGATGACGAATATGAACAAATCATTGCTCGCCGATATGACGATCCCTATTACACCACCTCCAATTCCTCTTACTCGACACGCTTATATTCCTTCGACGAAACTCATCAACAAGAAGAAGAATTCGAAGATTCTTTCATTCATGAAAACTATGAACAGAATGGTTGGTCTCGCAAAACACACCATCACATGACAGATTGGGACAACCACACTCAAATTCCTTCCTCTCATCAACGAAAACGACGAGCCCTTGTTAACAGTACCACCAATCACAACAGCAGCCTTTACAATTCTTTCACGCATGACCATGACAATGAGGAGAGGTTGTATGGTGCTTCTTCTTCCTCTTTTGCAGATGAATCCGATTTGGTGCCTTACCATTTAAAAAAATACTCTTCGTTGCAGCGAGAAGACGTCGAACCAAACGTTTCTGATCATCATCATACGACTCGTCGGAAGACAAACAATTGGAATCGTCTGTTACCAAATTACAGAATGCCAGTCTTGCAAAATTCAAACGTTGAGAGTAGTACTCCATCCACGTCCTCTCCGGTGCCCTCCACCAATGGTGATAATATGAATGGGCAAAAGAGAGTACAACAAGTAGGAAGTAGCAATAGAGGTAGTGGTAGTAATGGTATGGATGATCCAGAAAATGGTGGTGTTGGCGATTTGGCTCCCAATAATAATGGTAATCCTCTTGATCATCATGAAAATGGTTTGAATAACCACCCACAAATCAAAGAGAAGAAGACCATTCTGATATCGGATGTAGTCAAATACCGACATTTGGTTTGTATTCATACCAAATCGTTTTCAGAAAATGGTTCTTGCTTGTTGATTAATTTATATTTGGACAGGACAAGTCCATACTCGTGTAAAGCACCATCTGCACCTTCAGCATCATCGGCAGAACCAGTTATTGAAACATCATCATCAACAACAACGTGCAATCAATTCATCATCACTGCCAAGAGTGATCTTAAAAAGTTTATCACGTTACTTTCCGAGCATACAAACATTCCGATTCGGTCTGTGTGCTTTAAGCGAACTTTGGGAGAGAGACAAAAGATTGTACCTCTCTCAGCGAATGTGTTCAATGTGTTTCAGAATATTACCGTTTCTAAACCGTTGAAATTATTCATTAATGGAGATGAGTTTGTTGAATTTGACTTTAATAATATGCATGTCGATCATGGTAATGACCTTTTTAAAGAAAAGAAATTCGAGCAGGCTTTGGAGCATTATAATATTTCATTGTCTCATTTCCCCAATGTCGTTCGTGTCATGTCTAACATTGTACTGTGTTACATGAGAATGAACAAAAAGTTTGAGGCATTTAGAGAGTCGAACAACATTTTATTGAAGGAAGCAACCAGCAAGGACAAGGACGACCTTCCATTCTTTGAAAAGTCATATTCTAGAAGAGCACAATTGGCCTATGATTTGACCTCCCAATTAGACACACTCTCGAGTCAAGAATTGAATGAATTACGAGAAATTGTTACATCTATTTTTGAGAAGTCTCCTCTGAAAGACGCATCTCTGAATATTCAACTTAATTATCTTTGTTTCAGTGATATGTGTAAGCACTTCCGTTTGGCTGGTGTTCTGACTGACGCAATAACCGCCAAAAAGAAGGAAGAGTCTAATCCAGCCTTAAAGGTCTCACGAGACTACAAATTGAAGGCATACCACTATTTACTCCACAACGCTCCAGAATATGTAAATTATTGCCTCATCACGTCTGCTCAGTCACAACACATGGCCTCTGTTTCTGCATTCCCACAAAGCCTATTGACCTCAGATATGGTAACACAGAATCCATTGTTCGTAAAACCTCTTCCTTTTTGTTGTGGAGAGTGGTATGAAAACAAATTCCAAGAAGTTGAAGAATTGTTTGCTGTTAAATTATGGAAACCCTTTTACGATAATAACGAAAATATTGATGGAAAGATGGTGGCAGCAGGATCTCTATATATATTTATCATATTTACTGCTCTCAAATACTTGTTGCTGAAACCAGATTTACCCTCATTGCTGAATGAGAATAACTTTAAGGTCATTGACAGAATCATGCATTTCCTACATTTTAATTCTGGATCACCTCCAAAAGCGTTCTTATACATTGACGCCAAGACATCAACAAATACGATAGAGGTCACAGACTTTGTCTCTAAGGGATGTATCGAATTTATTCACATCAAGGTGAAAGATTTCCACTTTATTGTTGAGTTCAAACAACCTGCTTCCAGTACGTTCAGTGTCAGCGACAGCTCCTACGGCGATGTACATAACCGTGTGAAACACTCTCCTTCTGAACAATTCCGAGTGAGAGTGGGTGACGCTTTACCAAGTGAAATATTGAAATAAACAACATGTTCGTAACGCATTATTTAAATCAACAAATCGAACAAAGACGCTGACGTTGCAAGCTTCATAAACTGTTTGGAAGCCGTTACAAAAGCTCTTAAATCATTTGTAATGGATTGAATTGCAGTTTAATGAAATTCAGTTGATATGCTTTAACAATTGTCATCTTTCTGGTGAGAGTTGATACCACTTGAAAGTAGCATCGCCTTAGCTGGAGGTATTTACAAAATTTGGAGTCCATGTTCAGGAGTGAAAATGTATTATTTCAATTTACCAGACAACCAGTCAAAACCTTCATACAATCCTTTTCCAGTTCGAGCCGAGCAAGGTTGTATGAACCACTCTTGTTTCACACTGTTCAAGTTTAATTCCTTTGCAACTTGACTGGCAGACAAAGCTTGAGGCAAATCTTGCTTATTTGCCAAAACAAGTAATTTCACATTTTGCAATTCAGCACTTTCCAGCACTTGATGTAAAGTTTCACGAGCTTCCTCCATTCGATCTCTATCTGCAGAATCCACAATGAATATAATAGCATCATTATTTTGATAATAATGTCTCCATAATTGTCGAATCTTGTATTGTCCTCCCAAATCAAAAATTGTCATTCTCACATTTCTATATTGAACTGTTTCAACATTGAATCCAATCGTGGGAATAGTTGTGACATCTTCATCCAAATGAAGTTTATAGAGAGTTGCTGTTTTACCAGCAGCATCCAATCCAAGCATTAAAATTTTGGCATTCAAATCTCCGAAAAGAGAAGGAAAGAGGTTCGAAAGTAATTGACCCATCTTGTTGTTGTTGTTGTTATTGATTAAGAATGTGAATTATTATTGTACGAAGGAAATGTTTCCGAATTGTGTTTGTTTTTTTCAGTTGTTGTTGTTGAAAAGAACAAGTTGGAATATTTATATTCAAAGTGAGTAAGCAATGAAGAAATTGAATGAAAATATGCTCAGCAGCGAATTTGCATCATCATCATGATGACGCTATTGATGATGTCATTCACAGCATTTTTGTGTTGGCAAAATTTTTGTAAAGTTTTATTTTTGGAAGTGTAAGAACATGGAACATCAACATCTTATTAAGGCTGCCATAGAATTTAAGGTCATTCCGACATTGTAATTTCTTACAAAGTAAATTTGGCGACGTCCACGACATTTGCTTCCTTCTGCATCAAATCGACTTGTTTCCATTTCAAATATTCCTTTCTTTGTTTGAGTGGCATGAAAATGGATGGAAGAATATTTTGAAGGACAAGTTCAATTTTGATCGATTCCAATTGTTGAAAGGCAATCGTCATGGTTGGATTATTGGTGAAATCGGTTAAGAGTTGTTGGAATAAATTACGAGAGTCGGCAGAAAGGTTAACGGAATGAATAATGGCATCCAATTCAAGAATATCGTCCAATGTGAGTTGTTTCTTTTCGAGCTGCTCCAAGACTTCGAAGCAGAGAATGTTTTCAATGGAAAGCAAATTATTTGCAAATGTCTATATAAGGAAATTTGTAAAGTGTGAAATGACACGACGAATGAAATGACGTACCTCTTGTAATTCTCGGAAATTTTCATCCTTCATATGTTCGTACCATTCTTTTTCAAGATAGGTGAGCTCCTCTGATGGTATTTCAGAACACCATGCAGTTTTCATCCATTTCTTGCTGATCAAAAACGAAATAGATTCACATAGCATGACATTTCCTCCAAAGATCATTAAGATACAAAGAAAGAATAATACAATTCCAATTCGGTTAATGATTAGAGTATTCCAAACAAAAATGTCCAACACAATGAGAATGGAGGTCAAAAATATTAAAATTTGAGAAACAATATCCACTCTCAAATGAAACGGATCGTCAAACATGAAATAATATCCAAAACCCTAATGTTTGATATGAATCATAAAAGAGTCCAACACAACAATTCGAACACTTACATGTCTTCGAATCTTGTTCCTATTCGAAAATCCATCAATAACCAAACAAAGAATGGAAAATAAACTCAAAAATCCAAATTGTGTCGTCAAAGCCAACAACGACGCATCAAACTGAAGTGTCCATTCAAATCTTCCGAATTTTTCAATGATGATACTATTCAAAATTCCATAAAAGATTCCAAACCAAAGTCCAAATAAGAGTGCTGACGTGACAGCCACCAACAACAAGATCATGACAGGATGAACCAAAAATTTGAAAATTCTTAAACGAGACAGAGCCACTTGAAAATGTTTTAAAATTTGATAGAGATTTCTCAAATAATAAAACCGAGCAGAGATAATGATATAGGAGGCACTGAGAATGGACATGAAAATGTTTGGAACGGGAATCAGAGGTAGGACATTCTTTCCAACAGTTTTGAAAAGTGACATTAACACAGGTTCAATATACATCAAGCAAATAATCATGATGGACAAGGGTGCAATGTATGGACCAATAATCTTCGTTTCATGGCAGTATTTGTTCTAAATATAATAATTAATATCACATAAAACATCAAGCAACTGCCAATAACTAGAAACAGCATGAAATCTTTCAAAATCAATTCCCAATATTGAGAAACGTCATTGTAATGGAACACTCCTAAATAGGAGTTGTAGCTGCTGTAACAATTAGGATTAGCAAGTTTATCCATCATGGAAAGACCATCTTCTGGATATAGTCGATATTGATTCGTAATATTAACTGCAAACCATGAATCATATTCAACAATAAACGAAGATGAAGAAAAAGGTAATGGAAAACTGTAATCAAAAACGAGAGGAATAGAGAAAATTCTTGCATGATAGTCCTTAACACTCATGGTCGAGTTGAACATGGAACAATCTGTGAAATTGTACGAGATGCTCAACAGTTGCATGTAATTGTTATAATTTTGAATCATGACAGCACTGATCATTGTCAATAACTTGTCAAGCAATGGTGAATGGATCATGGCTGCATCTCTCACGTCTCTTGAAACCGTTAACACTTTTGTTGGTAAATTTGTTGTGAATACCATGAATAAATCAGTCATGGATCGTTGTTCCAATTCTTGAATGGAATAGCCACCTGTTGTTGAATTTCCATCCAATATTAACATGTTGTTCTTAATGGAGAGTGTGATCAAGTCAATATCTTGGGGAGGAGCTAAAATGATGTCACACTGTTCATACCAGTTTCGATTTAAAAACGAATCATGACCCATGATCGATTCAAATCCAGAAATTTGGATCGTCAAGTCTATCTTGTTCAAATACATGGAGGTATTCATATTTTGAGATTGTAACAAAATTCCTGCATCAATCGATGACTCGAGATAGTTGGTCACATTTAAGTTGCAACAACCACATGCCTTGATATTCTGGTAATTCATCGTTTTGGCCTTGTATCTAGGAATTAATCCAACCATTCGTTCCATCGTCAAGACGACTACTTGATCTGAAATTAGGATGCTTTTGTAATAGCTTGAAAGTTTCATCAACAGAGATGAATCTTTCAAAATATCCACATGGTTGAGTTGAATGGGTTCCACAGAAGTAGGTACGTAACTCTCATTCACTTGAATAGAAAAGAGTGGAGTTGAAACAATGCTTTTAGTGGTAAGGTCGTAAAAAACTCGATCATTCACAGAAGGAGTGGTCATTGGAGAGGATGACGTGAAGGTTGAAAGAGAATGTGTCTCCAGATTCAATGCATCTTGAACGTATCTCATACATTCGTAATATCTGTTCATAAATTCTTTGCATGTTCCATTTTCAAGAGAGAACACTGAAGATGCTCGATCAATGAATGGAATTAAGGATTGTTCCATTTTAGAAACTGGACTCACTTTTCCAATCACACCATGATTATAGGCACATGTGTGTAAATCTGCCAATTCTGCAAAACATAAATTCACACAAACTCCGCTCGTTGAGTTGGCACAAACACAATGTGAATAGCCAGGACAATTCGAGACTGAAGGGTTTGAGACACTTGGTCCGCAAGGTATTTGTTTTGGCAATTCAGAGCAAATCTTATTCGCAGCACAATAACCAGAACGACATTGTGCATGATCTTCACATGGCATTTCATTCATTTTTCCAAATATTCGAGTGCATTGCTTGGTATACGAGTCACATTTAGTGAACTTGTACATGAAGTTTCTTCTGAAATAGATTGGATAGGGAGTAGTTCTAAACGAATAACTTGGTCTAATGTTAAACGTGTCATGGCCACCACAAGCGTTGTTATGTAAACACATTTCAGTTCCATTTTTCACACACAACACTCTATTACCCATAAAAGTAGAACTTTGTTTGTAATTCAATGGACAATCTTGATACACTAAAACCATTGAATTGAAAGGATATCGAAAAATATCTCTGAAATCATTTGCCATCAAGTAAGGCACACATGCTTTTTTCGAACTTGTTGCTGTTCTGGAAAAGGAAGTGTGTAATGGTTCACAAGAAGTACCACTTTGACACAGTTTGTAACTCATATCTTGGACGTTTGAGAATTTATGATTTTCTCCACACGTTTCAGATTTCACAGCTCGTTTCGTTTGTAATCGAACACATTGATAATTCGTTCCGTTCGTATTGGAACAAATGGCATTCTGAATACAAGTATCATACGTGTTGTTGAGAACATGTACGAAAGAGAGACTGTTTTGCGAGGTTGTCATGATTGTATAGGCCCCATAACTGTCACTTGTCACAAAAGGATAACAAGGAGCTCCAACCGGAAGCGTTGGATTTGGCTTCATGGTGGTACATCTTCCTTCATGACAATTCGTGGTGATCTGTTGGAGTGATCCCACACATGAATATCGATCGACACATGCGTCTCCCTGTGCCCGTGTATTCGTAAAGGTACATTTTCGAGTACGTGGAGAACAATGAAGAAAGTCAAAGACACAATTCGTGAGATCGAGATTGGGACCTTCACCATCGAGTTCATCCATTCCAGGAGAATTGGACGAGGGCTCAAATTCACAATCTTTGCGGTCCACAATTTCATTCAACAAATCCATGACACGGACACATGCAAAATTCACATGCGCAGAGTTGTTGCTCGTCATGGTCATCATTTCTCGTTTAATAAATCCAAAAGGACATTGAATTCCTGCTGCTTGTTGTTGTTCATCCAAAATAGTTGCAGTGAGAGGAATGAGAGACGTATTGGCAATGGCACAAAAGGATAAACCAGAAGGTGAAGAGGCGGATATAGTTGTTGTTGTTGTTGTGAATGCGGAGATGGTGTCGGTTGATGACGAGAAAATTGGCTCTTGGAATAATAAAATCAAAATCCATACCATCGTGATGAGAGTCCAGGAATGAATGGCGAAATCATTCTTTCGTCGTGTCGAAGAGGAAGAAGGATCAGTAAAATTCATTTTCGAACGGAAAGGAAAGATTATGGCATCTAGAGGGATGATGGATTTATTGTTGGAATATTTAAAGAGAGACGTTCCATGATGCGGAGAGGAAGGATCACGTCGAAAAGGATGATGATGTAATTTGTGCATTCTCTCATACGGAAAGTGAGCAATTATTATTTGTTGTTGTTTCGGAGAGTATTTTGTTTTTGACTTTGAATTTCAGATGTGTGACATCGTTCGATTCGTATTCTGGGATTTTTCAATCCATTTGTGGTAACGTTTTTGTTTGTGGCGAATAAGAGACCATTAGACCCTTGAAGCGTGTGGTAACAAATGGCTTGAAACCGCTATCGAAATTTCATCTCTAGAGGAAGACATTGAAATTGTGTCAATCGAGCAATTCGACGAGATGGACAAATTACTGGCATTTAACATCAAATTTTCGGTGTCTTGAGTGAATTCGTCATAGCTTTCGTTGTCAGAAAAATCACTTGCCTGTTCGAAAAATTTCTCATCCAACTCCTCGTTATCTTCATAGTCACTGGTATGATATTTGGCCAAAATATCAGTATCTTCGCTGAAAGAAGACAGAGTGACATCCTCTAAATCTGACGCATTCTCTTTGAGGGCAGAATCAAACTTGTGCTTTTCAAAATACTTCAGAACATCATCAAAACATTTTTGCACAGTTTTAGAAGTAGCAACAGCGGTAGAAACGGTAGAGGGAAACACTGAACAAATTTCGTCATATTCTTTTCCAAGTTGTCTCGAATCTTGTTCGTCACATAAATGGGCAGAGGTTGTCGTAGAAGTGATCATCGAGTTTGTCGATTTGGAGGACGGAGAGGAGTGTCTACTACAGCTCTCCATTCTCTCTTTAACAAGCTTCTTATCTGGAGAAGCAAGTAAGTTGATATATTTGTCAACTGTTTCAGCTTTCTTTTTAGTGCTTTGCATTCGTTTCATTGATTTTTCGAACCTCTTGTCTGTAGTAAGGACAGGTTTTGAAGTGATGCTTGTTTTCCTTCTTTGTTTTTGCTTTTCTGGCCCTTCTGTTATCATAGAGCTCCTAGTGGACTTTGAACTGGCTGAAGACGATGAACAATTTGAATAGTAGCTGGTTGTGGTGTTAATTCGTTCAGGTTTTGTCATAGCTTTGTTTTTCGATTTAGTGGATGAGGTTGGGTCTAGTTTTGATTTCTTAGAGCTGGTTGGCTTTGTAACAATTATACGGGGATGCTTCGAATGATCTAGATCAGACAACTGATTAAGTCGAGAGGTGTGGGTTGAAGTTGGTGGTGCTGTTGACGGTGAAACTCTTCCACCTGAGGTAGTTGAGGAAGGTATCGAAATTACTTCTGATGCGACGACAGAGGGAATTCTTCTTCAATTCTTTTTTCTTTTTCTTTTTTGAAAGAGCTCCTTTGGGAGAAGATCGAGCAGAGTTACTTGTCAACTCTTCTTCCAGCACCATCGAATTCGCAGTTGGGACCAATACTGGAGTAGGTTGGCTAGGGTTTGTGGTCATACAATTTTCTTCCTGCTGCGTGGAAGTTTGTGTCTCTTGAGATGATACACTCTTTTTCGTTAAATTGTCAACTATCTTTCGAAACTCATCAGTATCCATGACTATCTTGTTTTTTCTGTCTTCCTTACTTTGCATTCTTGAATTATACTCGTCCATCTTAGCTTTCAGAGACTGATACGAATCTCTGGAACGATCATTCTCATCGTAGTGTAAATAATACTCCCAAGGTGTCTTATCTCCATACAGCCGGCCCATCCGTACTCGCTTAAAGAAATTATTGGGTTCCTCTGGATTTCGCTCATACCTCGCCGCTGGATCATACTTGGAATTAAGGGTGACACTTTTGATTGAAATGGGATTGTTGTTCATGTAAATAGTATGAGTTTCGTATGGTTTTGAACTTTTTGGATACATATTGTGTTGATGAAAAAATGAACCCACATTGTTTTCCTTATCCAGGTCGTATTGCTTCTCGTGGGGATTTGAATCAATTTTTGTGAATTCCGAAGATCTACATGACTTGTAAGAAGGTCTTAAGGTGTCACAGATTCTCCTTTGTATCCAATTAATCTTGTCAGCACTGATTTAGTATCAGGAGAATACGGCCGAAATTGTTTGTCATCCTCAATCTTGTATTTTTCCATCAAATCTCGTCCTTGTAAAGGATTGCTTTTTTGTTGAATTTCATCTTGTGACAGTTGCCATTTTGGAGTCTCCTTGACTGAAGAGCATGCACTGCATCTTGAACAGCAATTCGCTTCAGATTCTGCTTGACGTTTCCACTGTGTTTCATCTCCAAATCGATTCATTGCAGAAGTGTAAGCTCCGCTTCCCAATCCATACCCATCTCGTGCTTCATTGGTTGCTGAAAATCCTCGTACCGGATCGTACGAATACGAATAAGGAACGTAAGAAGATGTCATGGTAGGTGGTCTTGATGTTGAAGCAGCAGGAGTAAAATATGAAATTCCCGAACTCCTTAATCCATTTCCTTGAAATGACCCCATCTCATGGATCCTTCCATTTTCATGATCGAGTACGGAATTACCTCTTCCACGACAAGCACTGTGCTCCATCGTTGCACGGAATGCCTTCTCCTCCTCGTCGTGTTGTCGTTGTTGCATTATTTTTTTTTCTGTTACATTCTTTTTGTAATTTGTTTGGAGGGAAATGAATTTTCGAGGGAAAAATTTCTCCCTGTAATAATAAAATCATTTGAAACCATCATTCTAATTGACTGAGGATCCGAGAGGATGATGATGATCGTGAAAAACACTTTCCAATTTCTCAAACAGGTCAAGTATTTTCCAACAAGAACTCCAAGCCAAAATAGAAACGGAGCTCCTTCCCAAGTTTTTCAGCTGAAGCATGACGTTCGCAGAGTCTTTGTGCGTCTTTGGATTTTTTAAACGTTCACTCAAAAAAAAGCACTCACAAGGCTAACGCATTTTCTCTCATTTTCTTCGTTGCAAATTTTAAACAGTCATTCTCGGGAAAATAGTTGTTAACGGCAAGAGAGTCTTGGAATTTACTCGTATATATTGTAGAGGATACAATCATTGGAAACCGCTCATTGGTACACGCAAAGTTAATTTATTATAGGCTATAATATCTATTGTATTGGAAATGGTCAATTTGAAAATACTGGATTATATTTGTTGTTGTTTTGTTTCTCATGCTGATGAGAGAAGTGAATTACCTTTCAGCCAATTGTCAAATCCTTCTCCGAATACAGCCTCACATTCGGACGTTTTGGATACAGCAACAGATGATACATGTGAGAGTTCGGAAATGGTTATTGGATTGTCCCAGGAACAATTCCAAACCATGATTGATCATATCAAAAATCAAATGGACTTTGATGATGACAAGTCAAGTTATATTCTTGAATATTTAACGTCGAACAACGTTTGCATTGATACAGAGCAAGCACTGGCGTTTATTGAGGCCATACATTTTTCAAATGCGAAAATTGTGTTCATTGAGCAATTATTGCCTTATATTGTTGACTTAAAATCTGGAAAGAAGAAACTCGTGAGCACCATTGGGTTTTACAATGACAAAATCAAAGTCAAAAAGCTCATTAGTGAACATTTGAAACAACGAAAGTTGAATGGAACGTTTATGAAACCATCAACATCAACTGTAAATCAACCAAGAACAAACTCAAATTATAGACCCATTGGAAATGACTCTACAGAGTTGGATAGCTTTTCTAATGGCAAACCTAAACAGATATCAGGTAGAAGCACGCCAAATTACCAAAATAGTGGCAACAACACGTCCTCTGAATACTACACCACGAGAAAGTAATATGGATGTACAGTGAAGTATGTACCACCGCTCATTCTGGTACCACAGATAACACAAGCACCAATGTGTACACAATAGTGCTTTCACATGTTCACATGCACGACATCCTGTGAACAGATTTAATAGCTTTTCCTTTTTCTCTTTTTAAATCCACATGTACATAAGTTCATCATGTCACACACAAGATCCAATATTTCTCTCTCAATCTCATAACCCTCTCTATCATCTCAAAAGATGATGAGTCGTCGTCTCATTCAACGATTTTTCTCAAGAGCTCATCCTGCTGTAATTCCGAATCAATAGAATTTAATTAAAAAAACAAAAATGCTAAACTCGGGTACTACTGCTTGCAAGATTCTAAAATCCTTCTTGTCGTCATCAAATCGTGTAATCCATCATCAACATTTAATATCACAATACGGGTCATGGAAGTCAATGTTCTTCTTTCACACTTCGATCACGACAAGCTTTTATTGGCAAATTCCTTCCGATATTAAATTAGACGGAAAAGTTTCAAGAGCACAAGGAAGTAGTAACAAACCAAAACATCATGACGAATCTGTATTGTTCGAAGATGCCAAAAATCTACCACAAAAACGAAATGAATTTGACAAGTGGCAGTCAAAGGAAATATCAGCCACCAAGGATCTTTCAAAAACGCTTCAACAATCAACAACAAAAGAAACATTCCTTCAAAACAATCAACAACTATTTGACGCTCTCATTCAACACATCAATTGCATGTTATTGGCTCCTAACGCAAAAAGCATGATACACTTTTATGAAAAATTGGAACACGTCTTTGATTCTATTCGTGACACTTTACAACAATTGAATGATCCAGAATTCCAAAACTCAATTTCACAGGAATGGATCAAAAAATTTAGAGATTTACAAATTCAACCTGATCAATCCTATGTTGGTTTTATTGGACTTGGACGTTTTTATTTAATGTTGGGCCAATTCGAACAAGCAAAATCTGTGTTCCTCACTCTCAATTTAATTGACAATCAAATGGGCATTGAAAAAGGAGGTACTGGTCACACGGACTATCCAGCACTCTATTTTTCGTTTGTGTACTTGATCAGAATTTACCATGAATTGAAACAATGGGAAAAAGTAGATGGTTGTCGAAGAGCTATTCTGGACATTGAGGGAGGTGGTAGTAGTCAAGGAGTGATTTCTCCCTTATTAGAAAAATATTATCCAGAAAATATTATCATCAACAAATGAAACTTCAATCAAACGACTCATCAAGAAGCAAAAGTAGCGGCTGGCTTGAGAAATATACAATTAATTCAATAAAACTACATGGAGGCTATTCGTGAGATTATTACAAGTCCTCTGAGTCACTACTATCTTCGACGGTTTCCCAATCGTTGTCATCTTCACTGTTCAAGAGGTCATTATGACTTTCGAACAAGATCTTGGGAAGTCTCTTCACATGTTTAACAGTACTTTTGATTTTTTCTCTTTTCACTGCTGCAACATAAGCACCACGCTTGTCACAAATACATCTTGTTTGAAAATCAATGATAACGTCAGGAGAGACTGAAAACAGTCTGTGTTCATCACTTCCAGATTTTAAATACTGTCGATATTGCTTTTCCAGTGCCTTGCTAGTTTTAGCATCAAAATCCGTGTCATATCCATATCTTTTTCTCCATTGATATTTGTATTTTCGTTTCTGATCTCCTTTAGGATCCAAATAGGCGTCTTTGAAGAAGTTCCGTGTCTCAGGATGAAAGCTACCAACGAATTGGCGACCTATTAGCGGAAGGTTCTTTGTTATTTCGAACTCTATCATTCATACTTACCTGGCTCCACAGTGATCCACTTGATCTTGCGAGGGAGTGTACTTCTTTGTTTTGAAGCATGCAAAATTTTGTTAATATCATTCAGAGAATAATCAAAGAAAGGTTTTTTGTGGAGGACATGCTTCACCCACCTCAATCTTCTTGAAATTTGTTTGTACAAATTGTAAGCATTTCGCCATCTGCAGGAAGAATAATTCAGTTCAGCATAATCATGAAGCTTTGATGGCTGCAACAATTGCTCTGTTTTTTCGAGGGTGCTTCTACCACCAACGGCCCACAACGCATGATTTTTTTGATGACAATTGATATAACCATGAAGTATCAGTAAAATTCGAGCAAGACCAGTAACTTTTTTAAGGTTAGCCACTTCATCATCTCCACTTGACTGATGGTAATAGTAATAGACATCTCTCAAATAGCTAGCATCCTTAAGAATTGGATGTCTCACTTTGTTAGGATCGTATCCTGCAACACCAATCCTGAACCCTCTGTGACTAGAAACCAATGTTAGATTGAAATATTATCATCACATGTAGTTACTTACGCATATTTAACAAGTCTCATTTCATAGCTATTCGTTTGTTAAGAAGGATTGAATCCTGACTGTAAAAATAGAACACTTACGTGGTAGATTGGCGATCGGGGTCCACAATGTTAGTTCTTGTTGCCAAGCTTTAGAAATATGATAAATCGATAATAACCATAGTAATGATTACGTACCTGACTACTGCACGAGGTAAACAATATACTTGATTTCCATCAAAGCCCACACAACAACATGGTATATCAAATCCACACAATATTTCAGTTGGGCTTTTGTACAACCTAAGAATGATTTGAATGGGTCGAATGGTGTAAGAAAATCTAAAAGTTATTGCATGTTCAGTTCGGAGAATCAAAATATCCTTAAATACAGATGGCTCAACTTGCCTATATAGTAGCCATCAAGAAATGGAGCTGCTTGCTCCAAATTTTTCTTAAAAAGTTGGTATAAATAAACGATCTTAGCTTCAGCCTGATGCTCCGTAAGTCCATACAAGAATAAATCCACGTCACTGTTTTGCCACATTTTTGAGTTTGAATAATACTGAAATAATCGTTGATCTGCAGAAAGATTTTGATTTCTTTGTGAAATTTTCTTCGGTTTAGGCAAGCTCTTGCGATATTCTTCGTCAGAGGAAGAAGTGAAATAGTCGCTATCACTTGAATGTACTTCCGGTTCTGAATCGTCGTCGTCTTCCCAATAACTCTTGTCAACAGTTGATGAGCTCTTCTTCTCATCGTTACATGCTTGGATTTCTTTAGAAATGTCCTCTTTTTCGTGTGGGGCCTGAAGTAGACATGCCAATATTCCTCCACCTGCAGCAAATACATTACTCCAGTCCATATTTTTGAACAGCCCACAAGTAAACGCGTTGAATTGTGTGAAGAACGCCTGTCTTGTCTCACAAACTTTGGGTACATGAGGCTTTACTAATCCAGACTTTGGATTCAATAATTTCTCAGCCTCAGAGGTATTTTCGAAATCAAACAACAATGGAACTTTTTCGGGAGGTGTACTATGCTGGAACTCTTCTCTAACTCGATGCTTTGCATCAAATACATTAACAAGGTGTAAATATGGGTCGTCCAAAATTGGGTTATTTCGGTCAACTGCGAATAAATTTCGCAAGAAATCTTCTTCCTTCTTGATTTTCATGTTGCTTTCCCCAATATCTTCGATAGGGTATCTTAATGGGTCCAATAAATCAATCAGACCTTGTAATTTAAACTCTTTAGCTTCCTTATAAATGACTTTTCGTTTTGAATATTCTTTTGGAAGAGAAATTTCGTGTCCATTTTGAAGGTATTCCAGTAGATAAGAAAAGGCTGTAGGATCTCTGTCAACAAATATCTCTTGATTGTTTGTTTGATTGACAAGAGAGTAAAAAACACTATCAGGGTGCATTAATATCTTTTCCTTTCCAATAGAGAGTCTTGTGCCTCTAGCATTAAAAGTAATTGTGGTTGTCTTAACATTGAGTTCTTGCTCTCTGATTCTTTCTTTCTGAGTTAGTAAATTGAGTTCAGATTTCAGTAATTGCTTTTCAAACACCTCTCTGTGCTTAGATGTTATATTTGTGAAAGTCGTTAGCCACTTATAGTCTGCATTTTGTTGGTCGTTGGCCATGGTTAAATTCCAAGTTTTTTCGGGTTGAGTTTCTGCTTCTTTCAATCTCTTTTCAATTTTTAATCTTTGCAACTTTCTTTCATTACTCTCAGAGATCGACTGTTCAATGTCTCTGATCATTGTTGCTATTCTTGCACTCAATTTCGAAGTTCCAAAATAATCAGATTCTACTAAGAGTTTTCTCAGGTGTTCCATAGTCTCTTCGTTTTTCTCTTCCCAAAGCCCAATGTAAGTAGTTGATCCTGTCCTGATATGCTCTAAAATAATAGGGAAATATTCAGGATTTCTATCCGCAAATACAATGCAACCATTTTCGTCCTTGTCAATATTAAAATCAGAATTAAGCATCACCTTCAACATGTTTTCATTTTGGTTAATGGTTCGTAATGAGGTAACAAAAATTTGTCCACCCACATTCAACTTCACTTGGACATCTTCAGATTGGTTTTGAATAATTTCCTGTACAAGCAAATTTTGAGTGCTTTCCGTCTGACTGTCGTTGAATTTTTCAATCAACTCCAACTCTTTCCTTCTCGTTTCCAGCATTTCTTTTTCTCGCTTCATTTCCATTAATTTTGGTAATCCACTTTCCTCGACGTTTCTCCGATCCGACATTTGTTGATCAAAACATGTAGGTGCTTCATACGATGATGTTTGTTGATGATCTCTTGAGGAGGAGCCAACACTAGCCTTTAACAATGGTTTGGCCACTCCACGACTTCTAGAGAGCAAAGGCTTCTTTCCCATTTTTTTTGTTTTTTGTAAAATGATCTTGATTCTTTACGAAATTATTGGTGACAAAATTAGTATCCGAGAATGGAAAAACATTGTTCACCCTTATTTAATGTCTAACGTTCATAAATCCAAGAACGAACAGTTGTAGAGGCTCCATCGTCACACCACAACAATTGCGTCATGGAAAGTGAGTTCCAATTCAAAAAAATGTCTTCCTATCAACCCCCTTCGTTTGATGAACCTCTTCCTGGTGAAAGCACAGCTCCTCTGAGATCCGGAGATGGAAGTGGTATTGATAATAATTCAGTGATGAATACTTTGATCAATAGTTACAATCAGTATGTTGAATAGCAAAGATTGATGTTGTTGAAATATATTTGATGGAAAATTGTATTGATCGGTTGTATGATGTTGTTTATTATTATTTACGATTAAATGTAATCGGATACAAACCTTTGTAAAAATCATCGGATCATGCTCACAACACATCTACTATGAAATATGAATGGATATTACTCGTTGCATGGACACAAAATCGAAATTTTAATTTTTGTTCGCAATTATTCAAATTTTGCAGAGGCTGCCCTTGTGGACATCCTGTAATTTGTTTCTTCCATCTCTTCTTTAAAATTGCAGCACTACTTTGCTATTTGTTTTTGACCATTTTCACTGATAATTTTGTTTTAGTTTTTGTTTTAGTTGTTCTGCTATTATCATTTGATTTTTGGACGGTTAAAAACATTACAGGAAGATATTTGGTAGCTTTGCGATGGTGGAATGATATCAAACAAGATGGAACTAGTGTATGGAGATTTGAGAACAAAACTGACAGCAAGCAAATTCATAGATTAGATAAGATGATTTTCTGGGGCTCCATGTACACACATCCTATCATTTGGATTTTACTCTCCCTAGTATGCTTTATTAGATTTAATTTCCAATGGATGGTTGTCGTAATTTTTGCTCTCGTGTTGACATGCATTCAACTCTACGGATTTGTGAAATGTTCCAGAATTGACACTGGAAGCGAATTGAAAAACTTTATCATCGAACGAGGTCTCCTGCAAAGCGTTCTTGCCAGGTTATTCAGCACAGATAGCATTTTCAACAGAGGAGCAGCTCAACAAAATCAAGCCAATGTATAAAATTATTACCTGTCCTTCATCACGATAACATAAAATTGTCTGCTTGAAGGTTGGATTTGAGAGTCCCACACTCTCCCAAGCTGAGCTACCCCAAGCGAAAATGAAATCAGACAACTTCCAACAAGATGTATTTCGACTCAACGGCCATTGAGACCAAACATTTCAACTCTGCACCAGATCGAGAGGTTGTGCGAGTAAAAATGGAAGTCTGGTCGTGAATCTACGAGCACTGAAAACATTTGGTACTGGAGAACCAAACTTGAAACAGAGCTCTCAAAAGTGAACTGCTCGTGTACAATTCAAGTGTTTGCATGTTCAAACGTTGACGCTGTCATCTCATTCCCTTTCCTGTGCTCCTAAAGTGTTGTTGACAGAAACCCCTTTCGATTTTCGACAATGAATGAGAGTGAGCAAAAGACCCACTCAGAAACATCACCCAAATTCATGAAAACACAAGTTGTTTCTTTTTTGAGCTCAGACCATTGTAACTTGTACGTCAAGTGTCAAAATCCATTTGCAAAAAAAATACGCTAACGTAACGGTCATCAAAAAAGAGCCAACAACAATTTCATCATCATCAACGACACCACCACCGCATAATTTTTTTGTGTTCACAAAGCATCCGCGTTCGTTCGCCTATTTTTACTAGTACAACAATATATTCTTTTTGTAAATTTCTTTTACATCATCCAATTCACATCGACATTGTCATCGACAACAACAACAATAACAAAATGGGACAAGCTTGTCTAGGAGGAGATTCTGGTAAACAAATGGACCAGAGAGTTACTGATTTACTCGAGAGCGACCGATTAAAGGATTCTGAAATTAAATTGTTGTTGTTGGGAGCTGGTGAGTCAGGAAAATCAACTCTTTTCAAGGTATGTACAATTACAATTGATGATGAAATGACTCATAGTTGATGTTTTTGTGGCATTTGACAATTACTGTTAATGGTTGATGGATGTTTTGAATCCAAAAATACAATAACAACAACATGATAATAACAACAACAACAACTGCTACCACTAATGGGCATGATGATGATTGCGTTTGTTGTTCACTGTTCATTATTCATCATCATTATCGATACCCATTGAAATATCGGCAACTGCGATGATGATGACATTTGACATCATGACCATAACAAAATCTCACACAATCGACCATGTTCAATGGAAACACCTGTACCACTCATCATGATGTTGCTATTCATTGTGTGTTTCTTTCTCTCTGGTGTGTGTGTGAATGAAAAATACTCCAAAAATGATCCATATACTGAACACGTGCAAATATATATCTCTCTCGCGCTCACTCACAATGAACAAATCTCTGTATTGGAATCACTATCAATGATACGCGCTATCCATTGCTTTTTGCATTATCAATGATCCCATTCACGTCTGTCTGTTCATCATTTTTCCAAAACTTTTGATTATCACAATGCCATTGGTGGCTCTATCAACAACAACAACAACAATATAACACCTGAACAACGACGACGACGACAACAATAACGAATAATGACCACACACTTCTCATGACAACAGCAAATCAGAATCATACACGACGGAGGTTACAACGACCATGAATTGCTCGGTTTCGTTGATACCATTCACTCGAACGTTCTCCAATCGATGCAAGCTCTGATTCAGGCCTCTCATGATCTCAACATTCCAATTGAGAATCCTGAGAATAGACAAAAGGCTGCCAAAATTCTTGAATTACAAAACGATTCACTCTTGAATATTAACAAGGTGTACAATGAGGCCTTTGCTAATGATTTGAAGGATTTGTGGGAAGATGCTGGAATTCAAGGAGTTTACAAACGTAGAAATGAATTTCAATTGTTGGATTCTACTGAATAGTAAGTGTTTCTGTGGATACATGATTTTGTAAACGACCGTTATTATTTTCTAATATCACAAATCATGATAATATGATGACAATGATGACAATGAATGAATATGATGATTATGTGAACACAATCCTTTGTGACTCACTTCAACACAATGACACACAATCACCATAGCTTTTATACACACTTGAAGAGAATTTCTCAGAAAGATTACATTCCAACCAACAAGATGTTCTCCACTGTAGAATAAAAACTACAGGTGTGGTACAACTGAGGTTCGAGATTGATGGACTCAAAATGTAAGTTTTTGTGAAACACAATGTTTGGTTGTGAAATTGATCCAACAACACATTGACATTTCGTTGATGCACATGATCTGACATTTCATGATGAATCAATGTGATTCCAATATACTCTCGCAAATAGGCTTCTTATCGACGTCGGAGGACAACGTAACGAAAGAAAGAAATGGATTCACTGTTTCGACGATGTCACAGCCATTATTTTCGTTGCCAGTTTGAGTGAATTTGATCAAAAGTGTTATGAAGACGATAGCACTAATCGTTTGGATGAATCCATCCTCTTGTTTGATGAAATTGTAAACTCTCACTTCTTTGAGAAGACTCCTGTCATCTTGTTCTTGAACAAGAGTGATTTGTTTGCAAAGAAGTTGCAAGATCGTGTATTCAAGGAAGTTTTCTCAGATTTTGAAGGAGATGACACTAATTTGAGACAATGTGCTGATTACATAAAAGAAAAATTCCTTCAACGTATAGAAGATAAGGATGAAAAGAAGATTGATGTCAGGATAACATGTGCAACTGATACAGAAGCAATTAAGACTGTATTCGACAATGTCAAGGAAGCTATTGTCAAGAACACTGTTATTGGTCGATCTGATTAATATTTCAAGAGTTTTCATTATGAAGAGGATCGATTCTTTTTAGAAGAACTTGTTCCGTATTATGATTTTGTGTGATGAGTTTTTAAATTTTTCACACACTTCCGTGACATCATTGATGCACACTTCCCGAAATTATTAACAAACATATTACCATCAATCCCACACACATCCTTCTTTCTATGAGTTTTTACTTGTGAATACGTGACTAGTATATGCTTGTATAGCACAATTATATAAATTTTCTCTACTTCATAATGATTCATGATTTTTCTCTACTTCATAATGATTCATGATTGTTAAAGATCAATGAGAGAATTTTAGGTGTGAATGGAGAGGGCATTGAATGGAGGACTTTCTCTCACCGTTCCCTGTCACTTGTCAAAAAATGCCTAAACCGAAACAACCAAACAATAACGACGACGATTCGCTTTCATCATCGTCGACTTGCAATAATACTGTTGCGATTCAACAACTTCGTTTCAGTGTTGCCATTGATGTTAACGATGGACAAGAATCGGGATGTAACAATCATGAACATCATTTACAACATTCAATATTTACAACCGATAATTTATCATATCAAGATTCAACATTATCTCAATGTAGCAAAATGATAATTTTGAAGGAATTGATCAGGACTGAAAATCTTTATTTAAATTATTTTGAAATATTGAAAGAGGTAGGTGTTAAATTTGGCAAGTGACACCGATGAATTATTACATGTAAATCATCACGACAACTAATTTCAAATAGAAAATCATTCAATCCCTCTCAAGATGCAACATTCTCACTCCAGAGGAAGTCGAGAAAACATTTTGCCTTTCTCAATTAAATATTCTCTTCAAAGTGAATACTGAACTATTGAACCAATTCAAACAAGTTGAAAGTTTATTGATGACAAATCAGCAATCTTCTCCAACTCTCATGCCTACCAATGGATCCTCTCCGAGAGCAAGAAATTCACTGGGACAAACATTTTTACGTCTCACTCCATTCCTTAAAAATTATGTGCAATATTCACACATGTTGGAACCATGTTTGATTCAATTCCGAAATAGAAAATTGAAAGATAAGAGCTTTAAGGCCATTGTGAAGAAGTTACAACGTTTTTGTACCAAGCTATTGTTCGATGCATTGAGAGAGGATGACTCGTGTGAAAAATGCAATGAATTTGAAATCATTCAAACCATGAAAATGCCACTCAGAAGAATTTTGTATTATAGAGATGTATTAACACGTAAGTTTTTGATTCATTATGAGTAATTATTTAATTTCATTTTTCAATATTTGAAACTTGTAAACACATCTCTCTATTTTAGAATTATTGAAATTGACACCAATAACCAATGACGAATATTCTCCTCTCTCTGAAAGCCTTAAATTAATTGAAATTGTTTCTCAATCGTTTGAGCAACAAATTACAGAACTCGATCATAAGGATAAATTTTACGAAATTAACAAAAAGGTTTGAAACAATCTGAGAATGGTGAAATCATCTCCATTGCAAAACCCAATCGTCGTTTTATATATGAAAATGAAATGTACATGACTGCCACGAGAAATCTCGCTCTTTCGCATCACTCAGAACGAAGAAGAAAATCCTCAAAGCTTTCACGAACGGGTCTTGATATTGATGCCATCCATAGAAGTGAAACAAACACACGATTTTTTGAAGATGTCTCCAATCATTGTGTTGGATTTTTATTTAATGACATGATCATGATTTGCAGTACACATTTTTCAACTCCTCAAACTCCAAGAACTGGATTGAGAGAAACTGCATCTAAAAAGAAACGTATTCAAGAAACAGATGCATTACTAGGAAAGAAATCCATGAGATACAAGTCTCACATTTCATTAGAATTTGATCCAGATAGTCCATTGATTTGGATTCGAAATATTATTTCAGATCATGATTTTTCACACATGTTTCAATTAGTGACCAAAGATGTGATTTATACTTTCAAAATGAAAAGCGAAGACATAAAAACTCGTTGGATGAATGCCATTCAATCGACTATTGAATCATTTAAAAAGAAGAATGGACAAGATGTATTTATAGAAAATGGAAGAAAATCTTTCCAGCAAATAGTATCAAGAGGTTATTTAGACATTCCAGAAGCTTGGATTTTTCCTTCCATTTTAAGAATTCAATCGTTGGCAAGAACATATTTGGCATGTCTCAAAACTCAAAGAATTAAGAAAAAATCTCGAAAGAATCCAAAAACCAAGTTAGACTCTGTTATTCAAAAGGTCTCGCAATTAGACAATATTTTACTTCAAAATCAATCATTTGTTGAGAGTTATCCAAAAAAGCAAGCATCTGCTGTCACTATTCTTCAAAATTACGAAGAAGATGTTAATGAAAATTACATTGAAGATCAGCAAGAAGATTCTGAAGAAGAAGAAACTCCATTATCTACCAATGTCACAACATCCATCTCAACAATTTCTCAACCAACTCGAAGAAGTACAATCACTCCAAGAGGAACTCCTTCAACTCCGGTTGTGTTAAATTCATCCTCTCCGAGAGAATTTGAAAATCGTGACAACAATCAAGATAAGAAAGTTCAACATTCTACGAATTCTGTAGCTATTGAACCACAACAACAACAACAAGTAGAAACAAAAACTAATCATTTAGAATCTCATTCACAGAAACCTGTAGAAATGACAGCTGACAATGTTTCTGCTATTCCTTCATCCAACAATCCTTCAAATCTTCTAAATTCAGAAATGTATGCAAAAGAAATTGTTTATGAAGATGAATTTGGAAAGGAATATGTTGTTCGAATTGGAGATGAAATTATTTATGAAGATGACTTTGGAAATCAAGTTTCTGAAATTGTGACTTTGGAAAAATTCTTGGAAATGCTCGAAAATGCAAAACAAGAAGAACTCATGAAAGCATCAACGAGCATGCAGCATCAAGTGGCGGAGAAGCAACAAGTATCAATACGATTACTTTTGAAAACTCTAAATCATCATCGACAATGAATTGTGAACTTGGAACTGTCAATGACATTCACAATTCCACAATGAACATGGAACTTAATTCAGTCAGTAGAAATGAACAGAATGAAGAAAATGTTTCAAGTGAAATTCGATGAGCGCATCTGACGATCCGAAAAGTTTCGATTTGAAACATTCAAAAGATGTTGTTACGACTAATATTCATGACATTAAGGTTGAAAAATCAAATCTTGAAACATCTTCAGAAATAGCTACAACGAACAATACTAACAATAATTCAAACTTGAATTCTCGAACCATTGTCACCATTTCACAAGAAGAAGAATTGTTGACATTGAATCATGCATCAGCATCAACCACAGAAAATTCTTTGCAGCCACAACAACTTCATCAAGATGATGACAATAATTTTAATTCCATGAACAGTGGCAACATCGAGAATCATAGATTATCCACGGAATCCAATACGACTACCTCATCGACTCATAGCAAAGCGTCAAATTCTGGATCTGACATTTCAAAGCGACCAATTGCTCCTTGGCAAGAGGAGCTGCTAAGCAAGTATAAGAATGATGGAAAATTCAAGTTTGTCACACAGACAGCAGAACAAAAACTAAGCACCATCACCACCACACAACAACAAGCTTCATCTCCAGAACAGCATGCAACATCGTCCATGTCCACGTTGGGATCATCATCATTGACACCAACAACTGAACGAATCGCCAAGATTTCTCCAGGAGTTCATCATAAGGAATCTGTTCGTGTCAGTGCCGATTTCCACAACTTTTTAAACAAATTCAAGACGATTGAACAAAAAACAAAGGAAGAGCCGCAAGTATTGACAAGTCCTAGAGGTCATCACTTCTCATCGTCGACGAGTAGAGATACAAAATCAGAACACCACTCTGATCAACAACAACAATAAACATTTCACAATAATATTTACATGTAGTTTATTTCCTTAATGATCGTATTCTACTCGATATTGCAGAGAATAAATAAGGAACATTGTTTTGTTTGATGGCTCGATCAATAATGTCAGAGAAGTCAATTCTTTGACTTGATATTGGTTGAGCACATTGTACAGAGAGGAGAATGGACTCCTTATTGACCTTATTAAATGTTAAAGAAACATCGAGTTTGGTTTCATCGCCTTGTGCCAAAAATGGTATCCTTAATTCGACATCGACGACTTGTTTCGAGTGAAACTCTCTGCAATCAATAATATCAATACAATTAGACCATTTCAAGAATTTGAAATCATTCACAGCTAATAGAATTGGGTTATCCACTGAAGAAGACGATTTTACAACGTCAACATCAAGCAAAGGTTGTTCTTGCTCTTCATCAACCATGGACCCATCATCTTCCTCTCCAACCACATCTGAAAATGAGAGTCTTTTTCGTGTATCTCCCAAATATTCTTCCAATGTTTTTGGTGGTTGAGTTGATTGCAATAACTCTTGTTCGTCATCTTCCATAACAGTTGGAGTATGAGAAGATGATTGTGACGATGAGGAAGTTGTGGCTTCTCCAACGAGTGGACCTGCTGGCAATGTGTCCTTCAAATCTTGACTCGATGTTTCAACATCTTGAGAAGATTGTTCTGGAGAAGTTGAGGTTGGAATTTCAGCTTCTTGATTGGTTGGATGATTTTCCATAATACTAATAGGAACATCTTCATTCTCTTGAGAAGATTCATTCTCAAATGCTTCAAACATCTTTTCATAGTGTTGTTTTAGAAATTTCACTTGTTCAAATTTGGCATAAAGAAGTCTTGTCTTTTCATCCAATTCATCTTCCAACTGTCGATTTTCAAGTTTTTTGCTCTTGTACGCAGTTTTTTCTCTCTCTACAGCATTTTCATCCACATTAAAAGATCTGAATCGATCCAGTACATGGCCATTCTCATCCAAATGTTCCAAACGAGAGAGTGAAAGCTTTTTGGAGCTCAATTCACGATATAAAAAGATAAGCTTCTTGAATTGCTTTTCCATCCAATGTCCTTCTAAATCTTCATCCACAATATTGGAACGGGCAATATCGGTTTGACGATGGAATGAGAGTTTTGGATTGTTTTCGAGATCACTTCCGAGAACGACCTCTCCTGTATTGTTTTGAAAGGAATCATTCATGGAGGCTGTTGTGTTGTTGATGGCAAGCATCATGGAGGATTCTCCGAATGAGAGTTGCATGGTGGAGGAGTCTCGCATGGGTGGAGGAGGCGAGAAGAGAACACTTTCGTTCGTGTGATAGTGGCTGTTGCTGCTGCTCATGGTGATTCAATGATGAATAAACGGTTTTTTTAATGGTTGTTAAGAAATTCAAAAATGTGAACGTTAAAAAAGGCGGTAAAAAATAAATTGCTAAACTCGAGTCGACAACGGATTGCCTGAATAATTAAACACGCAAGCTTTCCTCTTCATCAGTAGCTCTCATTTCTCTCTCCGTCATCAAATGATCAATCCATGTCAAAGGTATCTTCTTCGTCTGTTGATGATGAAGTATCTGTGAGGATGGTATCCTTTCGTAACACCTGCTCTCCTTCACTTAATTTCTTCGATGTTTGTGCTGGAGGTTGTTGTGCTTTCTTCTTTTTCTTCTTTGTCTTGCCATGAAAGGTCGTACCTGTTCCTGATGTATGTACAGCAGTTGCCGTCGATGATGATGGAATTTCTGCTGGGGATATATTGTTCAAACTCATTGGAGTATTCAACACACTGGCACCAAGAGCACCTCCATTCGATGACAAGGACGACTTGTTGTTGTTGACACTTCTCTGAGTGGATGGTGTGATGACAGATGCAAGTGGTACATTTACTCTTCGTTTTGGTCCAACATCCTCATCGCCACTACTCACATCAATACTGTTGGAATAGGCCAAAATACTCGACGCAATTCCAATCTCCCTGACATTGTCATTGATGAGCACGGATCCATCCCGAAGGAATTTTCGTTGTGGCTGAAAATCGACCTTTCTGGCAGCATCCGACATGTTCTTTCCGCTTGCTTGTTTGAGTTGATCGTCCATAAGGTCCTCATCCTTTGGACGAACAATGATTGGGTTTATTCTCTCCAAACGATTACATAACTCTCGACCCGATTCAACGTGGATATTGAAAAGTTCGATCTGTAACTTGACATCTCGGAGCTGAAATACATGATGTACCAAACCATCATCAACTTTCTGTTTCTACTTACTATATTCTCTTTTTGCTTTTTGATTCTATTGAGCTTTTGCAGCGAAGCCTCCCAATATCGATTTCCGTATCTAGAATTATGTTATTATTTCATTCTCACGAGGGACATTGAATAGCCTCAAACTCACCTCTTAATAAACGTATGTATCAGGTCAATATCAAGATTAATTTGTTCCAGTTCAGCTGACATGACCGTAAAGTACGTGTCTAGCGTGTTGACTACCTAGATGATGAATGAGCACAACGATCATCTCTCCTTTGCTGCTCTCGGGATCAAGACGAACACGAAAACTTACGGTGAGCAAACTTTCAGTCATCTTTTTTGATTTACATTTGAGTTTTCCCTCCAAATTCAAAATCTACATGTTGTTTTGGTCCAGTGTCAGGCAGGGTAAGAGTTGTTTCCTTCTCAAAGTATGTACTTCTTTCGGGTCAAATTCAGTCGAGACAAAAACAACTCAGTTGTTGCCAACAAAACAACACAAATTTTTTGGTGTACCAATTTCGATCCACTTTGTCCGCTTTGCACTGAAAGCAAAGGTCCTTTCACCACACTCGACCTCAAAGCCTTGAAAAAAATTTCGATCCACTTTTATTTTGTAAACCAAAAAAATTCGTTACACCAGCAAGCGTATTAATACAAAGCAAAGGGCTGATGACTTTTTGCAACATCAAAACAAATACGTGAACATCGTAACAACAACATCAACAACAAATGGCTCCAGCAACAAAGAAGACTGAAAAATCCGACAAGCAAAAGGAAACCAAGAAGCCAAAGGCAACAAAGACCACAAAGGCTGACAAGGCAGAAGGTGAAGCTGATGACGATAAGAAGAAGAAGAAATCCAGACATGAATCCTACAGCTCTTACATTTACAAGGTTTTGAGACAAGTCCACAGCGATATTGGTATCTCAACCAAGGCAATGTCCATCATGAACTCCTTCATTCAAGACATCTTTGAAAGAATTGCCAACGAAGCTGCTCAATTGTGTAGAGTCAACGGAACCAAGACCTTGTCATCAAGAGAGATCCAAACTGCAGTCAGATTGATTCTCCCTGGTGAATTGGCCAAACACGCCGTGTCTGAAGGTACCAAGGCTGTTACTAAGTACCAACAATCCTCAGGTAAGCCATTGACCAAGAAGAGAGAGAAGAAGGAAAAGAAAGAAAAGACTGCTGAGAAGAGCAAGGAATAAGCTTGTAACTCGAATTTCATCTCTTGTAAATTTTACCTCCAACACATTTGTGAAAGCACAACACAGCACCTAGGATTGTGCATCACATTTTGATTCAACACCCTAGATCTCACATGTATAAATTCAAATAAAACATTAAAAATACATAAATTATTAAATTTCATTGGCTTAATTGCTAACATTCAGAGCGCTTTTCATTGTTGTATCGTTGTCACTCCATACTTTTTAAAGTTCCGTAACAACACCGAGAGCTTGATGTAAACAGTTCCGCATGAAATGGTTGTGAGTTTCCTTCTGTCCTCGCCGTTATGTACAATCGACAAATCCTTGACTTGCATTCTTCCTCCAACAATGAAATCCGATATTCGATCTTTAAGGGAACCTACTGGTCTCCATGTTGGGCATTCCAACTCAAAGTATCCTCCTTGGGAAGGAACGTTCAAAACTCCATATGCAACAAAATCATTTCGTCCATAGCTATCTTGATACCACACTTGTATGACAATTTTGGGCCATCCTACTACTGTTGGGGTTGAGTAATGAATATCGATCGGGTGTGCAAATACATTCACTCGTTCTTCCGAGTGTCTTTTATTCACTTGTGTTTGTCCTTTTTCCAGACCACTGACGTGCGTCCAATGCGATCCCTTCTCCACATGAAACGAACAAAATAAATTATCTTCAAAGAAACCTGTAGCTCCAGCAATTTCTCCTATTAAATGCAATTCAGCCATTTTTTGTTTGATTGTTGTAAAGACAAAATTCGAATGGCGGGAATGATATTTCATACAAAGCTACAGAAAGGTTTTATTAATCAATGGAATTCAACATAGATTGTTTGTTCAAATACATGTCGTTACACTGTGATTTAAACCAATCTCTTAAACAGAATATTATTCTCCAAATGAACATGAATATACAAATTCTCCTCCATTTCGACTAACAATTTCTTGGTCAATTCGACTGTCTTACAATAGTTGGGTAACACCTTCCTCATGCTCGCGAGTTCTTTAATGGCATCACCAGCCTCATTGTGATCTTTCAACAGACCCTCAATAAAATCCTTCATAATTTTCGATTCAACACGGTGCTGCTTTCCGTCCAAGTATTGAACGAGAGTTGGAAAAATCTCTTTTTCCTCTTTCACTAAATGTATTAAGAGTTCTGTAGAAAGTTTCATAAACAATCGATACATATTTTCCAACAATTCAATGGATCTTCTCGTTTCCTCTGCATTGCCTTGTTGTTGTTGCTGTAACAATTTTCCTGTATGAACCGTATAAATTTTCAACAAGAGTTCAGAGAGCTTGGGAATGTTCTCTCTCAAATACTTGTGATGATGTTCAATAATGTGATTGACCAAATCTTGTGCAGACATGGTCAAGAAATTCTCCTCTTGCTTCTTTGAATGTTGTTGTTGCACTTGTTCTTCTTTCGAAAGGATTTTGACCAGGACTTGGTGTGCTCGTTCCGAATCATTTCCCACGGACTCCAATAAACTTCTCTGTCCTCCACAACAATAATCAATGCTCTCTTCATTGAGAAGAGTGGGAGCGGAGTTGGGGTAATGTGCCACCAAGTCGCCCAAGATGGAGTGAATGGTAGGAGTGAATGGAGATGGTTGTTGTTGTTGCATTTTGTTTGAAGTTGTTGTTGTTGTTTGTGTTGTGTGACTTATTTGAGAGAGTTTGATTGTGACATCAAAAAGAAAGTCCATTCGCCTAATGTTGCGTCGACAATGTCCCATAATTCCATGATCGGTTAAATCAAGACGGCGCTTTTCATTCGTATCGGAAACAAAAGAGAGATCGTTGTGATGATTAAACATTTTTGAATAAATTTATTAATTCATTGAAATATAACACTCTCTGACGTTCACTCACTCAACGGAACGTTTCGCGTTTTCAGAAAAATTAATAATAAAACATTAGAAATGCACGGATAGAAGGTTGTTCATGAACATGGAAACGACCAGCACCACCAAGAGGACCAACAACAATAAAAAATTGTAACAAGATTGAAAATTTGCTAAAAAATGTTCAAAAGAGTCGCTTCTGCTGTGGGAAGTAAGAATCGCATCAGCAGCAGTATTTGCTGCCATACTTCTACGATGACGAGCACCACTACCTCCGTGAGAAACAACACACAACAACAACAACAAAAACGACTCTATCAAACCACTTCTTCTTCAAATATTTTCAAAACCACAAAGCCTGTCTTGTCTTTGAAAAAACAACTAGGAGTACAGTCAAAGGTAGCAAAGGAAGAACAAGCGGTATCATCAGCAACCGTGGCTGAGGATATGGAGAATTTTCAAATGGATGCCCATCCAAGAGACTTCAACAGAGCAATTATAGACGAAATTTACTCTGGAGAACTCTTTGATATCTACAGCAGAATGCCTTTGCTCATTAAAAGAGATAAAAAGCAAGGTGATGTGCCCTATGTTGAAGAACCAGACCTTGCTCCTACTTTTTCGGATGAGTTTGGTTTGGGAACCAAGGAAGAAAGCGAAGAAGATTCCGTGTTTGATGGTAATACTATTGCCGATTCATTGGAAAAGGAATTGAGAAGAGGAGAACAATATGAAGAAGAGAAGCCAAGAAAGGAACAAAAACATATTTCTTATGTGGAGCAAGTTGTAAAGGATACGAACCAATTTCTCAAAGAAACCGAGGAGTTTACTCTTACTGAAGAAGAGGAGGCTGAATTTAAAAGAGTTCAAGAGGAAGTATCTGCTATTGATACAGATGAATTACGCATCATGGAAAAGATTGTAGATAGACTTGCTAGTATGAACAACCGAGTTCCAAAGAGCATTTTGAATCCAAAGGCTGAAAAAAGCGCAGAAGACTTTATTGCAACTCTTTCCGAGTTTTCCAAGCTGACTAGTGAAATGAAGCCACTTGCAACGGCTGCATTGTCTGGCATGGCTACAAACCACACCGACCCAAGACAAGACTCCTCTTATACGAGCTTTATGAGTAACATTGATGAGCTTGCAAAATATCTCACATATCTCGGATTGAAGAATCACCAAGGCCCAATTACGGATGATCTGGTACGAGAGGCTAAACTCTTTGGGTTTGACGTTAAGGAACTTCAAAAAGATGTTAACGCTGGAAGAACAGTTCCAATTCCAGACAATTTTGGAAAAGTTTTCTCCCAAGAAGCAGTTGAAGAATACACCCGTGGTATATTACAACTTCCAATACCGCCACCAGTGACCTTAGACCTAGACGAAGACAAGACGTTGCAAAGAGAAGATGTGATGCGATTGGGTGACGAGAATGCCGATGAAGAAGACGAAAAAGCCAAAACAGGTGTAGAAGAAAATATTGAGGACCTGGACGAAGAAGAAGAATTTGTTGATGAGGAAGAGGAAGCCATAGAACGTCAAGAAAAGGAAATTAAGGAACGATATAATAACACTGATTTGAGCTTGACTGAACAATTTGACGTCCAAATGGGTAACTCTGACAAGGTTAATGAAGTTCTGGAGGACGAAAGAGGAAAAGAGGCTCCAGACGCAACCAGCACGTTTACTAACTTCAGAAATAAGCCACAGTTTAACGAAAAGTACTCTATTCCAACCTATGTGAATCATGAAGATATAAAAATTGCCAAAAAGTGCAATGTATTCGACGTGGCAAAACAATTCGGAATTAAGTTGGAGGATGACTCATTACTGACTGATCTTTCTGATTTGACACCTCAAGAGAAATCCGAATTTATTGAAAAGCAATTGGAAATTGTTGAAATGCCATTCCAGTCTGTACAGGCTCAAAGAAAGGAAATCAAAGAAAGACAGGCCAAAGAAAAGGGCGAAGAGATCAAGACTGAATATGATAAGCTAGAAGAATTTTTGGATGATGAGATCACCAGAGGGTTAACATTAGAAGAACTTCCAGAAGAAGATTTGGAAGAAGAAGAAGAAGATCAAGTAGAAAAAGCTCATACATTTGTGGATACTGTAGTATTCAAGCATGACAATCCATATGAACCATTCTTACTTGCCACTCATCCACATTTATTTGTTAACGCTGACTCTCATTTTTCTGAGACTGATATTGGAAGATTATTTGTTATTACTCCAGAGAAATACAAGAAGTACTTCTCCATTACTGGAACAGGCGGCGATTTGGACAAATCTTTTACACAAATTATGCAAAGAGCTTTACTAGTACGAGAGCCCGTCTTACCAGTTGTTAATGAGATTCAAAGCTTGGCAAAGAATAAGAGAAAGCAAACAACAGATCCCGGATATTTATTTACTGGTATTCAAGGTAGTGGAAAGAGCGCTTGCTTGGCAACATGTGTGTACAATGCATATTTGAATGGAGTTTTGGTCGTTCACATTCCATCAGCATACCATTGGACCTATGGCATCCACTTTGTTGAACCATCACCTGTATTACAAGGCTACTTTGATGCTCCACTTCCAACAAGAGACTTTTTGAAGGCCTTCATGTCAGGAAATATTGAAATTTTGAAAAAGATGAAGTTAAGCAGAACATTCAACTTTCCTTTAGAGCCAGGACAAAAGATGCCAACTACATTGTACGAACTGTGTGAATACGCGCTTTTGATTGAAAGTAACATTTCTGTTATCTTCAAGTTCATAATGGATGAATTAATTAATGACAAGGAAACTCCAATGCTGTTTGCTATTGACGACTACAATTTCTTGCATGACTATACATACTATCACTATGGTAACCTTGACGATTTTACAACAACTCCTCCACAAAGAGTGCATGCAAAGAATTACACCCTTGTTAGAGCTATCAACAGAATTATTCAACAAAATGCTCCAAACAAACTTGTTGTTGCTGCTAACACTAACAAATATAAGACTCCAAACAGAGTTTATATACCAAAGGATGAAGTATTGGATCCAGTTTACGTTCCACCAAGATACACGTACGAAGAACTTGAAAATATTGTCGAATTTTATCAAGCTTCTGCATTTGTGTTTGGAGACAAGGAAGATTTCATGGAAGACTTGCTATTTATGAGTGGCGGTGTTCCTCACAGAGTGTTTAAGCACATGACTTTACTATAAATCAAAACATAATACATGCTCGGATATTTGTTATAAAATTTATTAGGCAACATAATGGTAAATTTTATGATCCTCCTCTTCTCTCGTTAAAAATTCTCTTTCAATCAAATTCTCGATCCTTCTTTTGATTTCAACAGGGTTTGGCTTGAATTTGCTTAAAAGTTGCTTTACAACTTCTTCAACCAAATCGTTATGATGTAATTTCTTACGAGCTTTCATCACTCTTACGATGACAGATTCGATTACAGGCTTCCTCTCTACCTCAATTTTGCTTTCCGTTTCTTGAACTTCCTCTTCTGACTCTTTTGTTGAAGTTAGAGCCAGCTTGACTCTGTAATTGGCAGATTTGAAATCGTTATTGTAAACAAATTTGTGGCTGTCTTCCAGGTTTTTAGTTTTTGGCTCCTTAAGTAAGATTTTTGACTTGCTCATGCACAGGATAGTCAGGTTCTTTTTCAACTCCTTTTCTGGGATTTGAGTAAGTTCTCTAATGTTGGAATAGGTGTACTCTGTTTGATCGTTAAAGAGCATAAGTATGGCAATTTGAAATGTAGAAGCTACAAGTTCGTGTTTTCCACTTGGAAACCTTGAAACAAGAATGCCATCACCCAATGATTTTTGCCAAGTGACTTTTCTTCCATTGTGTACATCATTGTAGAATTGAGTAAAGGAATCGCAACATTGGTTCAATTCCAAAGGTAAATTAGCATTTGACAGCGTATATGCAGGCCAAAAGGAATGTGTCAAAATATTTACATAAAAGTCTATTGTTGAAGGTTTCGAATGGAATGCCTTATGTTGTTGGTACTGTTCGTTTGCTTGAGTAGAGAGTCTCATGTCGTTGAACATTCCTTCAATTTTTGACGTGAAGCTGTATCCACACTTTTTCTTCAGTTTGAGAATAAATAATTTTTCAGATTGTGCTTGGTGACTTTTAGATAAAAGTCTTTTCGCAAGATGGACCTTGTAGTAAGTCTCAAAAATGTCCTTATCACGCAAGAATTCAAACAATTCTAAAGCTTCTTCCAGTTGTGAGTCAAGTTCTTGTTCCAAACTTGCTGAGGTTCCACTGTTCTTGATAATGGAATCCACGTAAAGAGATAAAAATTCAGCAAGTCGTTTTTGTTTTGTTCCATCTGCAAAAGTTGCAATTCCATCTTTTTGAGCCTTAACAAATTGTTCGTTCTTATTGAATGATATGGAAGTAATTTTGTCATATTTTCGTTTTTGCTCCAGCAAGCCTTCAACAAAAGCAACAGGGGAGCCCTGTATTTTCTGTTCATCCAAAATGTAGCTTGTGCCATACTCGCTGATATACTTATTGTACAGGCTGATCATCACCGAGAGATGTTCTTTTTCATTCACAACAAATAAATTATACATTCTTTGCATTTCTGATATCTTGTCATCTTTGATAAACGATAAAAATCCACTAGATGATTCCATGATAACGTTGAGATGTTGTGTGATCATTTCGCGTCTAACAACATGATCCAATTTTTGTTTGCTGGAATGATGAAGATAATATTGAATGCGTTTGTGCTCATCTCTGAGTCTATCATCCACCAATTTTAAATAGTCTGTCACTGAGGCTTGAGACAGTAATTCTCGTGAGAGTCGAGAAAAGTATACAGAGCTAGTCTCCATCAATGGCTCTTCGATAATGTCTGGATAGCAATTCATCTCACATAACATTCTCACTGTTTTCTTTAACAACAATCGATCTACTGATTCACCATTTCTTTCTTTTTCAATACAATCAAGAATAATTTTTCTGATTTTATCTCCCGATTGATACTGATAAATAACCATTTTTTTGAAAAGTTCCACACCATGATCATATATAAAGAGAGTATGTATCACATTCGATTGTTGTGCTGATGAAGTTGTCGCAATCTGTTGCTGTTGCTGCTTCTGTACATAATTTGTGTTGAGATACATGAGCACGCTGCTAATGACTGATGTTTCTGTTTTGTACTCTTCCCACACGTTGCAAATTGTCTTCAGAAATAATTCATCTGAACACCTTCGTAAAGTCTGTTTATCGTCATGATTTCCGAACATTAAAATTCAATTCTAAAATGTTGTACGTACATCGCTCATCAATGAATCAATATGCTCACGCATACATGTCTCCACGTTATTGTACAACAATTCTCCATGACGATTTAAAACAATTTTGTAGGCACTCCTATAGAGCTCTTCATACGATAGATCGGAACTCTTTTTAGCATAAATTTGTTGTATAGCCTGTTTCAATAAAACCCACGTTGCAGTAAAGAACGATTCTGTTGTATTGCTCACGGGCCTCGGAGCCTTGATATCAACTTTCTTTGCTATTTCAAGACAATGAATCATCATTTCAAAATAGTAGTTGTAATATAATAATTGGATCATCAATGAGTAATTTTGAATCATGATCCCGAAGCGTTGATTTTTGAAAAACACTGTACCTTGTTGAACTTTGCGCATTTTTTAGGTTTACAAAAACAACTGTTGTGGTGCGTGACATATAATTTCGATCATTCCTTTAACGGATTCAATGATTTACAGATCCATGGAATTCTTGTTCATAACTCAATTTCTCGTTTCGCAATTATGTGAATTTCAATGTAACTTTCATTGTGTGTTCAGCTCAGTATCTGAGAATTGAATTTCTCTCTCGCGTTGGTTTTGAGAAAAAAGATTCAATTTTCAAATTTAATTTTAAAAAATGTCTGAACAATCATCATCTTCCAATAACGCTTCTTCACGATCATCGGAACAAGCATCGTCATTATCTGTAGAGCAAAAAGAAATGACTGTGGAGTCTAATCTCAATCATCACCCAGAATTAATTGCGGGATCGAGCAATGGCCGTGCTTTTACTAAGAACAAACTGTTTTCTGAGGTGAGGCCGGGAAGTAACTTTAAAATTCAACAAGAGTACATGGCCCGAGTAGAAAATGTTCAAGATGTCGATGAGAATGGACAAAAAGTAACCATTCAAGTTCTTTCAGGAAGACAAGATAACTATAATGGAGTAAATATAACAATTGGTTCAGAAATTGAGAATTTTGAAAAAGTCATGACCGATTCATTGCAATACTGGATGAAGAAAAAGAAGAGAGGAGTTTGGGTTTATATCACTACAGAATTTTCCGAGTACATACCGATTTTGTTGAAGAAATTTCAGTTCAAGATGCATCATGTCAATGATGACATGCTCATGTTGACGAGATGGCTTCCTGAAACCTATAATTCTGACCCTAAAGCTGACCCTAACAAGATTCCCAAATATGCTCAACATTATGTAGGAGCAGGAGGAGTCACAATTGATTTTAAACGAAATCAAATTTTACTTTGTACTGAGCGTCATACCAGAAAGCCAAAAGGAATGGGCCATTTAGACTTTTGGAAAGTTCCAGGAGGCAGCGTTGATGATCCAAACGAGCACATTGGAGAAGGAGCAGGTATGTCAATCGTTCATTTATTGAATATTATATCAACAACAAAATCTTAATTTCAAAACAGTACGTGAGGTATTTGAAGAAACAGGAGTCAAGGCATCATTCATTGGTATCATGGGCTTCCGTCATCTCTTTGGCTTTCGATTTGGAAAGAGCGATTTTTACTTTATCTGTCTTCTTGAAGCACAAAGCAGAAAAATTGATATTGACACCAATGAACTTGCTAAATGTCAATGGTTCGACTTGGAAGAATACTACAAAATGGATCACCTTAATTTTGTACAATCTGTAATTCGAGATTCTGTTCGAGAATTTATGAGCCGAGACGAAGAACAACGAAAACAAATGCTCTGGAGCATGTACGACAACAGTCTTTCTGAAAAGAATGCTGCCTTAATGTATCACAGCGTAGATTTAACAAATATTGCACAGCAAAAAGCGTACGTCAACGCCAAAGACAATACTGATCCATCTCTCATGTATTGCTACAGAGGAAAATCTCTCGATCCAGAGATACAATATCAATAATAATAATTTGACAAAATAATATAAATATAATTCTGACATAACAACAACACATGATGACATAATGACTAATTCGAGAGAGATATTATTTAATCGCTTAACAAATCGAATCGTGGCAACGCTGTCCACCACCTTCCAAATAGAAACCTCAAGTCAGGTTTTAAAGCGACAATCAAGGCCTTAAATTCGCACGAGTTCGTGATAATAAAAAGTTCGCATTGTTTTCGCATCTCTCAAAAAATTACTTTCAATCTCAACTCCTGACAGCTGTCATCATTAACAATCCACACCTCTCAATCTCTCTCTTTCAACATGTTTGCTTCTTCCATTCTTCAAATCTTAACCACCGAAGAGAGTAACAACAACAATACAATATCACACACCATACAATGACCAATTCTGATTCCAACTCTCCATCCACTCCTTCCTCTCCATCCTCTCTCAATCATCAAGAGAATAATCCTTCTCCGATGAAATCTTCTCGAAAGAAACGAATGGACAGCAAAAATCATATCATTGATATTCATATGCGACCAAATTTGGAACGTATCATTGGAAATGAAAAAACATTACAATGCTTTCGATCGTTTGCAGATAAGAAACAAGTGTTGGAATCTTTGGATTGTTTGGTGGAAATTAAAAAGTATAAATCACATTTGGAACCATTGTTGAGTCAACAACAACAACAACAACAGAATGGATTGTATTAAAAAAGAAGAGCTCAACCTCATCGACCAGTACCACTACTGCTGCTGCTAGTATTACGAGTAGTAGCAATAGTGAAAAGTCATCCCATCATCAACACCAAGGCCATCAAAATCCAAATATGGAAAATTCAAAAGAATCCACAAGATTATCCTCTCCAAGATCTCCTTCAATGAATGCTTCTCCAACAACTTGTTCATTACCTCAACAACCACCTCTTCTTCCTTCCATTCATTCCTCATCGGATTAGTTACTCAATTAGGAAAGGAATTTTCCACACATTCTGATCATGGCTTAATGATCTCATCGTCGTCTTCTCCAACAACAATTACTACTACAACTACTATTACGACTCAAGATGCAACTATCAATTTCATGAAACAAGAAGAAACTCAATCAAACATTTCACAAAAATCAAATGAAAAACGTTTTCGATTGAATTCATTATTATTGACAAGAAGAAAATCCTCTCCAACAACTACTTCTCCATTAAGCAATCAAAGTCAACACACATTCATGACAGCCAATTCCCCAACGACAGCTGTGAATGGTAATCATTATTCAGAAAATCAATGGAATGGGACACAACAGCATGATCATTTCATTGTGAATGGAATTCATCAAGAACAGTTGTCAGAAGTCGTCTTTGAGGACAAACACATTCTTTACACCACAACTGCCCATACGAATATGGATGCAGAATCTGTGACAAGTGACAATACAGGTTCCACCACTAACTCTGTATCTACCATGATAGAAAATACCATTTTACATCAATACTCAAGTAATGCTGTCAAGAATTATGAAAAATCGTTCGTCTTGATGAGAGAAATTTTGGATACTTTTTTAATGAATGAAGCAGAAAGTGAAATTAATATCGATGGTCAGTCCAAGTACAGATTATTAGGAAACGCTGCATTGTTGAATCTTCAAAGCTATATTGAAATGGACTTGATGACGAAATATACTTTATTTGATCAAGTAGAGTTAGAATTACTATTATTGGTTAAGGAAGATATTCTACCAAGATTTGCCCAATCAGAAGAGTGGCAAAATTTCGTCCTTGAACATGGAGATATTGCCAACTCTTGCTGTTATCCAGAAGATGTTAAAAAAGTTCTCAAATTAAGATATCGAAAAGAAGATTTACTTCGCGAATACATCTCTCAGAAAGATATTGATTTTAGTGAAATGGCTGCAAGTGACATGTCATGTCTGAAACACATGTTAGATATTAATGGTCTTAACATTTTCTCAACAAAGGGAGATCAATTTGTGGATCTTCAAGATATTGGAATGGGAGGATTTACCAACGCCAAGATTATTGGATTTTTACCTTTCGCAGCAGAAGTTGTCATTAGTGGACATTGTAGTGGCTATGCCATGACAAAATTCGTTCCAACCACACTCTTTGATCAAGATCATGAAGGAAAAATTATTCCTTTCAGAGAACATGAATTTGAACATGTCGATTTTTCCAACGAGCTCAATAAGGATGTTTATCCAAGTTGGTTAACAAAATTTTCTGTCAAGTATCCAAGACCATGTTCGAAAAGAACGTGTTATGCTGCTGGAACATGTGTCTTTGTGAAAGGAAGATATATCATGATTAACAAGTCCGTTTTAAATCCAGACAAGTATCCAAGTGAATATATTTTCTGCAAAAACTCTAAAATGAAGAAAGAAAAGACGACGAACAGTCTTTTTGTGAGTATTCATGTCGTGACACCTGTAGCAAAAGAAAAGTGTCACTTTGTGAATTTATTATTACTTAACACTGGAGGATTTTTAAATATTCTTGCGGAAAGCATGTTAAAACAAAGTTTGAAAGTTTGTTCTCAACAACAAATGACAATGATTGAAGAGCTTAATGTAATGAAGAAAGATCGATTTGCCTTGATTGAAGACGGATATAATCGAGCAAGGCAATTCATTTCTCTCTCGTTAGCTAAATTTGGTAAAACCATTGGAACTGCTGAAGGTTGTACATTTCCACAGACTTTTGAAGAATTTCAAAAATACGCAGATTCTTAACCTGTGACACGAATTCCTAGATCACGAGTGTTGTTTGATTCTTTGGAATTTGAGGTAGCGCTTTTGCATGACAAGAAATATTCAATGTCATTCCAATTTCAATAGAACAAAGAAAGTCTCTCTTGGAGCATCATACAAGTACAAAGAATGAGGATCATTTCGAGCATGGGAAACCAAGCACCCTCTTACTCCATAAAAGTATTCAAAGTTGGGTATGTATGGACCGAAAGATCACAGTGATGTGTTAATAACCACAATGAAATTTACTTCCATCACGACAGTTTCAAATTTCGGTAATGTTGCATTCAAATTCCAGATCATTGTCGACCATGGCTGAGTGTTCGTCTGATTCTTCTAATTCTTGCACTTTTGGTGGATGAGAATTCAGAGCAAGGTGAGAATTCTCATCTTTTTCATCGTTTACAAAATCCTTCCTCTCATCTTTTTCCTCCAAGATGTCTAGTTTGCGAAGTTTGATCGAGGGTTCCTGATTCAACTTGTAATACCATGATCTGATTACTTCTGTTGAACCGATCATCATTTCTGCCCCAATCTCTTTAAAAACTTCATGCTTACGTTTTTTCAAAGATTCCAAGAAATAAACTCTATACTCCTGACATACGTCATGAATAGAAACAGGTTCCTTACTTCGATATTCATTGTTAAAGACAGATCCTTTTGGAATGAGTTGGTTACTAATAAGAAAATTGAATATCTTTTCATAAGAACATTTGTAAGAGTCTTTGCTCATTTCGGTTGCGTTTGTTGGTTCAAACATTGAACGCAACAATTGACGATACTGTTTTCTGGTCCGTTTCATGGCGGTTCTCTCTTCGTCAGTTGCAATGTCAATAATTTCTTTCCATTTCATAACCTCCAAACAACGCTTGAGAACAATCTCACAATTCGACGAAATCTGAATGTTTGCCTGAGGTTTTGATGTTACATACGAACAAGCAAAGTAAAGTGCTTCTCTCCAGTCACCCATATGCTTTACATTGAGTTGCACGAGTTGTGCATCTACTTCAAGATCCTCGCTGAAGAAAAGAGAAGGATTTAGAACAAGCGTACCAATGGAGACCCTTGCATGTGGTTCTTTTGAATGATGTATATTCGTATTCCGTACCCAATGGACCACAAAATCGTTGCAATCGTTCACACTTGAGTTGACAATGGCCTCTGTGTATTGTTCTTCACAACATACATGTCTAAAATTTCCAATGATTCAAGAGATGAAGTTGAGCAATATCTTAGTAACATTGTAATGCTATTACTACTTACTTCAAGTGATTCAGTTTGGTTTCTTTGAGTTCTCTTGTGGTTCGTGTTGTTTCCCTAAAAAAGAAAGGGCAGCGCTTAACTGTCAGATGTTTCACATTGGGCAACAAATAATACAACAATTCATGATCCATGGCATAGCTGTCAATAATAGTCAGTGATTCAAGCATTGGAAGATTCGTCAACGCTTGTTTCAAATTCTCTTTTGAAATCATAGATCTTCCGTTAAGAGAAAGTTCTTTCAAAGTGTTTCCATGCAATGCTGTTAGTTCTTCCAAGTGTTCACCAGTCATTGCAACAGAGAGATCATAAGATTTTTCCGATTGGTACAATGTAATGTTTAAAGATTGGAAATTGGACATTCGATCAACACGTCCTGCTGATAACTGTTCACTCCAACACAAATGACACATTAAATCATTGAACGCATGTAAAAGGTTACCAGCATTGACTTTGGGATCACTCATTAGAAAATTCTCCAACGAAAGTCCATCAAAATCCATTTTGGTTCTGGAGTAAAGACAATACTTGAACCAACATTTACACACAAAACGAATCTTCCACCAAAGCTCTTTCATTGAAAGAAAGGAGAAAATCACTTGGATAGGACCGTTGGGGTCTGAAAAAACTCCTGACACACTCTCAAGGTCTGTCTCCTTCCATACTGAAGGACCAGAAGAATCTCCAGTCTTTTCAAATGGAACAAAACAGTATTGTGTAAGCAAGCTATTTCTGAAGGACTTTTCATTGCGAAGGAGTGATGAAAAGGAATTAGTCATGATGATCAATGGTATGAGAATAACGATGAGTGATGAAGCGATTGACAGAAAAACTCAGAGAGAAGGGTTGAGTGATTTTTTTTTTGATGAGAAAACTTGGTCTGCTCCGTGCACTAGGCAGCAATTTATTTGATTGCAGTCTCGCAAAAAAAATTGTTTGCCAGCTACCAGTACGCCGATTCTTATTTACAAAGGCCTTATTTGGAATCTCGGGCGGGTTGGTGAGAATTCTCTTCGTCCTGTGTCACGTCCAACTTGTCTTGTTCCTCTGAGGACTGCTCCATATTCAAATCGTCATTCTAGGAGCTGATTTCATTCTCAGAATCTGTTAAATCGATCCATTGAGGTGTTACAGACTCTTCAATACTGTCTGTCAGGTCTTCATGCTTTTGTTTTTTTACGCTATTGGGATTGGATGAATAGTGCACGCTCCTTTTCTCCTTTTTCTGTTCAACTTCATAATACTCTGTGCGAGACCCATATCTTTCCACTCCTTTGAAACAAAGAAGTCCCATGTTAATTTGGAACTCCTTCAACTGTTTCTGACTTGCATATTCCATCTTAAAACGTGTGTCGCTTGCAATGAAGCGATTCTTCACTAGAAAATGAAATACTGCCTCATAGGAATATCGTTCCTCCAATGATATCTTGCTATCAGGTTTGTATGGCTCTTGTTTCGTAGCATGCATGGACTGTAATATATGACGAAATCGATCGGTAGTGGTCTTGATGTAGTGAGTTTCATATCCTCCCCAATTATTGTTCCATTGCAAAACCTCCAAGCATCGTTCAAGAAAAATCTTACAACTGGGAGGAACAAGAATGGAGCTTGCCTGAGCACAAGCCTGTCCCCGTAGTAGTCCATAAAGGTTTCCAATACTGCTGCACTTGTGTTGCACATGTTGGACTCCTTTTGGTATGAAGTCACCTGGACGTACAATAAGTTTTCCAACCGAAAGAGTTTCAATCCTTAAGAATCGGTCTGAATAGAGCTCTTTCCACTCAACCACCAAATCGTTGTTGGTTCCGTATGTACATGCGTCAAGAATTGTCTTTGTGTATTGTTTTTCACAACACACATACCTAAATTAGAGAGTCATCAACAAACACCATCATGAACTATACTTACGACAAGTGAGAAAGCACACGTTTCTTTCCCAAGGGTTCAGCCGGTTCCCGGAAAAAGAATGGACAACCCCACAACTTTAAAAACTTCAATTTGGGTGGTAAATAACTTAACATATCCTGATCCATTGCATGGTTACCAGCAATAGAGAGTGACTCAAGCTCGGAAAGATTTGAAAAAGCTTGCTTTAAACCATTTTTGGTAATGACTGTCCTTCCTTTCAGATAAAGTAGTTTCAATTGTTTTCCGTGCAACTTGGTTAATTCTAAAAAGGGCTCATTTGTAAGTGCCTCCAATAAACCATTTGATTTTGGCTCATTTGTCGTAGCCTCCATTGAATACTTTGAAAACTGGAACAATTGTATTCTTAAAGATGTGAAATTGGCCAGTCTTTTAACACCAGAGGATATCTGTTCAGTCCAACACAAATGACACATCAAATCATTGAACGCATGTACAATATTATCATCATTGACTTTGGGGTCACTCATTAGAAAATAGTCTAACGAAAGTCCATCAAAATCCATTTTGGTTCTGGAGTAAAGACAATACTTGAACCAACATTTACACACAAAACGAATCTTCCACCAAAGATCTTTCATTGAAAGAAAGGAGAAAATCACTTGGACAGGTCCTCCATACGAAAAAACACTTATTGCACAATCGAGTGTTGTCTCTTTCCATCCGTTGTCTTGAAATGAGACATAATCTCCATGTCCTTCCTGCTCTAACAAACAATTTCTAAAAGACTGTTCATTGTGAAGGAGAGAAGAGAAAGAAGAACAAAGCATGATGATTGTGACAAAGAAAAGAGTAAGAATCGATGAATGGTTTTACGAAATAGCTGTGATGTTTTAAACAACTTGATGGATTTGAATAGCCAACGAGTGAGTTGTGGAGTGTGTGTTGAATAAGTGGTTGAGTTTTTTTTTTGAAAACTCTGCAAAAAATTGTGTTTCATAAAAATAAATTTGGTCTTCCATCTAATCACCACCTCGAAACCCTACCAGAATGATGGACCAGTAAATGATGATGACCCTTTTATAGCGATGGATTCATGTTCTTTCCTTACCACACCACATCACGATATAAACAGAAAGATCTGAACCATGGTTTTCGAAAACGGATGATCAAGAGCTGATTTGCAAAATGTTTCAAAATGTGAGGAAACAATCCTGACTATTGCGAACTCAAAACATCCCATGAAACGAACGATGGAAACTATGATTTGTTCTGAACGTAGTGAAAAGAGTTTGGGTTGAATTTTAATGCTCAAAAAATTTTCTGCGTACTAGTACTTCGTCTCCCTTTGCTTTGCTAACTGACTTCCCACCCATCGCACTCCCACCCTTATCATGTTTTCTTAAGCTTTCCAAGTTCCTTTTTCGCTGATCCTTAATGTTCTTGTGGTAAGAAAGAACCTTAAGTCAGTGCGTGACTGCCTTGTTCGAACATTAACTTTTTAACCTTATTTTAATATTTATTTATTTTACATTAATGTGACGTTGTCACCACCTTTGATACTTGGTTTATTTATGATAATGTGAGTTGATCACAATCCATCTCTTCTTCATCACTTCCTTCTTACTTCCTTGCGTTTCTCTGATTTTCTCCTTTGGCTGAGCTTTCGTCCGATTCTTCTAATTCATGGACTTGAGGATGAGACTTCAGATCAAGAAGATGAGAATTCTCATCGTTTTCATCGTTTTTATCGTTTACAAAATACTCCATCTCATCGTTTTCATCTAATTTGCGAAGTTTGAAGGAGGGTTCCCAATTCAACTTGTCATTACATGGTCTGATTTCTTCGGTTTCATGCACTAGTACCATCTCCTCATAATCATCAGTCAAGTAATCAAGCAGCTGACGTTTTTTAGAAGATTCCAAGGAAGGAATACTTTCCACATGATTTCCACCAAGAATACGAATCTTCTCGTTTTTTTTGTTTGAAATCATGCTCATAAATGTTGTGAATAAAAATGGCTAGTTTGGTTTTGAAACTCCCACATCAAAACAAGACATGATGGACCTTTTATCGGAGTAATGGATTCATGTTTCTTTCTTTACCACATTACATCACGATTAAACGGAAAAATCTGAACCATAGTTTTCCAAAACGGATGATGATCAAGAGCTGATTTGCACGAAATGATGTCAGTGTATTAAGGTGTTTGCTTGTAAAGTTTTAAATATTTTCCCTTTATATGGCGTAAAAGCATTAAGCCCCATTTTAAATTAGACAGTTGAAACTACAAATCTATCTTTTATTACTCATGAGTAAAAGGAATAGCATCATACTTCTTCTTTTTCCTTTCAGGTTCAACATCTTCTACATCGCGATGGAAGGTTATACGTGTTTTAAAGATATCTTTTGCTGAGAGATCGATGTACTTCCATTCTTTCTTTGGACACGCATTTTGAACAAGTGTTCTCAATGCTTTTGTTGCAGAGTAGGAATTGGTTTCCATACTCATAGTATTCAACTTCTGAAGGTTATTGAGGCATTCGTTTAATCCTTGACATGAAATTCCTTCAATGATATTATTTAGATCAAGTTTTTTCAAAGTGTTGCAGTGACATAATGACAGCTCTTTCAAATGTTCATCAGTTATGGCCTTTTTTAAAATACACATCACAGAGATTGAGAGACTAGTCATTCTTGTCAGTGTCAATGGTCTTTGAGGTGGTTCAATGACGATAAATCCCTCCAACATAAATGACACATCAAATCTTGAAAAGCATATTCCAAATTAAGGCAGTTCACTTTTTGACTGCCCAATAAAAACTGTTCCAATGGTTTTCCGTCGAAATCAATACTCTCTTTCGAACATAGGCAGTGTTTGAACCAATGTTTACAAACGAATCGAGCAGTCCACCATAAATCATGCATGGTCAAAAAGGAAAAAATGATTGAAAGAGTTCCACGAATTGTAAAAACAGAAGCCGCACATTGTAACAAATGTTCACATTCAGAAATGTCATGAAATTCACTAAAATTAACATTGTTGGCACTCGGATCAAGAGAAAGAATATTTCTAAAGGACTTGGGGTTGTGTAGCATGCTTGAAAATGAATGACGTTGGTTCATTTTTTTTGGTTTGGAATTTCGAACAAGAATTCACTTCTGTTCTCTGAAAATCATCATCTATTTTTGGGTTTATATTTTTGACAATAGCTGTTTGGTGTTGGATTGAGCCTAGAATTATTTGAGTTTTCTGAATTTAATCTCTCTTGCTTCTTCTTGTCGCTCTCTCTCAACAAATTCAATATAAAACTGCTCTCTTACACTGAAAGGAAGACATCTCAGCAATTCGTGATACACAAAAAAGTTATCAATGTTCCAATATTTGAAATTAGTCATCATATTCAATGAAGTGGAAGGAAGGACGTCCTTGTGTTGATCACTGTGAACATTTTCCAGCATGTATGTGAATGCTGTTTTCAATCGTTCCACTCGTTGTTGATCTTCAGAATCTAAAATCATTAAATTTGCTTTGGAAAGTAAAGACAATATTTGACTTAAAAACAGAGTCATTGAAGAGGGAAGACTTATTTTCACAGTCGAATAAATCTGAAGAAGACTTTCCATACAGGCCAATGGAAATCGACATCGCTTTTCTACAATTTGTAATACTTTACACTTTACATGGTTGGAAAGAAGAGGTTCTACTTCGTATGGATCTACTTTGACTCGTTCAATCACAGCATCTGGCATGTGGTTGTTTTGGTGTGCAACAGTCAAATGTCTGAAATCTTGTGTTTCAATGGAGCCATCGGACAAATCGAGTAACTTTAAATTCTGCAAATGAGAAATATGTTTGGGGGAACACTTGTCAGTTTTAAAATACCTTATTTGATAAATTGTTATACCTTTTTTGGTTGTAATAACGTTCCACTTACATTAAGGTCTGTGAAAATGAGTGAGTACAATCTCCATTCCGATAAAACTTGTCACACTTTTCAATTCGGAGTGATTCTAGCTTGGTGAGATGTCTCAACACCGAATGATGAATAAATCGATTTCCAATCACGGTCAATTTTTTTAAATTTCCAAAATACTTTCGAAAGGTTTTATCAAAACCCAAAGTCTCTGTAATATTTACACAATTTGTCAGCTCCAACTCTTGCAAACTATTTCCATGTCTTAGAGCCAACAGTTTCAAATGAGAATTATTAAAGAATTCGCGTTCGTCCTTCAATTTTACACAAAACCGTTTCAAATTTCGACAATTTCTCAAAATGTAGGCAAATACATAATCCCAAGCTTGTTTCATATGAGAATCTTTCACTCCACATCGAGAAAGAAACTCCTCCACACTACTCTGATCAAAATCAATACAATTCCTGCTGCGAATACTTGTTTCCCACCATTCTCGAGATACATATCTTAATCGACTCCAAACGAAGGACATGGGAAGATATGAAAACACTTCACTCAAAACATCTCGATTGAGAAAGATTCGAATTTTTAATGTTTGGTTGTTGTCGGCACTCTGTTCGGAATTTGAATCATTCTTTCAAAGGATATTTTCTCATCGGTTGTATGATGATTGTCAAATATTTGAATTTCAAGTGTTCGTTGGTTGTTGTATGGAGCAGCAATGAGATTGAAAGACATCATTGCGAATCACACAGGATCGGTTCAATCGCAAGCAATTTAATTTTTTCAAATAATGATGTATTGTAATGAACAGAAGATGATTAACAACGAGAGGACGGAGAAACTGAGTAAGTGTCTTGAGGTAAGTACTTTTTTTAAGGTGAATCTGTTAGAGTAGGAAGAAACGGAAGGCATATGACTATATTTGGATTGTTTACATAATTGTCAGATTGATTTTCTTCGTTTTTCAACAACAACATGTGATGTCACAGCAAGGTTAATACGTTACGTATTAAAAAAACATGTTTTATGAAGAAATTTTGGCTTGGCAACAACTCACATCTTTGTCTCACACAAGAAATTCAACAATCTCTAGGTCACATTCGTGTGATTTGTTTGAGTTATGTCACGCTCTTATTGCAAGACAATAATATGAGTCCACTTGCTGTTACCTTAATTCATTTACGCTCTTATTTGGTAATTTTGGACTTCTCATAACCTGCCAGTACTAGATTGAAGGTTTGAGGATTATGTCCATATGCTTCCGGTTGACTAACATGCACTAATTTAGCATTATTGTTTTCAAGTAAAATATAACGCTCAGGCCAAACAGAAAACATCTTTTCAAATCCATCCTCAATACCATCCACAGCAGTAGGAATATGGAAATCCAAACTTTGCATCATTTGCTTCGTAGCATCCAATCTTTCTTCAATTGTTTTGTGTTGCTGAATGCAAATTTTGTCTCCCAATTTCCACTCATCACATGCATGAGCTTCTTTAATATAAATGGTTAAGAAAAACACACGAGACTTGAAAGTCTCCACCATGGTATGGAGAAAATCTCGGTGCTTTCTAAACGGTGGTCAGGAATAACTAGCACCAATGAGCACCACAGGTAAATTGTTGGGATTTCTCTGTTGTAATAACTCGCTCAATGTGACCTTATAATTAAGAGCCAACTCACTCGATGGAATTTCCAGCAGTGCTTGATGATTATTTCGTCTATTAGATTCTTCATAGAAATTCATCAAATCCACAACCTTAATTGAACTCAAATCCAAACAAGTGTTCAACTCTAGAGAACATGCTCTAGACATGTCATATTTAAAGTAATCAGTGAGAGTATTGATATCGGGATCATTTCTAAACCGACATCTCAAATTGCGATAAGCAACCATGAAATTATTAAAGGCTTCATCGTACATCAATCCTTGATTTCGTTTCAATCCCAATACATTGGCAACCACTTGTTCTTGCAAGTCCATGGTGATCCTTTCTATTTGAAAAAGATCATCATCTGCTTCGGTATAGGCCTGTTGAGTGCGAGGGTCTCTCCTAAGACGTTGTTCTTCTTTGAGAAGCAAGATGGCTGTCTCCTTTTCAATGACGACCGGTGTAGGTCGCAGATACAGGTTGTAGCCTGATTTTCCACTCGTTGAATGGAACATGCCCATTTTGTTCCGATTTCAAAGAGCAAATCCAGATGGAAACTAGAAAATTTGATGTTGTTGAACAATTACTAACGGGAGCTGATGTTGAACGATGGCGTTTTTTTGAATTGTGTGATCTTTGATCTTGATGATCATGAAGAGATCTCAGCACGAACTTTGAACATTGTCGTCACGCTTTGTTAATGATACGTTGTTTTACATCGGAATACTGACAAGGAAAGCAAACCTAATGTTAACATTCCTCAAGCATATCCATCGTGTTGAGCATTGGATAGAAGCACAAAAAGTAAAATGCAAAATCAATAAATGATGGTTTACTGTGCAAGATCACACGCTGCTCCAAATGTACTACATATTGGAGTAAAAATCGTTTTTAGATAGTTATTGGACCTTTGAAGTAGAAATAATCAAATCCAAAACTCTGTTGGAGTAACCCCATTCGTTGTCATACCAAGCAACAACCTTAACAAAGTGATCGTTCAATGAGATACTGGCCTTGCTGTCATAGGTGGATGAAGCACTGTCATGAATAAAGTCACTAGAAACAACTTCCTCTTCAGTGTACTTCAAAATACCCTTGAATCTCTCGGATTCGGATGCCTTCTTCATGACTTCATCAATTTGCTTCTTGGTAGCAGGCTTTTCCAATCTGCAAGTCAAATCGACAACAGAAACATCAGCAGTTGGAACTCTGAAAGCCATACCAGTCAACTTTCCGTTCAATGATGGGATGACCAAGCCAACAGCCTTAGCAGCACCAGTTGATGATGGAATAATATTGTATCCAGCAGAACGGCCACCTCTCCAATCCTTCTTTGATGGAGCATCAACTGTTGGTTGAGTTGCAGTCAAGGCGTGAACGGTAGTCATCAAACCTTCAACAATTCCAAAGTTTTCGTGCAAGACTGCAGCAATAGGAGCCAAACAATTGGTTGTACAGGAAGCATTGTTGATCACAGTCATTTCTGGCTTGAATTCATGATTATTGACACCCATAACAAAAGTTGGAGTATCAGCAGGAGCAGAAATAACAACTCTCTTTGCGCCTCCCTTCAAGTGCTTGGAAGCAGTATCCAATTTGGTGAAGACACCAGTGGATTCAACAACATATTCAACTCCGTATTGTCCCCAAGGCAACTTCTCTGGTTCTCTCTCGCAGAAAACATGAACTTCACGTCCATTAACCTTGATTGAGTTTTCAGTGTATTCGAGTTTACCATTGAATTTACCGTGGACAGTATCATACTTGATCATGTAGATCATGTAATCTGGAGTCATCATAATATCGTTGATGGCAACCACTTCAACATCGGTTCTCTCCAATGCAGCACGGAAGACGAGTCTACCAATTCTACCAAAGCCGTTGATTCCAACCTTGACCATTTTGTTGTATTGAGTTGTTGTTGGTTTGTGTGTTGTATTTTTTTTGTGTTAAGCTTAACAACAATCCGAGACTTCATGCGCTTGGCTTCCTCGAGGATGAGAATTAGGATCGGTCCTTTCCTAGGCCTTTAACAAAATTCCATAAAAGGTCTCAAGTTTGGACACCTTCTGTATGCATGCAGAAGGAGTGATTGTGTTCATCATACTGCTCATTGATGAATAGATGAAGGGATGAAAAGACTTGAAGTTGAAATCCAAACAAAAAGAAGCAAAACTCAGGCCATGACCTACATAAATGGCGAATTTTGCAAAAATCGCGAACAAGATCCAGCAACAAAGAAATGCATTTCTTTCTCATTGAGAATGCATGGATTGAGGAAACAAGGGTAAGATGATGTCCTTGAATTCAACATTCTGTAAAGAAAACTTGCCAGTGAAAGACCTAGAACAAGCAATCACACAATGAAGGAAACAAATCCTCTCTTCGAAAATTAGACATTTTCAGCTGCCAAGTTTTTTCGAATTTATCATTTTTACCAATCCAGCCAACTAGTCACCCGATAAGTGAAGGTTCACTTAAAAGTTGATTGAATGAAGGTTATTCATTCTTATTCACCAGGACAATGAACACCACAATCAGCAATATTCAAGCACGATGCTTTTTCACATTCAGTGAAAATCATGGGATCTTGCTCTCGAATACAACACACCCTCTCTCAATTCAAAATTGAAACCTCTTCTCGATTAGGTCCCTTTTCAAAAATCCTTTTTTAAGCCTCTTCCGGATCCATTAAGCTATGGATGAACGTTGGTAGCCGTGGAGAGGCTCTTGATTTTCTGCGTTTAAAAAAAATACACTAATTCCAATACAACACAACAACAACAACATGTCCTCACAACACATTGATATCTGTGGCAAATTCGGCCCTGAGATGGACAAGACTGTCCAAGCCATGATTGCCAGAGGAAAGGGTCTTTTGGCTGCTGATGAATCTACATCAACCATTGGAAAGCGTTTTGAAAAGATCTCCTTGGAGAATGTTGAATCCAATCGTCAAGCCTATCGTGAATTGCTCTTCACTGCTCCAAAGGAATACACCCAATACATCAGTGGTGTGATTTTGTATGAAGAGACCTTGTTCCAATCTACTCTCAGCGGAAAGCCATTCTCTGAAGTCTTGACCGAGGCTGGAGTTGTTCCAGGAATTAAGCTTGATTTGGGAGTCAAGAATTTGCCAGGTACTGATGGTGAGCAAGCCACTCAAGGTTTGGATGATTTGGAAAAGAGAATTAAGAAGTATTATGATAGAGGTGCTCGTTTTGCCAAGTGGAGAGCTGTTTACAAGATCAACGACAAGGGATTGCCATCACAACTCGCAGTTGATCAAAATGCTGAGACTTTGGCCAGATACGCAGCAATTTGTCAAGAGAACGGTCTCGTTCCTATTGTTGAACCTGAAATTTTGGTCATGGAAGGATCTCATAATATTGAAGTTTCATTGCAAGTCACCAAGAGAGTGTTGGCTGCTGTCTTCCAACGATTGATTCAACACAATGTTGATTTGAATAGAATCATCTTGAAGCCTAACATGGTCTTGCCAGGTAACGATTGTCCAACCAAGGCTGAATGTGATAAGAAGATTGCTCAATACACTGTGGATGCTTTGAGTAGCACTGTTCCACCTGCAGTGAGAGGAATTATGTTCTTGTCTGGTGGTCAATCGGAGAAGCAAGCTGTTGAGACTTTGAATGAAATCAACAAGGTCAATGCTCCAAAGCCATGGGCTCTCTCCTACTCTTATGGTAGAGCTTTGCAAGATTCTGCAATCAAGACTTGGCAAGGAAAGAAGGAAAATGTTGAAGCTGCTCAAAAGGCTTACATTGAACAAGCCAAGAAGTGTTCATTGGCTTCCAAGGGTGAGCTCTAAACAATTTCCGAGATGCTCTTTCCAATAAATTGTGATCATAAAATGTAAGTCATGAATGACTGAATTTAATTTTGAGTGTGTAACAACATGGTTAATAATAGCGATCGAATATTTTGAAATATTATTGAACGAATTTCCGATATCCAATTTAAATTTAATAATTTTATTATTTTTCTTGATCGTTTATGTACATGAAACATTTTCACAAGACAATGGTCTCTATAGTAAGTTAAAATTCGTCCTCATCATCTAAAGGAATGATAGCATTTGCAGCATCTTCGATCTCTTTCTGGAGTCTTGTCATTTCTTCAGGACTAATTATCACTGGAGGAGGAGCCAATGGAACACACTCAATGAATGTCAAATTAGGATCATTCATCAGCTTTTTCAACAAATAGAGAAATGGCTTTTCGAAATTATAATTACTTTTTGCAGATATGTCATAATATTGCAAATTCTTAGCTCTATGAAACGAAATATGTTTTGGTTTTACCACTCGATCCTTGACATCGACCTTATTGCCACAAAGTACCACTGGAATATTGTCACACACTCTCATGACATCTCGATGCCAAGTTGGAACATTTTTATAAGTGGCACGAGAGGTCACATCAAACATAATTAAGGCACAATGACTTGCAACATAGTAACCATCTCGAAGACCTCCAAATTTTTCCTGTCCAGAAGTATCCCAAGTTTCAAAACATATAGGACCATGATTCGTGAAGAATTTCAATGGATGAACTTCAGCACCGACCGTGGCAATATATTTCTTTTCGAATTCTCCAGTAAGGTGACGTTTCACAAAGGTTGTTTTACCAACACCACCATCTCCTACGAGGACAAGCTTAAATGTGGGGATTCCGTTTTGCATGGGAATTTTAGAAGGAGTGGTGCTATTGTTGTTGTTCGAGTTTATCATGGTAATAGACATTTTTTTTCGCAAAAGAAGCAAACAAGAGTTTTTAACAAGAAGATCTTCTTCATGAAAATTTTTCCCGCCTTGGAATGTCTTGCAGAGGAATTCTTTCATGCTCTTGTGTTTGATTAATTCAAACAAATCTAGAAAGTCTTCAAGCACACATGCCAACGTGTAATCGACAGTGAATTGTGTGCATTTTCCAAGTTGAAGCTCTCACATTCGTCTCCTTACAAAAAAAATGTTGTCCTCTCAATCCGAACCCAATTTCACACCAACTGCACACTTTGTGAGTCAAATTTTAAAAATTCCTATCGAACAAATGATTAATTTATATGTTGGTGGAAGTCGACTCTACAATTGTCATTCCCCCAATTCCGATTATGATTTATTTCTGATTGTGAAAAATGAAACTGAACTACCCAAAGTAGATCATGTGAATTGGTGTGAAATGGAGCCAGATGATGTTATTTTGGAAACAATAGAAAAGGTTCACGGATCGGAGGTAATGATGGAAAGAAATTTGGCATTTTCACGTTCTGAAAATTGTATCAGTTTTCGATCGGATATTATTGACGTAAATATTTACAAGGAAAAACAATTTGTTCACGAATTAGAAAATTATATTGATTGTTCCATATTTGAATATGCATCATTATCTCACTACAATACAGATGATCCTCATGAAATTGCGACTCGAGAACGAGCAATTCTCTTGGAAAACAAAAAGTTCTACATTCAAAAATTACAAACTCCAGAACAAAAATCAGCGTTTCGAAGGCCATTCAGTAGAAAATCAGCGAACAGTTATGTGAAATGCAAGAAAAAGATTTGTGTTGAGAAAGATCTGAAGGTTGGGCTGAAATCTTTATTTCATTCGTTGAGAATTGTCATGTTTGCCATTCAAATCTTAAAATTTGGTTTGTGAAAAACTTTGAAGTTGCTAATGAGTACTTTGTGGACATTGTGACCAATCGTTTAAATAAGGAAATTGAGAATTATGATGAGTTGTGGAATGAATTGGATTCCAAGTATAAGACAGTTAAAAAAGAGTTGGAAAAGGAGTTTCACACGCTAGCTCCAAAAATTGGTATTCAAAAACCACAAAAACCTCCAAAAAAGAAAGAGTAATTAATGATGCTGCCAAACTCTGTTTATGGAACATTATTGGATGAAAAATTATCCATAGATTTAAACGATCCATTGTTGTTTTAAGGAAATGAGCTCCTCCTTCAATTTTTGCAAATCACGTCTCCACATCTGTTTTGCAGTATCCGCTTTGACATTATTTAAATCAGCTTTGATAGTCTCTAATTGTTTAGCCAATTTTTCCTTATTTTCCATAGTCAAACTTATTAAACTCATGTCTGTGAGGTATGAAATACTTTCACTTTGGCCAATTTCCACACCAACAACTGTCTTAAGGAATGAGGGAAGATCTTCTCGTTTGGTTTTCATAAACTGTTTCAGGTTTGAATCCCCAGAAGTTATATAATCCAAGAATTTAACCTTATTTGTCAGAACTCGACTTTGTTTTTCTAGATGAGCAATTTGGTACGCTTTTCTTTTTTCATAGTATTCAATTCTGACCACATAGAATTGCTTAATCATTTCCTCAATATTTGAATATTGGACTATTTCCTGATTGGCTGAAAACGCAGTCATGTTTGTCATACTGAATGATTTTTCTAATTTCAATTTCTTCAACAAAGATGGGGTAATTTCAGATGAATTGATTGTGATAGTAAAACCAACAGTACTTTCAGTGTTTCGTTCCGAAAATTTTGGTTTGATCACATCCTTGGAAGCAAGATTCAATAAATGTGTTTTAAAATGTTCTGTCCACTCTCCAATGGGTAATTCAGAAATATCCATTTCAATGCTACCTCCTTTCTGTTTCACGGCATAGACTCCTTTCGCTGTAAATTTATCATTTCCATTTTGTTCAATCACTCCCTTGAAACCTCGAGCCCACATTTTGAGAGTAGGAATTTTAGCATTTTGTGCATTCGGTGAATCCAATAGTGTGTTCAAAACGTCGATGAGATCAAGTGGATTAAATGTTGGAATTGAAGTGGACCAGCCAGTACCCATTCCTTCAGCGCCGTTGACAAGTAACATTGGAATAATTGGTACGTAAAACTTTGGTTCAATAATCATGTTATCTTCGTCGTTGTAATCAAGAATTGGATCATCCTCTTTCATAAAATCATTCGTGTCAGCTTATTAAGTCTGGTAAAGATGTATCTGGCACTTGCAGCATCGTCACCTCCTTGTAGTCTTGTACCAAATTGACCACTTGGATACAAGAGAGGAATGTTATTAGACCCAACAAAGTCTTGAGCCATACTCGTAATAGTATTGTACAAAGCTTGCTCTCCGTGATGATAGGCGCTGTGCTCGCTCACATAGCCGGCCAACTGAGCAACCTTAATTTCATTCTTTAAATCTCTTTTAAGGCAACAGAATAAAATCTTTCTTTGACTAGGTTTAAGGCCATCAATGAGTGATGGAATTGACCTGATATTGTTTTGATTGGAAAACAAAATGAGTTCCTTATCAATGAAATCACTCAGTGTCACAGTGCCTTTTGAAGTGTCCAAATATGTTCCTTCCTTAAAATTGCCAAGCCAGACTTTTCTAACATTTGTGAGCTCCTTTGAAAACGCTTTTTCGATATTTTCTTCTGTCTTTTCGTCATATTTCATTTGTATCATATGTTTTTTCAGATTAGAAAAATATTCTTTTGCTTCTTTGGAGGTATTAGTACCCAATCCTTTGTAGTACTTTTGATTCCACTTTTCTCTCTCATTTTCTGAAAGGGAATTCTTCCAATTTTCAAATTCAGGCAAAGAGAAGAAAGACTTGGTGTCAGCACCTTTTGAAACTTTCACAATAGGAGTAATAAACTGATCTATAAAGTTGTTTTTCAACAATTGAGGATAAAAGTAATGAATCATGTTGATCAAAAGACCTTTGATGTGTGAACCATCATGGTCTTGGTCACACATTAGCATAATTTTTCCATACCGTAATTTCCTCTTGACATCTTCAAAACTATCTGTTTTCAATACATCATCCAATCCTAAAATTTTCTTCAGGTATTGCACTTCTTGGTTTTCTTTGATTTGTTCCATTGAAGCTTCTCTCACATTTAATACTTTGCCTCTCAGAGGAAAGACACCATATCTGTCTCGTCCAACAACTGACAGGCCTGATATTGCAAGCGCCTTTGCTGAATCACCCTCTGTTAATATGAGAATACATTCTAGTGATCTATCGGTTCCAGCAAGGTTAGCATCATCGAGTTTAGGAATGGCTAATTTGGATTCCCTTTTTCTAGGTTTTTTCGATCTTGCCGATTGTTTGTATTGAGCAAATGAAATAATATTTTCTATGATTGGTGTGTGAGTTGCAATTTGGGCTATTAAATCATTGGAAATGTTAATTTTCTGACTGAATGAAATAGATTTGGTCGTGAGCGTCTCTTTAGTCTGGCTGTCAAATGTTGGATTTTCTATCAAGGAGTTCACAAAGAGAGTGAGATGATTCTTGACCATAGCTGGTGGAATTGTTAATTGCAAATCACTGTATGTCTTTGAAATGTACTCTGAAATTTTGGAAGACAGCTGATACAAAATGTAGTTGACATGAGAACCTCCTTGAATAGTGGAAATGCTATTTACAAAGCTGAATTGAGAAAATTCATCTCCCATGGCTGCTCCTACAGCAATTTCCCATCCATCAGCAATATGTTTGTGAACGAACAGCTTTTCTGGATGCTCTACAGTCTTATTAGCAGAATAGAAAAGTTTGACGTACTCTTTGAAACTGTCCACTTCGATTTTCGAGTCGTTGAGATACACTTGCAATTTAGGATTACAAGCAGATAAGTCAAACATTCTTCTCTTAATCAAATCAATAAATCCACTTTCGTATTTAAATCCTTGACTGGAGAATTTTGCAAAGTCAGGATGAAATCTAACTTTGATATATGGCTCCATCTTGCTGCCAGCTTGACCTTTCGTAATTTCAGGAGTGGAACATGTACTCATGTTATTTGTCCAATGCTGTTTGTAAATGGATCCTTTTGCATCTCTAATTTCAATTATAAAATCAGTACTAAATATATTTGCTAATTTTGCTCCATATCCATTTCTTCCACCTGTGAATTTAACTTCATTATCGTTAAAATTGGAACCAGTGAGTAAATAACCAAACACTAATTCAGGAACATAAATTTTCTCGGTTGGGTGTATTGTGATAGGTATTGATTTTCCATTATTATAAACTTCTATCCAGTTTGAATTTTCATCCACCTGTACTCGTAATTCGTTCGTATGAGTTCCTTTTCTATGATGATTGTCCACTGCATTGACCAAAATCTCATCAATAATTCTGTACAGTGCAGGAATAAAGTCAACTTCTTGAAGCTTGACACAGGGATGGCCCTCATCGTCAGAACCAAGACAAAACATTTTCTTTTTCATTCTCTCAACACTTCCGACATAGGTATCGGGTCTTTCCAAAACATGTTGAACTGGAGTTTTTCTCTGATAGACGCTTTCAATACTTTTTTCTAAAGACAATAAAGATATGGAGAAACGTTTTAGAGAATAGTGTTCATTAAAATCGGGCTATGATTATCTATTGATTGAATCAATCGTGTGTTGGACCACGATGATGAATTTGTAGTTAGATTAGAAAATATAGAACATGATGGTTTCATCAAGTTTTGAATAGTACTTGGTGCAAGCAAGGCTTGTTCCCTGTTTGAAAAGGAGGCGTTTCGAATGCAGCCGAAGCATTTTTTTGATTGGAAAGGTTCAATTTATGAATTTTAAATCATTTATTGTTGATTCATGTCAAAGATGTTAATGGTGCAGTCACTGCTACAAGTGGCCAGCAAATTTCGATCTTCGTGAGTGACCCACTTGAGTCCTTCACATGATCCTTGGTGAGCTTTTCCAAAGGATAATAATTTTCTCAATCTCAAATCCCACACAAAAATAAATCCATTCTGAGTACAAACGGCGACTCGGTGACCTTTGGGTTCAATTTGTAAGTATGTTAACGTGTGCCAATCCAGTCCATATTGATCTGTTCTGAAAACATGATAAAGTCCCCATCGATCCATGGAATGTCTTTCTTGCTTGTCGAAATCATCGTCATCAAAATTTGTATCCACTTTACGTTGTTGTTTCTCTAGCTCATATAACTGATGATAGTGGTGATAGTGTTTATCTTTGTCGGCATATTGAGTATTAAGTCTCCAAATCATGACGCTTCTGTCGTCGGCACAGGTACAAATTACTTCTCCAATTCCCTTAATATATTTCCACTCCACTGACGTCACAGCCGTTGTATGACCTGTTAAGGAATGAATTTGATTTCCTAGTAAATCAAAAATTCTTGTCGTTTGATCTTCACTGCATGTCACGACGTATTTGTTACAAGGTGAAAAACACACGCTCCAAATCTCTGAATATTGCGAAATTGAACCAAATCGAGAATCTGTGTTGTGGAAGATAGGTTTGTGGCCAATAATGGCCAATTTGATTTTAAGAATTGGTGACTCTCTTGCATTGTCTTCCATCACACAAAGCATTCCATTACTACTGCCACATGCTAGTAATCTAGGACAAACACCATTGCACCATCTAAGGCAAACAATGTCTGAAGTTAGTGAAAATTTGATATTGCTAAAAGGGTCGTCAATAGTCTCTAGAGTGTCTAATGAAATATTCCAGCAGTGTACATTCTTGTCCAATGATCCTATAAATACGGATAAAATTCGTCGAATCATGGTAGGATCCTCATCAAAATTAGTCCAACAATTTTCATGCCATTTGACACAGATAGCTCTGATTGAACCTGGAACCGTGCAAGTCATTAGCGGCTCATGAGAAGTACTATTTGTTTTCCATAGCATTACTTGTCCTAAAAAGTCACCAGTGATCATATATTCACCGTCTACAAGAATTCAGTGTTGGGTTGTTCAGCCATTGATTGTTTTTAGTGGTCATGGACTTGAGTAAACAAAGAACTTACCTGGTGAAAAATCAATACCACAACATGTCAGGTCATGAAAACGCAAAAATGACATTTTCTTTCCAGCTTGGATGCCAGTCAAAGAGGAATCATTCCTAACCTTCACAAGCGAAAATTCAGAATCGATATAGGCCCATATCATACTACTGTCAATCCACTTGAAGAAATACAAAGAAATTGCTGAGGAGTTGAGTGAATGCTGGGAAATAAGGGTGGCCTCATATTGGACTTTACAAGTTGTTGTAATTTGATAGGTATCTATTGTTTTTTTCTCGCAATTGTGTAAACTTAATTGGTTTGATTCGTTAATTTGCATCATAAATATTGTACCTCTTCCTATGGCTTTAAAGGTGCAACATTCCTCAATATTAAACAGGTCCCCTACTCTAAAAATTCGAATATTTCTGTCTTGAAGTGCGAATGCAACCAAATTTCCAGTTGGATTAACCTGCATGGTGGTGCACAGTGGTCCGCACGTATTCAGTACCAAACTGTGCACGCGTGTGACAGAGGTGGCTGTTACTTCAAACAAGTTCACAGAAACTCCATACTCTTTCTTTTGCTTGATTTGCTCAACACTAAGAATGAACAGCCTGTTTTCAGGATTATTCTCAGGGGCTATAAATGAAGCCATAGGATAATATCCAATCATCTGATCGATGAGAGTTAAGGTTTTAGTTTCTGGATCGAAATTGAAAACGCTCAATCTTCCACCATATCCCTCACTACAAACAAGGAATTTGGTACCATCCGTACTCCAAAATCCACACTGACATCGGTGTGAAAACGGTATTCTGTCCAGTACTCCAATGCACTTGAATGGATTTCCTTCAGCGTTGAGAGGACTGAAATTATTGTCAAATGACCAAACTTTTAACTCTCCTGCATAGCACACGGAAACAACCACATCTCTAAATCTCGGATTTTGTTGCATCATCGTAATGAGGTTCTCATGTGCACAAAAATTTAAAAACCTGTTGTGAGTGACTCTTTCAGAAAATTGTTGAACTTGTTCAAAGGTCAATTGCTCCACCTCCTCTATGGATTTGTTATGCAGTAAATTCCATCCACAAATATTGGGTCCTATAGTCGTGTATAACTCATGCACACCCTTCACAATATAGGAACAAAACCGAGGGGTAGGCACACCAAACAAATTCTTGACTCGGGGAAGCTGACTTTCATCTCGGGAGATACTTGGTGCATGATAAGAGAATGGCTCATCATGATGATGATGCATCTCTTGTATCATACTATATGGAAAGGTACTATGGTAATTGTTTGAGAGGTTGGTGATGTGGTCGGAGGTGAAGTCGTCGTCGTTTTGAGAGCCTCTTTAGAATGACTTCTCGGGAATGAGAGTTGTAAATCTGAATTCCGAGAGGATGTTGAATTCAATGGTGCTACGGTATGAATGGTTGAACCTTTTAATGATGAAATGGGCAATGTATTGGTTGAAGAAATTGAATGACCAAGACCATTCGAATCTGCATCACCCTGATGCTTTTGTCCACGTGAGAAGGAATCATGCTATATTTTTTTTATTTGAATTCAAAAGACGTTTTTATTGGTACGTTTTACAACTGTCCATAAATAAAGTCATGAACAGGTTCATCAAATTTAAAAGGCTCTTTAAAAATGTCTGAAAGTTGTTCTTCTGCGGCTATGGTTGAACTTTGCAATTTTTTACATGGGACTACAACGTTCCGTTCGTTGTTGATGGAAAAATTCAAAGACAAGATGATGAAATATCGGAATGAAAGGCTTGCCATTCCATTTTCAAACCAGTTTTATCGAGTGCATACATTCGGAAAGGTTTCTAGACAAGGTGGACATCAACAAGATGAACTGAAAGAACCCGAAGATGTCGCTATTTCATACGCTTGTCATTGTGTTCTGATTTCTGACGTTTCCAATTCCAGAATTCAAGTGTATCATTAAAACGAGTGACCTATCATTTACAAATCGAAGAAAACTATGATGGAATGAATCATGATGCACTCATACTTGGAAATAAGGATACTATTTTCAAATTTGATTTGGAAAAGTTAATCCAAGCATCGATGGATCAAACCAACTGTGATCCCATTTGGAGTACATTCACTCGTGCTAACCCTCTAGGAATTGCAATTTTGAGACAAGAACGAGCTCTGCAACCAAATATCATATTCATGGTGTTGTGCTTGGAAGAGGGAAATTATTTGACTTTATTTAATTCAGAGACTGGCAAAATCTTAAAAGAAAAATGTATTACGGACATGGTTCATAAACCATGTGGAGTTGCTTTTACTGATGAGAATGATTTGATTGTTACAGAGACATCCTATGGTAGAGACAAAATAGTCATACTAAGCATATGTGGATCTATTGAAGAATGGAAAGTAAAGACAGTGATTGGGAAAAGCGGAGATCAAGATGGAGAGTTCAAATGTCCTGTCTCTGTTGTCTATGACAGAGCTTCGAGGAATATCATTGTGAGTGACATGTTTAGGATTCAAGTCTTTACCAAAGATGGTGTATTTGTGAAATCATTCAATGATGACCTTAAAAACATGGAGAGTGAACTATGCTTACCAACAGGCATGTGTCTTAATGAATTAACAGGTTTGTATCTTTCACCATTGATTGGATTGTCACATGTGTTCTCAATATATATTATCCATACCGATATTATAGGCGAGTTATTTGTCTGTGAACATGGCAACAATGCAGTTCATATTTTTGTGTGATAGTCATAAACCATGCATGGCTGTGAGAGGAGCTTGCATTACTTCTACGGCGGCATGTTGTTTGTAGAACTACAATTCTCGTTGAAGGGACTTGATGATAAGCTCCTTCAGCCCTTTAGGCTGAACTCGTTCGTGGCAATTGCCTTTAAAATCAGTAGGAGTGACGTCGAATGGCTTCACAGGAAATCCTGGCGCTTGGTCTGAATTCTCTGTGACACACTGAACCAAATGGAGATGATTCATGAGAGAAATGGTTCGTACATTTGAAAAAGTTTCATGAACTCTTGCATTCACATCCGAGCACATGAATGTTTCTTTCATACAAAATGGGACATAAATCATGACAGCATTTGGGTTGTACATGAAGAGTGACATGTAAGATGCTGATCCTTGTGTGGTCACATAAACATTCAACGTTGTGAAAAATTCAATTTGTGCAGCCACAGACATGGACTCTAATTTCAAATTCACAATTTCAATTTTTTCATATGCATTGCCATTCCGCTGATTCACTCGATCCAATATTTGTTTTTTCAGCTTGGTTAAATATCTCACAATGTGATCGACATTAATAATGGCATCCTTATTATTTGAATGCAAAGGCTTATTTTGAATAGCAATGACCAGAGTTTTTTGTCGTTCCAAAAATTTAGAATATGGAATTTTCAACTTGTTCAACAAGTAATTTCTAAAAGCAGGTAGAATATGATCTCTCCGTTCAATGTGTTGAAAAAAAGATCCAACATTTCCTGACAATACTGATGAAAAACAAGTATCAATTTCATCTCCAATTCTATCAAGTTGTTCAGGACGAGGAGGAGAATACATGCATGGTGCCTCTTCAATAAAAGTTCCATTTTCATTCACACATTGTTGAAGCGCTGGTTTGTTTGAAAAAAGATGTGCAATTTCATCGACATGATCTTGTTCAAAATCTAGATAGAGAATATGATTTTCTCGTTGTACATATTCAAATATCATCATCAAGTTAAATAAAGGTAAATAATTATCTAACCAAGCATGTCCTAAATTTCCCATGGCATGTCGTGTGAAGACCAAAGTTGGAGTTGAAACCCATTTAAATCTTTTAGAAAGAATCATGGTAGTAAAATTGGATGAAGGTTGGTTGTTGTAGTGTTGTGATGTAAATGGTTGTTGTTGTTGTTTCTTAAGAACTTGACCATCGTGTTTCAAAATGAGTGTGGGTGATGTGTTCACTCGAATTTGTAATGAATCAATGGAATGATAGGCTGTGGTGTGAATCCAACGTTGACCACTCATGACACGATCATGTTTAGAGTTTGAAAATAAAATCCATTCTCCTCTCCGATTGATACAAATATTCTCAAATTTACAACTTGTATATGGAATGTTATTTCTCACACGATTCCATTCTCTTTGAATGATACATTGATGTTGAGATTGAAGTAAATATTTTGATTGTAATTGAGTGGAGTGAAAGAGTGAAGTCGATGCTTTGAAAAAACTTTGTGAATTTGGTAAATTATTGGGATCATCATTTTCTCCAATGTCATAACTGCCAAATTGATATTCAAAGGATTGGAAAATGGAAGGAATTTTAGGAGGTTCATATCGATGTAGTAATTGATCAATTCTAATAAAATTTTGACGATTCGGGTATGATAGGGACGTCGACTTGTTGTTATTGACATCAAGATTGCCAATTTTTTCACTTCTCGGAAGAACGGCTTGTGATTTCACACGAAAAAACAAGAAAAATCCAGCAGTGTAAATAAAGGCCAAGGTTATTACGATACGAAGAAGGAAATGAGATTTGGGAGTGAGCCATGACACTGTCGAGTATTGCTGTATCGATGATGACAGCCATGAAGAGAGGGAGTGTAGTGACATGTCACAACAAGGTCGTTCTCGGGAACAATTTTTTTGGTTTCCTCATGTGATGTGCGTGTGCTGTCGCGAGATTGACGCACCGTATTCTCTTCTTTTAAAATTCATCAAAATGAACTCATTGAAATTGGTTGATTAACATGATCTTTCTTTGAATGGTGAATTTGTTACTCAATTGCATGACAATACTGAACATGCCAAATTCGGAAGGTTCGACAAATTATTAAATAGAAAATTCGAAAATATTATCAAAAAAATGATTTCATCCACACCAACAACAGATAACACCAACAAACCAAAGAAATCCATCTCGGAGATGGATGATGATGAATTACTCAAATACGGAGAGCAAATAGAATTAACTGAAGAGGATTTAAAAGAGCTCGGCTCCGATATTGAGGATGATGAAGAATTGAAACCATACATTAAAATTAAGAGAGAGCAAAAAAGCAATAATAAGACTCGAAACAAGGGTTCAACTACAGAGGAAAATGCAAAGGACACTACGACAAGTAATTCTGATATCTCGGACACGACATCATCATCAAATCCAGAAAAAGTTCTTCCGCCTAATCCATCATTCATTCCGACGTTATTGTAGGTTATGCAATTAGCATTAGAGATTATTTTGCAATTTTATTGTTATTCAAGTCATCCCGTGAATATTACTGCAAGAAACAAATTCTTTGTGACTACCATTGCAATGTTTACTTTACCACTTATTGCATTTTATTATTCCTATCATTATTTATTGAATGGTGTTATTGTTGAATATTCAGCACATAATCGATTAATTTATGGAGCAGTTGCTGCTGTTGTCACTGTTCAAATTGTGATTGGTGCGTTCATGTATTCGTCATTGAGCGAGCCAGAACCTGTGGAGACAGAAGAAGAGAAAAAGAAGAGAGAAAATGAACTTAAATTAGTCCGAAATGTGCTCTTATCGAAAGGTGACCTTTCAGAATTTAGTACAAAGGCAATTCTTGAAAGAATGAAAAAGAAGAAAGAGGCTTCACAACAAGAAAGCACAGAAAAAACAAAAACAGAATAGACGCTTGTTCTTTAATTATTGTCATCAACCTCTTGACCCTCTGCAATCAGCTCATTTGGATCGTCTTTTGGCTGAGCATTATTTTCTGTAGGTAGGTCTTGCTCGTTAACTTGATCAAGAATTATTTCTTTCTCTGTTGTAGTCTCTGCTATCGTAGGCCTAATTTCAAGCTCTGTACTTTGGATTGACTGAATGGAGCTATTCAAATCTTGCGTGATGTCATCGAGCTTCTTTTCCAGCTCTTTGAGCTTGTTGTGCTCATCCACCTCTTCTTCCATGATTCCTTGTCCTCGCATGATACGTTGAGCCTTTTCATGCTCCCTTTGCGCTTCTTCTCTCTGATCTATGATAATATTTTCCAATTCTCTCAATTTCTTATCGAGGAAAGATATTGTTTTTTCTTGCTCCATGATAATTTTCACATTTTGCTCACTGGATTTAATTCTGTCATTCTCTTCGGATTTTAACTTCGCTAGTAGCAGCTTGATAAATCTATTTTGAGATTTGATTTTGTCCTTGGGGTTGGCATCTGTTTGCAGATTTACATGATCCTCTGGATCTAGTAGTCCCTTAATTTCAGTGTAAACATCCAAGTACTCCTTAGGAATTTCTACTGCGGATACATCATTAATGTCCATGTTTAGGCCCCTTTCAAACTTTAACCGTTCTAACTCTTTACGGAGCTCGGAATTTTCTTGATTTTTCATGGACACCTTTTTCTTAAGATCCTCAATAAGAGACTCTTCCTCCTCTAATAATCTTTGGAACTCCCTTAACTTGGACTCCAAAACTCGTTCTGTTTCTTTCATAACGCTTTGCGAATGTTGCTCTGTGAGTTTAACGTTTCCTTGAGTAGATTTTAGGTATGCAATCTCATCTCGAAGTGTACTATTTTGCTCCTTTAGCCGTTGATACTTCTCTTGCAACAATGCTTCTCCAATACTTTGCTTATCCGCAAGAATTCTTTCATATTTCTCACGTTTTACTGATTCTTCTTCCCAGGCGTCCTCACATTCTTTCAGTTGCTTTTTTAAGATCATATTCTTTTGCTTTTCTTCCTTGTATTTTTCTGTTATCTTTTTCAACGAGTCTCTTAACCTGTATATGATTGACGTTCCTTTCTCTTTGAAGGTTTGAAATTCCTCGAACGTTTTTTGCTTTTCAAAAAACTCGCTCCGAAGCCTGTTTTCCATGTCTGAAATTTTATCTTTCAAATTGATTTCAATCTCTCTTCGTTTTTCGTTTTCGAATGTGTTTCGTTTTAGTATATCTCTGATAGTTTGTACATATAAATCTTCCTCTTGTTTGTGTGCGTTGGCAAGTTCTTCCATCTGCATCCTTAAATTCATCATTGAGGCAAGTCGGTTTTCAAATGCATCTTTAAGATATTGATCCACACGTTCTCTCAGTTCTTGTTGTTCATTGTACAACTACAAAAATTATGTTGAAAGTAAGGACAAAATATACTACGTACTGTCCGTGATGAAGGTGAAATTTCTGATTCCGGTGAGGTATAAATCTGATGCTCATTGTCAGACCGTTTGTGCAATTTAGTAGGGGTTGTCTTTTCAGCAGAGTTAGTGAGTGTTTCGGTCCCAGCTTTTTTTGTGGTCGATGATACCGATGTGTCAGGTAGTGTTATGCTTTTAATTCTCTCTATAGTCCTAATTTCAGATGATGGAGCAATGTTCTCAGCGCTGTATCCGTTTCTCGATCCGTTGCTTCCATTTGATGAGACCGATGAGTTCACGGACGAGTAAGGGCTATTTGAATCTGCTCCTCCTTTTGATTTTCTTCCTCCCTGTAATGTTTTTGTTTTTTTCATCGTCCTGCAAGCCTTAATAGAGTGTATTTTTTTTGTTTAACGGTTTATGTAGCTTCCATAACCAGAACGTAACGATGATTCGTCAAAGAGAATAGTACTGCTTGCTCCCTTGATATATTTTGCTTGAAGAAAAAATCAGAGCAAGGACTGGCCAGCAGCAGAAAAAATGAAAAGAAGAGGCTTTCCTTCACATGTTTCTCCTAGCACTTCCAATCATCATCAACATGCCAATACTTCCCAAAACGTTGGAACTAGTAATGATGATTGGAAGACTGTTCAGTACAAGCGAGGAGCACACTCCAATCAAGGACGCCGAAATTATGCAAAAAAAACAATTGAAATTAAAACAGAAAAAAAACAAACCAGTTTTTCCATCCGATGCTTAACTTTAAACTTTGGAGTATGGAACAAAGATCCGTTACAGTGCGGAAATTGCGCAGACTTGGAATTTATTGCTTATGAACAAAAATTGAAAAAGAAGCGAATCCGATTAGAAATTAATACATATCATCGTTATTTGCAAATTGTGATTTTCCAATCAGATACACAATATTTCAAGTTGTCTTTTCCATTTTCTGGAATTTCAAGAGAACAGTGCATTTCGTTCTATCATAAGAATGAAAAAAGATATATTTGCATTCATTCAAAGCTGTCCCCCTTATTAACAGATCATTCTGCTAATGCGTCACCATTAACATCAACACCTAGTAAACCTATATCCAACAGGAATATCAGTAGAATATGTGCAAACTCGAGCCCAATATTTTACAAGGTTGGAAAAGCATTTTGTTTTTTAATGGAACTAGACAAGCAAGACCAAGGGTAAGTTGTTTGAAAACAATTATTCCATTCTTATGAAGTTGTTAGATTTAACATCTTTACACTAAAACTCACAGAATTTGGGCTAATTGATGAGTATAAAGAGACACTAATTCCCGAATTCAAAATATTAACACACAAAAAAGAAACTTTTAGAGACGTTAAAGAGAAAAAAAAGAAGCTTGATTTTAATATCAGATATCATTTAAAGTCTTTAGAATCTCATGGAATATTTCATTGTTGCAATTACAACCAAGAGTTTTTCGCATTGTTAACCAGTTATAGCCTCAACAAGTTTTATCTGCCTTGGAATGCATCTACTACAACAGATTTTCTGAAGTGATTCCCAGAATTTATGATTGCCACAAACAGCTCTCTACGTTTCTAAAGCAGTCTACCTCAGAACTAAGACTATCGGCAGGTCGTACCGGTCTCATTACTGACCAGGAATCTAAAGATGTATGCCTAATGAAGAAGATTCTGATAACTCCCACAAAGGTATACTATTTACTTCCTGAACTTGACACGACAAACAGAGTCATACGACATTTTTGGGAGAATCGTGATTCTTTTTTTAGAGTCGCCTTTCTTGACGACGACATGGCCAAGCTGTATTCTGCCAAGTTTAAGAATCTTGATTCCAGACTACAAAAATTCTTAGACAAAGGTCTCTCGATGTTTGGGTATGATTTAAAGTTTTTAGGCTTTTCTGCCGCACAACTTAGATCAGCATCAACTTGGTTCTATTTACAAAAGAGCTCAAAACCAACTACTAAAGATATTCGAGAGTATATGGGAGATTTCTCAGAAATCAAAAATGTTGCAAAACATGCTGCAAGAGTTGGGCAATGTTTTAGGTAAGTGGAAGTATTACACTCTCTGTACATGTAACAACCCATTCAACAGCGCCACCTATCCATCTTTTGAGGTATCTGATGATGAATATTTAGTGATTGAAGATATCACAGCTGAAAAGTACATATTCAGTGATGGTGTTGGAAAAATATCTGAAGAATTTGCAAATAAGATTCATGAAATCCGCAAAAGCACGGAGGTTCGTCCTTCAGCATTTCAAATACGATTTGCTGGTTTTAAGGGAGTTGTATCTGTGGACCCAACTCTAACCAAACATCAAATGGTTTTACGTAAAAGTCAGCTTAAATTTCCCTCTCAGCAAAAAATTTTAGAAATAGTCCAAGAAGCAAAACGAAACATGGGGTACTTGAATCGACAATTTATTACCATTCTTTCTGCTTTAGGTATTCGAGACGAAATATTCTTGAAATACCAGAGAGATATGTTGAACAGAATCAAGGTAGTTAATGAGAATCCAAAAGAAGCTCACGCATTGGTTTCATTGAGTCATTCTCACCTCAAATCATACATATGTACCTGTTTAAGAAATGGTATATCAACGAAAGAACCATTTTTACAGCAATTACTCTATTGTTTTAGACATCGAGCGATCAAAGAATTGGAAACAAAATCAAAAATTTATGTACAAAAATCGGCTTGCTTGGTTGGGATAATGGACGAATACGGAATTCTAAAAGAAAACGAAATATTTGTTAATCTCTCACCAAGCTATGGTAACCCAGAATATGGAGTTGTGAAAGGAACATGTATTGTCTCTAAAAACCCTTGTTTTCATCCTGGTGACATTAGAAAAGTAGAAGCTGTTGATTATCCTGAGCTGCAACATCTTCATGATGTGCTGGTTTTTCCTCAGAAAGGAGAAAGACCCATTTCAAGCATGATTTCTGGATCTGGTATGTAAATTTTGCTCCCAACTTGAATTTCTTATACCCTATGTTCATATTATTCAAGATCTGGACGGTGATGTATTTTTCATCAGTTGGGAACCTGATTTGATTTTTCCAATGGAAAATCAAACACCAATGTCCTTTGAGAAAGAGGAAGAACCGCAACGTGAAAACAACGTGACAGAGACTGATATTATTAACTTTTTAATGGAGTACTTTACAAGAGACAACTTGGGGATCATTGCTAACCTTCATCTAGCTCAATCAGACTTACAAGAAAAATCAATATTTTCTGATATATGCTTGAGATTGTGTGAATTACACTCCATTGCTGTTGACAGTGCAAAGACTGGAAAATTTGCAGATATTGATTCAAAGGTTTCAATTTCTGCATATCCTCACTTTATGCAGCATGTCACCAAAAAAGCTTATAAATCAAAGAAAATTTTAGGACGGCTCTATGACGACTTGAAAGAGAAGATCAAAGAGAAGGATTTTTTCAAACGGGAATTGAATAATTCGAACGTATATGATCCAGATTTTTGCTTTGAAGGATTTGAAATGTTTGTTGATAAGGTTTTAGGACTATATAATGAATACGAGTTCTTAATAACAAGTGATATGAAAAAATTTGGAGTGGAAACAGAGGTAGGTGTTAGCAACAGTAATATTCAATACAACAATCAACTCCAAACAGGCTGAATTAGTTTCAGGTTGGATTACTGGCCAAGTGAAGACCTATGGCAGCAAACAAAGAGATGTGGAGGAGGGCATCTCTAGAAATATGGTTTATTATTGGAAGCATTTCAGAAAAAAGTTCGATAAAATGGTTACGGAAGCTTCTAGTGATCCCAACGCAAAGTACAAAATTGCAAGGTACGTATCTTTCAGAACGATTATGTTGATCCACAGCGAAATATTTCACTGGCTGCAGCGCATGGTATTTCGTAGCATACAAAAAGAGTGATTCGAGACTATTAAGTTTTGCTTGGATTAATTTCATGGAGCTGGTTGAAATATTCAACTTGAAGAAACAGGCCAAATCGACAGCTGAATTTGAGCATTGGGAAGATAGCGATGATGAGGATTTGGGAGAATATGGTGATGATGTGTTGGATGACATGTTCAGTGATGCTGGGTTAGATGATTTCAACTCTGACGTTACAGATTGCATATCTGACGTTGGGGATTTCTCTCAACTTTGTTCTAGCAGCGACTCAGAATGGGGTGATCCATCCAGCCCAGAATTCTACAACTGACAACTTTCAAAAAAGCATATAAATTCGAACTTGTCAGGGCCGTTTATTTGTTGGACAACAACACTTCTTGCAAAGCCTTAAATGCCTTGTATCTATGACTGATCGAGTTCTTTTGCTCTTTTGACATTTCTGCATAAGTTTGAGAGAAACCTTCTGGTTGGAAAATTGGATCCCATCCAAAAGCAGGTTCGTCGCTTGATCTTGGTGGAACAATCATACCTTTGGTGTCACCTCTGATCACTAATGGATCCAACTTGAGTTCAACTTCTCCACAACATCCATGATCGTCGCAACACCCATGTTCTCCATGTTGCTCCTCATCTTCCCATTCCTCATCTCCACCTTCCTTATCACAGCATTCTTCCTTATCACAACACTTTTCACCACCTTCCTTGTTCTTGCAACATTCTTCTGGAGTTAAACCTTTGCAACATTCTGTATTCTCGGAAGCATGTTCATGACCTTCTCCATGGTGATGTTCATGGTCACAACATCCAGATTCTCCGTGGTGATGATGGTGATGACCCTCTCCATGGTCATGCAAATGAGAATGACCTTTCATTTTCTTGAGTTGTTCTTGTAACCATTGTGGATGCCAATAGGCAAGAGTACAAACAGCAGAAGCACTCTTATCTTCGAATCCGACCAACATCTTGTTCAATCCGTCATGTCCGAGTTTTTCCAAAAACCATTTAATATATGGTCCAGGTAATGAATTTAAAGCATTAAAACATAGAGAGGTATCTTCTACAACAATCACGTGTTCAGAACCATATTTATAGGCAATTCTTGGATCTGTCAAAACGTTTTGGATGGCAATACGACACTTTTCCTTTGAAATTTCTTCAATTTCTCCTTGTAGTTCCGGTACTATTTCATCATCGTGATGATGATTAAATCCATGTATATATGTAAGATGGATTTATAAAAAGGAATATTAGAGTTGTTTAACAACAATAAAATCACAATATCAAAAATTAAAATCCATCGTACAAATGACATTATTCACTTACATTCAATAGCGAGCGAATCGACTTGGAATTCATCTCCCATGATTTGTTGAACCTCCTTCTTCTTATTCTCATTGCCGGTAACAAAAAGAATTTTAATCTTCTTTGGCTCGGAAGCCTTGCTGTTGGATGATGCGAGCATTTTGTTTTCTTCAACCATTCCAAGCGGATGCTGAAGCGAACTTTGAAAAAAACGAGGATGATTGCAAACAAAGGATAGTGTACCGTTGTGGCTGAATCTCCATTGAAGAGGAGTTGTATTGGTGCTACAATAATTGAAAGAGAACAACTTTCGGAAGTAAGAGCCTCTACTCAGCATGTTTTGAATTTTTGAATGATGGGATGGTTTATTGGACGTCCACAGCTTCTCTGTTTCACAAGCGAGGATCAACTGAGAGCGACTTTCAAAGCTTCATCTCTCATGGGATATCATCGATACACCAATATTCTATGATTTGTATTGTCTACCACCAAGAGTTCCCCATTGAGCTCATTCAGACAAACAGCAGCTGGATACCGAAATTGATCAAGGCCTATTCCCTTACTCCCGAAAGACTTAATTATATGACCATCAAGGGAGAAGAGTTTTATACAACAATTACATGAATCGCATACAATTAATTGTTTTCCATCCAATAATATTCCACGTGGTTGCCTTAATGATTCAATGTCTTCTCCATATCCTCCAATGATTTCTTTTACATCGTGTACTTTATCCATAGACCTCATAATAATGACATGTTGATAGTAACATGAAATGTATGCGTTATTGCAAATTGGATCGAAAGCGATAGAAAAGGGGTGATATAACAGAGCACTGGGAAGTTCAAAGTTAGAGAGGAAGGTTCCATCTTGTTCTCTTATTTGAATACATGGATTCGTAAAAGAGATGTCACAAAGGAAAATTCTATTCGAGTGCTTTTCTATAGCAATTCCACAAATAGAAAGACCAACTCTTTCAATTTTCCATATTTCTTTTCTATTTCTTAAATCAATTTTAAAAAGTTGCGAAGAGTTTGATACAATAATCAAGTCGTCATTGTCATCTAGATCCATTTTACTAGGCCTATTCAATGGCATGGAAAACCAATATTGAAATGAAAATAAGTTGAAGAACACAATCCGATCGTTGGCAAAATCAGAAACAATAATCATTGCCAATTTGTAGGAAATTTTAACATCGCTAGGATGCTTCAACGGCTTGCCAGCATCGGAAATTGTATTGACATGAACAAATTTTCCAGAAAACTGGATTTTCTTTCCGCATTTCATCTTGTATTTGAATTCATGAAAAATACGAGAATAATAATCATCGATTCGTTGTAAATTGCAACCATCCTCCAAAACACAAGTGATCAGAGACATTTTTTTTACTTTGAGCTTTGTCAATGATAAAATTAATGGGTTTCCACATCTTCATATTGATGTCTGACTTTTCTGATAAATACTTCTTCTAAGGATGCCATGTTACAGGTCCAATCCACAATGTATGCACGACGGGCTTCAGCACAAGACATGATCTTGAACAAACTTTGTAAAATTGCCTTTGATGAAGAGCTCTTAATGGCCGCCTCTTCCATCGTTAGCTTATTGGAAGGAACCATGGACTCAGATGAACTATGAATTCTAAATTCTAACTTGTTACCAAATGAATTTTCATGTGAAATGCTATGAAGAGGAAGACCTTCCTTCACCAATTCGTTCATTATATAATCTCGTGCAATGGTGTTGTAAGAGGCATCCAAAGTCTGTACATTCAATTTATAACCTCTTCCATATTTTGTTTTCAACTCATGAAGTGTGCCAATTGTCTTTAATTCTCCATTCACCAAGATTGCTGCCTTATCACACAAGATTTCTGCTTCTTCCATGCTATGAGTCAATAATAAAATAGCCTTCTTCTTATTATTCATATAATTTTTCAAAATCATGTGAATACCATCGCAAGTGAGAGGATCCAACGACTTGGTAAGTTCATCAAGAATTAACAACTCTGGATCTCCTAACATGGCAATAGCCAGTGATAACCGACGAGCCATTCCACCACTTAAATCTTTACATTTTCGACGTCTTGCTTCTGTTAAACCAACATTTTGTAATATTTCATCAATGTGAGCATTAAGTTGCTTGTTAGGAATTCCCTTAATGCGAGCAAAGAATTTCAGTTGATCTAAAACGGTAATGTCGAAAAACTTGTCAAATTGTTGCACAAAACCAATTTTAGAGGAGAGAATACTTGAGTGGATGTTAGAAATGTCCATTCCAGATACTTTGATCACGAGTATGAAAAATTCAGTTCGTACGTATCCATTCATACAAAAACACACGTGCATCAAATTACACCTAAAAACCAAACAATAAATCACTTACATGTACAAGTACCTTCATAGGGTGCAGCCAACCCTAAAATACATTCCACAGAGGTGGTTTTGCCTGCTCCATTGCTTCCCAGTAATCCAAAACAACTTCCTCTCGAGATGGCAAATGTCACATCTTTCACAGCAATCTTACTTCCAAAACGTTTCACTAAATGTCTCACCTCTACTATATGATTCTCAATATTGAGATTGCTTTCAACAAGTTGTAATTCTCGTAGTACTGTATCGTCTGCAACTTTATCCAAGTCAGAGCTGGAATCGTTCTGGAAAGAGTTGAATGGTGAAGAAGAGTTTGAAAGAATGTGAGTTGTTTCAGTTGGATGTTGTTTTCTTGTTTGGTTTCTTCGATGCTTGGCTGTTTGAATAATTCTATTGATTCTCTTTAGAATAGATCTTATTAATCCATACATGGGAATGACCAAAACGAGTAATGCAGTCATAATAATAAAGAATGCAAAAGCTATTAAAATTTGTTCATCCAATGATCCTTCTACTTGCACAATCAGTGTTGGACACAACATTAAGAAGAGAATTCTCATTAAGGCAATGGATGGGACAAGCATGACATAGTATGGTAAAATTGAAGCACCAAATACCAAGACGACAGCAATGGATCCACCCAACCCAAATAAAATCAATAAATAGCCAATGAAATACGATGCGTCAGTTTTGAAGAGTGAAATCACATTGGCAATGGCAATGAGTGTAATTCCCCAAATAAGAAGTGCAAATATATAAATAGCAGGGCTATAAGAGAAAATAAAAAAGCGAATTTGAATAATCATTCCATCAACAATATCATTCATACGATACTTACTTGGTACCAACAAAGAATTCATTCTTCACAGCACACCCTAACACAATTTGAACCACCACATAGATGGCATAAATTCCATAATAAAAGAGTGTTTTTACAAGGTAGTGATGAGTATAAGTTGCTCCGTACTATTAAAGTTAATGCATTCCATCTATAGAAATCTCTCACTTACCAATTCAATAAATTCCATCATTCCACTCTTACGATCGATGCTAAATACATCAATAAATACTGGTAACATTAAAGAGAGGGCAATAGGTATTACAATGAAAGTGATGAAAGAGGCAGTGGAGGCTGTACCGCTAGATTCAAACTGTGAAATTCCTAACCTTCGAATCATTTGAGATTTGCTAATTTTACTACCCATCAAGTAATAATTAGTAGCATTCAATAAACTTGCATAAAAAGTAGAATAAATAGTCTTGGTATATGAAGTCATTTCAAGGGATGCTTTCAAACTGGTGGAGTCTTCGCTCACATCTCTCACATTCAATACTCCAGAGAATAAGGAAACATTAGGGTACTGCACTGAATCTATATTCTTAAATTGGTTATCAATAATTTTTTGAATGTCCATATTTGGAAGAAGTAGAGGTGTCATTTTGCATGGAGCTTGATCATCCAAACGATTGCATACATGAGGAACAAATTTAGCAATACCAGTCGATTGATCTGTTGCACTGTAATTGATATATCCAAAACTATTCATAAAGGCTATATTGTCATAACGAACAGCAAAATTAAAATCTTGATTTGGACATTTGAGAATGGTTGAACCGTCGCCACTTCTAGCAGGTGGAGAGCAACAGGTAGAACCTGAAGTGTAACTGTACTTTTTGAGCACATCTTCAAAAATGGTATAAGTACCAATGGTTTTTGTTTGAAATGGAATGGGTACAGCTCCTCCTTCTGGATTCATGATAATAAAAGCAATGGACATGATACTTGGTATTAAGGTCAAGTTGAGTGCAACGATGATGGTAAAAATCCAAATGCAATAACGTTGTCGTTCTTCTGCAATTGTTTTCAATAACTTGTGTTTTGGGATGAGATTTTTCAAAAGACCATGTGTTGCGATAAATATTTGAATTCTCTTCAAACCAGTGAACTACTTACAATCGCAATAGTGACAGATAGACATCCGACCTTCTTGGCCTCTAGTTGTTTGAATCCGTATGGCTGCATATTGTTGTTGTTTCCATGAATCGAATCCACTCTCGAGTGCTGGTCATCATTTGCCTCAAAAGAAGCTGGAGTTGAAGATGCTACTTCAATATTGGTGGTACCACTTTGATAGAGCATGCTGTGTTTGACCAATGCGTGTACGGATCACAAGAGCTCTAAAGTAATTGGTTGCTGTTGTTATTGTGAGATTTTTTGTTTCGGTGATGATTCGCACTTGAAACCTCTGAATTGGATTTCATTTCGAAAATATATTTCAGAAAACTGGAATGTCATCGGAATCATGAACTTTCTATTGATTTCAAACACCACAGAATTCAGCATACATTCAATTACAATCATTAAATTCTTTTGGTTTCTCGGAGATTCCCAAAATCCTGTCCGAGCAAGATGATGAGTTGAAAAAATTATTTCAACGCGAACATGATATTCCCACCACAACAGTCTCCCTTTTCCTTCCTCTCATCTCCATTCTTCAGAGCACATGTTCAAAATAATATTCATCAATTGAATCAATACTTGATAATAGTATTTTTTATAGGGATGATAATAGGAAACATCTTTGTCGTAACAGTTGCTGCTTCAGTACGAGCTCAAAGGCTCTTTGATTTTTCCTCTCTTGCTCGAGCAGGCATGGAAATACCAATACTACTCTTCCGAATATGACAAACTCATTGATGAACTCAAATATAACATTCCTAACGAAAGAAATTCCAAAACACGATCAGCCTTCCATGCAGCCTTGTTTCCGAATGTCCATTCAAAAAACGAAACTCTTGTCAAGGAGTTTGTACTCTATTTGAATGGCTCATCCCGATTACCCGAGTGGAATGGAGAAACCTGTTCTCTTGAAAACCCTTGTGATTCACTGTACAAAGTTGCAGTATATATCGACACGACGTTGCGAAATGATACAGCGTTCTTTGACAGTGGACCCAATCAACGAAGGCTTGTGAACATTAGGCTCTTGATTGTTGAAAGCTTTTCGCCCTATCAAAGTTCAATAATACCTTTCACATACCAAAACCTGTACTATTCCATTGAATTTTCATCCTTGAATCATTCCATTGCTCAATTATCCCCTGCTGCATCTGATTTTATTTCCATTCGACACGACTTGCTGGGGATGTATTTCAACAATTTGGCAATTACCTCTGATTTTTCAGAAACAGGTACATCTGCATTCTTTTTTTATAATTGTTTGATTCAATCTAAAGAATTCGTGATTGGAAAAAAAGGGGGACTCATTTCTGTCAATGATCCTTATCAAGTGATGTTTGATACCGTTATTCTGTACAAATCCACCAACATGGCCATTGGACAGCACAAAAATATTGAATTTTATAATTTTAGGACTGTTGGAAACGAACAAGACAAATTTAATATTGTCATTGACCAAGGAAAATCACGACTACGGTTGGAGAGAATTTTCACATTCAACACGTTCTTTTCTCTCGCTGATATTGATCGAATGGACGTTGTAAATGGTAGCTCAGTATCTACTTCTTTCTCGATCAGTAAGGGAGATTTGGTATTTTTCTCTGAATTTTCATTTAGAGGTTCATTCAGCCCCGACATTGAGATTTTTTATGCCGAATTCTTTAATACTGTGGCTATGTTTAATTGCTATGCTTCGGATGCTTCCTATTTTTTACTCTTGAACGGAGTTGTTCAGGTATATTTACAAGAATGTAAAGTGTATAATATCAACGCAGCCAATTATCCAAAGAAATCTTCTGCAGCTGTCAATATTGTAAATGCTGCAACATTTGGAATGCTACGATGTATATTCAAAGATAATGTGGGAAACAATGGAGGAGATATTTATTTGGACTCGGTACATGGTGTATCAATTACTTCATGTAAAATGAAAAATAGTACATCTCTCTCTCATGGTGGATCAATTTACTCCAAGACATCAAAAACTATGCGCTACAAGGTCACCTTTGCCATGACTGATATTGAGTTTAAGGAATGCAAATCTTCACAAGCAGGAGGAGCGTTTTACGTAAAATATACAGATACCTTGACGATCAGTCAGTGTACATTTTTGAAAAACCAAGCCATGGTGAGCGGTGGTGGTATGTACTTGTCAGAAGGAGTCGATATTGCCATTGACAGACATTCTTCGTTTGAGGGAAATGTGGTCATGTCCATCGACAAGGAACGTTCACCTCAATCAGGAGGAGGTGGAGCCATGACCGTCATGACTGCTCAATCACTTGTTCTTGAAGGTATGTATCTCACAGAGATGAATGGATTCTAATGTATGTAATGATGGTGAATGAAAACATGACAAACGATTTGATTGCAATGCTTCAAGGTGTGCTGAAGGATAATAAGGCGTTTCGAGGTGGTGGAGCTTTTCTTGGAAATATCACCAACATCAAACAAAGCACCGATCTAACACGAGCAGCTTTTATAGACAATGTGGCTCTCTTCTCTGGTGGTGCTTTATTTTTCAACCAATATGTTGGAAGATCGTTCCTTCAAGCAGTATCATTTGTTGGAAATAATGCCGAAAAATATGGTTCCGACTATACTGGAAGTATTTCACGTTTGGAGCTGACCAGCAATCATGACCGTTTGAAGAGTGTTACTCCAGGTATTGCATTTGAGATCGATATACATGCATGGGATGTATTTGGAAATAACATTAGTTCATTTGATGAAAACATTACAGTGTATGCTAGTAATCCATTCCTTAAAGTCATTCCTCAGATAATGAGTGAAAGTACAAGACTATCATTGACTGTCTATCTAACGAATAGCACGGCGATGGTGGGTGGGTCTACTACGAACGATGGTTCCGTGATTTATGTGAACACATTTCATGCATCTGTCCACATGCAAGTGAACCTGCTATCATGTCCACCAAACTGGAAACTCTCTCGCATTACCTCGGACAATCCTGACTCTTCGATATATGGATGTATTGAAAAACCCCGTTTTCCTGAGCTAGCAATTGCAGCTATTGTCGTTTGCAGCATCTTGTTCTTTTCAGTGGGTATTTTGTTTGGGGTGGGACTTGTGTTTTTAGTTGTGAAAATATTTCAAAAACTGGCCGACTCAGCAAGAAAGAAAAGGCAGAACGAGAATTGGAACAGAAAATTCTTGATAGGAATGTGATATTTGAAATTGACGACGATGATACTCAAAAGTCATCCAACAACCACTCAAAGAACAGTGCAAATTCGTATCTTCTTCTTGAGAGTGATTACCTGAACCATCGCAAGTTCCATCTTTCATTATTCCTATTGAAGATATCAAAATCAAAAAAAAGATTGGTGAAGGAGGTAACGCGTTAATTTATCTTGGAGAATGGTCTCACCTAGAAGTAGCAATTAAGACTTTAAAAATCAATGATACGGATAGTTTAGATTTTGAAAGAGAAGTTGCAATTCTTGCAAGACTTAGACATGCCAATGTTGTAACTTTTTATGGATGTTGTATCACTGCTTCAAGCAAATTTTTAGTGACCGAATATGTGAAAAGAGGTAAGAAATTATTGTTCAGAATATTGATGATGACTAATAACTTGGATTTTAGGAAGTCTTGAACGAGCCTTATACAAAAGCAAGAGCGGCAAAGAGTTGTTGACATTTTCAGAAAAATTGAAAATTTTAATTGGTGTCTGTAATGGAATGTCGTATTTGCATTCACTAAAAATTGTTCATAGAGACCTTAAGCCTGGAAATATTCTATTGATGAAAATCTGAATGCAAGAGTATGTGATTTTGGCCTTGGAAAGGTATTACAATCCAATAGCATTCAACACACAATGACAACAACTGTCGGTACTGTCTTTTATATAGCTCCAGAGTTATTGGAATCAAGTGATCAGAAAACAGATCATCTCAACAAGAAGACGGCTGATATTGCCAAGAAGGTTGACGTTTATAGTTTCAGTATCATTTTGTGGGAAGTCTTCTTTGAGAGAATCCCCTATGTGGACGATATTCAATCCTCTACATTTAAAGTACCCTATTTAGTGATACAGGGTTTAAGACCATTAATTTTATTCAAGAATAGAGAAGAAATTCGTATGTGGATTAATACTACATCATCGATCATGTCTCGAGAGACCATTTCTAACATGGACAACATGGTCGATGCTATTTATGAATATTTTGAATTGATGAAGAAATGTTGGAACAAGGAGCCACAAGAACGACCTAGTTTTGATGAGATTAGGGAAGTCTTGTCAAGTATTTTGACCAAGATCAACCAGGATCATTAGAGAGTGTGCTTCATTCTTCTTCCCACACCTACCAAACAACAAGCCTATTTCTTTCTTGATTGAGATATTCCTGTTGAAAGGACATCTCTGAACTATTTCTTCATAATATTTGGATACAAGGTTTGTATCTATTGTGCAGGCATATACTTTCTCCTAATCTCACTCTCACCCCAAAGCCAATAATCATGCCAAAACACACTACTCGAGCGTTGCTTGCCATGAAGGTCTTTCATTTCTTTCGCTTCCCTATTATATTGAATTCAAGAACTCATCTAACAGCTCAATCCAAGTTTTTCTCAACCTGTTGTATGCAAAACCAAACTGATGCCGTTAATCGGTAAAAGGCTTCCTGAGACCCGCCATTGTTCCAACTACAATTTTTTAAAAAAAATGTCTGAAGAACAAGCCAACACCTTCAAATTTAAAGAAGGAGCAAATGGAAGGACAATAATAATTGAACTCAACAGTCCTGAAGGATTGGTTCAAGAAGATGTTGACGTGGCACTCGAGAAGAAAAGGATCACAGTTGTGGTTCGAAAACCGGAAGAGCCGGAACAAACATTGCTTGAGGTTGGTATTTTTGTTGGGAACACTCTGTCTAACAACCTGTAGGGAGAGCTTTTGCATGAGGTCGATCCAGCGTCATTGGATTGGAAGCTTGCGTCAGATGTGATTACCATTGAAGTGAAGAAAGCAAATCCCGAGACAAAATGGGCATCGTTATTTGTGATTGTTATTGAAATTCCTCACTTGTTCAAATTAACTGATGATAATAAGGTCAATGAAATTATTAAAATTCTTAAAGAGACCAAAAAACGCGAAGATGGAGAGGAAGGGGAGACAGGAGACGGAGATGATACAAAGCCACTAACGAGCCAAGAACTTCTTTCAATGAAACATCCCATTCACCGTTATTCCTTGATGGGATGGGCAACAATGAATAGAAAATATCCAATTGTCGAATATTTATTGAGAGCTTACGGTCCTAAACGTGTTGCAAATCTTCCAAACGAACAAGATTTGGAAATTCTAAAGGAATGGCAAAAAGAAAAACGAAGACTGACTGCTCTTTCCAAAAAGAAGAACAATCCCAATGAAAATTTGGATGAAGAGGATGAAAACGCAGAGGAAAAGGACTTTGCATCAAGTCTTCTTGAAAAATTCGAAAAATACAACATTGAAATAATCAAACAAATTGGAGAGTTTGGAATTTATGAAGGTGACACGAGTGACTTTGAAATCCCAGTGGAACTACCTCCAATAACGGAAGAGGCGTCACAAAATGATGTTCCTGAACCAAAAGAGAATGCACAGTCACAAGAAAAGGACATGGAAAACGAGGAAAAACAAAACGAAGAAGGTCAAGAAGAAAATTCTGAAGAGGCACAAGAAGAAGGAGAAGAAAACGACACAGAAAATAATGAAGGTCAGGAAGATAAGGAAGAAGCGGAAACACAACAGGAGCCTGAAAAGCCGCAAAAACCAAAGGTCATAGAACCACCAAAACCACAATTTGTAAAATATCGTAATGGATTTGGCTCTGCCTATTATACGAATGACGATGTATATATTGGAGTTTTTAAGGACACCATCAGGGAAGGAATGGGAGCTTACATTTATAGGGGAGATTACATTGAAAACCTACGAAAAGAAAAAGAAAAGCAACAGGAAGACCTGGAAGCAGATGAAGCCGAGGAGGAAGATGAGTCTCTCAATCCTGAAAATATTCCTTTGTGTTACTTTGTTGGTGATTGGAAGGATGGCAAAAAAAACGGTAAAGGAAGAATGCTTTATCACAATGGAGATAGGTTCTATGGAGAATTTGTGAACGATATGAAGCATTGTGAAAGAGGTATATACCTATACAGCAACGGTGACATGTTTGTAGGCCAGTTCCAAAACGACGTAAAAGAAGGGAACGGTGTTTATACTTTTGCAGCTGACGGCTCAAGTCTTGACGGAACATGGAAGTCAGGAAAGTTTGTTGAGGGTACATGGAATTGGAAAGATGGAAAGATTGCGTTCAAGTCGAGCGATTTCACTTCAAAGACCGTTCAAGGAAACTTTGTGTTTCAAAATTTCAAAGCGTCTGGGTCATTCGTCGATCAAAAGTGGCACCTCTCGCAAATTACACTATAAACATCTCTTAATTCTAGATTTTTATACACTTGAATTTAAAAAATACATCCTTAATACATGTACGGAGTGTTATTCATCGACAGACAACCATCATTGTTGTTCTTTAAAATTTGATTCATAATACCCTTCACTTTCAAAGCATTCTACCAGATACTCTTTGAAAGTATTGAATTCATGCTGCAGCTTATTCATGGATGATGCTTGTTTTAAGTTCAAAATAAACACGCCATCCTCTGCATTGCTTCTCTTCAAAATCATATCTCTGTTGGAAAAAAGTTGGGTCAGGTTTGCTTCTCCAAAGGCCTTCAACAAAATAGGAGGCATAAGGAACGAAAACTCCAATGTTTGTTCGTCAATTTCGCTGTTGTGAAGAAAATGGCTGTATGCCTTGTACAATAAATCATCTAATTCTTGCTGAATATCTTGTTTCAATTTTTGGAATTCTTCATCCTTTTCAACGTTTGTGTCATTGACAACTCCATCTAGATCATCACCTGCTCCGTTGTCAAGTGATTGTTCAGTTAAAGCAATGGAGGAATTGGTGTCAATCTTACTAGCTTTTGTTTTTTTTGGCTTTTTTGTTTGGTCTAATTTGTCCAACACATCACCATAGTCATAGCTGTTGTTCACGTTTGTCTTAGACCCATCTTGACCTGCTCCTTCTTGGCTTTCATTATGGCTGTATGAAAATTTGGGAGATAAATTTAAAGGTTCTCGAGTTGGTGGTTGTAGACTTCCACTGTTCATGGTAACAATCGAGGGTTTGTCTGTTTTTTGATTACCAATTCTAATACTGCTACTCCACAACAAGTACAAGTTGTTTTTAGGGTCAACTTTGAAATACAAGACCATTCTGGTAATATTCTTATGTTCAACACTAAAAAAGTGGTCCACAATAGCACTGCAAACTCTCTTAATTTCCTTTTCTAAATGTGGGGCACAGAATACTTCATTGCTGTAGTGACTTGGTCCTTCGTAGGTAACAGCTCTTTCATAGGGAGTATAATTCTTTCTATCTGTAATTCTATGAATATTTACACGTCTTTCAATCTTGGTAACATGAGGAGACCAAATAGCTTGAATGACAAAGTTGTATGGCCCCTTTGGAGTTATGAACTGTTGTAAAATTCCCTTGTCTCTTTTCTTTCTTTTGAACAAAAAGTCGTCCAAAGAATCTACGTCGAGAAACTCAACATTGTTAATGATTTCTCCCGTTTTTTCGTCCTCTGTTTGAGAAATAAATTGAGCAACAATGCCATGGTGGTTGTCGTTCATCATTACATTTTGATCGTTTGAGGCCAAACCAGCCGAATTGTTCGGATCACTTGTTTGAGCGGACGGTTGAGTTGTAGTTGCAGCTGTGGAGGGATCTTGCTCTACAGTTGTTGCCGTTGCTGTTCCCGTTCTTGACATGACAATATTTCGAGTAAATTCATTCATGATCGCCTTTGTTTCCAATTCCTTGCCGCTTTTCTTTTTGAATTCTTTGGTTGCTGTTTGTTGGTACCAAACTGTAGGAAAGTTGTGCTCGTACACGATTGTTTGAGGCACAATCACGCAAGGACAAGACTCTAAATTCTTGTTCTTTTTGGAGAGATAGTGATACAAAGCAGTGAGTACTTCTGTTTCCAAAGGATGACGATGAGACATTTTTTTTAAGGGTTATTGAATGGCGTGGGAATTGGCGCTCGAATTGTAAATGATGGAGGCGATTGCGATAATGAGGCATGCATGGACGAGAAGGCAATCATCAAATAAAATACACATAGGATATCCTTTGATTCAATAAATATTTAAATTTCTCTTCTTCTCCTACAAAATGGTCGAAAGACCGTACCAAATAATATCACGATAGACCATGTGTTCTAAACGGGATTAACTCTTTACAAAACTTTGGCTTCATTTCGCAACTTGTCTACCAATTGTTGTGCATTCTCAACAAACACACAGGAACCACTCTTTGCCTTTGGTTCAGTGACTTTTACATATTCCAATTGTGATTGTTCAAAATCAGTACCTTTCACCAAATCAGCAAAATTGAGAGTCGTCAAAGGCTTCTTCTTTGCTTGAATGATAGCCTTCAAATTTGCAAATCGAGGTTCGTTCAATCTCAAATCACAACTCACAACAGCAGGCAATCCGGAGAGCATGAGTCTTTCCAATCCACCATCAACCTCTCTTTCAATTTCAATTTGTTTTGCTTCGGCATCACTTGGTATTAATTTGCTGATGAAAGTTGCTTGTGGTGCTCCAAGCATACTGGCCAAGAGTTGAGCCACATGTCCATTGTCCGAGTCAATGGATTGTTTACCCAAGAGTACCAAATCAATTTTGTTTTCTTCAACAATACGACGAAGAATGTGTGCTACTTGGAGTGGTGAAACCCATTGTTGAACTTCTCCACTATCAAAATCCGTTTTGACATGAATAGCTTCATCACAGCCCTTGGCTAAAGCTTGTCTCAGCACTTCTTGGCATTGATCATTACCAATACTAACACTAATTAATTGCGGAGAGGAAAATTTCTCTTTAATTCGGATGCCTTCCTCGAGTGCGATATCATCAAATGGGTTCATACTGTGCTTGACTTGTTGAGTAACAACGCCAGTCAGTTGTTTATTCACTCTCACACTGACGCTGTAGTCAATCACACGTTTCAATCCAACCAAGATTTTCATTTTTTTTTCAAATTCAATTTTTATTTTTCTTGCACATGTGTCATCAAGTACTCTGGAGCATCTGGGATTGTCAAGTCTTTACATGTAAGAATTGTCTGTGGTACACCACAAACTACGCCTGAGCGTAAAGTGCAAAAACTGACGAAGAAAAAATTCGGCTCGTTTTAGTAAGTCCCGGAGTCAAAAAAAATGGAGTGATTGGTCTGTGGTGTTGTTTTCTGCTTCTCACACAAAAAAACACACCAACAACACACACAACATGGAAGCTGAATTAGTGGTCATTGAAGAGGGCACTGTGCCTCTATACTGTGTAAGTAATTGATTATTACCACAACAACAACATCATCAAACAACAATTTCAACACCTACACTAATCTTTACCTCAGCTTGGTGTTTCTGATTGTGATTCGAGTTGCGAAACAAATACTAATCACGTAAGTACTAGTGAATATCGTTCACCTTGTATTGATCTCAATTATCAAGGCCAATGAATCACCAGCATTGGATAGCCAATCCACAACGAACCAGAGTACGAACAATGTAAGTATTATGTTTGTCCAGTATTCAGCAGTAACATATTTCACAAGATTCCTTCATCATCAAGCATCGAAATGAACCCTTCTCACCCATCATCACCAGTAATGACTACCTCTACAGTATGTTTCAAATTTGTTACAATGTGTTTGCTTAACTTGTTCAGGAATGGATCTTCACAGACGAAACTATATCATTTCCACCTTGCTGTCTGTTGCCTAGCACAAGCAGCTTCTCTGGTATTGTTGATGAGACACAATGTACGATAACACCAAACAACAAATGTGATGATGACAATATTTCCCAACAGAGCAAAAAACGAAAATCAAGAACCACAGATGAAGCTGCTGAAGACACTCACAAGGAATATCAATTCACTTTAGAGAAAGGACTGTTTGAATTTGTACCAAAATATAATTCCTTTAAAGAAGTACCAGATGAGAAGAAACAAATTTATGGAATTATATGGGAACAGTTCGCCAAATGTGCAAGAAATATTATTTATCAACATCTACAGATGAGATGTTCAAACTCCATCAGCCATGAAACGGTTGGATGTTGCAACCCAAACGTGTTTTATCTTGCTCTGAGGGGAACAAAGGCTAAATATTACCAATGGTATCAAGACATTTTGTGGAATGGCCTAAAGAAGAGACAGAAGTGCATTCAATTCAGATTTACTGACAGTGTTCCTCCTTTAGACAAATGCAAGCATTGGTCTGAGTTGGAAATTACTCACTCACGTCTTACACGTAAATTCGGAAAGAAGATTACGAAACACAAGATGAAAATTGTATACATTTCTCTCACATGTAATGTGGAAACTAATCAAGTGTGGACATCGTTCAAGTTTGACAAAGAATTCGAGTTTGTACAATAAAACAATTAAATTCAATCCTCAATACACTCTAAATCACAAAAAATGTAATCAAATTGAAACTTTTCATCACCGTCCACAAACCAAACCACATCTAACAACAACTTTTTTGAAGGTCAATCATATGGACTTTCAAATCAAAATCACCACACATGGTGTTCCTCTCCATTATCTTCTTTCAATGTGCAATCACCGTCATCTACCGGTTTCAGTAGCATTAATCCCGGCTCTTTTGATTCACCAAGAACATCACACCATCTTTCGAAAGAATTTATGAAGATCTGATACAACCAAACCAATCCAATTCAATGAGCTATCAGAATATCCCTATTCAATATGGAGGATGTGAACATTTATTTCAAAATCATCAATCCTATTATCCACAATCTTCTCATAATTTCTCCACAATCCAACATAACCTTGACAATCCGAACACATTATCATCTCAACCTTCACAACATGAAACCAATCAAACCAACATTCAAACACACAACAAAATACAACAATTACTTTGTCGATAAGCTAGCTTCACTCGCATAAAACAAAAGCGAGGAGGTCCACCGAGCACAGAAAACAAATTGAAAATAATTAATAATATTATTGATAATACTGATCTCAATTTCTCTCAGTTAAGCTCCAAGGAGATGCTGTTATTAAATTAAAGAACAAGAGTTTTTGCTTTTTGTTGTAATTTAATTTTTCAAGTTGACATTAATTTTCACTCCAAAAAAAATGCCTTCACCAAAGATGAGGTCGAGTATTTTAAATCACACACCTAAACTACGATTACACAGCAACAACGTGGAACAACTTTGATGTAACTTAGATACCAAGTGATCAGTACAAAAGATGGATTTTTATCGTGTAACGAGAAACTTGTTGAACGGTGTAATGACGGTGAATGTGAGTATTATCATCAACAATCAACCAATCCTTGTATAACGAAAGGCTGAAGAGAATTGCTTTCGAAACGTTAGTAACTGGCTTTGGTACAATAGGTGTGGTCATAATCAGGAGGAGGTTCACTTTTAATGAACGAACGTCAGCACTACTGAATAAAACTTTACAAGATTCTGAACCAATCCCGGAGTTTCTGCATTTCGTTGTCAAAAAATTTTTGCCTTTTTGAGTCGAATTTTTTCGCTGGTAGTTTTCTTATGGCGTAGTTTGTGGTGAGATGTGGTTGCTTGAGCCGCTGCTTGCTGTCGTTGAGTAAGGATTCTTTTAAATCCTTCCAGTAATTGTGGATGTTCACCGTTGAATATTTCGTTTACATTTTGCAATGTTTGTTGAGGGCTTTGTTGTTGATTGTTCAGTAACTTGATTTGTTGTAAAAATTCTGAGAACTGTCTTGTAGAGAGGACATCTTTGGCATGCCTAAAGAATTCTTTTCCTTCAATTTGAGGAGCATTACTCAATGGTTGTGATGAAGGAACAGCTCTGGCTTCTGAAAACATGCTGCTGTTGGTGCCAAGATTGGTGTTGGAGGACGAAATCAACTGACTCGTGTTACCAATCTGTGAGTCTTCTCCTTCATCAAAATTGATGGATTGGATAATGGTTTTCTTGAATTGTTTTAGCTTTGCCAGCTCACCGGAAAGTGATTTTACTTGCTGAGATAGACGATCTCTCTCCAGTTGCAGATCTTGATTCATATCTTGAAGAGTTTTCATAGCCGTAGTTTGGGATTGAAACTCAAAATGTAGTTTGCTATATTGTTGAGCTTGTTGTTGAATTTCCTCTTGCTTCTTCTGGAGTTGTCTTTTCAAACTTTCAATTTCATCCATCATTTGTGTTTCTTTTGCCTTCCATGCTTTATTCATGATGGCAATTCCCAATTCAAATTGTTCCTCAGGGTTGCTAGAATTCAGTGTAAAACTGTTGTTGTTCATGATTATGATACAGGATAACGAAATAAAAGTTGTATTAAACGTATTACTACAATGACTCTCCGATCACAGAGCGAAACGATATTGAGATGGAAAGGAACCCTCCCAAACGACTACAATTCTTTTTTTTAAAGTTTAACAATAAGGATAAGAATGGCGCCAAACTCAAGAAGTCGTTCTCTCTCGTGAATATTAAAAAAATATGCTGCTACCTTCGCAGAGAAGGAAATACCGAACGACTTTACATGATCAAACACTATCTAGTAGAGCTACCACGAATAATGGCAATTTAAATATCGGAGTAGAAGGAATTTCTTTTGGTACAACAAAAATCATTGACGCACCCACTACAACAAATTCCATGAAACCTAAAGGTCGATCACTACCATCCAGCCTCGTTTCTGCGGACGCAAGAAAAATTCATCGTTTTCAAAAATCTGCAAGTGTTGAGAGCGTTCGTCTTTCAACCTTTAGAGAAGAGCGAGGTGAAGAACAATCGTCACTAACAGAAGAAGGTATTCAAAGCAAAGAATCGTCACTGCATTTAGAGGATAACTCATCACTATTGAACGCATCAGAATTGGATGTATCTCGAATATCAATATTTAAGGATGACATTCTTACTTCGACAGTGAATCTATCACATTTACCGTTATTGAACGAGTCTATGGACGCAACCGCCACAAGAGGTCCATCAGATGTAGATAGGGTCCATTGCACAAGTCAAGTATCCAATGATCATTCATCTCCAATATTCGCCCAATCCTCGAAAGTGCTCATAAAAGAAGTGCAACAACCAGAAACTCGCACGAGGAGCACCTCACCGACAAAAGCACTTCCCAACATTCCAAAAATCTCTAAAACCTCAACCACTCCCTCACTTTCCAGAGTTGATTGCACACATCATGAATATTCTCCTCTCAAGAGATTAGAATTGTACAGTAATAACGAGAGATTTTATTACAACGATTTTGATTTTGTATTAGCCTCAGAGTCTTATATTTCCTCAGAAAATGAAAAGAATCATCGAAATGAATCATCCTCTCCCATTCCAAAATGGAACAAAATCACACACAACATTCCTCTGACATTTATTGATGACCTTCATTCAGAATATTTCATTCAGCCATTAGAACGAACAAATATACATTCATTGGAAGATGCAGACGAAATTTTGACACATTCAAGAGTTTCTACTTGTTCAAGAGCATCCACATGTCCTAGTTCTTCCAAATCATTTTTCCTTACTCAAGATGATGATACTTTTGAATATAAGGATTACGAAGATGAGGACATGTCTCACTCGTCCAATCATGTTTTACTCACAAAACATGGTCTTAATATTTATAATCATTCCTTTCGAGCCTCGAGTGTCATGAACTCCACCGACTTGACACACAAAACTCATGCTTCCACAGAGGACTCGAAAGCATATTCATCCATACCGGCTCGTCCTCACACGAGTTTGAGTTTTTTTACGACATCGGCTCGATCCCGTTCGAGAGGTGGTACCACTTCTGCAAGGTCCTCACCCAATACGAGTAGACAAGATACTCGACTGCGGGGAGTAGTGTCAGAAAGAGAGCAATCATTGCGTACACCACACTCCAAATCGAAAGAGGATGCATGGAACATTTATCCATCCCGTTCCAAAATTATTCTGGAACACCCTCTCCATTCTGGCCATTCAGCATGCGCTTCTACTTCCATGGAATTGAATCATAGAAAGGTAGCACAGAGTTCTTCTAATCATCATCTCTCGAGACAGTCTTAAGGTCCACCAAAGAAAGGAAGCACCAACAAAACGATCGAATCGAAGTAAGGTTACCAGACCAATCCTTACTTTCAGCTACTTCAAAACCACTGATCAATAGATCTTTTTTTGTGTAGTTTGTTGAGTATTTGAAGAACTTGTTTCATACACATAAGTCGTCGTATGGGTCGAATTCACAAGTTCCATCTTTCACACCTTCTAAAAAAAATCCTTTTCAAAGCAATCCACAAAGTGGAGGTGGACAGTATCAAACCATCAAGACTGCATCATCAAATGTCCTCTCCGAATTCAAATCCAACCATCCATCATGATGATCCAATCTCATCAAACCAGCCAGAAGCTTCGATATCAGCTTCCTCACCTCTCTCCGTTTTCATCCATCTTTTGCAATATTATTGTCATTCATCCATTGTTGGTTGTATTCTCAATATTGCTCTCATACTTTTCATACAAACGAAAACCACTGGATACTTTACCGTTGAAAATCATTTATTGTATCGATTGAGAATGATTCTTCCCAACAATGATCAACCACAGTCTCCGCAACAACAACCATCACAAGCCTCTTCTTCTTCTTCTTCTCCGACCATGCTCATTAAAATTTCAACCATGAATGAGGCTATCATTAAGACTCTCTATTTTTATAATGACTTGGATTATTTGTTTTTTGCATATCTAGTCATGATGTTCTCAGTGTATAATATTTATAACATTCTGGTTACTGGGGTATTTCTCATTCTATTATTCCGAATTTATACTAACATGTATCAGAAGAGAAGAAATGCATTGTATTACTTGAGCTTTATTGTATCTTTTTTGTGTTATTTTGCTTTTTCTAAAATGTTTAAGAATACTGAATGTGCAAAAGAATTGACTCATACTCATGACTATTTAAAAGGAACAATATTCGGAAGAAACACAACTAGAGGTTGGACAGAGAAAATTTGGGATTTGATGATATCGGAAAATTTTGAGAATTATGCATTTATTCTCATTAATTTACTAGTTTCATATGTTCTAAATTTAGTGGTAGAATTTGATTATATTTGTAAATGTCATATTTATTTGAACGATTTTAAAGAATATCACCATTTTGTGATTGGAAATCGATCGATCAAGGACAAAAAAATTTTCAAACTACTCTCAATGATTACCAAACTCTTTAGTAATTTTCAATTATTTATTTTACCATTGTTGGTAGTATTTTTGAACCATACTCAACATGTCATGGTAACTCTGTTTTGCTTTTTCTCCATCGTTATTCAATTTACATATTTCAAAGTCTATTTGAAATGCTACTTTATTTACAGAGCTCTTTACTATAACAAGTACAAACAGCACCAAAAGATGATTAATCTAGTCAAGTTTACAATATTTTACTCATTGAAGAATTTAATTATTCCATTTACGTCGTCAGTCCTATTGGTACTGTACATTTACACAAACTACAGTTGTGTCATGTTCTACACAATTTATATTTATTATGGAACTAGTGGCGTGATCGCCATTCTGACATACTTATTTATCAAATTTGTTGACCGTCGATCAATTTTGTAATATCAATAAACGAGAATGAAAAACTGAAAATGATGACACACTGTTATTTCTTCAATCCTCATTAATGTTGGATTTATTTTGTTCTTCATTCTTCTTTTCTTCTTTTTCTTTCATCATGTTTTTAATTTTATCCCATTCTGCGTTTGCTTTTCGCTTTTTACTGCCAGGATGAACCGTTGTTGCCTTTTCTTTTTTGAGTTTACTGTACTTGATGTAGCCTTGTGTTTCTTGCGCTTTGCTCTTCAAAAATTCTTCATCAGCAACATTTGTTTCGTCTTCACTTTCTTCTTCACCAGCCACTGCAATTTCCTTGGACAAATTCTCTTCGATTTCTTCGTCACTATCTTCAAGAAAGGCAAATTCCTTAGTTCTCTTTTTTTTAAATTTCTTGCTGGTTTTGGATTCCTCATCAGATGAAGAGTAATCCTCTCCAAACATGGAAATTTTGGGTAATTTGTATTGATCCATAATTGTGTCAACACCTTCATCCATTAAATCTTGGAGAGCTTTTTTCTTCAACTCCTCATCTTGCTCATTCACTGACTCCATTGGAACATCATCAAATAATTGCAAGTCAATTCCTTCCATACTTGACTCGACTTTGATAGAATGTCGTTCCTTTTCATTCTTTTTATATTCGTAAACATTTCCATTATATTTTGTATTCAATTTTTCATTAAATATATCATTTAATACATTCAATATTTGTTCATTATTTGGTATTTGTTTCACTTCATCTTGAGTACATATAAGTGACGGTTTTTTCTCGTGTAATTTTGTTATTTTTACAGTCGGAGTGTATTGATTCTTCTTATTTATCGATAAAGGATAGCAATATTGAACATGATGAGTTTGAAATGAAAATGTGGAAGTTAATGGTGAGGATTTTGATGAAATGATATTCATGATCTTTGAAGCTTCGGAATTTACTCCTTGTAACGATGACGAAGAAGACACTCGTTTTTGAGTCTGTTGTTGTTGTTTGGTTTTGAACATTTTTTTTAATTTGACTGGACGATTGTTCGCAATAAATATCTCAAAAGTTACACTTGGTGATCTCCTCCATTATTATTATTATTACTATTGACAATGATAATGGTGGTAGCAGGTGATGTCAATGCCACACTACATGTAGTCTCTGTAGGTGATGATATCATAGTAGTATTCATCATTTCCAAATCCTTTTGAATGGAGGAATTGAACGTTGTTGAAGAACTCACTGAAGATCTGGTATCATTGGTGGACATGTATAATTGAGGAGATGATGTTTCCAACATGTTGTTGTTGTTGACCATATTCGATAATTCCATCATCTTTCCATTGTTATTGGAAGTGAATGTTTTTGAAGTATGTTTTGAACCATTCATTGTACCACTACTAAGAGTTCCATTCGTTGAACTCATATGAACAACCTTTGGATCTGAATCTTGTCTAAATAATTTCTGAACTTGTCTCATTGGATTGTAAATACATAAAATCAAGACAATGAAACCCACGAGACCAATATTGTAACAGAAATGGAAGAAATTCATTAAATAGGTCCATCCCAATGAGGCTGGAATGAAAATAAATCCAAAGAATTGAAAGATCATACATGCTGTGAGTCCATATTGAATGGCAAGTGATTTTCTCAATGCTGTTTTCTTAATTTGGTAAGTTTTGATCTTTTCCTTACTCTTTTCTTTGCATTTCAAAATACTTACGTTTAAAAACACAGAGACTGAAATGGTTGAAACTAAAAACAAAGCAGCAGCACTTAAAAAGAGTGCCAAATTGAGATATGATAAAGTAGACTCCTCAATGGCAGCATGACCTGCAGTAAATCCTCCAAAGATGACTGTAAATGCACACAATAAAAAGAACAAGACACCTAATACTCCCAGTAAGGCAATCACGAATTTTCTAATATTAGAAAAAGTTGTCGATGTGAATGCACTAATAGCACGACAAGTCTCAGAGCTATTGAAATTATTGAAGATGGTCCATGAGATAATAGTTTTTTTTAGAGATTATCATGTTAAGGATTGATCATTGTTCAAAAAAAAACACGAAATTAGAAATGTTTTGGAGAGTTGAAAATTCCATCTTCTTACTTACAAGGAATAACAAATATGAGACATCAATACTACTTCCATATAGACGGTCAAATTGACAAAACACCGATCAAAAATCTTAATGACAACACTCGCTACAAAACCTTCCGATGGATTCGGATGTAAATATGCAATTTCTGATGCAATTCGAGTTAACATATTGAAACACACCAATCCTTCTACCATAAAGAGTAATAAAAAGAGAATGTGTTGATTTCTTTTCATATCTTGATGTTGCATTAAATAACTCACAATCGATGCAATAAAGAGAGCACCAAATATAAATACAAGAGGTGAATTGAGTGAAATGATGATTATACTTGGAGTTTGAAAGAGAGATTGAATGGGAGAGTTGAAGTTGAGAAGGAAGAATTGGTGAGATTATTGCTCGTCACGATTGGATGAGCATTATTTCATTTACAAGTGTGGTGGCCATTGGGAATGTTACGTATTGAGAGAGAGAAGTATTGAGAAGAGTGTCAAATCTAGGATATTAATCTTCGTCGTGTTGCTCTAGTAGTCACTCAAGAGCTATGTGAGAATGATGAGTGTATATGAGAGGTTGTGACTCTGTCCCAAAGGAAATTTCTATGAGAGGTTAAGTGTCAATCGGTGGTTGTTTGGATATCGACCTCGAGGAGGTGGTGTGTTGCAATTGTTTTTTTTGAATTTGTTGTGGACAGAAAATGGTCTCGTACACACAATTTGTGTGTGTGAAACTTGTTGTTGATTCCATGATGCATCATCGATGAATTGGTTTTCACTTACCAGAATAGCTTCAACGCCGCATGTACAAACAAGATACGATACCAATGTAATCCATGTCGACTATAATTGGTAAGTACCTGGATGATTTGGTAATGACCATGGTTGACAGTGGACCATGCCAACGAAATCTGTGAGATTCCATTTGAATTTTTGGGGAGAAAGAGAACTGCATCAACAAGTCTAGGTATTAGATGATCTTGTTTGGATCTATTTGACGCTCGGTACCTGTTGACTTGGGGATTCAACAAAGATCCTCCTCTGAGGCAATGGTGAAAGAATCCAAGTTTCACCGAATCGTCATGGTTCAACAACATGTTCAAAATGTCGTTGTTGATGTGAATTTTGAAAGATGCAAAAGTTGGAAAGGTCATTATATTCCTGTTCTCTCGTTTAAGGGTGAGAAATTCACCTCAATGACGTCAACAACTACCCGAATGCACGTGAACGATCATGTGGTCCATCTTGCAGGTAAATAAACATTTATTTACCAATCACTATCTTCACTAGTACTCGTATCAGAGCTCTCAGCACCACCTCCTTGAAACTTGTTTTTCGATGCACTTGTTCCAAATTCCTCTTCCCATGCTTCCTCATCGAGTATTTCTTTTTGTTCTCTCTTCAATCTTTCAATTCGTGATAAAAGCATGGCCATCATTGGATTTGTTTGTTTCGTATCATGTTTGAGAGTTGTGGAGTTGTGTTCATCCGTATCGTCATCGTCGTCACTGTCCGCTGCCATTTGTTTTCTTCTCATTTGTAGAGATGTAAATAATGTATTACTCATACCAATAGGTGTTGATGGTTCTGATTTGTTCGTCGTTGCAGTGTTAGGTGTTGCTGCTTTGAGTTTACTCTTTTGAGCCAAAATATCTTTCAAATCAATCACACCACTCGATCCACCACTACCACTCGATGCTTTTTCAAATTTATCCAAAGAGGATGTTTCTTTTCGAGTGATATTCATCTTGAATACACCACCTGTGTTTACAATAGGAGTAGATGCTGTGACTGGAGGTGGAGGAGGAATATAACCAGGAGGAGGTGGAACCTTTGGATTCATCTTTAAATACTCTTCAGGATTATTCTTGAAGGTAATGGTATTGGCATTCTTTCTCGTTGGTACTTTCAATATACCTCTTTCAATAATGAAATAGCAATGTAAGAAACCACCACATTTCCATACATCAATACCAATTGGTTTAAATGAAATATCATCAAATGTTTTGACTTGAAATATGGCTTGTAATTTCAATTGAGATGCACTAGGCTTTGAAATGGTTGCCAATGATGAAAAGTCTGTGCTCAATAGATTGGCGCTACTAGTACTACCAGTACTAGTACTAGTACTCGTCGTTGGTGGAGTCATCGATGTATTACCACCACCAGCACCACCACCTTTAGAAAAAGCCTTCAATTGTTTTTCATAATTCTCTTTTTGAGTCTTCATGAATTGATCAATTTCATTGGCAATTTCATTTTGTCTCTCTGCAGTTTCATTTTGTAATCGTTCTTGCATTCTCATGAGCATGTTCAATTCCTCTTCTCGAACCTTCTTTTGTAATTCTTTAATCTTTCTCTTATATTCTTGTTTTTGATGTTCTTCCATTTGCTTGGTTTGAAGTTCTCGTTCTTGTAATTCTTTTAATTTCTTAGACATGTCCTTTTCGAGTTGAGCAATTTCCGATCTCAATTCTTGGCCTTGAATTCTTCTTCTCTCTTAATCTTTTCATCCAATTCTCGTAACATTTGTTCTTCATTTTCTTCAATACGACGTTGAGCCTTGAGTTTAAATTCTCGTTCCTTCTTTTCAATGGTTGAGGCTAACTCTTGAGTAGCTCGTTCCTCTTCTTGTTTGATGGCATTATGTAACTTTTCAAAGTGTTTGGATTTCTCTGCTTTGAATTTCAAAATTTCAATGATACGATTTCGTTCATCGAGTAATTTCTCTCGATTGGTCTGAATGGAGAGTTGTCTTTTTTTTTCGTATTCTTTTTGTTTGAGTGTCTTGTTGATTTCTTTGAGACGTTGCTCTTCTTCTCGTTTCAATTTGAGTTGAAGTTTCTTTTGTTGTTCAAATTCTAATCAAGTTGGAGTATATATTTGAGATGAATATTCATTCATTCATACACGTTGATTGCAATTTCATACACATGCATCATGCAATTTCATTTACATGTATCATGATACACATGCATGCATTACATATTTAGAAAAAACAAGACATTTTCATACATTCAAGACTCATGAATGATGATACAATGATATAAAGACTTACCTTTTCTTTGATATTCATTTTCAATATTTTCATATTGTCTTTTTCGATCTTGAATACTTTCTTGTAACATTTCAAGAGTTGTTTTTTGAGATTCTTGTGCTCTCTTCAATAACTCTGCATTTCGATCAGACATGACTCGATCTAATTCTTGTTTATATCTTCGAGTGATGAGTTGTCGACGATGTTTCTTTTTTTGTTCATTGAGAAGAGAATCCACAGAAGAGGGTGCATTGGATGGAGTGGTGGTAGTGGTGGTATTACTGTTCTTGTTGTTTTGTTTTGACTTGTTTTTCAATTCTTCTTCTTCTTCATCTTCAACAAAATGATCTTGATACAATCCCAATAACTTTTTTTGAGAAGTATTTTCCTTTCTCGTTTGTGATCCATTTAAAATCTTGTTCATTAATTCATTTTGCATTCGTATTGCTTCTCTAATTTGATTTTGAATGGATTGATAAGAGAGTGGAAATCCTTGCATATCTTCAAAGATGTATTCGACACGTGCATAAATTTTACCAAGATTTCTCTTTTTTCGTTTGAGTTGAGTCATGGCAGGTTCATACAATTCATTCATGAGATTGTGATGATGATGTTTTTCATTTCCATGATTATTTCCATCCTCTCCATCCTCATCCTCGTCTTCATCCACAACAAATTGAGATTTCTTTTTTGCAATAAAATCATTTCCATCATCTTGTTCGAGAATGGCATTGAACCATTTTTCAAAACTCACTTCAAACGATGATTTGGCAGCACTTGCATTTTGATTTGTTAATTGAAAATAGGATAAATTGACCAAATCATTCGATTCTTGTTGTTGTGCTTGTACAGATTCCACCAAATCAGGTTCCAAGATGGTCATTTTCACGAGACCATTTCGAGAGTATTGTGTAAATTGTGTTAATTTCTTTTGTTGTTGTTGGTGTGAGAGAAGATTGGTTACTTTGGTTTCTTTCGTTTCAGTTAATTCCAATATGAGAAATATTTCCATTGGAAATCGAGGCATATCCAATACAAAGGTTTCATTCCAAATGGGTGTGATGGTTTTGGATTGAGCAATGGTTGAAAATTCTTGAAAATTACTTTTCACTTTACAACTCACTTGATATTGAGAATTTTCAATAACATCGGATTTTCTTGTTGTCGAGTTCAGAGTATTCACATTATTGTTCTTATTGTTCTTATCATTGTTCTTATTGTTCTTGTTGTTCTTATTATCATTGTTATTATTGTCAGTAGAAGAAGTATTTTTCGAGTGTTGTTTCAACATTTGATTATTACTATTTTGAGCTGGTACGAGTTCATGATTATTATTACTACGACTCTCTTGATGATTTGATAAATTCAATTCTTGTACCAATTCATCATTTAATTTAGCTTCAATAATTGTGACTTGTAATTTCGTGACATATTGTACTAATTTAGACATTTGAATAGCACCCGAGATTCCAACAATACAATCAATCCATTCCTTTCTCTCTAAATCCGTACTTGCTGCTAATAAATGTACCGCATAGGGTGTTCTAATTTTGAATACAAACATTCCACTTTCAGTAGATTCCAAATCATCTTTTTCAATTTTAATATCTTCTACGAGTGAAATAATACCTAATGGTTGATACTTGTCTGAGAGTTGACCAAATTGAGAGGATGATGAATCATGAAATGAAGTGTTACTTGTTTTTACAACATTTTTCAAATTTTGCATTTGAATTTGTGCTGCTGCTGCAGCTGCTGCATCTTTGTAATAATAGAGACTCGTTCGTGATAGTACAAACCATCTCTTTTTCCATCCTTTGAAACGATATTTGAAATTGGATTTGGATGAGATGGCTTTGAGTGGTTTTTTAGATAAATATCCTTGTTTGAAGACTTGATGTGTTGTTGAAGAAGAATTCGAGATTGTACCAGAAGAGGAGGAGGACATTAAATGGATCATGTGATTGGAATTTAAAAGACCCATAGAGGTGTCAACATTATGATTCATTGGTTGTTGTTGTTGTTGGTTTGGATTCCCCCTGCTCGTGGTGGTGGTGGCGGGTAAAGAGGGTCGTGACATTTTGTGTGTGAGAGGTGACTTGAGACTTGTGATTTTTTTATTTTTTGAAAAATATTTTCATCTCATGAATTGTCAAAAGATTGTTCTTGAATTGAACGGTGCGGATGATAGTGTTTGTTAACATTCATGTCATTTAACAACTAATCATCACACACCAATGACGGTGGAGAATCTAACAAACATGCTTGATTTAAATCATTCTTCGGTCGATGACTACTACTACTCGTGTCATGTTCTTCCACAGTCTCATCATCATTGTGCGAACATTGTTCATGATGACATGAACCTTGAACACAATTTCCTCTTCTTCTTTTCGAACTGGAATGATAATTATTGAAGGCTTCACCCTCCTCAAAGGCTTCCTCTTCAGAAGAATCATCACATGGAACGAGTGTTGTAAATTCATCATCGTCGTAGACTTGATCGATCAAATCATCACCATCATCATTCATGTAATGACGGGTCTGAAGTTCTTCAACAAGTGCATCCTCTTCTTCTTCAATGGATCCAGTATACCGTTGTCCTCTTGTTGTGGGATCATGGATGGACTCTTCATCGGAAGAGTAGTGTGGTGGTGAATGATGATTATTATGATGATGATGATGATGGAGTGAGACTGTCATCATTGGACTGTTGCTGAGATCTTCATCATCCTCTTCGTCATTATCCAATTCTTCCTCATGGCCACCACCACCACTACTAGTAGTACTATTACTTGGATCAATCATTATGGTCGATGATGTTGTTGTTGTTGTTGCTGCTGCTGATGATGGATGATACAAATGATGTTGTTGATTGTGTTGAATGAATTTAATATTGGCCAATAGATCGGGTGGAGCTTCCAAACCAATTCTGACTTGAATCATTCGTGATTGATGTTCCTTTTCTAATCTCTCGAGTATTTCATCATTGAGTAAATGATTGGATGAAGGTTTGAATTGACGAAGAAGTGAACAACATGGATTGTTGTTGTTGTTGATAATGTTCGATTGGATGATGAAATCAAGTTCATCGAAGGATTTGCAAGTCGATGTTGAGAAGTATTCTCTCTTCCGACACTGGTCATTGAGGCTTCATGTAAGGGAATATTTGGTATATCAAATGGAAAGATACAGGTCAATGATTGGAAGAGCATTTCATGTGTGTTGGAGTGTGTAGGGAGTGTGGTATAATTTATTTAAGGAAGTTTTTGAGGTGTGTACACAGTGTGTGTGTGTGTGCATCTTGAGAGTAAAATTTATTTAAGGAAGTTTTTATTAACCCTTAATCATCCATGACCGTTACACGAATTGATGATTATGGTGAATTTGATACTATAATATTTTGGACTAACCATTCAACCACCCACTCTCTTAATAAAACTCTTGAATTCATTCATTGGTGTATATATAATGGAATTCACGTGTGTGTGTGTGTGTGGTATGATTGAATGAAATTCATCAATATTGACCACGAATAGAATGATCTCTCATGAACTGTACAAACTATGAAGGATCATTACTTTTTAAACTTTCGTAGCATGGCAATATAGAGACATGTATTACTTTGAGATTGTGAGGGCATAATTCGAACAGTATTTGGTAATACACGAGATTCCGTATAGGGTATATTTAAATATTGCAATACTGGACTATCTTTGAATGGATGAATTAATTCAATTCCAAATGGTTCACAACGATGATGGTCCTCTCTGCTAGAATGACCGTAGAACCAATACTACTAGTATTACTACCATTGCAATCATTGGAAGGATCCTTCGTTCTAGAACGAATACTACTACTACTACTCTCAGTCTCCACACTACTACTCTTCTCAGTTTCATCAAGTGTTGTGGTGGAAGAAGTATTTTCTCTACTACTCTGATACTTGTCTAGTAAATATTGAATGACATTTTCATTTTGTTCCACAGTGAATGAACATGTACAATATAAAAGAATTCCATATTGAGAGTTCTTGTGGATGGATTCATCACATGGTTTCAAACAATTCACAAATGCATTCTCTAATAATTGTTTTTGTAAATTCACAACATGTTCCATATTTTCTAATGTATATTGAATTTGTTTTAAATTATTTCTAAAATATTCAACTCGACCATCTGTACTACATTCTGCATCTACAATGACAATATCATAGAGAGGAGAAAGAGATTCAAAAATATTTTGTGGAATATTCATAGTACTATTGGTATTATGGTTGGGAATGATATTATTATTATTCAGTATGATATTAGAATCATGGTTGGGAATGATATTAGAATCGTGACTATGGTTGGAAATGATATTAGAATCGTGACTATGGTTGGGAATGATATTATTATTATTCAGTATGATATTAGAATCACTATGGTTGGAAATGATACTATTATTATTCAAAGTATTATTATCTTCATGATGAACGGTGGTCAAAGAATGTGAATCATCATTCAATGATTTTCTCTTTTTTAAATGTTTCACATCTAATTCTTTCATTCTCTTTTTCATTCCATATTTTTCATAAATTAAAATTCCATTATTTGGTAATTCTTTCACCTTCTCAATATATTTAAATCTTTTCATTCGTGTGGGTTGACCATGTAGTGTTGAATATCTCGTTCCATCAGCATAGATTAATCGAATATCATTTAAATGATATTTTTTAAATATATTTTTACAGGTCATGATTCGATGATAATTATTATCAATTCCTGTAATGGTATGAATATAAGAGAGAGTGTTAGGATGATAATGATTTGAGAGGAGCAGTGGTGGTGATGGGATTGAAGATTTTGATGACTCCAATGATGCATTTGATGGCAATGATGATGAATATGATGATTCTAATGGTGAAGATTTTGATTCTAATGATGATTCTATTGATGATTCTAATGATGATTTCAATGATGATTCCAATGATGAATATGCATTTGAAATTCTACATTTATACAAATCATACAAGAGACATGATTTTGTACCAGGTGCAGTACAAATATCCAAAACATTTGGTAATGAATGATTATGGAATAATGGATCATTTCTATTGTGATTATCAGAAAGAGTCATGTGATTGATACTAGTAGTATTATTATTAGTATTATTATTATTATTAGTATTATTAGTATTATCAGTATTATGATTATCAGTATTATGATTATCAGTATTATTATTACTCATTGAATTTAATAAAATCTTTTCCAATGACAAGATGCAATAAATACTACTAATATCCACTCCATAAATAATTCCATTTTTATATTCCAATAAATTAGAAATTGAAACACTCTTTGGAAGTGTATAAATTTGATAATAATTATTTTGAGATTTAGAGAAGGTGGTGGTATAGGAATAATTATTCGTTTCATTATTATAATTATTATTATTATTATAACTATTATTATTATTGGAATGATCATTTAGTAGTGGTTGTGGAACATGTCCACATTGTGATTGTATGGATGTTAAAATATTTTGAATATATTCTTCTTGTTGTTGAGAGGAGAATTGAGAGGTGGTATCGTGATGATTCATTGATTGTTGTGTTGTTGAAATTTGACAAGTCATTTGTTTTTGAATCATATATTCATGGATACTTTGAAATGAAATTCTAAAATAACGAATGGAGGATTCATTCCGAGATGATATATTATTCATCATGTCATCATGACACGATGTGGTGTTAGAATGTTGTATTGTTGTTGTTGTTGTTGAGGATGAGGAATATGATGGATAATATTCTTCGATGGGTACATGATATCGTTCACAGAATTGTTTTAATGCATCGAGAGGAGTTGAGGAGGACAATGATGACAAATGATGGTCTTGAAAGATCATCTCTTCCTCAGGTGATGACAATGTCCCGAACATTTTTTTCTTGCCTTTTATCATGTTGAGACGACATGAATACTTGACTTGGTATGGGGATCAGCATGAAAGATTCTTACCATGAGCTCAGTGTATAGAATATGCAACTATGTTCTGATTCGAAGAGCGGAAGTCATTTTCAAACTGCCAAAGATGTCCAAAATTTTTCAAATTATTTGTTGAACTTGCAAGGAAAAGTAGATTTGATGATAAAAAAATATTTTGAAAACGCCAATCATTGATTACTTCTTCATCATCCTCTCTCCTCTTTGAATTATTCAAACATCCATAACCATTCAACACACTATGGTACTCGGAACACACTCTTCACATTTATTAGAACCATTCAAAATTATTGGATTGGTTACTAATCATGTCGTACCTGCCATTAGTTTTCAATCCAATACTTCCGATGACTCTGATTTAATTGATGATGCATTGATTTATTGTTCTATTGGAAATACATTTTATGCCTATGGGGTATGTTTTATTTGTGTGTGAAATATTTAAATATATAAATGATTCAAACCTTGATAAATTCATTGGACAACATTTTCCGAACACGGATTCATGACTCGACTTGAATATCACTTGACTCCAATTCGAACATCCATACCACCTAACTCGATTCAAATAACTAACCAAACTAACCAAAACTAACCCTCAACTCCACCCCAAAACTAACCCAAAACTAACCCCAAAACTAACCCCAAACTCCAGTTAAAATCTCTCATTCATATTGACATTGGACCTCAATTACCCTCTCCAATTTCATACATGCTTGTCGAACGACAATCTTCGTTAACTTCCAATGCAAGTACTGCACATCCTACTCAACGTGATATTCTCTATGTGTGTTGTGAAGATTCATCGAAAATCTATGTTCTCAGAGGTGCCAGAGAATTAATTACCATTCTTGATACTTCTATTCATCACAAGTGTGGAAAACTTGTTCAATTGTTAAAGATTGGACAATATCTATTAGTGTGTTTTGAACATGTAATTTCCATATATGATACCTTTGAGTTACAAGATTCATTTGTGAATGCATTTGAATTACCACAAGATTGTACATTGAATTGTGCTTGTCATTTACAAACTTATTTAGATAAGATTATTATTGGATGTAAAGAAGGTCATTTCCTATTATTTAATTTTAGAGTTGGAAAGGAAATTTTTAGATTTGAAAAACATTTGAAATATTTTGAATCTTTACAAGAACCATCATCCTCTTCATCCTCTCATGAATCATCACTATTACACTCTTTATTGAATACAGTGAATAGTAGTAATTCCTCTAGTACTCCCTCAATCTCTCAAATTACATGCCTCAAACCATCACCTGCTCTTGATGTCATTGCGATTGGAACTTCATGTGGTCATGTCATCTTGTATCATGTCAAGTATGATCATATTTTGAATGTGTATAAACAAAATGGACCAGTGAGTGCCATTTCATTTAGAAGTACATCTACTAGTACTACTACTAATACTACTAATACTAATACTAATGACAGTACTATTACTGACATGACTAGTATGAATTCAAATAACATGAATTCCAAGCAATACAAAGAATCTTCTCATTTCATCCATTCTGAACATGTCATGGCCACTGGTAATCATTGTGGAGAAGTATCCTTATGGGATCTCAATTCACATCAAATCATTCATAGAATTAAGAAACATGATCGACATGGTCAAATCATGACATGCTGTGAGTTCTTACCAGGTGAACCATTTATGGTCACTTGTAGTAGTGATAATGTCATGACTTTGTTAGCCTTTGATCGTGTTGATAAACCACGTGAAGTGGTGTGTCGAATGGGACATAAGAAGTGTCCAAAAATAATTCGATTCTATGATCCAATGGGTCATTTCATTGTAACGGGTGGTGTGGATGGTCAAATTCGAGTGACATCCTTGTTAGATCCACGTGAATCCAAACAAATCTCTCAACAACAAAATTCCCATTTATGGAAATCAAATAATTCTCAAATGCCAGCAATTACAGATATGGATATTTGTTATTTGAGACAAGATGATTGGAATAACTTGGCATGTTGTCATTCTAATTTAAATAGTGTTACGTTATGGAATGTTAAATATTTGAAATCGGATTCTGAAACTCTATACAAACCAGAATTGAAATATGGATTACCTCAATCTGTTGCTCTTTCCATATGTGGTAATTATGCAGTCGTTGGAACCAATAAGGGTTATTTAGAAAAGTGGATTATTCAATCAAAAAAGATGAAACATTTATATTATCATCATGAAGAGAAGGAACGTTCAATTGAAATTCGTAAAGTTTATGACTTTAAAGGAAGACAAAAGACTCTGAAACAAATCTCGAATACGACCATGATGACTTTTGGTAGTCATTCACTCACAGCACATTCCTCTCCCATCAATTCTGTTATTATTGATAACACCAACACAAAAGTGTGTAGTGGTGGACATGATGGTCTATTGAAAGTATGGAAATTTGAAAACAAGACTCCAAACCATTCGAGTCATCTTTTGAATGAAATTATGAATGGAGTGGAATCCACTACTAAGGGAAATGGTTCAAAACATTCACTCTCAACAGATCAACTATTGGCTAGTTTTGATTTGAAATCACCCATTTTGAAAATGGTTAAATCCAAACACTCTGCAAGTGCTAATTTTGTGAGTGTCGCATGTGAGAATTTCTCCATTCATGTATTTGATATGAATACATGTAAATTAATTCGTTCTTTCCATGGACATCATATCAATAAGATTAATGATATGTGTTTCACTCATGACAATAGATATTTAATATCATGTGGAAGTGATAATTACATTTTAATCTATGATATTTTGACAGGTCAATTAATTGATTGGTTATCTTTACCAAAGGCAGCAACCAGTGTTGATTTCCATCCAGAAGGGTTATATCTTGTGACCACTCATGTAAATTCTGTTGGAATTTGTTTGTGGGCCAATAAGACTATATTTGGTAATGCTCTATTACAATCGGTGAATGCGCCCAAATATGTATCGTTGCCATTCAGTGGAGATTCATTGATGGTTACAGAGAGAACTGATGTATCATCATTGAATATTGATAATCAACAGAACGAGCGTCAAAGTGAATCGTTACAAAAGAGAAAACGAGCCTTTAAAATTCTCTCCAAAGTGGATGATTGGATGAAAGAATCCATGAATGAAAAGAATGAAGAATCGACCATGACCGACGACAGTAGTAGTGATGATGACGATGATGAAAGTGAATCTTCCATGATGACTTTGAGTCAGAAACAACAAAAACAAATGGACACGTATCCAATTCAAGAACCTTCTCATTTCATCAAATTATCTGGACTTGCCAAATACAAATGGCATTCTCTCACTCATTTAGATGAGTTAAGAAAAAAGAACAAACTTGATCCAAAGAAACAATCCATTCCAGAATTGGATGATTTTGATTCAGTCAATCGTATTACTCCATTCTTTATTCCTACTCAACCTAGTTTAAGTAAGAATATTCAATTTACGAAAAAGAAGAAGGAAGAGGAGGATTACAAGACGAGTCATCTCTTATCCTCTAATAACAACACAATGATGAATCCACTCATTGCCATGATCAAACAAGATCAAGAGAATTCTTCTTATTCCGCAACCATGAAATATATTAAGGACTCGAGTATCAAACAATTGGATTTGAATATTCGTACACTCTCTGCATTTAATAATTATGAAGAGTACAAATTATTATTGGAATTCTTTTTACATTTCGTTCAAGAAGAATTTACAGATTTTGATCTCATTCAAGCCTTGATGAATTTATTTTTCCAAATCCATTCTGATGTGTTGGTCGAGGCTATTCGTGAAGATTCTGAAATTCGTCAATTCATTGAAAGACTTTCTCATGCCAATCGAGTAGCATTTGAACCATTGGATGAAATGAACAAGTACAATCAATGTATGATTGATTACATGTCCTTTGGAGGAGTTTTTATTTAAAGTTGAGTCAGCTAGCCTCATAATAATGAATATACAAGCAATTAAATATTTTACAATAAAGGCGAGTCTTTTTTGTAATCTTTGATCCATGAGTGGATGTTGGAAGATTGAATCGTGTCCGAGTTTGGAAATTGACACAAGGGTTTCCAGTTCAGTCATCCATCGCAAAAAAAACGCATCATCCCTCTCTCACGCTCTCCCACACACGCTTTCATCATGCATAAACATATGAAAAGCCTTCCCAGCAGCGTGAGTATTGCCCTTCTCGTTGCAACACTCCTTTGTTGCTTCTGTATTGTATTAGTGATTTCGGAACAACCCAAAAGTATCTCAATTCATGACAAAGCCTATTCACTCCTCGTGATGGGTCTCTCAAGAAATGAATTGAAAAGACTTGCATTGGAAGGTAGACATGCTCCATTAGATAATAATCACAAGCAACAACAAGTAAACATTGAACCCTTCGGAACCAATGATGATTTCATGAATCGAATTCGAGATTTATCGTCGAGCCATTTCCATGAACAATTATTCGCACAACTCGTCTCTCAATTCCAAAAGGAAATGTTCACCATTCAATTTGAAACATTGAAACAAGTGGAACGTATGGAACAACAAGTCCATGAAAATAATTATGAGAGAAAGAAACAAGGACTTGTATTGGCCATGACTCGTCGATTATTCGGCCATGAGGAAAATTTTGAATCGTCGACCACATCTAGTGCAACCACAACTAGTGCTACTCCAACTGATAGTACGACAACCAAGACGACTATTGCAACTGCTAGTACGACAACCAAGACAACTACTACTCGTACTGCAAGAATGACACACCACTCTTCATCCAACACCACTACTACTACATCTCCAAAATTAAGAAATCACAACTATGTTGAAATGACTGCCAAGATGCGTGAAATTCATCTCTCCTTTCCAAACATGACACAAATGTACTCTGTTGGTCATTCAGTTCAACAACGTGAATTATGGGTCATGAAAATTACGAGTAACAAAGTCATTGGTGCACCACCTTACTCTTTTAATCTCAAATATAGAAAACCTAAATTCAAATATGTTGCGAACATGCATGGTAATGAAACCGTTGGAAGAGAAGTTATTTTATATTTCATTGAATACTTGTTAAATTTATACAAGAATGGTGATTTAATGGTCACTAGAATTCTTGATTATATGGATGTATATATCATGCCATCTATGAATCCAGATGGATATGAATTGAAACAACGTAGAAATGCTAATGGTGTTGATTTAAATAGAAATTTCATTGATTACTATTTTGGAATGCCAGATGATCCATTCCAACCTGAAACTTTGAGTATCATGCAATGGATTTCACAAGAACAATTTATTCTCTCTGCTAATTTACATGGTGGTGTTCTTGTTGCTAATTATCCTTTTGATACTGCATTACAAAAAGATGCTAATTATAGTGCAACACCAGACGATACATTCTTTCGAATGGTTGCAAGTGTTTATGCGAATGCAAATCCTGAAATGCGTTTGAGTAAGAGATTTCCAGGTGGAATTACAAATGGAGCTGCATGGTGGGTGGTTCATCATACAATGGTGAGTGGTTGTTGTTGTTGTTATGAATTATTATGAATTATTGTTTTGTGAATCAATGTTATTATTATCATGTTGTTATGAATTATTATTTTGTGAATCAATGTTATTTCAATATTTTGTGAATGATTTTGTGAATGATTTTGGGGAATTACATGATGGACCTGGTTATGAACACGTTGTTGTGAATGTTGTTGTGAATGATGATGATGGTGATTTAAAATGAACAATGCATGTCATTACATGATGGATCAATCAATCAGGCTGATTACAATTACTTTGCAGCAAATTGTTATGAATTAACTCTTGAACTTACTGAAGAATATATTGCACCTGAATCTGATTTGGATAAATTTTGGGAACAAAACAAACTCTCACTCATCTTGTATATGGATCAAATGAAATTCTCAGCAGTTGGAATTGTTGCTGATGAAATGGGTAATGGAGTATCATTTGCTAATGTAACAGTGAAAGGCAATGCAAAGATTATTACTTCAAACTATGATGGATTCTTTTGGAGATTATTACCACCTGGAAATTATACCATCGAAGTATCAAAGAAGGGCTACATTTCACAATCTCAGAATGTCATCATTCCAGAAAATGCAGAATTAGGAAAACCAGTGTTTGCTTATTTCATTCTAAAGAAAGTACCACCACCACCAGCTCCAAGTGGTAGCGTTCCTCACCACTCCTTTGAGAGTCAGTTTAATTTACGCAAGTACTAAAATTGAGATTTTTGGAATTCAAAAAATTCTTCTCATCTGTCACTTCGTTCAGGTGGTAATAATCTAGTACTACTCTTTATTCATACTCCTGTAGTGCAATAAAGAAGAGAATTCTTGTTCCTACAAGACTGAGATTACGATTAATGGTTTGAAGAAAAACAATAGCGGAGGCCCTGCCGCTTTATTAGAGTTCATGGATAAATATTTTCCAGATCATTGTCAAAAACACCGTTTGGTTGACATGTTGATCACTGAAATTGAGAACTTGCCGTCAGATTCGAATGTGGGACATGTGTTAGAAAACTACGTTGTTGGATGTGGAGAGGACATTACAGCTATGCTGGTGGTGTTGAGACAAGTCATATTGATTTAGAAGATCATGATTTCATTAGACCTCCCATCCCTCTTGAATTATTCAATTTGGTGGACAAAATACAATGTAACAGATGAAAATATTGTGGAAGGGTGGGCTCTTGCTTTTGGCATGTTTACTTTAGATAAGACAGTACCATGGTTTGCTTACGCATGAATAATTGAAACCATGGTTTCAACATGGACGGGTTTTTTAAACGATTTTTTGGTGTCTTGGTGGACCTTGAAAGTTGTTTGGTAGAGCCCGAATTGAGGCTAGAGAAATTATCAGTTGTCTTGATGATTAAGGAAAAATGAGGAAGAAAAATCCTTTATTGATGAAGGAGTTTGCGAAAGAACAGTTAAGAGTTTGAACAGGAGAAAAAGCTTGTTGAAAAAAGGTACAAAGAGAGCTATGTTTCATTTAGCATTGCCAAAGAAACACAAAAAAAAGAAATAAGGACTTGAGTTGTAGTTTCGTTAAATTAGTTTTCTTGCCAATTAATTCCTCCAATCGTTCAAGCAAAAGGATATCCTTGTTCATGTCTGTGATTTGGGCTTTGTCAACAATTAATGCTCACTAAGTCTTGATAAATGTTTGTTGTTCACGTACAAGGTTATTGAGTAAATCTTGGTTGTTCTTCCATTTGGTATATAAGACCTGAAAACCTTCGAAACAGTTCATAAAACCATTCAATAATTGCTTTATCACAAAATCACTTACACAAACATTTCTCAATACTATATTTTACCAATTTTTAGTCAGTCTCTTCGTTCACAAAGCAGGAAAACCAATTATGTTATCTGCGTTGTTTTTAGTCATATTCCTACCTAAAACATCAAAGTAAAGAAATCGGATAGGTTATAATTAACACACTGATACTATTTTCTTGTAAAAGAGAGATAACAAAGGTAATAAAGATGGTTAATAAAGTAGTGTGATGAGAATGTATTTTGTGTAGTTCTACCATTGAAGTTATTTTTTTAGTTTAACAAATACTACAATCTGAAACGTTACGGGTCGTACAGTCATTGTTGCGGTTTAACAGTTTCTCCGTAATCATATAACTCAAGTATTTTTGTTCAAAATACAATATTAGCTACATTATTAAGAGTTAGTGGTAATCACACGAAGCAGCAATCTTTTCTGGAGTTATTATAATGATTAACCACAAGTGATCATAAAAAGGTTTGCTAAATAACAATTTTAACTAAGAAATTGAACTTTTGTGTGTACGATATTTTTCAAGGAATATGGTTTATTATTGCAGTAGTGGTATTTGTTTGCTCTTTAGAGAGCTGTTTTGTTGACATTTTTTAGCCATGCTTTCAGTCAACCTATTGTTTTCGTTATAAAACACTTCCGTTATTTTCAGAACATTCAACTCGTGAAACCTTAACTGCTTAGTACAAAGCACCAAGAGGATGATTAACACTCCTTTCATAGATGATGTTCTGAAACGCTTGAATGTGTTCAACGATTTTATTTTTGAAATTTGTTTTGGATTCGTTGGCAACAAACGTTGAACACATTTAAGCATTTGATAAAATCGCTGTTGTGTTCCACTGAAAACAGTTCATGATTAAACTACTCATGTGATCCACAGATTGAATTGTGGAATTTAGAAAACGCACCTAAAGAAAAAATGCAAACATTAACTCCATCACCTTGTCACATCATTCATCTCATCGATTTCAAATTGACCGATGACTCCAACGTAGACCATCATTACGGATTGATCAAAGATGATTCGTTTTTTGAGTGTATCCGAAATCTTCAACTCATGTTCAAGGATCAGCGCAGCAAGACATTACTCAAAAATCATCTTGTGCATGAAATTAAAAAAAATCATAATGTGTATACTTTACAAATAGTCAATAGTGAGGATGATTATTTAAAATCACTACGTTTTGATAGAGACATTGTTGCATCTGTAGTACATGTTAATCCAAGCAAACTATTTGAATTTAGCAAGATTCCTCACTTGATTAGAGATCCAGTGATCGTGAAAAGTGCAATAGAAAGCACGAATTTAAATCAAGTAGATGTGTTGCAATATATTGACAGTTCATTCTACAAGGATCGAGAGCTCATGTTGAAAAGTCTTTCACATGGAATATCTTCCTATGTCAAGTATTTTGATGCTTCATTGATCAATGATAGAGCATTTTTATTGGAATGCGTGAAAGTGTGCAGTGGAACTTATAGACACTTGTCTCGAGAGTTTCAACATGACCATGAAATTACAAAACTTGCCTTTTCAAATGATTTTTCAGGTGAAGCCTTTAAATATGCACCTTCCAAGTTCGTATCTAAACGAAAATATGTGTTATTGGCAGTTTCTAGTTGTGGGAAGAGTTTACAACGAGCTTCCAAACCTTTAAGGAATGATGTAGAAGTTGTTCTCACTGCTGTGAAACAAAATGGTCTTGCATTAGAATTTGCACATTCCAATCTCAAAAGTCATTATGAAATTATTCGAAATGCAGTGAAACAAAATGGTCTAGCGTTGAGTTTTGTGAAAGATCTACTACAATCATTGTTGTTGCATGATGAAGCTCTCATCCTCGATGCATTGAACAGTGAATTAAGAGCCTATAAATTCTTGACCAAATCCATGAGATTGAAATATGCCAAGAGGTTAGGTCATTTATACTTTCCAATGAATATCAAGGCTTTATATGCGTCTGATAAAAAAGCACATATTGTATTGGGTGGTCGACCCTGTCAGACGGTAGCAACGAGAACTTCCAAAGCGGGAAAGCATGGAGCGGCTAAAACCTACATTGATGCCATTGATTTGTTTAATGGGAGAAGAAGAGAAAATATATTTTCAGCCACAAGTGAAATTCAAGTACCTTTTGTCTTTGAGGATGAGTATTGTGTGGTCATGATGATGATCAAATGATATTAATGCCAATAACGACTCATGATCAGAAGAAATGAGTACCACCCCATATCAGAACAACATACAAAATCATTCATTGAAATGATTCCCAATGAGGAAGAGCGAGCCACTCTTTTCACAAACTATCTCAACAATGAAATCATTCATGTTACCATCACTCAATGCATGGGTATTGAACAAATCACGAATATTGTCATCCAAAAACCACAAGTTCTTGTAGAAGAAGAACATCAGAGTATCATATATGATAAGGTGTGCATGTATGTACGTACATATTTTAATACACAACGTTGTATTGATATCTATCAATTTCATTGTTGGTCTCTTTTTTATAACCTCTACTATTATTATTATTATTATTATTACTATTACTACTACTATGATGAGGACGACCATGACGACCATTACTACTACTACTACTCATTCCAACAGGATCAAAAGAACTTGCTCCATAACGGTGATTCAATGAAGCAGTGAGTACATCATTTTCAGTGGTCGATATTGAACTCTTTTTCTTTTGACAAAAATAAACTCCCAAACAGGATGCAAATAAAATCAAAATAAATGTCGGTATGGTCACAATAAATACCATGAAAATAATTAAATTAGTGTAATTGGAAGAATTGGAATGTCTTGAATCATATTGTGTTGAATTATATAATCCATATTGATTTGCTAATCCAAATTTACTTGAATCTAATACGACCACATTGAGATCTAAATGAGCAATTTCTGTATCATCAAAATTTAAAGGTAAAAAAAATGTTTGATTCAAATAATCTGAACCAGCATATAAGGAATATGAATAAAATTCAGATCCACTTAATTCTTTACAATTTCCAGATAACATTCCACATAATGTATCTAAATTACAAATACTGTTCGTTGTACTGAAATACACTTTATATTTAAATGTTAAAATATTTGGAGATGGAGGATACCATTGTAATTGAATACCATATCGATAGAGTGGTAGAGATGAAAGGAGAGTTGAATTGGAATTATTATTAAGAGTTGTCGTAGGAGTTGTCGTAGGAGTTGTCGTAGAAGTTGTAGTATTATAAATGGAGGTATTAGTGGTCATGGTATTATTAAAAGTACTTGTAGTAGTGGTCATGGTGAACTTGGAAAGATATTGTTTAAATAAATGAAAAGATAATTTCTTATTTCTAATTGGTAATTCATTATTTGAAATGATGGATTGAGTTGAGAGTGTTAATTCATAACTTTGATATTGAAGTGTTTTCACTGCAATATAAATAATAAATGAACTCGTCGTCGAGTCCAAAGCAAAATCTTTTAAATTAATGGAATAATAAATAGAATCTGAAATGGAGTGAATAACAATGGGATAATTATTGAGTTGTTGAGAGAGTGAAGAATATTCCATGCTATTAGTAGTAGTAGTACTTGTGGTACTAGTACTTGTCGTACTAGTAGTAATGTCTTTAATAGTATTAATACTACTACTACTTGGAATATTCTTCAGTTCATCATCATCTTTCATCATGACTACTTTCACATAGAGTGTCATTGGAATATTTAAATATTTAATACAAGGCGATAATTTAATATATCCAATAATGGTTGGAGTGGAGGTTGTGGATGGAGTGATTACAAAATTAGATTTATAATATTTCACATCATTATTAACATGATCATTGATAGGAATATTATTACTAATGGGTATGAAAGTAGTGTCATGAATATTCAGAGTGGTTGTTGTTGTTGTTTTTAAATTCAAGTCGAGTGGATCATGATTGCATGATGATGATTGATCCTCCTTGAAGGAATGTTGTAAATTTAATCCTAAAACAGCAATACATTCAATCATCCATAGCAAGATGAAAAATATAACAATGAATAATAAAGAATGATTTCTTCGGAGGAGTAAGGTGAGTCTGCTGGGGTTTGGATGGAATTGAGAGGGCGTGATTCGAATCACATGTGTGATTGATTTTAAATAATTCATTTTTTTCAAATTCCGAAAAGATTTTATTGATCTTGTTTTTGAAATGTATGAAATGGTTCTGAGAATTTATTGAAGAAAAATCATTCACGGCAAGTGTTGTTGGCAGTAGTACTACTATCATTGGTAATGTCACCATTCGTTGTACTCGTCCCACTACTACTACTACTACTTGTACTATTATAAATATCTCTCAATAAATCATCATGTATATGTTGTAACATTTCCAAATAGATTTGAGAGGAAGAGGATTGATGAGAGTCTGTGTGGTGTGGTGGAGATTTGTGTCTCGAGTGTTGCTTGGAAAGAAAAGATACTTGTCTCTGAGAAGTATTATTATTCTCATCTTGATGTTTTCTAATTTGATAGAATACTGAATGACTTGGATTCATACCACCACCACCACTACCACTACCACTACTACCACTACCACTAGTACCACTAGTACTTGACATGAGATTAGAACTCGTAATATTTCTCAACGCATACTTGTCTTGGAATGAATGGGAAGCTTACCAAGTGCATGAGTAAATGTATCACTGAGAGAGTTGTATGAGACTTGTAAATGCTCTTCATCCTTCTCAACACTTTTCAATGAGTTCAATAAGAATGGAATGGAAGGTGTATGATTTTCAAAGGATGATGATTCATTTCTTTCATTACTAGTGCTGTTACTATTACTAGCATCATTAATCATATCACTGGTATTATGATCATGACCACTAGTATTATTACTACTACTGCTATTACCATGACCACTAGTATTATTACTACTATTGCTACTACTACTACTACTGTTACTGCCACCATCATCACCATTGGATGGAATCATTCTTGAATCTTCAAACCGTATCATTCGTTCATTGATAATCATTTCATAATATTGTAATAAATGATTAAATGATCCTATAAATGTATTTAATTGATAGAGTTGAGAGGAATGATCATTTAATAGTAATAAATTAAGTTCAAAGGGTGTATATCCAATACTATCACATTCCATATTCAAGAGATTGGATTGAATCGATTTGTTATAGATTTGACTCATCACCATGAATATTTTGTTTATATTCATCACTAATTGATGAATAAGAGAATGAAGATTTGAATCTTTCGAATGATTCATGGATCGATCACCACAATACTGAAATTGTTGTGAATAGAGTGGAGGAGATGAAGAAGAAGATGAAGAAGGAGGAATTGCTTGTTGTGTTGAGTTGTGTGTATTCCATTTTCATTCATTCTCTCATTCATGGCAGATTTTAAAAAATAATACAATGAATGATCACTTGGTAATTCTCCATTCATAAAATTCTGATTCAAATAATCTCTACTCATGACATGTTTGATTAATATTGGATTATAAGATAGAATTAACCAATTCATTGCATTGAATAATTCTAAAAGTAATAATTCATCATCATTTTGAATAGATATTAATTTCAATACTCTTGGATAATTCATTTTCATTAATTCATAATTAATATATTTAATAATGAGATGAATGTTTGGAAATGAAGTATTTTCTTTCATTACTCTATTAAATTTAAATAATAGAATGATGTTATAAATCGTTAAATATAAGGAATGAAATAGAGCGTCGTCATGTTGTCCATTCATGGATTTATATACTTTCCCATCACTGTAAGGAATTCTTAATAGATTTAATATATCCTGTAATTGTAATTTATAATTCACTTCATAAATATTTAGAATGGACAATACAAATTCAATACATGAATGATATTGAGCAAGATGACGATTGGTTGATGAGGCTGTACCGGAAGATGAATGACTGTTATGAATATGACCATTTGGCCTAGTTTTGATTGATGAAGATCGGGAGCTAGCCTTCCCTGCTGATGATTCTGTTTCAAGAGGAGTGGACTTGTCTTTGGGTAACGAAACAGAAGGCTTTGTAGCACCATTCAATTTTGTATGACTTGTTCCCATGTTGTTGAGGAGATTTCGATTCAAAATGATGGATTTGGTGGATGAGTCATACTCATTTTTCAATGTGTGTTGTTGTTGTATGGTGCTGATTATAGGATCTCTCGTTACCACACGTGCACACCTCAAGTCTAGTACTTTTATGAGTTGTTGTTTTTAGTAGAAGCAGCAGCAGTAGCAGTGGTCGTGGTAGCACTTGTTGGATGATCCAAACTAGCTGTAATGAATACCAATATGGCTGATTTCACTAACATGTATTCATGACGAGTAAAGAGTTGAGAGAGAAAATCAAAAGGAAGAAATGAGAGAGGTGATTTACGAATCGTTTTCAGTTCAGTTGAATTTGAAAAACTACCCACAAAATGTGGAGTATTCAATTCACGAATTAATAAATTGGTACTTGTTGTGAAATGTTTCTTAATTCTCATGGCTTCATATTTGGATGTCATTGGTGTGGCAGTGGTACACTTGTTGCATTCAATAATGTTGTTGTTGTTCTCGTTACTACTTGAAAGGGGTGTTATTGACCATTGTTGATGACTTGAATCATCACTAAATAAATATGAATTAATTTCTAATTGAGAGTGTTGTTTGGATGATATCCGATGATTTATATTGTTGTTATTGTTGTTATTACGAGTAGAATTGTCTTGATGGTACCATAACTAGAGAGAAGTGAGAGAATGAAACGAATCAAATCTTTGAACATGTGTGTGAATGATGATGGAGTGGTTTTATTCTCGGATTGTTGATGTGAAGAAGCACTACTCGGATTCATTGAAGGAATCATCTCGACATTTGCTTTCGAAGCGTGCGTGAAGAACGAATTGTAAATTTTTAAATCTTGTAAGCTTTTTGTAAGAGTGACATTCGTTTGGGAAGGTTGCTACTGTTGTGAAGTGAACCACTAGTACTACTCGATGAAGAAGAAGAGGCTTCATGACTCGTCTGTTCAGCGACATGTTCTCTCAATTTCTTAAAGTATGGATTGTCCTCACTGAGAGTCGTCATTCCATTGTTGCTGCGAGAATGATGATTGGTGGATGATTGAAATTCGTATTCATGAACTCTTCATTGAGAGTTGTCGTCGTCGTCGTCGTGTTCGATTCATTCTTCTTTTTAAGTAGTGAAGAGGATGAATTGGATGATGAATGCTCTGTCCATGCTTGTTTGAGAATTCTTGGAGAAGCATCTTCATAACCCGTTAAGGTTGTAGTAGTCGTACTAGAACTAGTCGTAGTAGTTGTACTATTCCTATGGAATGGAGATGGTACGTTTGAATGAATGGGTGAAATTGGAAAGGTTGGTAATTGTTGTCCCATACTACCATTCAAAGAAGAATTCATAACATTCTTACTCGAAGACATGTTACTACTACCACTACTACTACTACTACTGCTACTACTCGAGAGACGAAGAGTATTTGAATTAATACCACCACCACCACCACCACTCGTACCCACCACACTCGCACCACCACCACCACCACTACTACCCCCACCACTCAAACTACTACTACTACTACCAATACCCTGAGGATGAATTGTTGTTGGATAATTCCCTGCTAGACTTGGACACATTTCAGAATCGACCATTTCATAGACTGGATGAGTAGTCTTGTACCAATTCTCAAAATCTTGTTCAAGTCTGACTCGACTCATTTCCAATACTCGTTTCAAATGTTCAATTTCTTTTTTAAGTTCTTTCAATTCATTAAATTTAGATTGATGTCCATCTCTTTCTCTTAATATTAATTTTTTCAATTCAATTTCTTCAGGGAATAATTCATCATTCTCTTCATCGGTTGAGGAATGATTCACTAAATTTTGAGCTGCTCTTTCAGTTCTCAATTGAATGAGTCGATTTTTGAGAGAATCAATGGCATTCTTCTTGTCATTAATTTCTTTGGCAATATCTTTGGCAAGTGCAATCTTTTCTCCTAATATATTCTTATTCTTTTCAATGACATTGTAATTTCGATATTTTTGACGAAATATTTCAAATGCTTCTGCTCTCTTTCTCATTCCAGTAGCATCTGCTAGTATGGCAATCTTTTCATTACTTATTTTGGGTGCAGTGTCTCCTGTTTGTGAGAGAATGGATTTTTCTTTTTCTTTTAATCGTTCTCGAATGACTTCTTTAGTAACAATTTCAGCAAGTGGTTTTCTTTCAATTGAATTTGTGTTCATATTGTTGGTTTTTTGAATATTATTCTCAAAGGAATGGTTGGTTTTTGGAATGGTATGATTATTCTCTAAGGAATGGTTGGTTTTTGGAATATGATTCTCAAAGGAATGGTTCATTTTGTGAATATTATTCTCTAGACTTTGAATGGAATGGAAAGAGGTGGAAGGATAGGAGAGTGGATGGTTTCGATTCCATGTTTTAGGAGATGATTGTTGTGAGGATACATTCCAAGTGTCGGTCTGTATGGATACTTCAGATAAATTTCTCTGTTTCTTATTTAACATGGATACGAGAATATCAATTTCAATATCTCTCAATTCAATGGCAACTGTGAGATTTTTAAGTTTTTCTTGAAAATCATCTGGAATGGTAGAGGGTGGTGATGTAGTGGAGCAGTGGTTGAGAAGAGGTTGTGTTGTGTTGGTGTTTGTGTTGATTATACTTGTCTGTTTTTTGCCATCCATGACATTCATTCCTTTTGATGGTTGTTGTGGTTGCTGTGGTTGTGGTTGTGGTTGTTGCTGTTGTGGTTGTTGTAACATTTTTGGATGCATGCCATTGGGAGATGATAATTTCATGGAATGATGATGATGATTCGACACACTCTTCTTACCCAAATCTAAAATCATACTTTTCAATAAAGAAAAGGCTTCTCGTACTCTCAAATGATCTCCACCCAAATTCAATGTACTCTCTTGATCTGGATCATTGATATAATCTTCGACTCGTTCCTTGACAATTGCCTTTTCATTTCCATCCAGAGAATCTCTTTTTCCATCTGATCCTCTCAAATATTGAACTTCTTCTTCCAATTCTTCAATTCTCTTTTTCAATTTCTTAATTTGTACATAGGGATCTAATTTCTCATTAATGGTTGCATGTTGTCGAATACTTGCAACACGCATGGCAAATTTACATGTTGAAATGGATTCACCCAAATGTCGATCTGATGGATTGACCGTAGCGATCATGATTGTTTTACAATTTCCACCAATACTATCTTTCAAGACAATGGTAATGAGACTTTCACGGTATGGAATGTGTTCTTGATTTTCACTAATACTCAAAATAAATCGTTCCAAATGATACAAGGATAAATTAATACTTTTTGCTTCTTCAAGAGTTTCACCACTGGAATTGGTTTTGTGAACACGTTCACTACCGGCCAAATCCACCAAGTGAAGTTTTGATGATTTGACAATGGAAGATCCAGGTTCTTTGGATTCTACATGGATGGTGAATATACAATGAGATCGTGTCGAAGCATCATTGAGCATGGTTTCACTGTGGTGGTGGTGGTGTGGTGGTGTTGTGTTTGTTTGTTTGTTTGTTTGTGTTCATCATTCAAGTGTGTCATGTCAGTAATGATCAAGTGTGTCATGTCAGTAATGATCAAGTGTGGTGGTGGTGCCATGGTCATGGTCGTGTATTTCAATATCATTTGAGTGTGATGTCATGGTCATGTTTGTATTCATCATGTTCAATTAATTGTTGGCAATATTTGCAATATTTCATCATGTGTGTATATATAAATTCAAATTCAAAAGGAATACAATGATTCAAAGTATTTCATTATCACAGAAATGACTCACCTTAATACTCTGTTTTTATCTCCAATAAATAATTTATCAAGAGCATCTTCTTCAGTTTTGACAGGAAATGAAATGATATTTTGAAATACTACATTTCCTGATGCATCAATTCGAGGAATTACTTTACTATAATATATAATCATTAAGAAAATAACAAAATCAACCAGAATTATTGTAGATTTCATAGTGTCAATAATTCAATATATAATTAGTGGATACAATAATTTGTACACAAATGAAAACTAATTTTTAAAACATACGGTAAATCTTTGATATGCATGACATCTCTCTTGTCACTCAATAAATCATAACCATATCCTTTATAAATTTCCATATATGCAACAGAAAATGAAAACTCTCGATCTCTAGATTTTTCTGCCTCTTCATATAATAGAGAAATAGCTCTTGGAATGATTCCTCTTTTTTCATAAGTTCCGTCTCCTCCTGTCATGGTATAGGTCTTACCTTTAAAAGTGTATGATTGTCAATAATAATAATAATTGGTATATTTCCAATGTCATTGAACGATCATGAAGCAAGGTGATGAGTAATCTCTCTTCATTCGGTCACTCATTTAAAAAAACAAATACATACCCGAACCAGATTGACCATAGGCAAAAATTGTGGAATTGTATCCGTCGAGAGCACTCATGACACATTTTTTAGCACATCTTTCAAAAACTTCGTCTTGGTCGACATTTTGATCGAACACTCCGGTGAAAGGAAAATTGTAGCTTTCGATTGAATTATTTACAGGTCCAGCTTCGATCGATCTTGGTTTCCGGAAATGTATTATACTTTGTTCAAATGATGTATCGATGGTATAATTCGCTTTGCTTTCATCGACAGGTCTAATACGACAATACACTTGAATGGTATCGGGATTGTTGGGACCATTCGTGTTGTCTTTGCTCATTTTTTTAGCGCCTTATTTCACTTCTGCACCTCGTTTCGAAAGTTTCCCGCCTTTTCGGTTACAAATGATAGTTACCGAACAATTTCCAATTGGACTCGACGTCTTTTTGATTATTAAGAACAATCGAATCCTTTAAACTTAATAATACTACATATATCGTGTATGTTATTTACAATTGTGATTTCCATTGTAAAACCTAGTTCAGTGAAAACCCTCCTCCCAAATGGATTCTTGTCTCTGGAGGTGTCACTTTAAAGTTTTCTGCAGATTCTCTCTCTTCTAAATTCTGAGATCGTTCCTTTTCTAAATAAAATTCTTTCTTGGTTTGTAAAAATTTCTTCTTGGTTTCTTTGAGTTCTCGTGCCAACCTTTCCTTTTCATATTCTTGTTGTTTATCCTTATATTGCAAAAAGTTGAGTTCAGAAGCTAGTGATTGAATTTGTGTATTCTTCTTTCGAAGTGTTTCTTGATAAATATTGAGTTGTTCTGCAACTTCAGGTCCTGGTTGTCGTGCTAAAATGGATTTCAATTTCTTATTCATTTCTTCCTTTTCTTGAATAATTAAATCTTTTTCCATCACTTCTTCTGTCTTGGCAATGAGTCTCTTTTGAAGTGTTTGAGTTTTAAGAACAAGTTCGTATTGCGTTGGATCACTGCCTTCGAGTTTTCTCCATCGATGAACATTCATTGGATTTTGTAATTCTTCTGAGAGAGCCTTCACCTTATTTCTTTCATCTAATAAATGTCGTTTCAACTCATGATTTTCACGTTGAAATTCTCGAACTTTGAAAATATGTTTCTTCAATACTTGCAATTGTCGTGTAAGATCTTTGATTTTTAGCTTTAAAATCTTAATATCTTCCAGTCGTTCTCTGTATTGAACGGCTCCCTTATCCAATGTACTGTTTTGAAGTTGAATTTTCTCATAGAGAAGTGCAATTTCATCATTTCTTCTGATCAATTGTGTACCTAGAACATCTCTTTCGCTCACAACTGCATCATAGTCTTTTTGTTGTTTTCTTCTCTCATTATCTGCTTGTTTAATAATTTGTGTCAATCGATAATTTTCAGATTCATGTGCTTTGATGATTCGATCTTGTTCCTTTTGCTTTTCTTCTAATAGTTTAATTTCTTCCTTCATCTTCTCCTTCTTCTTTAAAATTTGTCGTGCATTGTACGTTTCATCCACCAGTGCCTTTTCTCGACTCGTTATTTCTTCTTTCAATTGTACAATTTGTTGTTCCATCACTTTAAATTGTTTCTTCATCTCTTCAGCCTCTTCGTGAGCAGCAATCAGTGCCTTACTCTTGGAATTTCTTTCACTTCGAACCGATTCATAGAGAGATTGTTGTTGTTTGAGTTTTTCTTGTAATTCGACAATCTTCTTTTGGAGTTCGTTCAATTCCACCGATTTAATTCTCACCTCTTCAAGAGCTTGTCTGTACTTGACTTCGGCGTCGGATGCACTGGTTGAATATCGTTCTCTTTCTTTTTCCAAAGTATATGTTAATTGACGATACTTTTCAGTTTGTTTTCTCTCAGCAACAATTTCAGCTTTTAGAACCTTTTGATTTCCTTCCAAAATTTTGATATTGTCTTGCTTCTTTGTCTTTTCTTTTCTCATAATGACCAAACTCTTACTCAAATAGTTTCTTTCAGCCTTCAATTTCTCTCCTGCTTCAGTCTGTTGCTCTTTTTGTTGATTAATTTCTTCAATCATCTTATTCAATCTGGTAATTTCTTGATTGAGAACGTCTTTCGATCGTTCAACTTCTTCCTTTTCATTTTCAACTGCCTTCTTCTTTTGTTGAAGTGCTTGATAGCTTTGATGCCATTGATTTTTCTCGTCAGTCACTTCTTTAATTTTGTTTTCAAGTAACTTCTTTTCAATGTTCAATTTGTCATCATTGGCTTTCAATCGAGAAACTTCTGCAATTAAACCACTTCGTTCTTTTTCATCTTGTTCAATGACAGCTTTGTATTGATCAATTCTCTTATGAAGAGTAGCAATTTGAGAGTCCATTTCCTTGATGGTTTTCTCAGAATCGGTGAATCTTGATTGTTCCTTTTTAATCTCTGCTTCTTTTTTGAACACGTCTTGAGTTTTTGATGCCAAGAGTTGTTTTGATTCTTTCAATTCCTTTTCAGATTTTTCCTTTTGCTTGATGGTTTGGTCAAGTTTAATTTTCGTATCATTGAGTTGTTCATTCAGAGATTCAATCACACCATTCAACTTTTTCTTATCTTGATTGAGATCATTGATCTTTTAAAGGTCGACGAGTATTTGATAGGTTCATGAACAATTTTAAAAAAAATTTCAACCTACAATGAGCTGTGTGTTCGAGAGTTCATTATTCAATTGAATAATTTGTGCTGTTTTCAATTCTCGTTCTTTGGCTAATTCTTTTTTCACTTTTTCAAGCTCAGGTGCTGATGCATCTTGAACCGTGGTAGTATTATTTCCTTGATTTGCCAGCTTTGTGAGCTCTGAAATTTCCTTGGTTAGTTTTTGAATCGTCTCTTTAGCCTTGGCTTCTTTTTCGTGAGAAGCATTCACAAGTTTCCATGCCTTGTCAATTTCTTTCTTCAAAATTGCAATCGTATTTTGATCTTCTTTTGTGAGGTTCAATGCAGTTTGAATTTTGATTGCGTTGGCAACTATTTGCTGAGTCAATTCCTCGCACTTCTTCATTAATCGTTTTTCGTTTTCATGACATCGCAGCAAGGTCCGATGCAATTTTTCGTATTCAATTCTAAAGTTTTCCAAATGATCCTTTCCAGCCAACTCATTGATCACTTCTTGAAAATCTCGTTCGAGTGTTTCAAAGGCAGTCTTGGTTAAGGAGAGAACCATCTTTTCCGGATCTTCCTTTCCTTCATTTCCTCCATTATTGATTCCTCCAACAACGGATGAAGAGGGATTGTTGTTGTTGTTGTTATTCGGATCCATCGTTGCTGTTGATGACATTTTTTCAATCATTACATTTCGTAGTAGAGAATGGCGGTTGTGATTTGGCGCCAAAACTAATCTGCATGAGGTCATTCAACACCAGCAAGAATGGTTCTTTGTAGAATGTATTGTCTCAGAATTTCTAAGAGCTCCTTGCAGTTTGGATCATTCACTGAAATTTCATTGATCGTGAATGTGGGAAATGCTCCACGGAATAGTAAGGGTAAATAGGGAAACTCACGTTTGAATAGGTTCATTTGCGTGGAGAGTATGGTGTTGTGTATTCTATTTTGAATGTATGGATTCAATTGATCGTGAATCATTTCATGATACTTGTCCAGGATCCAATCGTTGTTGTAATATCCATATTTGTACGTCAAGTATTCATAGAGCTTGGAAATTTGAATTTCACCACGAGATTCAAGTTCTGTCCAAGCATACGTTTCAAAGAAAGTGTTCATGTCATTGGTGATATAGAACATGGAATTAGTTTCAATATACTTGTGAATTTGCATGGGAGAAACAAGGGTTGTTAGGAATATTTGCAAATTCCTCTCAACACCAACAGAGGAATATTCTGGATGGTATGATTGCGATGAAATATTTCGAATCAATAACTCATAATGAATGGGACATGATATCTTGTCATGACATTGTTTAAAATTAAGAGTATTCCGTGTTAATACATGTTGGATGAACTTGGGGATGACTTTTTGAAACTTTTGACTCAATGTTTTCAAATGTCCATATTTTATGAAATGTGTGGTACAATCCATCAAGTATTGAATATAGGACTTCATAGAGACATTGAATGATCTTTTCATGTGCAAATGTTTGGAATACTTGTTTTGTAAATTTGAGATATAGGAATAGAGAATTTGAATTTTTAGAGATTTGTATTTTTGAAACTTGTTGTAAATAGTTTTACAGTGCCGACACAATATGAAATGAATAATTTTGTGTTGTATATTGGTTACAGAACGAGTGACACTTTGAGATGTGAATGACTCATTCAGTGCAGAAGGTTGTTGAATATATTTTACATTTTCATATAAATTTCCATAATGAATCGATAGGTTTAAATACTTGTATAATTGTGAATCGTTATAGAGAATAATTGGTTCATTAAAAATACATTGATGATATTCTAATACTTGTAAAATAGAATCCATTCGAAATTCTTCCAGTGAAGGAACGTCGTCGTGTGATGAACAAGACATTGAAGCACATGACAATTTCATCTTTTGGTAAACTTGTAAATCTGATTGACATTCCAAAGACTCGATATTTTCAATCATGCTTGAGATTGCATAAACATTTCCGTAACGATTGCTCACGATGGATTGATAGTCTTCAATACATTGTTTTTTCATTTCTTCAATGACATTAGTAATATTCTTATATTTAATATGCTCATCATTTAAATGATAATTTAAATAATTCATTAATTGATCAAGAGATTCCAATAAAGGCTTATAAATCACTTGATTTTTAAATTTCAAATTTTCAAGTAATACTTTTTGAATCATGTGTCTATTGAGTCTTTTATACTCATCATAATGAGCAAGCACGAGAGATGAAGATGATAATTTCTTTCTTTTCTTGGATACTATCGGAGGTGTTGTTTCGTTAGTCTCTAATAACAGTGATAATGATGCATCATGAGATTCAATATTGGAAATATTTTCTCTATCACTCGCTTGTTCATGATTGAAAGTACTTCTTTCAGGTCGATCATGATGGTGTGAAATTCTTGTGTCTCGTCGTTCCTTGGCAATGCGATCGAATATTTCCCGAACAGCAAAATGAGCACCAGACAACATTTTTTTCTAGAAATCATCTGAATCGTTTAGAATCTAATTGAAAGATTGCTTAAAAACGTCATGACATGAATTTACTTCATCTGTTTAAAGTATTCATAAATTGTTTTTTTACATTCCAATGTTACTAAATCGTTCAACTCTTTCAATTGAGATGCATCGATTTGCTCATACATTTCCATATTGCTTTCTTTAACTTCATCAAAAACATCCTGTACAAATGCGTTCAATAATTGATTCATTTGAGTCTTGTCATTCTTATGAATTAATCCAATTTTAGAAATGGCATTGTTCAATCGATTCATGGTCACACAGGACATGGTTTCATATTTGATGAATTCAAAATTATCTATTGAAGAGTTATGGTCAGACGACAACTCTGTCTGGTTAGATGTCCACTTTTGAGCTTGTTCATATTTCTTTTCTGAAAACTCTTGTATTTTTCTCTTAATGATGGCTCTTTCTAATTTACCTTTTTTAGAAATGGTAAGCTCCTTTAACGGTTTAATAACCACCCCTTCAGCATAATTGGAATAGTCCTTGATCGATGGCATTCCCAATTTCTTTGGAATTTTACTCTCAAATTTAATTTGAAATTCCATACATTCTTCATACGATCCAATAAATAACGGTTCAGCATGTAAAAATAATTTTGTGGTGTTGGAGCCTACTTGATGTTTTGACCCGACCTGACAAAAAATAGAAAGACAAGTTTCATAATCGATAAAGGTTTGAATTTGATCCAATTTCTTTTCAAATGCAATATCAAAGGCATAAAATTCAATATCATTGGTGTACCATATTCCTGTTTGAATCGGTTGTTCAATTCCAGGTAATTGAGGCATGTCTGGATAATATCCACCAAATAATTCTCCAAATACATAGACATAATGTATATCATTAAATTTAGATTCTACCAATTGAAAGATAGTTTCTAAATGTGATTGTAATTTCTCTTTCACTTTTTGAAAGTAAAAGAATTGATCGGAATCTTTGAGAAGAGACTTTCTTTTCGCGCATTCAATAAGAATGATGGAGGTTGTTGATGACAAATCATTCCTTCTTGATAAACGAAAACAAAAATTAGCTCCATGAACTTTCTCTGTAATGATCCATTTGGTTTTTTTGAAGAGTTTGATTTGTTTGGCATCCAAGTCCCAATTCTTATTGGAGGAATCAATTTTAATATAACCTTTAAATGATTGAGAGAGTAGAGGGTCATTCGAGTTATTATTGCATTGCAAGGAAGATTCCAAGTGTGAATTCTCACAAGAGTCTTCATGGTCTTCATTTTCGATCGACCGTGAACATGAGGATGAGGTGGTTAAAGAACGATTGAACATTTTTTTTTGTCTGTGGGTTGAATGGTGGTTTTTGAAAGTCATTTTCAAATTTGATGCGGACATGGAACCTTTACCGACTCGAAAAGGGTTCATAAACATTACATGGATTTATGGCCAATTCCTTTTAACAATGCAACTCATGTTCCATCTTTCAACACTTGAATGATAACAACTTGTCTAAAAAAATTCATAGCAGACGTAAAGACGTTCCATTCCACTCAGCATCAAAAAAATGTCAAGATCGACCACATCATCACCGTCATTGCCAAGTACACCACAACGATCACATCATTCCATGATCCATCATCATCATCCTCACCATGACAATGACGAGCATGACATGGAGACACTTGTTCATGAAGAGACACCAACCACCACCCATCCAAAAACAACCATTTCCACTCCACTCTCAGTCGTCTCTGGATACTCCATTACCATTCTCGGAATTCAAATGCTCAATCACATTTTCAACTCGTATTATGTTGAAACATTTTTATTTATTCACAAATTACCATCTTCTTATTTTTATATTGGACAATTTCTATTTGCTATATTCAATGCTATTAATGATCCATTATTTGGATATATCAGTGATGAATTAATTTATCATCATGGTATTTACAAAAAATACACTCGTCAACAAATCATGTTGTATGGATGTCCATTATTAGTAATCTCTTTTTTATTGCCATGGATTCAATTGAGAAGTTTATTTGAACCTTACTCGAATGGCATGGGTGATTTCATTGCTCTCATTCAATTCATACTTGCATTATTTTTATGGGATAGTAGTTTCACATGGGTGGTATTGAATCATTGTGCATTATTACCTGAATTGACTGAAAGTGATAAAGAAAAGGGAAGAATTAGTACTGCTGTGAGTGTGTGTAGGTGAGTAGTATTTGTTATATTTATTATATTTGTTTATATTTATTATTATAATATTTATTAAAATTGTTTATATTTATTATTATATTTATTATTATATTTATTATTATATTTATTATTATATTTATTATTATATTTATTATATTTGTAATATTTGTAATATTTATTATTATATTTATTCATTATTATGAAAATAATAATTTGTAAAATTTATTATGAATTTTAATTTCATGGAATATATAGCGTATTAGGATCTCTCTTTTTATTGCCAACATTTTATTTATTTGAAAGACCTAATTCTCAAGAATCTTCATATTCAGGAAATTTATCATCGTTTCGATTGTATTGTACCATTGTAGCCATTTTATCACTTGGAATTTTATGGTGTGGAAATTATCTCATTAATCGAGGAATGGAAATGATGAGAAGAGGAGAATATTCTCTCATTGGTAGAACGCGTTCTGAGGATGCTACTACTGCTGCTGAGGATGACCATGATGACACCACGTCGATACTGATGAGAGTGTAGTATCCTCAACCATGAGTCATGTTTCAAGATCAACAACTACTGCTTCATCCTCTCCAAGATTGGTCCATAATTCTGATTCACAATTACAGCAACAGCAACAACATGATTCACTTGTATATCGCATCCAACGAGTGGTACAATTTATCAAGAGCTATTTATTGGATTTTTTCAAAATATTCAAACAACTTGTCACCTTACGTAATTTTGTATTATTTGTTGCTGTGAATTTTATGAATATTTTCACAGTGGCATTATTTGATTCGTTCAAAGTGAGATATATTAGATATTATGTACAACCATGGATGAACAGTCAAGTCAACTCGAATGACAGTACTCAAAATTTTGCCTCTATTTATTTAACATTTTGTACATTTATCGCAGAGTGTTTTGCAGTTTTGAACAGTTATCTAAGTATTCGCTATTCAGCATACTCTCTATTGAGAAATACTTTTATTTTCAGAGCAGTAGTGAGCTCGATGACTTTACTTTTATTTTTGATCTTTGTCAGTGAAGATCATTTGAGAGGATCCATGCTACCTACTCTCTTCTTATTTGTGAATTTGATTGTTTTAGGAAGTGTGGGTCGATTGTTGGAAATTAGTCTCTCAAAAGTTGTGGATGAAGATTGTTATTATTACAAGAGAAAGGAAAAGAATAGTGGTAATATTTATGGTATTAATGCATTGTTAACAAAACCTGCATTTTCTTTGGCACCTTCCATTGCAGCCCTCTTTATTGGAAAAGATGATTCATCAAGTTCCAATGGTTCAATGCCAACACTATTTTATTTGTTTGTGATTGGCAACTTAGTTTGTGCGTTGTTGCAATTAATATTGTGGAGGTTTTATACTTTGAGAGGTGACACCATTGCACCTTCATCCTCAAATGCATCACCTCCAGGAGCAATACGAAACAACAATGAAAAATAAATTAGTTTCCTAGATTCCAAAATTTGTGAATCAAGAATACAAAATCTTGCTTCACTCTTAGACAATGTTCGAATGGCCGTTCAGGTTGAATTTCGATTCCTAGCGAAGGACCCTTGGTTTACCACCCTTAAACGTTGTTTAGTTTACAACAAGTAGTTTCTTTCTATTGACATTGCAGAATCGTTTCAAGAATCGACAAAATATTATTTTTTGGATGTTGTAATAACTTGATTTCCTAGAAGGTGAGCAGGTAATGCTACATTTTTTTCTCAAATCTCTATCGTTCGTTTGGTGCTCTTAATAACCACTGTCACCTGTATCAGCTTGTTTTTGCTTCTTTTGTGGTCTTTGTTTGTGTGCAGTATATTCATTGGTTGTCATCTTTGGTAAAATTTTACCAGGTTTGAATTTAAGAGGATTTCCATTCTCCCAAAACCATTCATGTTCAAGACATTCTTTAGCTGTAAGTCTCTTTTGAGGATTCAAAGTTAATAATCTTTCAATTAAATCAATAGCTTTTGGAGAGCATGAAGCATCACTAAACATTTTTCTAATCACATTTGGGTACTGTTTTACAGGTTTCATAGAGTCCCAATGTGGTAACTTCATCACCTCAGGCCAATCTTCAAGATTTGGAGCTCCACAAATTTTAAAAATCTTGTGCAATTGATCACTTTCTGTCGTACCTTGGAAGAGTCCCTTTTCTTTTTTAATCAACTCTCCTAAAATACATCCAACAGACCACATGTCAATCGATCCATCATAATATTGTGATCCTAACAACACTTCAGGTGATCGATACCATAGAGTAACAACCTTATTCGTGTATGGTATATTATCTCTCTTTTTGAACAGGGATAGGCCAAAGTCTGCAATCTTTAAAGTTCCATCTCTCTTAATCAAAATGTTTGACTTTTTTAAATCTCTATGCAAAACATTATTAGCATGACAAAAATAGAGACCTTCAACAAGCTGATACATTAAACATCTCAAATGATCTTCAGTAAATGTAACATTCATCTCAGAGAGTCCAGATAAATCATGATCCACAAATTCAAAAATCATGTAAAAGGAAGAATCATCCCAAGTTACATCATGTAGCTTGACTATATTGATATGATCCAATTCTTTTAGAATTTTGATTTCTCGAATGGTGGTTATCGGAAATCCATTGGTAGCATTCGGATCATTCTTAATCTTTTTTACAGCAACAGTGGTATTATGGCATCTTTAGCCTTAAATACTTCTCCATAGGTTCCTGCTCCCAATACTTCGATTTCTTCATAACTTTTAATTTTAAAGGGACCGGAGAGATGAGCAAAAGCCTCTGAAAGTTTGCCATATTTTTCAAAACATGTTGTTGTAAACGAAGAAGAGCTTTCTCGTCGGTTGGAGTATAATGAATCCCGAGAATATGAGTAATGACCATCTCTACCATAATGATGTTGTTGAGAAGAATAATAATATTGAGAAGAGGATGAATATCTGCTGCTATAGTGTGGATATGAGCCTTCATCATAATGTGCTTCATCATCATAGTAGGAATCTCCTCGGTCGTGATACGATCGTTTTCCCTCCTTGTTGGTGTAATATCCTTCCGAATGATAATGATCTTGATTTAATCTTCTATCATTCCGTGATGATGTACCACTCGACCGTGAATGTTGTCCGCTGCTGCTGCTACTACCTGTACTATGCCGATGAGAGGTACTACCATTACTACTAGAATTTCGATTTTCGTTAGTTCCTAATCTTCTGCCTCCACTACCACTACTATCACTTCTATTTCGAGTATTATTTTCATCGTCTCGATAGTGATGATGCTGACTACCGTGATAACTCTCTCGTCGTGAATCATTGTATTCTCTTCTATCATCGCTTCTATAGTTGTTTGATTGTCGGTCATCCCGCGACGAAGACCTTTTAGAATCATAATAATGATCGGAATGAAGTCGACGACCATGTTCTCGTGATTCAGAGTCATATTTATCATTTTGATGTTGTCTGCTGTTACTACTAGTGCTTGTCGACCTGTTATTGCTGTTAGAAGAATTTGATATATGGTGGTGATGATGATGGGATGAAGCGTCACCAGCGCCCGAAGAAGTCGTTGAAGGTTGTGTTGGGTAATTTTTGGACATTTTTTTTGTATTCGAAACTTTAGAAATATTATTATTGTCAATAATATTATTAAAATTGAAATTGTGATGCTCATCAATTAACCATGGTTCAGCATCAAGCATGAACGAATGTATGATTCTAAGTGGTTTATTGAGAGGACTCACGAAGCAGTTTCGGTTTTCGATTCGCACCCCTCCACCACAAGCGCACTTGAAGCAAAAAAAAATTGAAGGTACCTGGAAAGAGAGAACCAGGTGCACCATTGAGAGATGGCTCTCGTGTTTTCTACAAGACTAATGGTCTTACTGTGATATTGGCTTCGATTCTTGTGTATGGATTGTTGTGTTATTACAATTTCCAGATCAAAGGTGAAGCAATTTATACCTTTATTTGCAATAGATTTGGTGAACTGTTGACTGTCAGTTTGGTTTGGAGCATCCTTTTAACAAGCATTCTATACATTAGAGGTGCATTCTTTATTCCAGAAAACAAAAGAAATTTCTTATATCCAAAATATAACATTATTATGAATTTTTGGTGTGGTGTTGAGTTGAATCCTCACTTCTTTGGATTTGAAATTAAGGAATTCTCTTATAGACCTGCATTTGCAATGATGAGCGTTTTGAATTTAAGCTATTTATTTGAACAAATTAGATTGTATGGATTTGCATCACCAAATTTGATGACCTTCCAAGCCATTAGCTTCTTTTACACCATTGATGCATTTGTATTTGAATATGGAATGATTTATATGTTTGACATTATTGAAGAAAAGTAAGTATTTCTTGACCTCTTTCGAATGACCATATATTCACACACACTTTTATACACATTTCTTTACACACTTTTATACACACTGTTATACACACATTTATATACACGCTTACATGATTTTGATCATAATAGCTTTGGTTTCATGCTAGTCTTTGGAGATTACATGTGGATGCCATTTGTATTCACTCTACAAAATCTCTATCTCATCAATGACTTGTCCTACAACCCAATTCAAACCTATGCTAATATTGGTATCTTTATTATTGGTTATATCATCTTTAGAGGTGCAAATAATCAAAAGTTTGTCTATCGTCAAGATCCAAAGAAGGTTTGGTTAGGCTTGATTGAACCCATCACTTTGGAAACTTCTCGTGATCGTAAATTACTCATTTCTGGATTCTGGGGTGTTGCAAGAAAGATCAATTATTTGGGTGATATTTTAATTGCAGTGAGTCAAAGCTTACCATGTTGGCAAAGTCCATACTTGTTGCCATGGTTGTATCCAATTTATTTGACCATTTTGTTGTTGCATCGAGCACACAGAGACAATGAAAGATGTAAGGAAAAGTATGGAAAATTCTGGGATGAATATTGTAAGAAAGTAAGGTGGATTATGATTCCAGGAATTTATTAAATAATTGTTGAAGTTGTGTTCAGCGTTTCGTCAGCGTTTGATCTTTTGTGGTCGAATTCAGCATGCATATTTTGATGCTAAAGTATGAGCATTCAATGTTTTGATCCAATTTGTTCTTCTCAAACTCATTTTGTCCAAATTCACAAAAAATGAGTTTGAGAAGAACAGCCACCCGCTCTCTGCGAGGTTTTGTGATGAGCAAGAAGAACGCTTGTTTTGCTCCAATGTTTTCAAACAATGTAAATCCAGGAACCATGTACTATGTAAGTAGATAGTACCATTGATAATATTCGTGTTTTGAACATGTTCATCATCATAACTTGAAATGATGATTGCGGCAATCAACCATTGCCTTCACGTACCAACCAATTTCCGTCCCGAAAATAATATCCGTGATGATATTTACAACGCTGAATATTGTTGTTGAATCTTGTTACTACCTTGAATATGATGATGATTTCAATGATACAATACCGAACAACAACACGATATTTATTATTGGCTTACTTGATCCAAATGTCTTTAAATGATAACAACAACAGCATCAATCGATTACTCTTCAAAATACTGCCAAGAAGGAGGAAAAGAAAAAGACTGCCGCAGTCATTTTGAGCGGATGTGGATTCTTGGATGGTAGCGATGCAACTGAAACTGTCAGTATCATTGTAGAATTGACAAGAAAGGGTATTATTCCAAAATTCTTCAGCCCTTATCAAGAAATTGATGAATCATTCAATTACATTACAAAACAAGTGGATGCAACTGAAGAACGTTACATTGAAAAGGAAAGTGCTCGTATTACTCGTGATAAAGTATTGAATGTTGATCAATGTCGTGCAGACCAATTTGACATGTTAGTGATTCCAGGTGGAGGTGGTATTACTCGCAATTTATCTAATTTTGAACAAGAAGAATACAACATTAAGGAGGTAGAAATTAATCCAAACGTTGAGAAAATTATTTTAGATTTTTTCAAACAAAAGAAACCTATTGGATTCATATCTAACTCTGCAATTTTAGGAGCTAAGGTATTGGGTAAGAAATCTGGTGTGACTGGTAGCGGTATTGCTGTTGCTTTGGGAAAGACTCTTGATAGAACATTTGTTGATACTCTTGTCTCAAAATATGGAAATGAATTATCAAAAGAAGTGGGTGATCCTGATATTGTTCTTACTGATTCCTCACACCGTATTGCCAGTGTTGCTAGCGGCACTGCAGCAGGTACAGTGTTGCCACACGAGGTTTATTCAGCTGCCAAGAATTTAGTGGATGAATTGGTTGAATTGACCAAGAAGAAGGACGAATAATCCAACATTGTTGAGATACATCAAGTGTTAAATGGCCATTAATTTTCTTTAATTTATAGTAAACAACAACAACGCTTTAAGGTTGGGCATTTGATTTTGTGAATCATTTTTTTGACTCGGCTATTTTTCTCTTCCTGCTGATAAATGGTTTTCATTCTACAGCTTCTTTGAAATTCCTTCACTTTTATTCTTGAAGAAAAAAAATATCGGAACATCATGTCGTCTATTCAAATTGCTGGCATGTTATTCGATGATGATGAAGATAAATCTCATTCATCGAATAATAACAAACCATTGAACAACAATGCATCCCATCAAAAGAGGAGAACTCTTGATTCCTTTATTGATGACAAAACCAAGAAGGAAATTGATCAAAAATCAAAGCTCTTTCTCGAAGGAGGAATTGCAATGGCCATGAGAAGCAAATCTCTCAATTCTCGGAATAGTACTCATTCGGGGTTCAACAACAACAACAACAGGACATTCAAAGGAGGTCGAACGGAATTCAACAAGAATCCAACACCTCCATCGATGATAAACAAAGACCGAGATTCAACAAGTGCGCCTCCCGCAATCAGCAAGAGAAGACTCAATAGCCTTTCATCCTCTTCAACCACCGCATCAACCACCACTTCTTCCACTCACTCGGATTCCAATGAAGAAGAAGACTCGAATAACTTTTCAGCTCTCATCAATCAAGATCTCTTCATCCAGGAAGATATTGAAACTTGCATGCAAAACAAATTGTGTCCCATTCTCATCTCAACTCTTACAAAATCCATGAATTTGAAACATTTAACAAAAATTCAATCGAGAGCCATGAATCCCATTCTCTCCAAGTCCAATGTATTGATGAAATCAGAAACTGGAAGTGGTAAAACATTGGCCTATCTCATTCCAATGATTCAAATGCTTTATCAACATTCATTAGAACAAAAAATTACACGTGAAGATGGAACATTTGCAATCATTATGGCTCCAACAAGAGAACTATGTCTTCAAGTAGATAAAGTACTCAAAAAGATTACTTGTAATTTACCATATTTAGTGTGTGGTGGAATTATGGGAGGAGAAAAGAGAAAGAGTGAAAAAGAAAGATTAAGAAAAGGTATAACCATTCTCGTTGCTACACCTGGTCGATTAGAAGATCATCTTAAAAGTACTCAATCCTTTAAATGTGACCAATTGAAATATCTAATTTTGGATGAAGCTGATATTTTGCTTGATTTTGGATTTGAACAAAAAGTCAAAAATATTTATAACATGATTGTTGAAAGAAAATTTAATTCTTTGAATCAAACAAGTTCACAAACTACACGTGAAGATATTTCAAATTCTATTCAAAAGATTCTAGTGAGTGCTACTCTTCATTCAAAAATTCAAACACTTGCACAAAATATTGATATTATGAATGCACTCTATGTTGGATATGGAAGTAATGGAGAATTTATTGAAAAGAGTTATAATCTCCTTACAGACAAGTTACCATCCAATGTATTTACCATTCCAGCTCATTTAACTCAATATTACATGATTGTACCTTCTCAATTTCGATTAGTCATGTTGGCTGGATTTTTAAGAGAAAAAACAACGGAAACAAATTTTGAAAATGACTCTCTTGGTTCAAGCAATGATCATGCTGCTACTCCTTCTGGAAAGATTATTGTGTTTTTATCATGTTGCGATTCGGTTGAATTCCATTATCACTTCTTTACCTATTTTCAAACTCGATATAAATTTATGAGAGAATATGTCACCAATACTTTTAAAAAGAAGAAGCATCAAAGCGGTTCCAGTGATCAGGGTATCACGACGAATCATACACAACATGTCGATGCCATATCTAACACTGAGACTACTCAGTACAGACAAGCAGTGAAATATGAAAATGGTGAGCCTTTGATTCGAGTTCCAATTTTCAAACTTCATGGAGATATTGACCAAAAAGAGAGAACACTCATTTACAAACAATTTAGTGAATCTAAAGAAGGTATTCTCTTTTGCACAGATGTTGCTGCACGTGGTTTAGATTTACCTTCAGTGAAATGGATTGTTCAATATGATCCTCCTGGAAATCCAAAAGAATATTTACATCGAATTGGTCGAACTGCGAGAATGGGTGTTCAAGGAAATGCCATTATGTTTCTACATCCACATGAAGAACTTTATAAGAAACTTTTAGAAAAATACAAATTGAAGATTCATGAAATGAAAGGTGAAAAGTGTTTAGAAAGTATTATTTTGAGTTTTAGAAGAAAATCATTGAGAGATCCTATTGAAGCAGCTTCATGGTTACAAAATATATTTGAAGAAGAAATGAGTAAGGCTGGAAAGGAGAATACTGAAATTTATTCCTTAGCTGTGAATTCCTATTTTAGTTACATCAAATATTATAGTACTCATGGAAGTGATGTCAAGTATATTTTCCATCCTAATAATTTACATTTGGGTCATTTGGCTAAATCTTTTGCATTGAAAGATTCACCTTCAAAAATCAAACAACGTCAATTAACATTGGGTGTAAAACCTTTGAGCGTAAAGAAACAAGAATTAGAAAAAGTCTATTCCATGAAAGATCAATTACCAAAACGTGAATTTCTAAAACGATTGAAAGATGTGAAGGGAAGTTCTTCAATTAAGAGTAACACCGATAAAAAGAGAAAGAGATTGAGCGATGAAGAGGCTTCAGAAGAAGAGATGGAAAATCATGATGAAAAGGGTTATGAGAGTTTCTCAGATGAAGAGGTTTCAGAAGAGGAAGAGAACCATCATCATGATTCCATCATGGATCTCAAAGATGATCATACTCCAATGGAATCATCATCTCAACGACAAGGAACCTCAAAAATCAAAGTACGAAGAGGAATGAATACTGCCAGTATGGCTACTACCACTGCGACCACCTCCACGACTACATCTGAGACCGTGGTGGTAGAATCGAGACCATCCAATCCTTCAAGGACTGGTAAATCATTCATAGGTATTTCATTTGGTAAACCAGTAAATAGTGATGGTACAGAGGCGAATGGAAGTATCAATGCTTGGAGTTTCAAGAGTGAAAGTGAAAGTCATGAACCAGCGCATGTTGGAGCATCGAATAGTGGTAGTAGCAATAGTAATAGTAGCAATGGTGGTAGTAGCAATAGTAACAACAATGATACAACCACATCTAGTTCTACAAATTCTAAAAAGACAATACCCACTCGACTCGCCATGACTTCAACTCTCACACCTCTTCAATTACGACAATCCGAATTGAAAAAGAAGAAACTCACTCCCAATGAACGTATGAAACTCTATCGTGACTATGAAAAGGGTAAAATTCAACCCTCTCGACCTAAAATTGTCATTCCTGAAGGTTTACGAAAGAATCAAAAACACAAAAACAAATCATTAGAATCATCATCGAATGAATTGGGTGGAGTTTCATTTGATGAGAGTCGAGTGATTCACAAACCACTCTCTGAATATTCTCAATTATTGAGTCGATATGCTACAGAAGGAGATGGAACTGCAAGAATGATGATGAATTCTATGAGTGAATTTGATTCAAGTGTTGCTGCGAATAATCATGTTGGAAGAATTCATTCAACGACCACACAAGATCAACGTCGAGGAGGATCATTCTTTCAAAAGAATAAGGGTGGAGCAAGCTTTCAAAAGAAGAAGAGAAAATTTTGAACACAGTAAATGTTCAACGTGATCATGATTTAACTGAATTTACTAGAGTGGTTTTTCGTTTGTTGTTTCTACAATTTTGAACTTGCAATTTCACGAAAGATTCCAATTTTTATTAACTTATTTTTGAAACCACAACGAGTTGGTCTCTCCATAGAACATGCAGAGCACGAGTCAGTTATTGGGTACCTTTTTCTTGAGTAACCTAACTGCAATTCACCCCAAAATCATTGGCAAGAAAATTGGTTGCTGGCTCAATTCCCAATACAATTCTTTTTTCTCTTTTTTAAAGAAAATGAAAACAACTCTTGTTCTTGTCGTAATTCTTCTCCTCGTATCAGCAATATTTTGGTCCGATGCAGTGGTATTAACATCCTCTTCCAATTCTATTAAAACCAACAAATTAACCATTCAAAATATTATTCACGGTGGTGACGACAGTAGTGTTGTTGGTGTAAATGCTCATCCAAAGTCCACCACCATGAAATGTGGGCCTCTTTGTCGAATGTATTGTAAATTTGGATTTGAAAAAGATGAAAGTGGATGTCCCTATTGTAAATGTAAATTAGGACCAAATGGAACTCGATTTTCATAGAGCTATATGGATGTGAACAAGGATGGTTGTTATCACTATAATTTTGAAATTTTGTGATGAGAATTAATAACATTATTGATACTTGTATCGTCAATCATTAAATGAATAATTAATAATTAAATGATGTTCTGATATAAAACAAAAAATGAAGCCGCCGAGTTCATTCAAGGTCTTTTCGGAATTACAAAACTCTGAAGCTCTTTCGGACAAGAACAAAACAAATACTACTGGTGATCGTGAGCACCCACAATCGGAATCAACTTCTCATACAACATCACAACTATTATCCATTTTAAAATTAATTTATCATTTCATTACCAAATATTTTCCAAAATTAATCACACTCGTGTTTGGATTGGTATTTATCAAATTGTACATTTCCAAACTATTTCCATCCTTTCAGGTATGGCGGAATTTTAGTAATAATTTTTCATCAGAAAATTCCTCTCCTCACCATCATGGTGGAATGATTTCACACACGTCACAAAATCCCTACTACAATTTCATTCCATCAAACTCCAATGACATTGCTCATGAAGTGAAAATGGAATTATATGGACATTATGTGAATCCAATTACTGGTTTACCTTCATTTCCAGACTATATTACACAAGATGAAATGCAATTAGAAGAATTACGAAGAATGGATGGAACCAATGATTGGATGAATACAAGTCATGTCAGGACAAGATCTTCAAGAAGATAGTTTTTTGTCCAAACACATGTGTCATTCAGTTCGAATCGTTGCTCTGCGAAGTCCTTCCGTGGTTTCCAAGAAGATTTTGTGGGCCGATAGTTTGTGCATTCTCAACGATGGATTGTTTTCAAAAGAACTTCCAAGTTTTGTTCTTGCGCACCTTTTCGAAGCGCGCACTTTTTATGGGCATTTTGTCGAGCTCGGAATGGTTTTTAAGGCTTTTTGCCATACGTTCTGAATTTCTTGAATAACAAAAAAAATACCAATCTTCAAGATTAGAAAAATCATTGAACATCATCATCATTAGATTGCTTCGGAATCATCATGTCTCTTCCTACTACTCAAAAATTATATAGAATCTTCAAAAGAGAAGGAATTGAAAATTTAGAATTACACTCCAATGAGCCTGTCCCACAAACTCTTCTCAGAAATCAAGTCCTCGTTCGCTTGAGAGCAGCCTCTCTCAATTTCCGTGATGTTCTTGTAGTAACAGGAAAATATCCATCCAATTTCCCTTCTGATGGATTAATTCCACTATCAGATGGTGCAGGAGAAGTGGTTGCCATCGGCGAGAATGTCAAGGAATTTAAAGTTGGTGATCGAGTCGCCGGAATCTTTACACAAGATTGGGTGAATGGTGAAATGAAAGATGAATACATGACCAATGTATTGGGAGGCAGTGCTCATGGAGTTCTCTCTCAATATCGTGTCTTTGAAAAGCATTCCATTGTTAAAATTCCTCAAATCTTGAGCTATGAAGAGGCTGCAACTTTGCCATGTGCTGCATTGACTGCATTCCATGCTCTCTATGAAAACGGAATTAAACCTGTTGGAGCAGGTCAAACTGTACTTGTGTTGGGAACTGGTGGTGTCTCTGTGTTTGCCATTCAATTTGCTCTTGCGTCTGGAGCAACTGTCATTGTCACTTCATCCAATGATGAGAAATTGAAGAAGGCAATTGAATTGGGAGCTCATCATACCATTAATTACAGTACAACACCAAATTGGGATGAAAAAGTAAGAGAATTAACGAATGGTAGAGGTAAGTGTTGATTTTGGCTTTTTTGTGCAATCAAAACCACTTTTAAAACCAAAACTATTAGGAGTCGATCATGTCATTGAGGTTGGTGGATCTGGTACCTTACAAAAGTCATTGAAAGCAGTTCGTAGAAATGGTCAAGTTCACATGATTGGTGTGCTATCCAAAAACACTGATCCAAACTTTGATGTTGGAATGCAAGTCTTGTTCGGAGGATCTATTCTTCGAGGATTTATTGTTGGATCAAGAGAAATGTTCGAGAATATGAATCGAGTGATTGAACAACATAAGATTCATCCTGTCGTTGATAAGGTCTTTAAGTTTGAAGAAGCAAAGGAAGCATTGCACCATTTGTTATCTCAAAAACATGTTGGAAAGGTTGTTATTTCCATTGAATAAAGTTATTAATATTGTTTTTCATTGCGTACAATCACAGCTTGGATATTCTATTAAGCAATTCGGTCGTATGATTTGAATTCTTAAACGAATGTCCAGATGTGCTGTCATTAGGCTCCTCATATTGTGTCAAGTAATTTCTAGCAAAGCGGTTGGAGTATTGTGTTAAAAAATCTACCACTCTGTTCTCCATGTCATAGTCATAATTCAATAGCGGTAAGGATTCGTGAACAATTCTAAGAAAATTAGAAAGAATTCTAAGAGTTAAACCCCAAAGCACAAATTTCAACTGAGGTTTTTGCAAATCAGAAATATGTTCCGTGTCATGAGGGTTCAATGGAATCTCAATACACGGAAAATTTACAACTAGTTTCTTAATCATATGATCCCCTAGTACTCTCTTTAATCTTGGAAATACTAAACCCATATGAAAAGATAGAGAATTTGTAATGGTCTTATTTCCAAATTCATCAACTTGAATAGTTTTAACTCGTTGTTGATTATTTGGGTTAGAAATAAATAGCTCCAAAGGAACCCATCGCAATCCACCCACTTCAGTTGGATTAATATTGTATTTCACATTACTGATTACTTGACTGTCATCTGTAACGGTATAATAATTCCATAAAAATACAAAACAGCTCACTGGTAAGTTTCCTTGAGCTAAATGATCATCCACTCTTCCGATATATTTTACATCAAAATTATCACCTCGTAAATTCACACCGATTTCTTCACAAGTTTCTCTCACTGCAGTGTCATAGAGATTGTTATCGACATTTTCTTCAAATTTTCCACCTGGAAAGCAAACATGTCCACTCCATACATCTCCATTTCTTTCTACTCTCTTCATGAATAACACTTCAAGTTTTTTGTTTTTTGGTTGAATTCGTAAATTTAAAGTCACAGCTGATTTTTTATGAGATAACTTGGAGAGAGGAAAAAGCAATGATTGAATGATTTTCGGTTTGTAATTTTCAAAAGAATGTATGATAGAGAGAAGCAATGATTGATTTAAATCATCAAGTAAGTGTATGGATGTAGTTATGAATGAAAGATCAACACCTGGTTCCGAAGAATTGACTGGAGACATTTTTTTTAAAACATACCTCACACCATCAGGTCGTACTAATTCATTCACATGTGAATAATAATTAAAAGTTAATTAATTATTTTATTAATTATTTACTTTTTAATTACTGGAAATCCATCAATGGATGTGAGTTGAGGCATAATGAGTACGAGTTTTCGCTTGTATTGAGGATCATCATAAATAGGATTGCTTCTAAAGTAAACGCTGGTGAGCTGTTTCAAAGGTGCTAGCTTCTCAACTTCTTTAAAGCTCGGTATTTGGTTATCATTGCACCAAAATTCTTCCAAAACAGTCAAATGAGAAAGATGATCAAGAGATTTGATAAAATTGTGAGCTAAATCCAATAGTACAAGGTTTGTTAAATGGTCAAGTCCTTCAATCACTTCAATACCATTTTCACTCAAATACAACTCCACCAATTGAGAGAGGGTATCGAGACGATGAATTTTTGTAATCCTATTACTCTGAATGCTTAATCGAGTCAAATTTACAAGAGTCTCTAAGCATTTAATTTCAGTAATTTTGTTCTTTCCGAGCCATAATTCTTTTAGTGTGGTGAAATTTTCTAAATGTTTGATTTCTCGCAATCGATTAGATCCCAATTCAAGTAACTCCAATGATGGAAGCTCTGTTTCGCCCTTTGTTGCCTCTTCTTCAATTTCTTTAATCTTGTTGTTGACATAGTATAATTGTCGTAACTTGGGAAGCTTCAATCCTTTAACCATATGACGCAACAAGTTAAAAGAGAGATCTAGATGTCTGAATTTTGAGAATGTTCGGAGTAGGCGATATGGAAAATGTTTGAAAAATTGATCGGCCAATGTCAATATTTAAAACCTACTCTAGATTTTTCAGAGAATTTAGTTCGGATGCGTCCACCCTCTTGATTTGATTTCCATATAAATCTAAATGTTTGAGAGATTCTAAATTCTTTAATCCCTCTACTTTTGTGATTAAATTTTGTCGAAGCAATAATGTTTCAAGGTTTTTCAACTGATCAAGATTTTCAATCTTTCTCAATCTACAATTGGTCAAATCCAAATACTGTAAATGCACACCAAGAGGATAACCATTTCCGATTTGTTCATGAGGATGATGTGCTAAGTCTAGCACTGGATTATCCCAATCAATTTCTAATTTTTCTCGTATTGGTGCAAAAGTTTCCGGTTCTTGATGATGAAGCTGTTCATGATTGCCCTCTCCGTCAGAATCAGAGTCTTCATCATGAATCATGTTGTTGTTGTTGTTTGTTAGGGCTTGGTGTGATGATTCACTCTCACCCAGAGGGTGTGTTTGGTTGCTCATCAAAATTTTTGTATGGGTCTTAAAATAGATGCCACCATCCAGCTAACAAAAAATTAACGCACACCTCATTTTTTAGAGGTTCTTCTTGCAAGCAGAAAAATCATCACGGTTAAAAAAATTGTACAACCGCTAGAGTCTTGCAACTGCCCACAACACACGCATCAACCACCCGATTTTGTTTTTTTATTTATTGTCATCATCCACGTCGTTCTCACGGAATTAAATATCGCGCGCCACAACACACACTCAAATATTTGTTCTAGAAAAAGATGGATCCAACAAAACCACTTTCTGCACAACAGCTTCACGCCTATATTAATTTGTTGAAGAAGATGAAGAGTGAAGGAAAGGACTTGAATGATCCGCAGTACAAGAACCTTCATCAGTTTTTAAAGGCACAAATGAGTAATCATAACATCCTCAAACAACAAAATCAACAAGTTGTGAATACAGTCATCCCGAATCCTGTACAGCCTCCTCTCACTTCAGCCAATGTGCAACAGTTTCAACAACAGCCACAAGTTCCTACTCCTCTCTTTTCTCCACAACAAAAGGAAAGGCTGAAAGCACAAATCTTTGCTTTCAAGCACCACATTTCGAAGCGAGAACCTCTTCCGCCATCCTTGCAACAGGCTGTGATGGGAATTAATGTTGAGAATAATTTGAAGGAGTATGAAGCCTCTTACTTGAACCCATCAGGAAAGACTGCTCCTCAAGTCCCACCCCCAACCACTCAACCACAGCCTAACAACAATGTTGTGGTTCCATCACAACTTTCAGTTTCCCAGCCACCTCGCGTTTTACCATCAGCTGTTGCTGCCAATGCGACATTTAATGCTGCCGTATCAGGCACTGTTACCAATCCATCAGTACCTGCTACGAGCAATCAGCCATCGATGAGCACTAAGGTTTTAGATTCCAAGATAAATCCAGATACAGCTCACCAGAGACAACAAGGCTTGGATCTTCAAACATTGTACAGAGAAAGAGAGAAGAGAATTCAAAACAAGATGAAGAGAAAGTTTGATTATCTCAAATCATCATTGAATACCTTACCTTCATCTGAACAGCTGAGATCTGTGATAGAAATTAAGCAATTCCAATTGCTCAAACAGCAAAAAGAGCTAAGAGCTGACATTATCCGCCAATTAAAAACACAAGCCGCTACTCCCATAGTAGATACTCATGTTGCAAGAGCGAGTCAAATGGCTACTGACCAATCATTGACAAAGAAGAACAAAACACAACAAAAGACGAAGGAAAAGACTTCGATCAGATCGAAGAAATTCTTTACAGACTTGACAAATGCAAGAAAAAGAATTAAGGATTACTACAAGAATGATGTTAAAAAGCCTGTTGAAAAACTCAATAAGGATCTCGTGACTTTCTTTGAAAAGAAAGCCAAACAAGAAAAGGAAAAAAAGGCAAGAGCTGAAAAGGCCAGATTGAAAGCCTTGAAGGAAAATGACGAAGAGGCTTACTTCAAATTATTAGAACAAACCAAAGAAGGTAGATTGACAGAACTACTTAAACAAACCGATCAATGTTTGAAGAGTTTAGGAGCTTCTTTGGTCTCAGGAAGAGATGGAGAACATGAACCTGAACTCGAGCTTGATGAAGTGGAAGACGGTGAAAAGAATATTTTCAAAAAGTTCTTGCTCAATCAAAACAATTACTACAAAGTTGCTCACAGATTGGTAGAAAAGGTTGAAAAACAGCCTTCCATTCTAGTTGGAGGAGGATTGAAGGCATATCAATTACAGGGTCTTCAATGGCTTGTTTCTCTCTACAACAACAAAATTAACGGCATTTTGGCAGATGAAATGGGTTTGGGTAAGACCATTCAAACAATTTCGCTCCTTTCCTATCTTTATGAATTCAAAAATAACAAGGGTCCTCATTTAGTGATTGTACCATTATCTACAATTGACAACTGGGCTTTGGAATTTGAAAAATGGTGTCCAACACTCAAATTGGTTAGATATGGAGGTGATAAGAATCAAAGAAAACAAGTGCAAAGCACTTACCTCAAGACCAGAGATTTCCAAGTCCTTCTCACACAATATGAATATATTACAAGAGAAAAAACCATTCTTAAAAAAATACCATGGAACTACATTATTATGGACGAAGGCCATAGAATCAAAAATTCTGACTGTAAATTAGTGAAGGCATTAATGGAATATAGCTCCAAATACAGAGTACTCCTTACAGGTACTCCTCTCCAAAACGATTTGAAGGAATTGTGGGCCTTACTAAACTTTTTGCTGCCAAAGATTTTCGATAGCTCAGTCAACTTTGAAAATTGGTTCAACTCTCCTTTTGGTGGTGATAAGGCTGAAATGACAGAAGAAGAAAAACTCCTCATTATTCACAGACTTCACCAAGTACTTCGTCCTTTCCTTTTGAGAAGAGAAAAAACGGATGTCGAAGAGCAACTTCCAGAAAAATCTGAAAAGATTATTTACATTGATCTATCGGCAATGCAAAAGAAGATGTACACTGACATTCAAGATAAGAACAAACTTAATGTCAACGGAAAGAGACTTAAAATGCAATCTCTAAGCAATACAGTCATGCAGCTAAGAAAGGTTTGCAACCATCCATTCTTGTTCTTTACAGGCTCAGAAGAGTTGAACGCTTTGTCTGACGAAAAGTATTATGAAATGATGACTAAATGTTCCGGAAAGTTTGAACTCTTGGACAGAATTCTTCCCAAGTTTAAAAAGACTGGTCACAGAGTTTTATTGTTCTCTCAAATGACCAGCGTGCTAGATTTGATGGAAGAATTTCTCACTCAGAAAAGTTATCAATACTTGAGACTTGATGGAGCTGTTAAAGCCTCAGAAAGAGGCGATTTGGTCAAAAAGTGGAATGAAAAGGATTCTCAATATTTTGTTTTCCTTCTCAGTACTCGTTCAGGTGGTTTGGGACTTAACCTTCAAACTGCAGACACAGTGATCATGTTCGATTCTGACTGGAATCCTCAACAAGATTTACAAGCTATGGCAAGAGCTCACCGTATTGGTCAAACTAAATCTGTGTTGGTACTTACGTTTGTCACACGTACTCCAGTTGAAGAAAAGATTAGAGAACGTGCTCAAGCAAAACGTGACGCTGAGGCTAAGGTCATTAAGGCAGGTAAATTCAACCAAAAATCTACTATCATGGAAAGAAACGAAATGCTTGAGACTCTACTTAAGAAAGCCAGCGATTTCGAAAGTGTACACGAAGCACCTAACGATGAACAATTGAATAACATGTTGGCTAGAAATGATGACGAATTTGAAATTTTCCAAAACATGGACAAAGAGCGAGAACAAGAAGATTTGAAACAGCATGGACGTGTTCCAAATCGCTTGATGAGTGAGGAGGAACTCCCTGAATGGATTAAGGACAAGGAGGTTGAGGAAGGCGAAGCTGAAGAAGTAGAATATGGTCGAGGTAGAAGATCAAGAGGTGACATTAACTATGAAGGAGGTAGCGGTGATGAAATGGAGGATGAAGAAGAAGACAACGCTGCTGTACCAGAAGAGGAAGACGAGGACGAACAGGCCGAAGAGGAGGAAGACGAAGAGGAAGAGGGTACCAAAAAGAGAAAGCGAAGATCTGCCAAGAAGGAAGAGTCTTCCAAAAAGAAGAAGACAACTGCAAAGAGTAATGGTAAAAGAAAGAAGGCCCAAGAAGAGGAAGAAGAAGAAGAAGAAGAGGACGAGGGAGAGAACGAGGACATAGAACCTGAAGACTTGATGAACACTATTGGTTATTCTTTTGACAATACTCCTTATCAAGAAGTGTACAACAAATTGGGAACAGGACTTCAACAAAGATTATACTCAATTTTCATAGAAATTGCCACTAAACTTGACGAAGAAGATGGCAGGGCGTTGGCATTACCTTTCTTGGAACTTCCGGACAGAAAAGATTTTCCTGACTATTACGATCTTATACACACGCCAATTTGTCTGAACGACATCGACAAGAAAATACGAAATGGCATTTACAAACGCGTCGAGGATATGGAACAAGATATTCAAACATTGGTTGGGAATGCTCAAACTTATAATCAAGAAGGGTCTGCAATTTACCAAGATGCTGAAATGATTAGACAAATTTTCACAAGTAGAAAGAATGGAAGTCAGTAAGGATGTACAAATTAAAATTATTCCTTCATGTATCCAACTCTTTGAACTTGTTTCTTTACGTCAACAATTAAAACACTGTTTTATTCTTTTCTGGAGTTGTGACCATGTCATGAAGCTCATCGTCATTGATCAGCTCCCATGTCATCTCTGCTTCAGGATTGTTTGCAAGATAGTGATCTTTAAAACTCTCGAACGTCTCCATTAACCCTTCACTGAACTTGGGCCTGGGGAATGCTCTGACTTTGGAGTCTTTAACAGCAGCTAAAAACCGAGCGTAACCATGTTTGTTTTTCGAATTCAGGATCTTCTTGATGACGAATGCAGATTGCACTTTCAATTCTACAAACGAAACAACAGTAACTTTGCATGCATGCTCAGCTGAACCAAATGATTCAGAGCTCTCTGAAGAGTCATCCTCCTCCGTGACAGAACTTTGTCTTCTACTATCACCGTAATTGTTGGAAAATGAGCCAGAGCTTGAAGCTGCGTTCTGTCCATCCAATGAGCTAATCGATGATGAGCTAGAGCTAGGATTGTTTTTCAGAGATGATATACTTTTTCTCTTCAATTCCTTTTGTTTTGTGATCTGGGCGTTGAGTGGACAATCTTGCATGAATGTTGATGATAGAATTTTAAAGCGTATGTGTGACTTTCGATTAGGAACGAGCAATGACTCTGTAGACTTGAGCATGACTCCATACGTCTGTCTTTTTGTGTCATAGATAGTTGTAAGAGCAGCTACTGTCTCACGTGGTTTCATAATCCAACTGAAACCTTTCATTTGCATCTGAATATGGAGTATAGATTGAGCATACTTGTTATTAGGAGAAATTGGATTGAAATCTACTTGATTGATGCTCTCAACATCTAAAATTTCTTTCCTCAAATGTGTATGTGCAAAAACGTTGAACGCTTCCTCTTTCTTACAAGGAACAATAAAGATTTGTTTCATTAATTTTCCAGTCATTTTCTCTTCACACTCTAATTGGTCATTGAGACAAAACTCTTTTTTAGAAAGATAGCAAGCTCTTCTTCCATCATCTCCGACCTTCACTTCATCCCACACATCCAAGTCATCGTTAAAACTCATGAATGAGAAGAATTGAATATCTCTATCACATATTGGACCATCAAACTTGGGAATAAAGTCCATATATTTGTTGTTTTTTTTGGTGGCAATCATTGAAATGAAAGAGATATCTTTGTGTTTGAGAAAGTTTTTGAATTGTTGTGATGTAGTGAACCGAGGATAATTATCGTTTTTCAAATTATAAAAGATAGAGGATTGTATCTCATCAAAAATGTTGTCCTGAATTAAAACGGCCTTTTCGTTTTGCAGTTGACCTGACTGCTCAAAGGCTTTGACTGCATTTTGTCTGAACTGAGAGGAAATGTTAATTTCATGAGGACTATAGGGTAAAATGTAATTCTTGAATATAGCGATGGCTTTCTTTGCTTTGTTTTCTTCAAATTTCAATCGTTTATACTCTTCAACATCTTCATAGAATAAGAATGGCTCTTCGTTGTGTTCTTTTTTCAAATATTGTCTGAATTCTTCTTTTGCTTCCGAAACATCAAAGATGGCTTCAAATGGAAAATCATACAATTGATAGATTTGTTCAATGTCAATATTTGAATGGTTTCTGCGATGATGGCCATGATGACCGTGATGATGTGGTTGATGATGGTGGTGCATTTTTTTATGAGTGCACTAACGGTTGTCGGTTGACCATGGATTGGATGACAATCCCAAACGACGTTCTTTTTTCTAAAAGCGTCAATCAAAATGTTGTGATACGCAATCCAAGAGAGCAAGATTGATTCTTCTTTTATTTTTATCCTCCGTTGTGCACAATTTCCTAAATGCCGATGACAAGATTTTGGTTGGTGCACGCACACACGCGCACACACACATTGAAACACATTAATGATCATTGTGTGCAACAATTTCATGAAGCATATCATCTTCTTCGTCTTGTAATTCCCATGTCATTTCAGTTTCTTTTGAATCATTCGATAAATAATATTCCTTAAATGCATCGAGTGTATCCAAAACTCCCTCACTGAACTTGGCACGAGGAAATCCAAGAGATCGACTCTCTTTGATTGCATTCAATAATCGAGTATAGACGAGCTTATTCTTGGTTTTGAAGAGTTTCTTTTTCACTGTCTCTGAAGGTATTTTGAGATCCAAAAAGGAGGTAAAGACTAATTTACAGGCATGTTCTGCAGATGAACCAAAAGAGGAATCAGAAGAGGACGAGCTGCTACGTAAATCATCCAATGTATCACCATGATTCTTTTCAGAAGGAGTGGTTGTAGTCGATGATAGCGATGGTTGTGAGAGTGATGATGATGAACTGCCACTACTATTACTAGTACTCGTACTCTTCTTGTTGGATGATTTCTTTAAAGAGGATTCACTGGATTGTTTTTTAAGAATCTTGTGACTTGTAATGGTAGTACTGGTTGGACAATCAGTAAAGAACGCTGCATTCAATACTCGAATTCTGACATGAGATTTACGAATCGGTACCATGACAGTTTCAGTCGATTTCATAATAAAGCCTAAACTCTCTCTCTTTGTATCATAGACACAAGTAATTGCGGCCACTGCTTCACGTGGTTTCAAAATCCAACTAAAACCTTTCATTTGAAGTTGCATTTGAAGAATGGTTTGAGCATACTTGTTATTCTTGGAAATTGGAGTATAATCTACTTGATTAATACTTTCAATATCTAAAATTTCTTTCCTCAAATGTGTATGAGAAAATACATTAAACGCTTCCTCTTTCGTACATGGAACAATGAATTTCATTTTCATTATTTTACCATTCATGTTTTCTGATTGACCCAAACGATCATTAAAATAAAATTCCTTTTTCGATTGATAGCAGGCACAACGAGCATCTTTGGAAACTGAAATTTCGTCCCACACATCCAAGTCATCATTAAAACCCATGAATGAGAAGAATTGGATATCTCTATCACAAATGAGGCCTTCAATTTTTGGCACATATTTCATATAGGTCGTGTTTTTCTTGATGGCAATCGATGATACAAATGCAATGTCTTTGTGTTTGAGAAAGTTTTTGAATTGTTGTGATGTAGTGAACCGAGGATAATTATCGTTTTTCAAATTATAAAAGATGGCTAATTGAATTTCATCGAATACATTCTCGGAAACGAGCATGGCCTTATCGTTTTGCAGTTGAGCGGATTGTTCAAAGGCTTTGACTGCATTTTGTCTGTGTTGAGCGGAAATATTCACTTCATGAGGACTATTGGGTAATAGATAGGTTTTAAATATAGAGATGGCTTTCTTTGCTTTGTTTTCTTCAAATTTCGAGGACATACCTTTTAGCACCTTACACCTTACACTTTAGTGCCGTTTGCAATGGCACGTAGTCCCAAAAAGGAGATACAAATAGCACTTAACACTGGAGTGCCAAATGCAAACAGCACCTGACACTTGAGTGCCGAGTGTCATCAGCACCTGTATATTTTTTAATTTATTTAAATATTATTTTGAAATTACAAACCTCCGTCTTCACGGTTGTGAGCAACGGGCCTCAAAATTCTCTTCACTACACAATCATCATCGAGTATAGGAAACAGCATCACGAACGCAATTTTTGGACAATTCGTCTGACAACGACAATACCAAATGATCATCTACGAAATTTAGTTTATGGAGGGAAGAATAGACTCACGCTCATTTTCTAAGGTGAAGCGTTGTGAGGCAAGTGGTTCAAATAATGTTCCACCGTTCAGCACCTGTTTTCTGAGTTGATGTTGCGCCATACAACACGGCGTTGAAAGAGATTGAGATGAAGTTGTCGAACAGGATGTCAGAGCTTGCTGAATGAACTTGAGAGACGATTTATGTTGAGGAAAAACACTTGCAGTACATGTAGGAAAACATTTTCATTTGGTTCAACAGGGGAGTGAAACTTGCCAGCTTTTCTTCATAGTGACATGTACTTTTGTTCAATTGTTACAAAAACGGTGAGAAGAACAAGAGAATGGTGCTCAACACTGTTGTTGGCTGATGTAATCGAATTTGAGTGATTTGGGAATGACGGTAACAGCAAAAGTCAAGCTGAAGCAATCAGAAGGGTACAATTAAGGGAACTGGAATCAGTTTTTGTTTCGTAGTCATACTTCTTAACGGCTGAGTCTATCATCATGAATGAAAGGTTAACATATCATCTTTTGTGCCTCCCAACTCCTTTCATACGAAGGTCCAAGCTAACATACGAAAGGAAAGTAGATGCATGAGATTAAATCATGCCTTTTTTTTGTTTGATAGATTCGTTTGAACACGAAGTAGAATGGTTAGGTTCACAAACTAGTACCTCCATTTCAATCAACATCCATTTCGCACCTTACACTCAAGTGTCAAATACAAATAGCACCTTACACTCAAGTGTCAAATACAAATCACACTTCATTCATTTGGCACTCAAGTGTCAAATGCAAACAGCACTGACACTAAGTGTAAGGTGTAAGGTGCCAAAATATAACAACTCTCAAATTTCAATCGTTTATACTCTTCAACATCTTCATAGAATAAGAATGGTTCTTCGTTGTGTTCTTTTTTCAAATATTGTCTGAATTCTTCTTTTGCTTCTGAAACATCAAAGATGGCTTCAAATGGAAAATCATACAATTGATAGATTTGATCAATATTTAGACTCTGATTTTTGTGAAGATGATGATGGTGGAGTTTCATTGGATGTCGTTGATAATGATGATGATGGTGTGAAAGTTGTCAACTGACAGATCAGTATGTGTGACGGACAAATTGTTGGTCTCTAGTAAGAATTGATGATGACAATTTTTTTACAACGATGGAAAATCATTAGATATGTTTGTGTTGTCATACGGAAGAGCTTGAGTTGTTCAAGTAAATATAAAAGTTCGTTTTCGCTTCGAATACGAGCTGGAAGTTTACACATGAAACAACGCCTTGATGAAAAGCCGAAATTAATTTTGAATAAATAAAAAAAATGTCTTCATCATCAAGCGACGGACAGAAAAGTATTCACGAAGGCTTGGAGTCATCGGATAACATCTTCTCATATATTCTTGCATTACCACCTTCCGAGTTGGACGCCTTGTATGATCATACTTGGACGTGCAAAGCTGTGTTCAGATTTCTTTCCGATGTTGCAAAGCAATATGTGATGAGAATGTTGTTTTGCGCAGAAATACCTCGAAAGCAAATACAATTGGATGTACCAAAAAAATTAACCAATTTATCTGGATATTTGGATAGTAGCGGAGGATCAAAGAAAAATCAAGAGCAAGATCAAAAAGCACTTTTAAAGCAAATTCAAGATGCGCACGAAAGTGCTTTAGCTCAATTGATAAAATATAGAATTATTAGCCTTGTGTACAGCGACACACACAAGGAAGAGTTTTTTGTCATGAATAACCATTTCCAACAAACATTCAGAAAATTAGTAACCAGTACTACTCATAGCTTGGTACCTACAGCTTCTCATAGCCACCATCATCACAAGAAAAATAGAGAATCAAAAGAAAACGCAGATCACATGACTGATGAGGGTGATCATCACGAACAAAACAATGCCGAATCTGAGTTGGAGCCAAAGAAGAAGAAGCGAAAAAAGCACAAACCCAAAGATTTAGATCCTGAGTTTCTTCAAGACTACTCTAAGAGAAAATGGGAAAATGTTTTATTGTATCTTGTTGGAACTGCAGTTGAAACAGAGCAATCCTTTTCAGAAAATGTTAAAGAACTGCTCAAATGCTCTCAGCTGATCAAAAGATCACAGTCAGTTAAAATCACAAACGAAGGTTTTCAATTTCTCCTTCAAGAAACTAAAGTTCAAGTTTGGAAGCTTTTAAAGCAATACTTGGAAACAGCACAAGGAAGAAATCAAAGCAAGAATGAAATCCTTAACTTTATTTTTGAGTTGGGATTTTTAGAAATTGGAAAAGAATACAGTAGTAAGGAATTAACACCAACTCAAAAAAGTGTACTAGTAGATTTTAATGACCTGGGTATAATTTATCTTCCAAGAGACAAGAAGAAGAGAATTAAGGATAAATATTACTTTCCAACCCCATTAGCTAAGAACTTGACAATATCCGTTTCAACCAGTTATGACACGGTCACCTCGTTTGGAGTTTCAAATAAGGAGACGGGAAGCGGTTACATTATTGTAGAAACTAATTACCGAGTATATGCCTACACCAATTCTCCTCTGCAAATTGCTCTCCTTTCATTATTCATTTTCCCAGAATATCGTCTTCCAAATCTAATTGTTGGACTTATCACCAGAGCTACCATCAGAGAAGCCCTTAAGAATGGAATTACAGCTCATCAAATTTTGCAATTTTTAAGATTGAATGCCCACCCTATTATGAGGCAGAAAAAACCAGTTGTTCCAGATACTGTTTCAGATCAAATTATTTTGTGGGAAAAGGAAAGAAACAGATTGAAGAAGACACAAAGTGTTGTTTATGACAAATTTACAAGCATCAAAGACTTGGAGAACACCATTGAATATGCCAAGAGTATTGGTGCATTGTTGTGGAGCAGTACTGAGCAGATGATGCTTATTTGCAGAAGGGATAAGCATGAATTGATGAAAAAGTTCATCTCCACTCACACACATTAAATTTGTGTTGGTTGCAGTAAAAGGTGGAGGTCTCTTCTTTCCCCTGCGCAAACACACCATCCAAAATTTGAAGTTCAAAAAAAATACAGGGATGGGTTTATTGAAGAATAAACAAATTATAGGTACTCAATTGTCCGACGAGAGTGTGTCTAATGGGTGTGTATGTGTGGGGTTTAAATGTTGTCGGAGTTGAGTTCGCCAAGCTGATTGCTACATGTTTCCCAAGCAGTTGCAAATTTTGCAGTTTTGGGTTTAATTATATATCCTCTAGCCTTCTTGAGTACAGTAGAACTGTTCCAAGTGGCGTTTTTGTAACAACTGCCAACATAAGCAGCGAATGAGAGATATATTTCATTTAGCCAATCAGTCAAGGCTGGGGGAGATAGGTCTAGTTGTTGGAGAGATTCGTCTTTGATACTACCATTCCACTCCATTGGAATACAAGAGAGAGAATGGTTAGAGGGAAGTCTGACAAGCGGGGCGTTGAATTTGAGGGAACTATTGTCCCATTTTGTGTATAATGATTTGATTTCTGGGCTACACATGGCGCATGAGGTGAATACATGTTCCCAGTTGGCTTTGGTGTTGCAAATGTGGCAATTAGGGTAATCTTTTCCGAAATTTCTAAGGATTTCTGCTTTGTGCAGGTGAGCAAATAACAGTCGTTGCTGGAATGGTTTGAGTGAATAATTGTTCCAAAAGGAGATGGTACATGGATGCCAGATTCTATTATGGTCTAAGGTTCCAAGGCCAGAAATGCTCATGGTTGATCTATCACTGTTTAGCAATTCAGTTCTAGGGTCGACAGGGGTTTCGTATTCATTGACAAATGAATATCGTTCATCAATGTATTGGAGAGACCAATTATTTTGAGCAGCAATATTTTTCACGTGGTTCCAAAATGGTTCGTTAAAAGTAGTATCTTTCCAAGCAGCCAAAGCTATATTTTTGGTGATGGAGGATGAGGAATTGAATAATCTAACTGCTGTGCAAATAGGTTCAATAGAGAATAAAATAGAGGGGCGAGTAATACCAAGACCCCCAATTTGTTTGCAATTAAAAACGACTGATTTTGATAATGTGTAATCTAATCCAATAGCCTTTCTGATAAAATTAGCAACCATAATATCTGCTTTGTCTAGAGAATTCTTACTGATTCCATTGAAGCTACAGGCATATCTAGGCAATGATATAATTTTAGACATAATTGTAGTGGTGATACTGTTGAGATATAGATTAGAAGTTTTAGCTGATGCAAGTCGATTCGAGATTTTGTTGACTGGGTTATCAGAGGACCAAGAAAGATTATCCTTAAAGGTACATATACCCCCAAGGTATTCAATAGAAGTAGACGAGGCAATTGTATCCTGTCCAATAGTGACTAGGGCTTTAGATAGTTTAGATTTAGCTGTAATAGCTAAGAGCTTGCATTTCTTGGGAGCTAAAGCGAGTCCTATTTTCTTTAACTCTCGGCCGAGGCTTTTAAGAGAGGAATTCATTTCAATCTTAGTATTAGCTATCAATAAAATATCATCGGCATATAATAATAAAAGGATAGTAATATCAAATATTTGGACTCCTTTTAGTTTTTCTTGTATATTAGTTGAGGAGTTAATATAGAGATTAAACCATGCTGGACTTGAAGGGTCGCCTTGTGGGACTCCAACATTCGCATCGAAAGGGGAGGATAGGAATCCGTTAACTAGTACTTTCATAACGCTATTGGAAATCATGGATGTCAAGAGATTAATGACAGAGCTACGGAAACCATGTTTTTTGAGAATGCTGATAAATCTTTTATGGATTACTGATCCATAAGCATTTTTGATATCTAAAGCCATAGCGAATACTTCTTGTTTGTGCTGACATTTGTATGCTAGGGCAGTCCGAAGATTGATAAGGTGCTCTAATGTTGAGCCTTTTTTCATGAATCCTCGCTGAGCAGTATGGATTAAATTAGCCTCTTCAAGGATATTCATGAATTGTTTGTTGATAATAGAAGAAAATAGGCGATAGATCACAGATAATACTACTATAGGTCTAAAGTCTGATAATTTTGTAGGCATATTGACTTTGGGTAATGGGAGTAGAATACCAATACCCAATTCTTTAGGAACCATTTCACTGTCAATTGTGTGATTGATACATTTTGCAAGTACTTGGAGCGAATTGTTGTCTAGAATTTTCAACAACGGCACCGAGATATTATCATAGCCAGCCATGGAATTTTTTGTTTTAGAAATAACTTTACCCAACTCTTTGGCAGTGATATGTTGGAATTTCCATTGGGCTACAGTATTATTTTTCTTGATTTCCGGAAGGGTTTTAGTCACTTCTTGTTCTGTGTTAAACATGGCTGAAAAATGATCTACAATTATCGAGTTATGGTTACTTTGGACTACATTGAGTATAGAAGAACTGACTAATTCTTTTCTGAAGGCATAGGAGTACGGTTGTTTAGAGCTAAGATTGTTAATTCTATTCACGAAGACCCGTTTACGGTCAGCCAATAGAGATCCAATAAGCTTGTTAAGCGAGGCTTTAGCTTCCTCTAATTTAGCCTTAATATTGTTGAGGCTAAAATTATTATTCAAGAACTGGCTGGTGACAGTAGAGACATATTTACGCTTATAAAGATACTGTTTCAAATCAAAAATGATCGTCTGAAATTGTCTAACATTACGATTATCAGTAATCAATGAAGGCTTGTCGGTGCTAGGAGAGCCATATTTCTTCACAATTTTAGCAAGGGTATTTTGGGCTTCTAAGAGAGTGCTAGGGTTGTCCATAGCAAAATCGTTATTAATTTCCTTCATCTTGGATTGCAGAGTTTTAGGATGAATAATATATTTGTTGAACTTTTCTGGGAAGTCTAAAATAGGGTTACTGGGAAAGGAGATAGTTAAAAGTTTGTGAGAATAAGCAGTAGAAACATCATCTACATTAGAATAATCATTGTGGGAAGTAATAATATGGTCCGGGCGAGAAAAACCATGAGAGTATTTGTTGCGTTGAGAGAACGAAGGTGTGTTTGGAATGGGAACAACATCAAAGAGCTTCAATTTGTCACATTGGTCAATTAATAGTCGCTCATGGGCAGCATAGGATACCTTATTGAATGTTTTAGTATTGGCATTCAAGTCTCCCAATATGACAATACGTTCACCATGCAAGACCGCTGTTTGAGCAGCAATGTTGATAATATTGAGAGCCTTATTCATGAATTCTAATTTGTTTTTGTTAGCCGGGCCATACCAATTGAAAATACGGACCACACCTAGGCATTTATGTTCCAAAATGACTTCTGATAGTCTGCCTTGAATATGCTCGATGAATTGGAGTACCTTAATAAAAGGTGACGGTTTGACAATAGTAGCAATTCCTGCTCCATTATCTCCCTCGGTGGCGTTGGAAGTATAGACTAAGTAGCCACGAAAGAAGGACCTGAAATACCATACATTCCAATAGTCTTCCGTACTGGATTTTAAATGAGTTTCCTGGATATTAAGGATATCCAGTTCATATTTTCGGGCTAGGGTAAGTAATTGAGATTGTTTTACCCAGCCAACTCCTCCGAAATTAGCAGTACCTAAATTGAAGGAGTTTCTTATAGAATGAGAGGCCATTAAAGGGAATGTCGGCCCTTCTTATGCCCACTTTTACTCTTGCGAGTAGTAGTGCCTAAGAGAGCGTTGACTTTTTGGTTAATTTCTTCAATAGCTTTGTTGATCTTATTAAAGCCTTCAGTGACCTTTTTTCCAGACCAGACAGCCATTTCCTTTGTCAATTTTTGGAGAGCTGATGACATTTCAGACATTTGTTTTTCAACAGCTTCCATTCTGTGACTGATGGAGTTGGCAACTCTAGTAGAGAATGAGAGGTTTCTGAAACTATGATTTCCAACTTGGACGAACTTGGTAATGTTATTGGTGATTTGATCCTTTTTGACACCAACAACAGCCACCTTATTAGCCAACTCGATACTCTCAATCTTGACTTTCCATTGGGAACTAATGGCACCCTTGAGTTTAGGAAGATCTTTTTCTTTACCGTTAAAGGCGATACGGAAACGAGAGATATCTGTTCTCATTTTGGAAAGCTTAAATTTCTTCAAATGATTGGCTGGTAATTCAATATTAGTACCAATAGCCCAAAACTCTTGATCATCTATCTTGCTAAAATTGATGTTGTTGATAGAAGTACCAAGAGTTGAGATAATAGAGTGCATATTAGTCTTATCTAAGTCTTTGTCGACCTTATAACGGAATGACGTTTTGACGGTTTGAGGAATCATGGTTAGCTTGGACTTAGCACCAGAAGATATTGCTTGGTTTGCCAATTTGCGCGACTTGAAGAAGAGAATAATGCACTCCAATTCACTGACAACTCTACTACCGTACAACGCATCGGCATTCATTGCGACGGTTGCAAGGACTTCTTCGACAGAGTTGGTAGTAAAGGCCACCACTCTGAAGAGTTTATGATGTCGCTTCAGTTTGGTAGAATGGTCGTCGGTCATGGCCGAGGTACTAAAAACTGAGACGCCAGAGGTTGTAGTAATATTAGAGACCTCCGGTTGCGACAACATAGGAGAGTTGCATACAGTGCTGGGTTGTATTACCGACAAATTGGCTATATTGACGGAGGACGGAGTTTCTAAAATTTCGTTTTCCATCTCCTCTCTCAATTTATCATGTGCCGATTTTTGAGCAGAGAGAGATTTGTTTGCAGTATGCGGGCGATCAGCGACCTCTTTGATAGAGGCGTGATGGCGAAGGTGATAAGTGTCTTCATCGCCGAGGGCGGTTTGGTTTTCAGACATTTTTTCGAAGACCTTGAAGTTCAAAAAAAATGATCACCAACCCAACACCCGAATCGGAGCAACAACGTAACGTCTGGGCATCCATGGACGATGCTCCAGAAGAAAGCACAAACAACAACAATACAGAACAACAATTTCAAAATGCCAAGACAGGTAAAATTAAACGAAAGCTTTATGCTCTCAAAAAGACAAGAAATGAACCCTATGATACATCTATGGCCGATGCTTCGTCATCGACTTCGGCTCCATCAAGCAATTTTGAAGAGGAGGAAACGTTGCAAGTGGCCGACTCGTCCAATAATCAAACTGAAGAGAAAGGCTCATCATCGAGAAAGAAAAAGCATCAACACCACCATAAATCCACTCCAGCTCAAAAAAGCAATTACGTTGCTGTCCGTATTGCAAGTAACCGTTTCACTGCTCTCAAAACCGAATGGGAGTCCATATATACACCAATTGTAGAGAAGTTGCATTTACAAGTGAGAGTGAATACTAAGCAACAAAAGGTTGAGATCCGAATTCCACCAAAGAAAGAGACCATGTCAACAACAGAGGAAGAAGATGACACCGAAGAAAATGAATCATTGAAAAACTTGACAAAGGCTAGAGATTTTGTTCAGGCCTTCATGCTTGGTTTTGCTGTAGAAGATGCTTTAGCTCTCTTACGGTTAGACGATATTTATATTGAATCATTTGACGTCAAGGACGTGAAACGTTCATTACAGGGAGACCATTTGAGCAGAGCTATTGCTCGTATTGCTGGTAAAGGAGGTGCAGTGAAATTTACAATTGAAAACGCCACAAAAACTCGTATTGTTGTGGCTGACGCTCGTATTCATGTGATGGGATCATTTGCAAATATTCAACTTGCTAGAAGCGCAATTGTTGATTTGATTTTAGGTTCTCCTCCTGGAGTTGTTTACAATCGTCTGAGAGTGGTGAGTCAACGACTGAAAGAACAATTTTAAACAGTTGAACACCCATAAACTTTTGTGACAAGTAGAACCCCTATTATATTTTCATGCAAACTAGTACGAATTTACTCGAGCTTGTAACTCACACAGATGAGTAAAACATTTTCAAATCCATCCATCAATGCATTTTTCTATTTTTTAGCCTTCTTGTTTGAAGATTCCCCAGTGGTCTCCTCATCTTCTGTTGAGCTGGAGGAACTTGGGGCCTCCTTTCTCTTCTTTTCAGTACCCAACCAGTCGATCTCTTCATGACCAAGCTTTTTAAGTGCTTCATTCACCTTTGTGAAGCTTTGAACATCATTGAAGCTCTCTACTGCAGGATGATTTGCTTCAACAAATTCTACCTTCTTGGTTCCTTTTTTAGCCACCTTATTAATCATGGTCTTGTTTCAAAATTAAATTGAACAATTACAATGCTGGCATGAAGCAACAACTTACTTTTAACTTTTTGGCATTTCCTCCCCATAACACAAATACCAAGCCCTTAGTGGATTCTTTGACAAGTGTTTCAACAATTCCCTCAACAATTGGTGCCCAGAATTTGGTATGTTTGTTGAGCTCATTCTTATCAGTGCCACTAAATGTCAATGCTGTATTGAGCCACAATACATTTTGTTTCATGGTGTATTCAAACCAATCGGGTGGATCCAATAACTTGAGTTTGGCAATTTGTTTTCTCATTGTTTCCACTTTATCACTTGAGTTCAAATGTCCAGTACCAATTAAAACATTCTTGACGATATTTCTGAAACTTGGGGACATGGCATCCGTCCACTTTTTGATCTGACCGTCATAAAAAGCAATACCAATTGCACTTTCTTCTCTTGGATAGGGGTCTGCATTCATCATGGGATAAACAACATGAAATAATTAAAAATATTGAATTTAAAGAAAACATGAACAACATATGAATACACTGCATACCTTGACCGAAAATGACAACTTTACATTCCGAAACAGAACTCATCTCGTTGAGTGCTCGAAATGTATTTTCCAATTTGGGAATAATATTAGAATCTCTGTTTTTTCCGAGAAATTTTTCTACATCGGGCTGTTTTTTGATAATATCAGGCAAATTAGTTGATCTCCATGATTCATTCAACAACAATTCCATGTCAACGTTTGATGACGAAGCAGACATTTTTTTTGTGATGGTTTGGGGAAAGAAATTCCTCTTCGTAATGGAAAATAATGTTGATGATGAAACGTGAAGTAAACGTCCTTGAACGTTTTGATCATGTGGGCAGAGAAGTGAAAAGATTTTCAATAAATTGCCTTTGGATGGTTTTATCATTGAAAATATTTTTATTGATTGAATTGATCGAAAAGAGAAGGTTTCCAAACATCACTGGAAAAAATGCCTTTATTACTCGAACATCGTTCTGCCATCCCTTCTTCTCTCTACACTCTATTGATAGGAAGTGGTGTTGATAGTGTGGAAGAAGTTGTGTTTTCAAACATTGGCAATTTATTGAAAAAGATTTCCCGATTTTATGCATCATCAATATACGAAAAAGGAAACCGAAGAGAAATTTCATCGGAATTACATAATCAACAAATCGATGTAGGACAATCACAGACAGAAATGAGACAAGATATTGTGATGGTGGAAGATGACGATGAAAATCAAGAAAAAACTAACACATCGGATTTATCCAATATCAAGTTTGATCCAGCATTGGTTAAAAAGCAGCTCTATATTCTGCAAGAATATTTCATCAGCAGATACGCTCCAAAGTCTGTGAGCGTTGAACAAATGTTATTGAACAATGAAAAAGCTCAAATCCAGCCTCTCAATACAGGAAGCGGTACTTTGGACATGCTTCTTGGCTCGGGAATTCATGTTGGAGAGTTGACAGAAATTTTGGGTTATCAATCAAGTGGAAAGACTAGTTTATGTATGACAGTTGCTCTCAATAGTATTATTGAGAAAAATTCAAATACTGTTCTGTGGATTAGTTCAAACTCCTCTTTTAATGCTCGAGATTTTGCTAAACTTTATGAGGCTAAAAGCACTCTTTACCGAGAGCAAATACGTCAATCTCAATTAGAATCTCAAACCTCAAACTCTGGTGATGCGAATGATATTTGTTCTCTTTGCGAAACACTTCACAAAATTAGAGCTCTTGATATAATGACAGCTCTTGAGTTGAAAAGCACTCTTTTAGAGCTTGTAAATATAATAGAAAGTGGTCAAGATGTTTTCTACAATACTTTAAGGCTAGTAGTCATTGACAGCTTGTCTGTCATACTTTCACAGCTTTTTCCAACTAGAGTTAATTCAAAAATTTCAGAAAAAGAGGATTGCAGTTTTGATGAGCTTATTCGACTAATGAAGAAAATTGCAAGAAAATACCATATTGCATTTCTTTATACCAACTATACCATCAACGAAACTGAGGATAGGACCACCCTTGGAGAGTCATGTAAATACTTTTCACACGTTCGTTTGTTATGTAAGCGTCTCGAGAAACAACCCATCCAAGAGGAAGGTACATTCTTTGAGGCCAAACTTATCAAATCTCCTAGAAGATCCTTAATTCATCCCAGAGTTTTCTTCCAAGTTATGAGTTTAGGAGTTGTAGACGTTATTGACACGAATGTTCTGCCTCTGTGCCTTTGAAAACCATACTTGAACTCCAACCGGCTTCAACAAATTGATTGCTTGAGAAAGAAAAAATTGCGAGAACAACAACAAAACATTTTGTTATTTTGTCCATCAATTCTTTGATTTAGTGTCCTGACCAGTACTCGCATCACACGTTCGGAATCATTCAATTCTTGTCATCACATTTTGAAAATATTATTCTCCTTTACGGAAAAAACAACATACAACAGCCAAGTTGCCAATCATCATCATGCTCAACATTGAAATGCAGAATTATTTTAAAAAATTGGTTAAAAAAAATATTCAATTCCCATCCAACACATTACATTTCACTCTTTCCAAAGGTATGTATTCTGGATTTTGAATTTTGACCCATTCTGAAACTTTGATTCTTTTTGGGATACATTGTATCGTGATGATGATACCTTAACTTGTTGACTTACAAAACAACCATCGCACATTGAAACATGACCCATGTTCATCACGGCTGTGCTCTATTCACTATTCATGGACATATTTAATAATCTATTGTTATCCATCAAACCATCATCATCTTGATATTGTATCTGATTGAACAACATTATCCGTTATGCGCAAACATATTGAAGGAGTCTATATTTTAAACAGTATAAAACCAAGTTGCAAAACTTTTTTCAATTACTCAACCGACAACAAAATGTCTAAATACGTCCCTCCACATTTGAGACAAAAGATGCTCCAAGAAGCGGAGGCTGTTCATTCCAAGCCTTCAACTAACGGTACTGAATCATCAGCTTCCAATGGACACTCTCAAAGACCATTCTCATCCAACAGCAACGGAACACAAAGAACAACTAGCAGCGCATCATCATCACATTCTAATGGTTATTCTTCATCACAACAAAGAAGACCATTCAACAATAGTAACGCTAGCAATGGTGATAGCAAACCAGCTTTCAATAGTAGAGTAGCTGTTGATTGGACCAAAGATGATGGTGATTATCAAGATAACTCCTCATCATCATACAGAAGATATGATAGACAGTCATCATCACGAGATGACAGAAAGCCTTTATTTGAACGCAAAGACGTCTACACTAGAGAAGACACCGAAACCGAAGAACTTTTCAAACAGAAAAACACCGGTATTAACTTTGATGCCTATGAAGACATTCCAGTCAAAGTAACTGGTAAGGACATTGTTCCTCCCATTCAAGCCTTCAAGGAAGCTAATTTTCCTCTTAAATTGGTTCAAAATATTGAAAAGGCTGGATTCGGAAAGCCAACTCCTGTACAAAAACACAGTATTCCTATCGTAATGTCTGGTAGAGATTTGATGTCTTGCGCACAAACAGGTTCTGGTAAAACTTGTGCTTTCCTTTTCCCTATCATTTCAAACTTGTTAGGACAACAACAATATGAAACCGTTACTCAACATCCAGAACTCATGGATCAAGTTATGACTTATCCTTGTGTTTTGATTTTGGCTCCAACTCGTGAATTGTCCACCCAAATCTATGATGAAGCTAGAAAATTCACTTATCGTACAGGTAGAAGAACTGTTGTAGCTTATGGTGGTGCTGCTATCCAATATCAACTTAAACAATTAGAAAGAGGTTGTGACATCCTTGTTGCAACTCCAGGTAGATTGGTTGACCTCATTGATAGAGGATCAGTTTCTCTTTCCAAGATCCAATACTTGGTTTTGGACGAAGCAGATAGAATGTTAGACATGGGTTTCGAACCTCAAATTCGTTATATTGTTGAAAAAACTGGAATGCCACCAGCAGGTGACAGAATTACTCTCATGTTCAGCGCTACTTTCCCAAAGAATATCCAAATCTTGGCAAAGGATTTCTTGCATGACTACTTGTACTTGACTGTTGGTAGAGTCGGTAGTACTCACGAGAATATTTTACAAAAATTCGTTTATTGTAAAGACGAAGAAAAGCGTGAATTGTTACTTGAAACAATTGCTTCTGTAGAGACTCTCACTCTTGTCTTTGTAAAGACTAAGAAGGAAGCAAGCATTTTAGAATACTTTTTAATGAAGAGTGGCTTCAAATCCTCTTCAATTCATGGTGACAAGTCACAAAGAGAAAGAGAAACAGCCCTTGACAACTTTAGAAGAGGTGTCACCCCAATTTTGGTTGCAACAGATGTTGCCAGTAGAGGTTTGGATATCAACGACGTTGGACATGTCATCAATTATGATCTTCCAGAAAATATTGAAGATTATGTTCATCGTATTGGTAGAACTGGTCGTGCAGGTAATACTGGTATCAGCACTTCATTCTATACTGACAAGAATAACCAAATTGCAGACGATCTTATCACACTCTTGCAAGAAGCTAAACAAGAAGTTCCTTCGTTCATTTCCGAAGGAAGAGATAGGCTCAGATATTCCAAGATGGGTAAATCTGGCTTTGGCAACAGAGGCGGTAGCTTCTTTGGCAACAATAGAGGTGGTGGTTTTGGTAATTCCAGAGGTAGAGGCAACAGCAGAGGGGGTGGTTTTGGAAACTCTAGAGGTAATGGATTTGGTGGTAGCAGAGGTTTCTTTGGATCCTCTGATGCAAGAAGAAACTACCATTCCAATGACGATTACGGAGATGACTACGAATAAGCTTACACTTTTAAAAGTGTGAATGCTTAATTTGTTGGTGAGAGGGTAAAACGCTAAACATTCATTAGGCTACATGTCAATTGATGCGTCACAAAAGAATCTTGGTAGCAAAAAGGTGTTGGTGGATACCAAATAACATCAACTAGGATGTTGGAGACGATACTTCACAACTATGAAATGGTGTCATCTCCTTTTTAGCTTATTCACCTCACAATTTTGAAATTTTTCCTTTTAATCGACGATACATTGATGTGTATCATCAGTTAGTGTATCATTATTTATTCAGACTCTCTTGTCAATAAATTATTACTTGACAACAATATCCTTGTTACTTTCATACAAAGAACTCAACTCAGTTTTGATTTAAAAATGACCACTCCTTCAATCACGAACGTGTTAGTCCCTTCTCGATTTTTAATTACCCTTGGATTCCTAATAACAACCATCTTGGTGTTGTATGAACGACAAAGAAATATTGAAAAAGCAATTTATTCATCAAACAAAACGTACTTAACTGAAACACAATTTGTGTATGACATTAATTCTCTTTCGGATTCGTAAGTATGATCTCAATTTGAGGCACCCATTGGTTTGCTGAATAATGACAACATCATGTAGGACCATTGCGTGCTGCAGTTTAACGTTATTCATTCTATTGATACAGATCATTACATTGGTGTTTGGATGCACGTTCTTTGAAGAAACCATATCAACTATTGAAATTATTTTCAATTTAGCCGGTGGACTTCTCTTTTCATTTTACATTATTTATTCTTGGCATCCTTCCAATTTATGGTACATTTTCCTTGGATGTTGTGTTATTCCGTTTTTAGTTGAGTTGAGAAATTTATTAAAGATTTTCTGGTGGAAAGAAAAGGAATATTAAGGCTGGTGGTATTCTGAAAAAACTCGTTCAGACCGGTCTCTGGAATTGTAGCGAGTGTGATGAAATTGCGAAATTCATGCAACAACAAAAATGCTAAAAACCCAAAGAGCGTCAATTCCGACGAGCAATAACAGGCAAACGAGAATACGAATGATTGTACAACATCTATTTCCGACAGTACATAAACCACAAGATTCCACTCCTCATTATGTTCAAGACGAAAGGCAGTCCCTGGACAAAATTACAAAATTAAAAACACTGATGGAAATATATCGGATTACTTGGATATCTATCATGTTTTTTCAATGCTCATCATTATTTTCAGATTACGACAATTAAATATCAATATTTTCAAATTTTGGAAAATTATTAATTTAGTGATGAATCTCAAACAATTAACATCTCTACAAAGACGAAATTATTTATATTTAATGGAGCCTATGATCGCCACGGCTATGTTATCTGCTTTTTCTGTTGTTTGTAAGTGCTCTTTCAGAAATCAAACATGACTAACGTCAAAACAGATAGAAAATTCAAACATAGTATTCTATTCAATTAGAGGACATTGAGATGGATTTAATTATTTTCAATAGAGTAACTGCAGTTCTCAAATCAATAATCAGAAAGGAAGCTCGTTCAAATAACCCATTTGATACCAATATCTTTAAATCATCAACTCCAATGTCACACGATGATATTATTTCTCAAATGAGCGAAAAAGACAAGGAATCTTTTCCTTCACTGAAACTGGAAATTGAGGTCAATCAAACCCCTATAGATGAGTTTATGAAAAGCTTGGAAGTCGTAGCATACCACCCAAAGACGGGAAAAAAAATATCACAAAAGGTGATTCTACCATTGCATCCTCAGTTAACTCTGAATATTGATGACTTGAACATTGACCTTGCTGAAACAAGTCTTACTCCAAAGAATGAAGAGATCTCTACTACTCCTTAATTTTCCTTCATGTTCCACTTTTTGCATGGTCTTGAGAGAAGAGGAAATAGTGGGTATCCATTCCTGATACAAACGTCCAAACTATTACATCCAAGTTGAATGAGGGTGACGTTTAACTCCACAGAGGAGTTTTATAACATTATGTAACAGGGCTAGTTCGTGAATGGTGACCATAGATGTTCACCTCGCCAGATTGGATTTGTGTCGTATTGAGGCAATTGACAAATTTAGAAATTTGATCATTTGGAAATAAGACTGTTATCTTACGTGTTTATTTTCAAATAATCATTTAAAATGAGAGAATTGATATCCTTGCGTGTTCATTCTCTGAACATCCATTCCAAAGTAACAACCTCAGAAAAGCGACACCTTTTGTTAAAACCCATTTTAAGTGCTCAACAACAATTTTATTTAATTTTGAACGTTGGATGTGAAAACAGATGGAAATTAGACGCAAGGTCGAAGAAGAAAGAGGAACATCCAACAGGAGTAATGCAGTATCATTTCGAAGGACATTCTGAAATTTCATTTAACCGTATGAATAATCATGAGCAGAAGTTGACCATTTCATTCTCTGTCATGTCAAAAAAGTTGTTCAAGCAAGATGTAAGTAGTGTGTTTGTAAGAACAACACTGTATGAATCAAGACCATTTCAAATTATCCCTATTATTATTAATCGCTACATTGTGTCTAGATATGTGTAGCCGAAGGCAAGATAGTTCTTGATGACTTGTCTACGAGTGATGCCCATCCCAGTATCACTGACTACGACATTCCTCTTGAAATTACAACTCGAGAAGTGATTTCACATAAGAAATCATGGACCTCAATGACTCTGCACTTTACTCTACAAAGGAAGCAACACGAAGCACTTTATTCTCAGGTCGACGAAAAAGGTGAGGAAAAGATGAAAAAGAACAATCAATTAAGCACAGATGGTGTTGTCCTTATGCCTTCACCTGCCATACCATTCACCGTTTTGAGTAGTGGCTCTTTTTTTGAAAATAATAGTCCTGCGGTTGTTGACCAAATAGAAGAGACTGTTGCAAGTAGTAGAACTCCCAACACCACTAGTGGCACCACTAATCACATGAATGATGAGGAAGATATTGAATCCATTCCTCACGAGATTGGTCCTTTCAACTTTTATCCTATGATCTTACCTCAAAAGAATACATTCATTTGAAATATACAAATATGATCACACGAGAAAGAATTACTGTTTGGATTTATCCCACTTTAGATTTTTCATTTGAAGCTTCTCAATTGATTTTTGCCAATGAAAGAATCAAGTTTTATCAAGAACAGTTTTGGTTGGAAGAATTGGTGAGACATGAGAATTTAACACAAATCTTTAACAATGAACTGTGTTCGATGAGGAGAAAACCAAAATTTGTAAAGGTGGTGAAACATGAGTGGATGATTTCTCCACCAAATCAACAAGAACCAAAACGACAAGAAAGTACTTGCAATGATAATGATGACGAACTGCTCCAATTACCTGACACCACTATGGTCGTATGGTTCATGTCGCTAAAATTTTCACATCGACTCATGCGAGAGGGTTTAATGGCCATTGAAATTGTTTTGGATAACACGAATTTTGAAGGAAATTTAGAAAAGAAGAATGAGATCATGCTAAAACATGCCATACAACTATTAACAGCCATGGAAATTTAATTTCTAAATCTTTTAAAAAACCAGAATAGAAACCAGCAAGTGAATGGACACGATGTGAACGTTGTATAGCATTGCCAGAAATATTAAATAGATCAAATTATATTTATAAGAATCTAATGATAACAACCACAGGATTGTCAGATCGTTGACGCAAAAACTATTAAGGTTGTTTGGTCCAACACCATCATACTTTATGGAACATGATGCAAAGAATCTTGATCCATTATCGATACAACCAATTTTTTTAAGAAAGAGTCATGAAATTTGAACAGTGCCATACAATCAAAATGAGTTGATCGTTGAAAAAACCAAAAGATAAAAAAAATGAATCAAACCATTCCATCAACTCTCCGACGATCGTCGTTGGCAGCAGCAATTCATGGTAAAAATTGGTTTTTTAACAACTTGTTGTGTGATACAAATATTCGGAATTATAATATGCAAACAAAGAGTAATTCTAAAATATTATTTAACATTCATTCCAATTGTTTTCAAGTACGAAATATAACCTCTAATTTTTGGAGTAAAATTGGTGACAATTTACAAAATCAAATCACAGAATGGATTTCTGCAATTCAAAAAGAAGATCAACAATTTTCACAACCACAACCCTTGCTTCTTCCTTTAAACATTGAAAATCAAACACTTGCTCAACGAAAAGATCCAACAAATCAAGAAGTCACTGTTTATATTAAGGATTTTTGGCTTCTCATACTTCAACTTCAAATCTGTTAAAACAATTAAAAAGTGGAGAACATAAATATGCCATGTCCGCCGATGAATCACATTTTCAAGCTTGGAAAAATTCACATGAAATTCTTTGTCTAAGCGAGGTAGGTTTTCGAAAGAATGAGCAATTTCCAAGAGGTTTGAATATGGGTGAATATAAAGTCACATCGATGGAACTCGCATGCAACATGTTGGCAATGGGAATCAGGAAAACTTCCACATCAAGTCGATTTTAATGCACTTGCTTCTGATATTTCATTCAGAAAAGATATCAAGAACAACGAAACCTCAAAAACAACTACGGATGGAGCGAGTAATGCTACTGATGATATTAATTTTAATCCATTATCATTTACTCCAGTTCCAGTCGCAACGTTGACTTTTGCTGGATTGAACATTTTGAACGCAGCTAGAAAAAGCAAATATTTATTCAGTGCAGCATCTTTGACAGCGCTACCGGCCATGTTACTGACCGATGTAGCTCTTTCTCTTGCAATGGCCTATTATGAATTTCAAAAAGCGAACGAAAATGCAAAGGAATATGCGATTGAGCTGAGCAAGGAGCTTCATTTGTTGAAAACTCAATACGGAAAAGTGAGAGTTGTGGCTCACTCACTTGGATGTAAACATTTGATAGGTACGTCAAATTTCACAAAACACTTTGACTTTAAATATTATTTGTCATTAATATTGAGTATAGAGGCTTTGAAGTTAATGCCATTAGAATACAGACCTGATGAAGTACATTTATGTGCACCTGCAATTTCTGAAGAAGATGCCCAAGACATTCTTGTGCAAGGTGTGGCTACAAAGAACACATTTCACTACTATTCTCCAAATGATTATTTACTGAGCTACATTTTTCCTATCGTGTCTACAACTGGGCACCAAGCATTAGGTGTGCATTCCATGAAGTCGTTACATCTTTATGCAAATACTCACTCATTGCAAGTATGTGAACATTTTGATGGTATTTGGGTTCATAATATGTATGGTCAGAACTTTTATAAGGTATGTTTCATGTATTCGAGTCAACATGTTCAAACCATTTAATTTAACAATAGTTTGCAATTGCTTCACAGTTGTAACTACATAAATCTTAATATTCTCGTTTGGTGTTCATATCTTTCAATAAATCATGAATGGATGGCAACTTTGTCGAGTTGCTTGATGAAAAAGGATTGGAAATTTCGCTCGGCTTGATGTCTTGTTGAGACGCATGCGATAGAGGAGGTGTTGTAGAATACGCTGCATGATACAGCGGAGGATTAGAATATACAGGGAAATTGGGAGTATTATCTCCAAGCAATGTCATATTCGTCAACCTAGTAGAAGAAGGTGTTGCATCCGTGGATGACTGATGTCGGAATGATACATTTTTCATACTTTCGCCGGGGTTGGGTGGAGATTTACGAAGTGTGGGTGAATGATTAAGGCGCTGCTCTCTTGTTGACTCACTTCTCGAGGTATGAGGATGATTCGAGCTCTGAGAGCTGAGAGGAGGTGTCGAAGGAGTTTGTGATCTATTGTAGGTTAGAGTTTTTTTCTTTTTCGATGGTTCCAATACTGTGTCCACTTCAGGATCACTATTTTCTTCTGCCGATTCTTCACCAGCACTCGTATTGCTGCTATTGTTTAATTGATAGGCAGCACTGGGTTGGGAGGGTGTCTTTACCTTTTCAATTTCAGCATTCACTTGTGCAAGTTGTTGTTCCAATTTTTTAGAGTTAATTGTATTCTTCATATTTTCTAATATCTTGTCTTTTTTAATGTACAGACTACGTAGTTTTCTATAGGGCCATCTATTGTGATTTGGATGATATTGATTATATCATTGGTTTCACAAATATCGATTGTGTGAGAAAAGGAATGTCCACATGATGATTATTCATCATCAAAAATATTAAGGAAAAATAAATTTCGTCATCATCACCACCATTGGATGATTAAATAACAATTTTCAATCTCGTATTCGTGAAAAGACAATCCTTAATCATTCACTTACCGAGGAATGTTGAAATGTCTGCATAACTTTTTCATGGATGTACTACTAATACCAATGGCCTCACATGCATGTTCTAATTTCCAATCAAAATACGTGGACAATTCCTCAAACGTGATGGTTGTCATGGTAATATGTGCTTGTTGGCCATTCGGTCTTTTGACTCCTTGCTGTGTCTGTTGAGCCTCTGATGAAGTCATCAGTCGAGGCGGAGGAGTCGTTTGTTGTTGTGAATGATGGTGCGGTGGTGAAAGAGCAGCAGCAGCAGTACCACTTCCACCACTGTGATGACTAACGCTTCTCCTCCGTGTTGTTTCATGTACCTCTCCTTCATGAATATTCGATGATGCAACGATGAACGCGTTGTGGTCGGCCGAATCAAGTCCAGACATCTTAAATGGTGTTTTTTGTTTTTCCTTATAGGACAAATCCGGAAATATTGAGTCGTGGTCCACGAAATCGTAATGGTGGTTGTTGGTGGTTCTATGATGAACTTGTTGTATTACGTTGTTGTTCATGGTTCGATCATCGGAATCTCTATTAGTAAGGCATGTTGAGGAAAGTGCCGAATTCGATAACATTGTCGACGGCCGAAACATGGATGAATGAAAGGATCTTGAGGACTCTAAAGGATGGTCCATCGTTGTTGTTGTGTTGTTGTATACAGCATGTGAATGTAAATACATGTGGTGGTTATTGGGACCATCCATGCATGTATGTGTCGATGATGATGCATGAGGGAAAGAGGAGGAATTGAAGCATGCATGGCTTTGATTTGGTATGGTCGAAGGTTGAAAAGAGGATGATGATGGTAGAGGCGAATCTTGTCGAGAATAGGTGTTCCTAGTGGTACTACTTGTCGTATGGATGTTGTTGGATGAAAACGGAGGTTGTTGAGTGAGTAGCAGCGAGGCCGGAGGAAGGTTTGCATGAGGGTGATGATGATCCTGATGGAAACTACTACAAGTATTATTACTACTGCTACCACCACCACCACTGCTCGCTTGTGAGTTCATAATGTTGTATCCTCTATGACTTCTACTATGGTTGTTGCTGTTGTTTGTTGAAATGGCATGCATGGATGAGATGTGGTTGTCAGGAAAAACACCACGAGTGGCTTGCTTTTCGTTTGCATGAGGTGATGATGAACTTGCAGATTGATAGTGTTGTTGGTTTGGTTTTCACTGACACGGTTCTTGGTCATGCTGTTATGGCCACTTTTACTAGAATGGAATAAGGAGTACTGTGAAACATGCACAGAGGGTGATTCTTCTCGAGTGTTTGAGTCCAGTGGATGATGGTTCGTTCTCATCTACCTTGTATTATTATTTGTTGAATATTATGATGAATGCAACGACTCGTCTTGATAGGAAGAAAACCGATCTGATGATGTGGTATAAGGGATATGAAAAAGCCTATGGGCGTACAACGACAAGGAGATGTTGTGTGTGGGACAAGTATCACGAGATGGCTGAGCAATGTTGTTACTCAATGAAGCATGTCCAACAACGCGTCTATGAGAACGAACAATTTTGATGTTGTTTTGTTTTTGATTCTTGGTGCAGTACTATCAAGTAGCGCTTCGATGAGGAGCTCACGATATCTCAAAAGCTGAAGCACAATACTTGAACAAGCAACTTTTTTTGGCGTGTGTCTATTTTCTGTTTTTTCCAAGTGGCGATTGGTATAGGGGTGCTCCAATTCTGCGCATTTTCGAAATGTTGTTGATGTTGGACACGACGCATCAAGGTTCGAGAAAGGAGAAAGAGAAACGTTCCCTGTTGGGTCAGTTAGATATCGTGCAAATAATAGCCGCTCATCAAAAATCTTTTCCAATAGTCTTCTGTTTGACCCCATTTGAAATTTCATCATAATGTCTCATATGTTGAAAGACCTGATAATTATGGGTTTCTTGTTATGTTTCTTTCAACCGTTCATGAGAGTTGGTTTCCTTGAAAAACCATGAAGTGGTGCGTTGTAACAATATAATTTTGTATGGAGTGTGGCGTGTTGTGGTGGTGTGTTTTATGTTGATGAATTCTTGCTTTAGCCTCGAAACATGGGAAGTTGGAATTCGGTGCATGTAAGGTGAGATTTTTCGAAAATGGGTTCAGGATTAACAATTTTACCAACTTGTGCAGTAATTGCATCTTTATAGCATCTGGCTGTCGCAGCTCACAAGCGTCTCGTGCACTCCTTTTTCGTGTTTTTCCTTTTGTTTCAGTGATGTTCGTTTTATGTTCACACATTATTGTAGATGGCAACTCAAAGAATGTTTGAGAGCATGTTGCAATTTCTTCTCTCCAACAAAAGGTTACGCTTGTTGGAATACTGCGGGAAAGCTTTGATAATACTTCCACGCAAACGATGGCAAAAGCTTTGGACAAATCCCAACAATAAAAAATGAGTGGAAGCACAGAAGACAAAAAACAGCTGGAAAAGCAATTGAGAAGTGCGTGTGAGTATGATGAGATTGAGAAGGTTCAGAAATTGCTGCATGATGGTGTGGATCCAAACTCGTCCGATGAAAGAGTAAGTAATGATTTTTTTTTTACTTGGCCTGAGAAAATTGTTGTCTTGAAAAACATTTTCGGAAAGAGTGGAGTGAGTAGCCATGAGTACACTTGAAGCGAATGATTAATGAATATTTCAACGGTTTTTGAATAGAATGTAGGTGTTAAACAATACATCAACGTAGTATTATTTATTTGAAAAGACTCCATTAATTAAAGCTGCACAATGGGGAAATTTGGCAATAGTAAAATTATTGGTGGACGAATTTGGAGCAACTATAAATCATCAATCTTTGGTATGTTTTGGATGTGAAAATTAAAAAGGATGAGTCTGAAAATCATGTAGATTGGAGTACGTATTTCAACATTTCACATTGCTTGATTCCATAAATATTGTGACTGACGAATATTTAGGAGGTTTGTATTTGTTTACAATTAGTATTACTGATAATAGAGGACGTTATAGACTGCACTTCATTGGGCCACATATAATGGCCATTTTGAGGTAATGAAATTTTTACTTTCCAAAGGAGCAGACAAGACTTTAACAAACAAGGTAAGCAATCTTTTGGGTCACCAAACAGTTTTTATTTCTGCACAATATTGAAAAAAGGATGGTCAAACTGCAGAAGAAATTGCAAGAAATAGAGGAATCAAAGAAGAAATATTAAATTATTTGCGAGATTATTCACAATAAAATTTAATTTCAATTTTAAAAAAAATGTTCGATCCTGTTCATTCTTTGCAAAATCCGAGAAGAAATCCTCTCAACAATGATGAAGATGAAGACGATGAGATGGAAAATCAGGAGGTACATCCGTATGGAGATATAGGTGGAGAAGAGGAAGAAGAGGACGGATCTTCTGCTTTTCATGATATTTTCAGCAACGATCCAGACTTTGAAAAGGTAACACCAAAATCGCGCATTGCCAACCCTTTTACCTCATCGGTTGCAAAGATTGCCAAACAAAAAGTGCTGATGATGATGGAAAAGATGGGCTATAAAGTAGGAGAGGGTTTGGGTAAGACTAATCAGGGAAATGTGAGCGCCGTAGAGCCTCAACAACAACAAGGAAGAGCAGGATTGGGCAGTGCTTCAACGCAACATTATTCATCCAATCTGCCTGAACATTTTACTATTCAAACTCATGACCCCGATTTAACTGATTATCCATTCAAGGAAGATGCTTCATGGTTGAGTTGCTCGGAACCTTTATCTGATGGTGCACCAGAATTTTCAATTGTCAGGCCCGATAATACAACATTGGATTTATCTGTGTCAATGAGTAGCAATGGACAAAAGTATGTCGAAGGTAACCTGTCTCCATTTGTTAATGTTCAACAGGTTCAACAAATCTTTGATTTAAAATCCCAATTTGATTCTGTTGATGATAAGATATTCACTGACGCTAGATATAGGTCAAATCCCTATGAAAGAATTGGAAGGTCAATTTTTCAAAACAGAGCAGCAATTAAATTGGCCAATATTGACCGAATTTCTGATTTAACAAGCTTCGAAGGACTTCCTAGACTACCTGAAGAAAACGGTATTTTATATTTTGCTGATATTTGCGCCGGCCCTGGAGGATTCACAGAATATCTATATTATAGATTCAAGACTGAAAAAGCTAAAGGATGGGGTTTTACATTGAAAAATAAGAAAGATGATTGGAAATTGAATAGATTCAACTCAGAATCACCACATGACAATTTTGAAGTTTATTACGGCGAAGATGGAACAGGAGACATGACGAAGAATGAAAACATTCGCGCCTTGAGCAAAGTGATTGATCAAGGACAAATGGAAGAGGTGTGGCTCTTGTCACTGCCGATGGTGGATTTTCTGTTCATGGGGTGGAAAACTCACAAGAATATCTCACTCATCAGCTTGTACTTTGTCAAGTTTTGACTGGCCTGATGATTCTAAGAAAAGGAGGTTCATTTGTGTGCAAGTTGTTTGATCTCAACACATGGTTCTCAGCCTCGTTGATATATATTCTCTACCAAAATTATGAGAAGCTTATGATTGTAAAGCCATTATCCTCACGACCCGCCAACTCTGAAAGATATATCATTTGCAAAGGATTAAGACGACGTCAGCCCAATATTGTAAACTATTTATTTGATGCAAATATTAAGCTAGCTAATCGTGACACAATCAAGTCACTGGTCGATTGTGAAACCATGGAGAAGGATGAGGCATTTGCCAACTACTTGCGTGAAACAAACTCCATTATTGCCAAGTCTCAAATGAATTCCCTGCAACGCATTAAGAATGCCATTGAAGACAAGTATCTGGAGATTTCAGAAACTCAAAATAGGTTGAGGGATTCCTGTCTTCAAGAATGGAGATTACCCAATCCGCAATCCACTCCTAAAGCAAAATCAGACAAGAATAAGCGTAAGAGAAATGATCAAGATTCAATACTAGGCCACCTCAACATCAAAAACCAAATACCTATCACCAATACTAAATTATTGTTTTGAAAATTCGATAGTAGTACTTGAATACTTTATTCAAGTTTCAATAAAGTTGTATAATTCTTTGCAACACCATGTATATCCTTGTCTTTGAATCCTAATGTGACATGAAAATCTCTTTTAGTTGCGTTAACCTTTTGTAAAAAGGAATTGGCACTTGGCCATTCCACAACCAAAAACAATGTCTCATCAGAACCTTTGGCTTGTCTTCCAATTCCAAGACATTTCATTTCCGAAAAATTCAAATTTTGGGCCATCACATCCAACAAATGTTCAATATTCAACGATTCTGCAGTCGCATTTGGAGGTAAAAAATCAGGAAATGCATTCGGTAAGGCATCTAAAGCTTTTTTGACGTCTTCTTTCAACATTAACGTAATATGGTGATGAGAGGTTTTATCTCGATCGTCCTTCTTTTTCTGAAATTCCTTTGGGACATGCTTATCGATATGTGTCTTAAAAGTTTCACAAAATTTTTCTACAATTTCTCCTGATAATCCTAAATAACCTCCATTGAAAACTAATTCACCCTGACCTTGAGTACAGGAGATGGTTTTCTTTCCGGTTTTGCTTGAAGACTTTGGTGCCATTTTTTTAATGGTTTTTGCAGAGACTTCGTTTGCGAAATTGAAATCGTGGAGAGTTCATCACCAAAGTCATTACAAAAAAATGTTCAAGACGCCACGACTCATGGCTACGCGATTTGTTTCTTGCTTTCGAAGCGATAAATTTATGAAAATGATGAATCGGAATGGTATCAGATATTTTCACTTTTCCTCCTCTTCACTCACAACAAACCTCAAGTCTCATGTTTTTATCGGAGATCAAAAAGTACCAGTTTTCTTGGCAAAGGGGTTGGAATCAAGTATTGATATTGATCGAGTCATTAATTATTCTCCATTTAAATCGTGGCTTACAAATATTCAGAATGTAATGAATGAAAATCAAGAAAAGAGTTTAAATTCAAATACCTATCACTGGAAAGAGTTATTATTTGAGGGTATTGAAATTCAATCTGTTGATATATTCGGATCAAGAAATATCATTGGATTTGTTAAATTTAAAGTTAATGTCACTGTAAAAACTGACAAGGATGAAATTAAAAAACTACCCGGAATTGTTTTTGCAAGGTAGGTCCTTTCTTGCGTTCTACAATTGTTGAAACACCAAACGATAATTAGAGGAGGCTCTGTTGGAATTTTGATTGTCTTGCAATGCATTGAGGATGGCAAGGAATACTTGCTATTAGTTCAACAGCCACGAATTGCTATTGGTAATTTACATTCATTAGAAATTCCAGCAGGATCCATGGATGACAATGGTAATTTCTCGGGAGTTGCTGCGAAAGAAGTTAAAGAAGGTATGCAAAATGTTAGAAAGCTTGAAACATTGGTTATAATGACTATTATACAAAACAAACTCAAGAAACTGGAATTGAAATTAAGGACGCAGAGCTGATTGATCTTACTGAATATTGTCTTGAATCAAAGTTTTCAGGACATTATATGAGTCCAGGAGCTTCAGATGAAGTTATGAGATTTTTCTTGCACAAAACACAAATGACACGAGTCCAGATTAATGCTTTAAAGGAAAAGATGGCAGGATCTGAATATGAAAATGAGATAATACTTCTTAAAGTATTATCTATTGAGGAGGCTGTGAAAACTTCACCAGATGCTAAATTATTGGTTGCTCTTTTCATGTACAACTTGTACTTGAACAAGAGCAAGATATAGTTGTCTCTTACATTTGCGTCTGCAGGAAATTGGGGCATTGTGCAGTCTAATTAAAGGCGTTTATGGCCACATTAATTGAGGCGTCAAGTGATAAACGCTTGGCTTGCATTTGGAGATTGAGGGAAATAATTTTAAAACTGAAAAACAGAACTGGTGAAGGAAGAAATAAAAATCGAAATAAAAAAAATGACGGACTCTGCTGCCAACAACAACTCGCAAAATGGTGGCGAGAAAAGCTTACCATCATCATCCGACAACTCAAATACTTCCGAAGGAAAAGCCTTGTCTCAAGAAGAGAAGAAAAAGTTGAGAGATGCAAAGAAAAAGAAAAACAAGAGGCCAAACAACAAAAGCAAAGCCTTTCTCTTTCAAAAGAGGAGCGAAAGCGTCAATTTGAAGAGAATGAAGAAAAGAAAAGACAACAACGAAAGGAAAAAAACGAAGCTGCTCGTACTGGTGAATCTAGCAGTACATCTTTATCCACGCCAACTGTGGTGGGTAGTGCTACTACACCAACAATTTCTTCCATCAATACACCCACTGTTGCCTCCGTAGTTACCAATACTGTTGTTGATCAAAAGATGAAGGAGGATCTCGAAAAATTGAGAAAGGAATATCAACATTTAGAGAAACAACATAATGACTTGAAGAAGAAATATCAAGAAAGCAGAATTTACTCTCACTTGTCCGAATATCAAATTCCAAAACAAGTTGAAGTTAATCATGAAAATATCCACCCTGCAATTATTCAACTCGGGATGCAATATGCCAGTGGACAAATCACAGGATGTAATGCTCGTACAATAGGTCTGTTGACAGCTTTGAAGCAATTTGTGCTTGATGCCGAGGTTTCGGAAGACAAATTATTGAGTAGAGATTATCTTGATCCAAAACTTGTGAAGTGCATCGATTACTTGAAACAATGCAGGCCAATGAGCATTGGAATGAAGAGCGCTTTGAGAAAATTTAAATCCTCTTATCATCATGTTGATAAACTGAAAGAATTACGTACTCAACAACAACGAAAAGAAAAGGTGATGGAGGAAATAGATTCATATATTGAAGAACGTATTTCTTATCCTGAAAAACAGATCATCAAGCATGGTGTTGATGGTATTAAGGATGGTGATACTATTATGACTTACGCTCTCAGTGAAGTATTGGAGAGAATGATCATTGAAGCAGCTCAAACCAGAAAGTTCAGAATAGTGGTGGTTGATAGCAGACCAAAGAATGAAGGCAAAGAGCTTGTGAAGCGTTTGAACAAAGCTGGTATTACATGTAGCTTGATTTTAATTAATGCTCTCTCTTACATGATGAAGGATGTAACAAAGGTATTCTTGGGAGCTAATTCAATTTTATCAAATGGAGCAGTTTATTCTCGTGTTGGTACTGCACTTGTTGCAATGACAGCCAAGGCTTTCAACGTTCCTGTAATTGTTTGTTGTGAAACTTACAAATTTAGCGATCAATCTCAGTTAGATTCCATCACTGTTAACGAATTGGGAGATCCATACGATTTGGTAGATTTAAGTAATTTACCGCAGCGAAAAAGTTCTGTCAACTATCTGTCAAGTAATGAAGTTGGACATTTGGAGATTGAGGGACTTACACTGCCAAATAAGGGCGATCAAAGCAAGCAACAAAGTAATGTCGTGTATAATTTAGAGAATTTTGAGTCAATTAATAACCTCCATGTCATTAACTTGCTATACGACATTACACCTTGTCATTATGTTGACATGGTTATTACTGAGTTTGGAGCTATTCCACCAACATCTATTCCTGTCATCCTTAGAGAATTTGGAAAGGATTACTAGCCCATTAGCTAAATAATAATATTCATAACTTATATTAATTTCTTCGTTGGAGATTGCATTCTTGTGTTCACGAGGCCACGCAATATCATGAATCTCTTTACTCGATAAAAGAGGTACCAGAACAAAGGTAAAAATGCAATGTACTGAATCCATGCAAATTTAGCCTTTTCAAACCATTCCACTTCATACGAGTAGGTCTGAACAGGAATCTTAATATTTAGATTAACAATTATTTGTGATGCACTGTTAGGTCCTTGTTTGCAAAAGGATGATTCTTGAACAAACTTTCCAGTCGCTGTATCGTTTGACGTTCAAGCATTTTCTTTGCTCAAATTTCACCAACTTACCTTCTCTATTAAAAGATGAGTCCAAAAAATTGATAATGGAGAGCTGATCCATTGAATCAATTGATGCAAAGTCAATAATTGGAGTATTGTAGGTTTCAATTTGATCTGTTCCATGAAAAGCATACGATTGTTTTAGAACAAAATCTCCGTTCAAATAGACTTCTGAGCAACTCGTTAAATCAGTGTTGATGTGTGCAAGACCAGAGACTTTTAAATTTTTGTAATTCTAAGTTCGGGGTGATACTTTTTAGTATTCAGGTATTGTCTACAAACCTTGAGTATCATTCCAAATTCCAATAATAAATCCAATTTTTCAAAGCTGTCACTTGGAATTCTTGGTATTGTTAATTGAAATTGAAATTGATCAATATCATCTGGTTCATATCTTCCAAACCGGACACTAAGTTGTTTTCTGTCATTGACCCGGTCAGCAAGGCTGATAGCTGTGGTTGTAAAAGATGGAAAGAAAAAGTTGTCGTTGGCAATCAGGGAGTTTGCATTTTGGTTGCTGGTCCACATTTTGTATCCTGACGAAAACGTCTGAGGTGTGAGTAAAGCAATGACCTTGTTACTAAAAGTCACCCTTGGCCTCTCGGTCATTGAAGAATAATCAATCCATAATTCTTTCAAATTGTTCGTTCATCAATCACCCTCGGAAGTTAAAAATACATACTATTCGTAACTAAGGGAATTACATAAGGCATGATCGCGACAATCAACACATAAATGATCATCATCAAACAGGCTCCTTTGGAACCAAACGTTGAAAACTTGGTCGTAGGGTATTCCTCGTGAATAATGGCCATTTTTTATTTAAACTTTTTGTATAATTGGTTGGCGGCAAAATAGCCAACAATCACCAGAATGGAAATTGTGAAAATTCGTTCCAAGGTTATAACCCTGAAGAAGGATTTATTAAAAAACACACGTGACGATTATCTTTGTGAATCACAATAATCAGTATACGATGGAATTTGATCTTTGAGGCCCTTTCTCCTTCTAATAGATTGGATCAACTTGTTCACTTCAGAAGATGGATCATGGACATCATCCTTCATAATACTCCAATGACTGAAATTACATTGAGCTTGAGCTTGGCCACTCGTGAGTCCGTGTAATTCTTGTGTCAAACCAAAACTCTCCAAAACTGGTAAATGACACACAATATTCAATAAGGGAGTTCCATTAATCACTTCCGTCGACTTGATTGAACCTCTACGATGATTCACCACACTATAGATGGCACCCATTACAGAATTCGGACATTGAATCTCAACCAAATAAATAGGTTCTACTAATTTAGGACTAGCTCTTAATTGAGCAGCACACATGGCTCTACGGGAAGCTTCACCCACTTGTCCTGCATTTCTATGACTCGAATCAGAGTGTAAATCAGCATCATCGACCTTGAACACAACTCCTCTCAATGGTTCATCACAGAGAGCTCCTCTCATGGTGTTTTGCTGGAAGGTCGTTACCACAAAATCTTGAATTTCATTCATGTACTCGACGGAATGAGAGGCATTCACTAACATGTTAGGACCTTTGTCATTGGGTCCAAAAGACCAAATCTTCTTGGTAATGGCTGGATCCCAATTAAATTCTTGTTCCAAAACTTTGGCTCTCTTATTCACATCTTGCTTGACAAAATCACCTTCTTCAATGAGAGAAATGAGTTCTTCACTCATGGGTTCAGCATGGATCCATAACTTGTTATGTTTGTTTGGAGATTTGGCAAAACAAGGTTCACACTCAGTGGTAACTGTTTCCAAGAAACTCACCACAGGTTGACTCTGTTTGATTGGAATACCCTTTCCATATTCTTCTTCTAAATTCTTCATACAAATTTCTAAATGCAATTCACCAGCTGCTGCAAGAACGTATTGACCAGCAGAATTGGTTCGACATTCCAACAATGGATCACTTTTCACTAACTTTTTGATGGCATCTACAAACTTGGGCATGTCTGCAGGGTTCACTGGCTCAACACCCATCTGAACGACAGGACTCACACTATATTTCATGTTTCGAATAGGCATACATTCGAAATTATCTTCATCGACACAGGTACAAGTTTTCACAATGTACTTGTCGAGACCAGCGAGACCACAAGTAGAACCACAACTCACTTCAGAAACACTTTCAGTGTTCTTACCGAGCATGATCAACACACGTTGAACATGAGCATTAAAGACATCTTTCTTGGATTGAGCACCTTCATAGGCAGGACCTAAAATTCTCACACTACTCGATTGTTTGACAGTTCCAGAGAAGACACGACAGAAAGCAATGAAACGACCAACATTATTCGAAATGGAAGAAGCACTAGTATTGGAATGCATGGGTATCATCTTACTGACATAGAGAATGAGAGGACCATTGGGATCACAATCACGAATAGCCATGGCATTCGAATCATTCAAATCTCCAGTGTATAAGAGAGAGTATCTGTATTTCTGAGCCTGTACCGGTGATGGCAAGTGTTGAATGATCATTTGAATGAGACTCTTTGAGGCAGGAAGGAATTTTCTCATGATGGTCCTTAATAAATTCTTGGAATCTTTCTTACGATCTTCCTTGGAGAGAGAAATGGAGAGTTTTTGAATCACATTGGAGAGTTCTTCGGAGAGAGCAATTTCCTCTCCACTCGAATTGCTGTTTGTGGATCGTTCCTTCACAAGTTTAAAGATTTGGAAGATGGGTTCCAAAATAAATTCACAGAATGAAGGTTTCAATTTCTTGCCAGAGACTTTGGAATAGGGTTCAGTGGACCATTTCTTGGCTTCGTGATCATAATAATGTTCACCCCATAATTTACGAGCAATCTTATCGGCACTGGTTTGGAATTTCTTACTGTAAAGTTCAGCAAATTGAGGAATGGTAAAGGCCCAACCCATCTTACCACTTCCAAAAGCAACATTGCCAATGGTTGGGTCCATTTGTAAATTCTTGTACAAATCATCTTCTACACCATAGGTCGAAATGAGTACATTCACAGATTCAATAATTCTTTGGAAACTTTGATAAGCCTCTTCGGGTGAGAATTGCAATTCTTCAATCACACGATCGACCTTATTAATCACCAAGACGGGTTTAATCTTTTCTTGGAGAGCTTGACGCATGACAGTCTCTGTTTGTCCTCTACAACCTTCGACAGAATCTACCACGAGAATGGCTCCGTCAGTCACACGCAAAGCTGCTGTCACTTCTGAATTGAAATCAATATGACCAGGACTGTCAATTAAATTAACAATAATCTTTTCCTTTTCATTGGAAGGATCATTCAGTACCATGGATAAACTTGTCGACTTGATGGTGATACCCTTTTCAATTTCGTTCTTGTCTACATCGAGTACTCTCTTTTCACCTGCTGAATCTTCGTCAATGAAACCAGCCGCTGATGCCAACTGATCGGTGAGTGTGGATTTACCGTGATCCACGTGAGCAATGATACTCAAATTTCTAATGAAATCTCTTCGGGAGAGGAGAAGTTCGAATTCTTCCTTGTTGAATTTGACCATGGAGTTTATGGAAAAGTTGGAGTTTGGCTATTGAGCTATTGATTGGTGTGTTTGTAACGAACTTGTGAGATAATCACAATAACGATTTTTTTTGTTGTTGTTCAAAGAGACAGTCTTAGCAGGATTTGCATGTTTAAATACCTCTGTAGATCTTTGAAGCACGTGTGGAAGAGCAAAGGAACACAGTTTGTGTAAGAATAGCTTCATTTGCGAATTTGAAGTAGGTTCAAATTCAAATACGAATTTGAAGCGGTTCACGTTTGAAATTGCACATTCATTTTCGAGTCAAGCTGGAGTTCCTGGTTCATTGTCAACTGAGAGGTACAGTACACAAGCGAGCGGCATGAACCTCAACGAGGAAGGCTCATTTCCCTATCAAATATCATACATCCCGATTTCTGCCTGTCAAAAAATGCACTCCAACCTGTTTCATCATGAAACAAGGACCCACAAAAGACGAGTCAGGTCATCACAGCTGACTGCAACAATTGGTAGAATGTGTTTCTTGTTGATGGTATTATTTTCTTTTCTCACTAGCACCATAACTCCACAAACAGCTTCTTATGGAACCATCGGAGGACAAATTACAATAATTTTCAAAAATCAAGATCAATACAAGGCTTTGATGGACGTTTCATCTCAAAGTTTGCACTTGAGAGTATCGGTCTTTCGATTAGATATTGTTCAGAGCGGAAATTCTACATATCCATACATTCCCGATATTGTTGAAATAACGACTCTTTCTCCACTCAAAACAAGCGTCAATAACCAAATTGTGTTGTTGCCTTCACAACAATTTCCAGCAAGCTTAAAAATTCCCTATCGATTGGATGATCTTCCTCTTGCAAGTTATATTGTGTTGGGACAAATTGTTTCAGGACACCAGTCTCTTACAAGTTTTAATGGTTGGTATCGTGGTGGAGGTGCTGAATATTTCAAAGACATTACATTATCGAGCGACAATAGTTATTTTTTGAACGCTGATTTTGTTATTGAAGGCGCCACACCTTACCCTGCATCTGAAAAATTCCATAGCAATGGACATTTCAGATTTGTGAAAGGCCTGCCAGTGCTCTCTTTATTTGGAAACGAAAAGGAGAGAGGAGTTTCACATGGATATCTGCTAGCTCAACAAATCATTGACTTTTTCAGATTCTACGTCTTGGAGGGTGCCATCCTTTCTGCAAAAGATTATTTAAATATTCATGTTCCGGTTCTATCAAGCTCTGCTTTCAAGTATGATAAGGAATTTATCGAAGCTGTTGAAGGAATTTATTCTGGAATGATAGCTTCTGGTATTGATTTATTTGTTCCTGAGCTGAACAGAAAATTTCAAGTTATTGACGTTATTGCAATTAATGCCTATATTGAATTGGAGTATATCGCAAGTCACGGAGTTCCAAATATTGCTTCAAACAATTACTTGACTCAAAGTCTGAGAGAAAAATTACTAGCTCAACGACCAAGAAGCGCATTGCATCGATCCAAGCCACATGCGGCTTGTACACAATTTTCAGTATGGAATGAATTCACCTCTACGAATTGTCCTCCTGAGCAACAAAATAACATTATTTCAGTTCGAAATATGGACGGAGAAATTGACATGAAGCGTGTCACAGTTCACGCAATTTTGTTGTCCACTATTGAATCAACCAATTCATTCGATAGAAAGTATATTAGTGTCATGTGGCCGGGTTTCGTGGGAACTTTGAGTGCAATCAATGAAGATGGAGTTTATTCCATGATGAATTATGGCCGAACTCATCCAAACACAACTTGGAGTTCAGGAGCTCCTGTATCATGGATTCTTAAAGAAGTTATTCAAAAAACCTCACTTGAATTGGCCACTCCATCATACATCCAACAATTTATCGAAAAGAACTTTAGATCACAACCAGGAGGAGCTTGTTTAACAGGATGCATTCTAGTATTTTCTCATAGAATTACCAGTAATTCATCACTACAAAATTCACCTCCATCATTTGTGTATGAATCTGACTGGAAAGGTGGAATGATGAGGTTACCTCAACAAGCATTTCCACGATTTGTGAAAAGCAGTATTGGAGCAAGCAATCATAATCATTTGTATGGAGTTGAGTCTGGTGACAGAGATTCTACCTTTAACTTTGGAATTAGAAATGGATTTAGTTCCATGTGGAGATATCAAGTTACTTCCAATTTAATTGATGTTTGGGCGAGATCTGTTTACAGCAAGGTGCAAGATCCAAATTTCTGTAACTCACAAATGAGAGAAATTCTTAGACGAGCAGCTCATGGCCAAACTGAACACTCCATCATGTTTAGGCCTCTTAATAATGGTAAAATATTCATTGACATTGCAGTGGCCCAAGCAACGTTTAATGGATGGGATGCACCTTATCTAGATTTTGTAACGTTTGAATTCAATGACTTGTTTACGAAATAGATAAGCCAAATTTTCAGAACTTTGCTCACGATACTACTGTTCAATACAACACTCGACGTTCAGGTTTCCAAAATAGTGTGCTCAAAACGTAAAAGAAACAATGTCTTTTCCTCTTCATATTTTCTATTTGAAAGTGGAGTTTGGGTTCCATTTCGATTCCTTCCAAAGCAAAAAAAATGATGCAGCATCAACTTCCTCCCCAACGTCCTGCCTTCTCATCGCCTCCTCCTCCGATGATCAATAACAACTCTTCAACCACCACGGCCAACACTATGGTTGGAACCGCTTCTCCACATGCCCAAGACTTCATGGATAGGTGCTTGGGAAAGGTTCCTGGTTCTCAAAGATTCTGGGATTATTGCTTTACGATATTTATGCTTCTGTTTGTTCTGATTGGAGTTGCCATTGTCCTATTAGTAGCTGTGTTCTATCACAACCGAGTAATTTTTATTATTGATAGTGAATGTAATGCTCTCGGAAAGAAGGATATTATTTTACCTTCCAATCTTGTGAGTTCATTTTGGAAACGATGTCAGACAGCAGGAGATAGTCAATATCCAACATCATTTAACTATGCTTTGAAAGATATTAAATGTATGAAATCCACAAGCTATGGAAGAGTATTGAATACTGGAAAATTATCAAATTTGAAAAAGACAATTGTGAATAACGTCGTTTCAATCGCAGATACATTTTTACAGGAGAAAGGAGTTTGTGACTCACAAAGAGCTACTCTCCTCAAGATTCAAAACAAGTACAAAACCTATGCTGCAAAACTTAGCAACAACCAGGATGTCAATCTTCCCAAGTATTTCAAAACATACACTCTAACTCAAGCTTTTGAGCAAGCCCTTGCAACAAACAATGCAAATCAAAAAGATTCACTTGCTGACAAGAAAGTGTCATGGTATTCAACTGTACCAGAATACAAAAACATACCAGATCAGGATGGAATAGCCACATTTGGTGTTGCTCTTTCTTCAAAATTTGATGAAGCACAATGGGATTCTGTTTTACGTCACGAATCTAGTGACTCTAGTTCCAGACTATGGGTTAGATTGAATCTCACCGAGACAGTTCCTCTTTTCACAACTGATAATTTTGATCACTTGACAAATTTCGTGGTGTCTGACACGGCCAATCTTACCCAATTTTATGAAATTATCAACCAACAAGTCCAAGATAATTACATTAAGGGCTTAATTCTTAACCAAACTGATTTTGTCATCAGCTATACTGAAATGAGAGCTGAGCTCATGTTGTTGAATCTTGCCAGAATTAATAGTGGTGACAGAGGAAACGTAATGGCTGAAGCTTCAATGATTGTAGGCGTTCCAAATGGTGACTCCATTGATCAGAGAATTTTGTTGACTTGGGGTGATGTCAAAGAGACACCTCAAGAAGGAATTTTACAAAGACTTGCTGAAGGAAATCTTCAATCTTCATTCATGGTCCAAGGCTTTTCAAAAGATTCTGTATTTAGCCAAGATCTCCTTAATGTTGTCCGATAGAATGGACAGCACGTACACTTTCACCACAACTGATGTTATTTGTAACACTAGATCACAAACTACGATTGATAAGATTGACTTAAACAAATGTAGCTTGCTGAAACGAGTACTTCAATGGAATCAAGACACGGCCTTTACCTCAATTACCGCACCAACTCTTTACAATCCCTCGAACAAGTTTTATCTTGGCCTCAAGCTTTACAAATCGTCCAATGTTGATGTTTTTGAAGAATTAGCTAATGGCAGAGCTGATGAATTCCACTTTTAAAATTTGCTGTACTTTTTACAAAATTAAGAGTGCACAATGGAAAAACTCCTGCTAAAATTTGCCAGCGTTATTTTGTAAAAAGTTTGCGTGCGACATTAAAACTTTCTGCCCTTCTCCTTTGTGATGGAATAAACAAAAAAATTTGGTTTACAATGGCACGAACCAGACAAACAGCAAGGAAGGGCATTTGTGGAAAAGCACCACGAGCACAACATTACACTCCACACACTTGCTCCAAATTTCGTGAACTCATGATCAAGAACGATCAATCCCAACACACCGATATCATTTCACGATTGGCTCCCTATTCCCGATGTGCCAAGTTGGCAAGATTTTGGATATTAAAGGACTTGCAACAACAAACTCATGACGATGATGCTCGTTTGAAGCAAAATTCAAAAAACCATCCATGCAATGATGATCCAACGAGTACACTAGAACAACAAGAGAACGTTTTACAATTACTTCAATCATTACCTCTTGATGTCAAAATTGATATCATTACTTTTATTCCGACCACTTCTCTGCTAGTACCTCCGTATGTCAGGCATACACAGACGGGAGCCAAATTGAAAGAACAAGTGGATCCTTGGTGGTTTTCTTTAATGAAACATCGATTGATTAGTACATCCTTTAAATCGGTTCTTGAAAATATCATTTGTAAAAGACTTTCACGAGAGGGTCTAGATGCTTCTGATAGTGTACTTGTTCGACCTTCTGCTTTAAAGCGTCATCCCATTTGGAAATTGTTGGAAATTCAGGAGAGATTCATGACGTTGCAAGCAAATCCACCTCATAATGAAAAATTACAGAGCCAGGCTGATGAAGCTCTTGCTACAGTGCCTGAAGGCAGTAATGTCCTTGTCGAAGGAGAGTGCGTTTGGAACGCCATGTTACATTTTACGGGTAGTCCTGCCAAGTTCTATACGATCCAATTAATGGTCGATGGAAAAAACTACTGGTAAGTAACTATTATTAAGTATTTCATTAGTAGTTTTTCTAATATTGTTCGCATGATCATATATATAATGCATATTCCTAGTGTTTTTACTCGATGGGGCCTTTTTGGACAAACGGGACAAAAGAAAATCATTATATTTACATCGTTGATGGAGGCAAAAGCTGAATTCAGAAACAAATTTAAAGACAGAACAGGAAATGATTGGGAAAATAGATCGAATTTCCAACTTGTGGTAGGAAAATATAACTTGGTTGACATGTCTAATACTAGTATCTCTACCGTGGAATCAAACACTGAAACCTTTAATTTTGACAATTCCTTATTTCCTCCAGTAACCACATTTGGAACTGTTTTACCACCCTTACATACTTTTTCCACAACATCCAGCAATAGTACTGAACAACAACAAGAAGAAGAGGATACATTGATGTCTGAAATGATGCAAAGAGATTTAAAAGACTTGGAAGATGAACTTATTGAGGACGTTAAACATCTTCCACACTTTAACCTCATCACTTCTTTCTTGGATGAAGGCTATTCTGTTGATGCTGATATCATGAAACCAATTCAAGAATGCAAGTCTATGATTCAACAAGCCTTTTCAGAATATAACTCTCGAAC